GCCGCCGGGTCACAAAGGCGGATCGAAACGCTGGACAAGATGGTCTGTCGCGATCCCCGCCGAAGCTGCCCATGCGGTTCACAGATGCTATACAGCAGGTTCAAGGTGAGCGTGATCACAAACATGACACCGTCTCACATGCCACACCCACGCGATGGGATATCAAAGAAACGCCATACCCGCGGGAGGTGTCTGACAAAGGCCAAAGGCTAAATCATTATCGTCGGCCGAGGACACCCCCTCCCTTCGTCAACATGCGGGGTACGGGCCACTTCTCTCGTCCGCTGACATTATGCCTTGCGAATATAGGTGTTGCTCTTTTTAGTATTCGTGTTGACAACTTGCCGGATTCAGTGTTGCTGGTTGCTATGAAAGTCCTACTAAGGAAGAGGAAACGAAGCTCTGTTCGCAAACTCCAAGCGCAAGTCGTAGCAATTCTCCCTAAGCCACGATGCTAAACCCAGAAATAATGCATCACGAATAAGATGATGATATTTAATCTTCTATAATTTCTTAACAAGTCATACAGTGGATTTGGCATGGTAAATACTGGAACTGGTATCTTTGGGGACCTTTCATACATGACGCGCCCGAGTTCTGCTTGACATGCTTGGAGCAGCACCTACGTTTCCACCAGTGTACGGCGGGCGTAACATAATATGAGCAAGTTTCATGTCGGCCACACAGTCGACTGCAGAGCCGACCGACAAAATCCATGATTAGCCAAGACATTGATCCATATCACCGGAAAGGCACGTGCCAAAGGACTGCCTGACGGTGGATCATGGTGATCAGGAGGACCGGTTATCAGCCAAATGTAGCAGAAGCTCAGCGCTAGCACATCAACGCCCCCCCCAGGTGCGTGTGGAAGACGTTGCATCGCCATCGCCGTCGTTCCGCTGTACACAAGCTTTGATGTCAAGGTGAACGGAAAAAAGGACGAGCGCTGGAGTGGCATGAATCAGAGGACCCATTTTCCCCGCATTATCGACCAGACGGATGCAGGGTCGTTGGCGCCGACCGGAGAGGAGGCGGTGGCTGTTGGCATGATTATTATTGTTTATGGTTATCAATGGACTTGTACACTTCGGTGCTTGGTACGTACGGAGCATAGGAACCTGATAAGTGCACCATGCCACATAGGTGGACTCGGAGCGTTGGAGGCAAGGCTCCGTGGTTGCAGGCGGAGCAACGAACCACGGAGAAACTCGTTGACTGTCTCATGTCAGGCACCAGGTGACTGGCTGGTTGACTGGTTGGCTGGCCAGCCTGGCGCTGGTCACTTCTTGGGTACGGAGTACTCGGTCATCCGAGACAATGCCAGTTCCATGTTGGACTGAACTCGAGGAATACCAGGCTGCCGACCAAGTCTGAGCGGTCCAGGGCAGCGTTGACGACTAGACCGGCAGCTGGCAACTGCCCGAGGTTGAATGCCGGCCAAGGCATCCGCCCGTTTGACGTCGTCATCGAGCACCAGTCGGAGTACTGCCGGCGTACACAGTACGGACGGAGAGCCCCGTCCCTACCAAGTCCAATAAAGCATCCAGGGTCACGTGCGTGACGTGTGTGGCCTGAGGCTGCAGGCACCGTCCCCTGTGTTACGCTTCGGTGCCTCTTATTGTTCCGTGCTTCGCCTGCCCGTCTCGCAGCAAATACACTTTGAAGGCGCCCTGTAGGTTCAGGCACGATGAAGCAAAGGGCAAAAGTTGAGGACCAGACATGCGAAGGTAGCTTGGGCCGTGCATCGCGTCCACGACGGGGTTGCACGCAAGAAAGCCGTCCGTTTTCGCCATACCCGACCAGCCTGTCGCTATCGCTCGTATCGCCGCGGGAACCACTTGCTCCAGTGCGCTCGCTCCTCCGAAACCGTGAGCCTGGCGTGTACCTGCTGTGCCTGGCCTGCGTATGCTGTGTACAAGCTGCTATCTGGTGCATCTGGCTGGCGCAATCACTGCGCCAGTGGCTGTCCCAATGGCGTCAAGATTTGCCAGCTCAGACTCCACCGCAGAGGCCGCGTGCCCCGGCGTGCTCCAGCATTAAGGATCCCATGTCGTGCGCTAGTCCCTCTCGGGTCAGATTAGCCCACGCCCTCGTCTTGGCCTCCCCCAGGTCCAGTAATGGATGCGTCACTTTGATACCCTGATGCTCTCCGGTTCACTTGCTGTCTGGTCAGTGGGTGGTCACTGTGACCTGAGTCAATGCCAACGTTCATGTCACCTCGCTTGCTGCGCTTACCTTATCTACCTCCCCAAACTGTGCTTCGTCTTCCTCCGACTCTCTTCCTCTTCTTCTTTCTTGTTTCGTTTCCGTCTCCATCCCCATCTCCATCCATCTACCATTCAACCCCAACTGCCTGACTCCTCTCATCGGCTTGGGACCGAATCTGATTCTATTGCATTTCAGGCTGTCCTTGCATTTCGTTTTGCGTTCGTGTCGCAGGTAGACCAACGCTCGGCGTTTGTGTAGCTGGCCCGATTATCGCTTCTACCAAGACAACCTGCATCACTTCATCAGCCTCATTAGTACCGCCGTACTCATCATGCACACTCTCGTTGCCGCGGTCGCACTCTCCGTGGTGGGTGTTGCTCAGGCGGGATTCAGCATTGAGACCATCCACAAGGAATCAGCTCCGATTCTCAGCTCTGTCGACGCCGAAGTTGTTCCTGACTCTTACATCATCAAGTTCAAGGACCACGTCAACGAAGCCGCGGCCAACGACCATCGTAGCTGGATTCAGAGCATCCACAAGGATGGCGAGGAGGAGCGTTTGGAACTCCGCAAGCGAAGTCTGGGATCCTCACCAGTGGAGGCTTTTGCCGGTTTGAAGCACACGTACAACATTGCCAACGGCTTCAAGGGTTATTCCGGTCACTTCCATGAGTCCGTCATCGAGAAGGTCCGAAATCATCGCGACGTAAGTTTGGTATCCATTTTCATGTGTAGAGCCTCCATGATGCACCCGGCATTGTCGGCCAATCAATCATTGCTGATCTAACCCCGCCGAATAGGTCGAGTTCGTTGAGAAGGATACTATTGCCCGCATTTTGCGCCCTGTCATCTCCGACGAGTCTGCACAGGAGGACTGCACTCCCGAGACCGAGAGGCAGGCTCCGTGGGGCCTTGCCCGTGTCTCCCATCGCAAGGGTCTTTCCTTTGGCACCTACAACAAGTACTTGTATGCCGCTGACGGCGGCGAGGGCGTCGATGCTTACGTTATTGATACTGGTACCAACACCGAACATGTCGACTTTGAGGGTCGTGCCAAATGGGGTAAGACTATTCCCGCTGGAGATGCCGATGAGGATGGCAACGGCCACGGTACTCACTGCTCTGGAACCATTGCCGGCAAGAAGTACGGTGTTGCCAAGAAGGCAAACGTCTACGCCGTCAAGGTTCTCCGCTCCAATGGCTCTGGCACCATGGCCGATGTCGTCAAGGGTGTTGAGTTCGCTGCCACCAACCATGTTGAGCAGGTCCTGCTTGCCAAAGACGGTAAGCGAAAGGGATTCAAGGGCTCCGTCGCCAATATGTCTCTTGGTGGTGGTAAGACACAGGCTTTGGACGCTGCAGTGAATGCTGCCGTCAAGGCTGGTATTCACTTTGCTGTCGCTGCCGGTAACGATAACGCCGATGCCTGTAACTACTCTCCTGCTGCCGCGGAGCTTCCCGTCACTGTCGGTGCCTCTGCTTTCGATGACAGCCGTGCCTACTTCTCCAACTATGGCAAGTGTACTGATATCTTTGCTCCTGGTCTAAACATCCTGTCCACCTGGATCGGCTCCAAGACTGCTGTCAACACCATCTCGGGCACCTCCATGGCCTCTCCTCATATCTGCGGCCTTCTCGCTTACTATCTCTCTCTCCAGCCAGCTGGTGACTCTGAATTCTCCGTCGCCCCAATCACCCCTAAGCAGCTCAAGGATACTCTCATTGAGATCTCCACTCAGGGTGTCCTGACTGACATTCCCAAGGACACCCCCAACAAGCTGGCCTGGAATGGTGGTGGTTGCAGCAACTACTCGAAGATTGTTGCTGCCGGTGGCTGGACTGGCAAGTCCAAGACTTCTGAGACGAAGCCGGTTGAGAACGCTGTAAAGGAAGAGATGAAGGTTCTTTCCAACAAGGTCTCAGAGGGCGTTAAGGACTTGGGCGACAAAACGGAGAAGTTTGTCGCAAAGATCCACGACGTCGTCGATAAGGAGATTGAGCACTTCATCTCCGAGATCTCCCTGTAAGACCTAGACTTACAATTTGACTAGATTTTACTTTATTTTATTTTTTTTGGCAGGGATTACACATGATATGCAGCATAAGGATCGGGTTTGTCCTTATTTTGGGTAACGCGATGCGTACTGAGGCGTAGAGTGTTGGATGGTATTATTTCTTTGTGTCTGTGTTTTATGTTTCCAATCTGCTATACAATCGTCAGAAGGCAGAACTTTGTAAACAATCGCTCACCTTCGCACCAATATATTTCCTTCTCGCACACGCGAAGCCTGGTTACGTGTAATGATCCACGAATGCACCTGGTTCCCGATGGATACATACCCCGAAGCGTTAGCCCAAGATACTAATCAACGTCCCGTGTGGTCAGCTACGATCGCTTGGTAAAGAATGGTCGTCTTCTGGAAGGAGTCGCGCCTGGTTCACCTGATGATGTCGCTTCTTATCATCTCTAATGTTTGCATTTGTCATTTGGGCAAGTCGCCCTAGTTTCTTCAGTGCGTCCGTCCTTCGTAGTGATCATTCATACCTTCCTCGCGCTCGAAAGAACACACAGATGCTGCCAGGCAACCAGTGTCCCGGTGTTGGTTTATTCTCCCGTATCAACACTGATCAGCAGCTTCACTTGACTTAAGATGTTTTGATACCTTTTCGATTCTACATTTAAGGTTACAGGCTAGATTTTCTTTCGTCCCGATTCCGCACAATATCATTCTTGGTGGACTACTATACATTGAGCACATTATTTGAACGTTGGCTTTCCGACAGAGTTGAGGATGCTGCGACGCAAAAGCTCCCGAAGCACTTACCGGCGTCCCCTTGGCAGAAGCAAATCCACCAGCTCTATTGCCAGAAGAAGGGCTGATTTTGTAGTTAATATTGATGCAGCATCTGCAGAACGAGATGCCCATATTGCAGCCAACTTGTCTTACTATCGCGCTCATGGCCATCACAGACAGGATACACCGGGGGAATGGCCAAGCCAAGGTTCACATAATCTGCTCCTTCGACGGAGCAATACCGTCAACGGTCGACTAGAAGGTCCGCCAAACGGCATTCCGAAGAGGAAACAGAGTGTAAGGTTCACTGGCCCCAATGCCAGACCTCGGCGACAACTAGCTGCTCGAGCAAAGCCCGTGGTGCGCTCCAATCCATCGAAAGGGCCGACTTATGCTACAGGAAGGCGAGATAACGGCCGTCTTTCGCCTACGACATCAAACTATACGCAATCCATGGAATCGAACTATAAGCCTCGCACCAGCAACTCTTCAGTCATCCAAACAAGTGGGTATTTCCTCACGGAGCCTGCCAATCTCACTCCCATGCCGCCATTTTTGGGATCGCTCCGAAAATCCAAGTCCATGTATAGCCAGTCCGCGGGTTCAGTGTCAGGATACGACAACGATCACGTTCGAGCTGACGGCCTGAAGCCACTGCCAACAACACCTCTAACCATACAGTTTCAGGACAGGCAGAATCAGACAAAGCGGTACTCCATCAGGCGAAGTCTGCGCGCGCCAAAGTCCATGAGCTATCTCGAATTCCAGACTACAAAGCCATTGGCAGGAGGAGCTGAGAACAAACATAACGGATACTCTTCGCCAGAACAAGTGATGCACTCGAAGGGTTCTTTTCGGCATCTCAAGTCTCATTCCTCAATGTTCTTTCGGTCCAAGCATCGACAGCAAGAGAGCTCAACAGGATTGTCCAGGTCGCTGCGCAACAGCAGTGACAACAGCGCCGCGCTTTTCCCACCATTTCCGGGACATAGTATTCCTCCCGCGAAGCATACTGGGATACGGTTCACAGCTAGACGAGTATCGAGAAAGGTTCGAAATAAACTGAGCAGACTTTTCGGTCGGTCAAAGAGTACGGACACAAGCGGAAACGACATTGCAGTCGATCCATCCCAAGACACTGATGGCGACAGCTTCCACCGGAGGAATGACACCCCGCCGATTGAAGAAGCTTCTATGTCAAGAGTGACTTCTCATGTCCCTTCACTTCATGCGGTCCCGTCATACCAGCAGATGCGGTCACGTCAGGGAAGCTTGGAGAGCATCTCGCATGAGGAGAACATCCCCGCTGACGACAAGTCCCGTGTGACTAGTTGGACAAACTCGTCAGCAAATACTGTTATGAATTTTGGCGCGAATGAAGAGCACGAGTACCAGCGTCTGTCTGTAATCAAGGAAAATGGCATGCATATCCCATCATCTTCTCGCATTCCATTGGCGAATCCTACTGTGCCAGGAATGACAATAAATAGCCAGCGAGTGTATTCGGCACTCATGAAGAAGCTCACCAACACTCCCAATAATCCAGACGAGGTGCAGAACCGTGAATCGACAAGACAGTCGTCGGCCGAGTCGGTGCCTCTCGGACAAAGCCCTGGTGATCATGGCAACTCACAACCATGGTCTCCTCCGATTATTCGATGCATCGGGACAAGCGATGATGATGTATTTGAGGATACCAAAGAAGTGATTTCCTCGGACCTGTCAGAAGCAGGACAGGATCTCAAAACCAGAGAATCATTTCGCAACATGCCGAGGAAGCCGGCGTACAAGGCTTATCCGAATGCATCTGCGGGTGATGGAAAGGGGCTCTCACCGGCCAAGATTCCTCTACCGGAGTCGGCGACGAAGCAGTCATCTATTCGTGCTGACAGAAAGTCAACGTTTTCTCCCAGTTCAGACAATCACCTTTTCCGCACGACGAGTCCTTACCGTAGGGCAATTCAACAAAGTATGAAAGACTACCAAGAATCAGATCACACTCACGCCTTGGATACCAGGTATCTGAGTACTCTGTCTGCATTGAGTCTACCTAGTCGACGCCCAAGCACTGTGGGATCAGAAAGGGATGTGCGCCTAACATATGCTGAGAGCTTTTACTCCTTCACGACCGAGGAATTAACAACCGCCCGACCGGATGGACTTGCATCGCCTCCTCTTCGTAACGTTCGAAACGCTGTGGCGGGGGATGTAACTGTGCCAGTTGAGTCTTTTGCCAACATCGAAACACCAGTCCGCGGCCACGACATTTCGGCAGCAAGTTCGGTAGAATGGAAGGCCTGGCTCAGCGCCAATATGTCCAAGCTGGAAAAACCGCATGCAGTGGTGAACTCTCAATGTGAGGAGCAGCCAAGCAGTGCCGTGCCGCTTGCTGGGCACATGAGAGAGAGTGCCGAGATCGAATCACCAGGTGAAACCCCCAAGACGGCAGCAACAGGTACAGGAGAGGAGCTTCCGGGCCGCGTTGTCAGCTCACATGCTCTTGGAGCACGTCCATCGCCACCGACTCGGACTGGAAGTCCTCTCAAGCCTACAGAGGGGACAGCCGGACCCAATAAGAGGGACAGGGTTCAACATTCTGCATCGCCAAGCGTCCCATCCAGCCCGCTCCGGCATACCCCTTGCTCGACGACCTCCTTGACCAAAGTAGACAATGATAATACTCCAAATTCAAGCGACTGTCGGCCAGGCCTGTTGAGAATGAGGTCTGTGAACACAGTCCCTACGCCGGCACCGCAATCACATGATGGACTACCCTGGAAGCGATGCGATCAGGAAAACTCAAGAAGTGGACCACCTATCATGCCCAGAGCGACGCCAGGGCTTTCAGCTATACCTCAGCGAGCAGCTAGTGGTAAAGGGAGTTCGCCGGGAAAGTTGGGTACTGGTGCCTCGACATCCCCGCGCACACCGGAAGGGTCGATGCCCGTATCAAATAGCCCATTGGAAACAACCAAGTCCGAGTGGGACGCCCAGATCAGAGGAAGTAGGCGAATGGTTGATTTGTTTTTGAGCAGTCGTCGAAAGGCGATCCATGGGACGACGTCGAGGAATGGGAGCGAAAGCTTTTCGACGGCATTTCTGTAAGGTCTGTTGTTTGTTTGTATATATATATATTGCTTGTCGGCCAGGATAGCTATCAAGGTGAATGGAGCGGTAGATGTTTGGCGTGGTATTGAACTGTGTCGAAGCGTGCGGTGAGGCAGGCGTATGTGAAGGAACAGGGTCTCACCTCTGTCCGTCTCGGCTCCTGAAGTCGTTTGACGAGGCAGGACTGACATGTATTTCCCATAAGCGGGCCATGTCCTTGGGAAAGGACTTTTTCCTCTCACGGCTCACCCACTTGTTGTATTCGGTGTGGGTAACTTTTTCGTCGAGAATTCCCTCCACTTTGGCGGTGGCCAGAGATTTGATAAAGTCGTGCGAAACACGAACGTATTCCCTCAAGGCCTCCTTGACATTCAGCGTCGCGCCCGTCGTCCAGCTCAGCAAGAGAGGCTCTATGAGGGGGGCATCCGACACGCTGGGATGACTTGTGCCCAGGCTTGTCAGGAACCAGGCCGCGCCGGTGGTCTTGAGCACGCCCGCCACCAGGTCACGGACGGTGTCGAAGTGCGGCCTGCCAAAGAAGATGGTGCGTTGTTTGGACCACGAGTTTGAGTGGACGACGAGGAGGGACACGTTCAAGGCCGTGTTGAGGGGCCCGCTCTCCTTGCCGGGATCGAGGGCGATGCCGCCGACCGACGGGTTGGGCGCGTCGTCGTCGGGTGACGCTTTCCCGAGCGCCTGGAGGGTGGCCGTGGCGCCGTACGAGTGGCCCGCCGTCACGAGGTTGCCAAAGTCGAGGCGGGATGAGAACGAGCCCAGGGACTCGGGCGGGGGGGAGCGCGCGCTGGGGACGAAGGCGTTGGCGTCGACGCGCCGCAGCAGACGGATGGTCTCCAGGATCTCGGCGTCGCGGAAGGCGAGCTGGTGTCGCTTCATGGCGGGCGTGTCCACGGGCGTGTGGTTGGTGGGCGACGCGAAGAGGTCCGACTCCCGGAAGTGAAGGCGGTCCTTGGCGGGCCGGCCCGGCAGCTTGACCGAGGTGCCGGGGGAGGAGCCGTCGCGGTGCTCGATGGCGGCGACGACGGCGCCGCGCGACGCCAGCTCGCCGAGGTAGTTTGTGTAGTCGGTGCGGGAGGCGGCCATGCCGTGGGAGAAGACGACGACGGGGAGCCTCGCGCCAGGCCCGCCGCGCAGCAGCGGGACGTCGACCTTGGCGGGGATGGTGATGGCCCCGGCGACGAGCCAGAGGGCGAGCGTGAAGACGGGGCGGGCGAGGGCGTTGTCGAGGCGGGCGAAGCGCGCGTATCCCCTGGCCGTGAGGCTGACGGGCCGCGGGATCCAGGGGAGCGGCGGCTTGGTGGGCTGGGCGTCGTGCGACGCCGGGTAGTAGATTGTGAGGAGGAGGGTCTCGAGCTCGAACGCCGGGGCGAGGGAGCGTTTGAAGACGGGGTCGGCGACGAGCCGGGCCTGCGGGAGCGGCACCTCCATGTCGATGGCGCCGACGGCGTGAGGCCCCGTGTAGCCCGGGAGGCGGGAGGCGAAGGGCGGTATGGAGAGGGCCAGGCATGCGATTGTGTAGGCGAGGAGCGCCAAGAGGACGCCCGACTTCCAGGACGGCCGCGGGAGGGGCACGAGGCGTCTTGTGCGCAGCGCCGTGCGAGTGTCGTCGAGGAGGCGCTGGAGTCGGGTTCGTGATGGGAGCGCCCAGCGCGGCTGTGGCGCCGTGGACGTGGGCGTGAGCAGCGGCGAGTCGGGCGAGAGGGAGGACGTTGGCGAGAGGGATATGAGTTCGATGGTGGGCGAGGACGGAGGTTGTGAGACCCGTGGCATCGTGACGGCTGGGGGTTGCGATGGTTTGAAGATGGGTGAGGTGACGATGCGTGAGTGAGTGAGCGAGCGTGGTGGTGACGACGCGAGCTGAGGTGGGTGGGACCGGGTGAGTGTGGCGGACCGGGTGGGGCCGGGATGCCGCGGCAATGGCGGACTTTTTGCGGGTGGTGCCTTGATGTGCGAAACCAACGTATTGTTTCCGTGTCAGTGTCGCTGTGCCGGATGCCTCGGACGTGGACGCTTGTGGTTTCAGTCTGTTGTGAGCAAGGAGACGGGGCCGGCCGACTCGGGTAGCGTCGCGGAATTCGTGCTGTTCAACAAGAAAAGTGTCTGATGTCTCTGATGGGGACACGACTATGACTGTGCTTGGAAATCGATGGCCTACCCTGCAAGGGCGGTGTGACAAGTGTCTGGTCGATTCAAGTTGAGGCCAGCATCTTTTGTCCTACTTTGACAACTTTTCCCTCAACTCAACCTGTGCACCTTGAGCGCTAAACATGATGTCCTCTGCCACGGTCAGACTATCGCTGTCCGATTCGACCATGTTTCAATTCCCACCCAGAAGTGAGCCAGAGACTGTTCCACCGCCAGCCCCGGGCTCCACGTTGGCCGCCTCGCCGTTTTCCATACCGGCCTCAACGTTCCATGCCGCGTTGGATCTGAGAGTACCCGTCACCATTGGCTGTATTTATGCGACCGCAGTTGCAATGCTGAATGCGTACAACCGGTCGCACGGAAACAAGCCGTGGAGGATTAGCAAGAGCAGAGCATTTTTCTGGTTTGTCGTGGGCCACAATGTGTTGTTGGCGACCTACTCGGGCTGGACTTTCATGGGAATGCTGCGAGCTGCCCGGAGAACGGTTTGCAACCCATTAGCACCGGCAGGGCTGGCGGGAACCGTGGACAGCTTGTGCAAGATCCATGGAGCACCTGGGCTTGGAAATGCCATTGCATATAACAGGACAATGTCCAGATGGGCTTCTGAATCGCCCTTGACCAATCTCCTCGGCACTGCAGGTACGCCGGACCCTGCCCATCTGGGACGCTTCTGGAACGAAGGTCTAGCTTTCTACGGATGGCTCTTCTACCTGAGCAAGTTCTACGAAGTCGTCGACACCGCAATCATTATTGCCAGGGGAAAGACGAGCTCGACTCTGCAGACCTACCACCACGCCGGAGCCATGATGTGCATGTGGTCTGGAATTCGATACATGTCGCCCCCTATTTGGATGTTTGTTTTTGTCAACTCTGGCATTCACGCTTTGATGGTGAGGACCTCGAACTTTGCCGAGTTTTCCAAGTTGACGTCTTGTTTGAATTGTAGTACGCATACTATACATTGAGGGCCCTTTCCGTGGCAGTACCGCAGGCTTTGAAGAGGAGCCTTACCACGATGCAAATCATGCAGTTTCTGTTTGGGGCGTCCTACGCCGCCCTGCACTCCTTCGTCTCCTACACCATTCCGATTCAGACCTCGCGTCTTGAGGACAGTGCTGTTGAGCACCACGCTGGCTATCAAACCGTTTCATGTATCAATACGAGCGGCCAAACATTTGCCATTTGGTCCAACGTGCTCTACTTGGCGCCTCTGACGGTCTTGTTTGTGCGATTCTTTGTACAAAGCTACTTCCCTTCAGAGAAGGGCGGAAGCAAAGCCCCGTAAAGGGAAGCAGCTGAGAAGGCGAGCAGGGACGCATTGGAGGGCAGAAGTCTATGGTAGCATACGAGGTTCCAAAATCAAAAAGTCTGCGCGGAAGCGGACGACAAGTGTCAATCATGATACTTGGCTTTTGAGAGATGATGACAATGGCTCGACATTGCCAGTGTGGGATGCTGCAGTAGCCAAGTTTCGGGATGGTCGAGATGAATAGGGCCTTCGAAACAGCTTTCGCAACATGTACAGAATTAGAGATGGGTTCACAAGTGCGGCGACTTCACGGAGGCTGAGTAGATGGAGTTTGGCTGGAGAAAAATGACATTGTATCCGGTTAGATGCGAGATTGCCCGGTTGCCCTGTAGAGTTAGTGAACCTGCCCAAGTACGCGATTTTTGCACTGAAAATGTATGAATAACTCCTTGCTTTTCTTTCTGACAAGAATTGTCGATTCGCAAAGGCCGGATAAAGTGAGACTGCGTGTGGGAGCATGGGTGCTGCGATGGCCCATTGTGCACACCAGCCATTCACATCAACCCCAACTGGAGTCCTTGAAAGGCCTACTCGATCCGGGCATTGGCTTTTCTTGACAGCGTAGAGTTGACCCAGGGCCCTGACAAGTGCACAAAAGTGAACTGTAAGCCCAGTCGCCTCCCACGTGGAATATCTGATGCGAATGGCCCAGATGTCAAAGTACCCAGGTTTCCACGACTCGGTCAACCGCAGCCGTTTTCATAACATGGGATACCAGCAGGGCCAAGTTTTCTAAAATGATGCATTTGGGGCCTAGCAAGGGAGGGAGAGAAGACACTTGCCGCGTAAATAGTCACCGAACATAGATATATCAGAATAGTCCAGGCGTAACATGAAGCTCCGTGCTCGGGGTCAGCGCGCCACCAGCCGACTTGATAGATCTTGATTATGGGGTAAAATGCCGAAGACGCCATGACGGAGAAGACGAGTGCACGGAGCGGTCGCATAGTATGGGCCTGGAAGGATTTGACAAAAAGGGCAAGGATGGCGGCGAGGACTACCTAGCTGGCGACAGACGGAAACGAAATCCTCACGTGGAGCGCACGGAAACATATACCAGAGGCTCGGGGGAAGCATCCAGCAGTGACGGTGAGGATGCCTGGAAATCAAGCTCGAGGCAAAAGAGGTGCGTTGTATGTGAATGATTGCACAGAACATGGTCGTTGAAAGAAGGCAGCAGACTATGCCACCCAAGAAGAAGAGGGAAAAGACGATGCCGTCATCCGAGTTGGTGTGCCGGATTCGTTGTGCACGTATCCCATGCTTTTGATGCATTCCCAGTACGAATTCGTCTCGGGCCCCCAGCCGGAAAGAATGTACTCGTTGTCCTTGGCCCAGTCTGGCAGCTCGTCGAAGAGAAGAAGAAGTCGCGTCTTGGCTTTTCGGAGCAGGGTGTAATTGTCTGCAGTGTTGGGATTGGCCTGCTCGGCGCTGTCCATCTGAGTCTTTGTCACTCCAGCATGGCCAAACATGACTGCCGGGTCAGCATTTACGATTTTTGCACGCCGACCTGTCCTTGTTCAACATATTTGCTGGAAAGAGGGGCGACAGTTGAAGAACGGGCTGGTGCAACAAAATTCGCTCGGATTCTTTGTTCTTTGTCGTCGACGGCAAAGTGCTGTTTCAAGTCGCTCGTGGCGTGAGCGAGGGCCAACCAGAAGTGGAGTGGCACACCAGACTTCTTGTTGAGACGCAGAAGAGAGATGGTCCAACGTAACATTTCGCTCTACCTGGGAGGCAAGTCATGGACGGATGGAGCGGTGGAAGCTGAAAATGGCAGCCGCACGAGCAACAATGCGCTTTGCAAGGGCCATGGGCGGCCTCGACAACTTTCACCTCGTTCCATATCAAGCTACCGCCGCCTCAATTGAATGGCATGCTCAACACTTGGACAAGTGGCTCCAAGTTAGCCTGCGGATAATAAAGAAACAACGCATACTGTAAGATGACATCTCAAACGACAAAGAGCCGAAAAATGGATTGCTTTTACGCAAGGGTTTCCTCCACGGGTCATGTTCCAGAGTTGAGTGTCATCCGCAAGTGTCCATGCCTTATTGGGATTTAGCTGTCCTAGCTAGGGCCGGGCCGCCGCGGGGTTCTCTATCCCGGTAGAGAGACAGGGGCGACAAGTGGTAGTAGATTGTCGATGGTTGTTCTGGCGCTTGTACGGAGTATCCTGACGTAATTGGCGATCAAGTAGCAGGCAGAAGCTGTACCATCCGCGCTGTTGAATCAATGGCCATCTCTCCTTCACCTTGGCGATGGCTTTCCATAGGTTCGGAGCCCAAATGCTAGATTAGATGTAGATAGAGCCCGCAATGCACCCAGTCAGCCGATCAGCCCGAAGGCTGCTTACTTCTTGGTTGGACGGCACGACGGGTAGTAAAGTGGGGCTTGTCTTTCAACGACATCCTTTAGGGGAGACCATGTACGATAGGATTCTGAATGTTCAAATGATAGTTTAGTCTAGGGTGAGATCCTTGGCACCTCCAACACGCTCTATAGCCTGATCAGGCAAACCTGTATCTGTCGGCAACAAGGCAAATCTGAGCCAGCCAATCATCTCTAAGCGACACGTCGATCAACAGTAGTCCTTTCCATACAAGCCGATTCAACATCGAAAAGCCCTCTCGATTCTGCCAATACTGTCATTTTCTTGTTACAAGTTAGTCGCCCAACAATGCCACTTTCATTCTCCACCAGGCAGAACTTCAGCCCTGCTTGCTCAGATTCCGAAGCACGTCCACCGCTCCAGGCGTCTCATACCATGACGCATAGCTATATCCGACCACCATCAAAGCCTCGTCCGCCGACTTTGGCGAGTATCCGGCAGGTCTGTGTAAAACACCAGAGTCAGGATCCTCCACCAGCAGGTCCCAAAAGTGCGAGTTGTATGACTCGACTACATCGTACAGTTCTCTGATTTGGTTTTTGATTTTCTCAGCCAGTCGTGCCGTCTCCTCCGGCCCGGCCAGGAGTATCTCAGGGCGTGACAAAACAACGGAGCTGACCAGCTTGCCACGGATAATCTCAATGATTTCTTCCGGAATGACGCCGCGGAGCGCAATCCTGGCATTCTGGATCGCCTGGAGGTCGAGCATGATTCGCACCTTGATGAGAACCACGGCCACGACATGGCTCAGTTCCAGAAAGTCGCCTCTCCAGCTCTTCGCCGGCGCTTCCAGCACGTCGGCGCCCTTGGTGTCCAGGAATGGCTCGTCCATATTGCCCCAGTCGTAATCCACCTTGTGCCCGGTCGTCGCGTACCACTTCATGAAGTCGTAGGCGTCCTGGTCCCTGCCGAGTCGAATGTACAGCGCGGGTATGAGTTGACGCAGGCCCATGTTATCCGAGCGACAAAGCCGCATCATGTCCAGGAGATGATCGAGGGATATCTGCACCAGGTCTACGGGCCCGCCGGCGGTGCCGTAGCTCAGAAGCATCGTGTCCACCAAGTTATAGCGCGCGCGCATGTACGCACGCGTCTCCAAGATGCCCCAGAAGCGGCCGACACAGTTCTGGAAGACGTTTTCAGGGGTGAAGAGCCCGCCTGGCAGCTCGCGAAGGCTCTTCTCCTCCAACTCGTAGACAAGACGCGCCTTTTTGATTAGCTTGCACGGCGTCTTGTGCAAATCACGGTCTTTAACCTGGCATTCTCGCCCGCAGTAGTAAACCGCCAGGCAGGCCGAGCAGCGGGCGACGCTGTCTTTCTTGTGGCATAGCTCGCAGGACCGTGGTGCCAGGCCGTTGAGCTTGCCTACGTCGGCATTCATGATGAGAGGCATTCTGCTGCGCAGCAGAGACAAGAGGCGTCCGCCGAATAGGAGGCCCTGAGTGGGAAACAAGTCGTCGTCTTGAGGCGCGTGAGAAGAGAGGGAGTAGGCAGGACTCCAGGAGGCAGGTGCCTGATTAATTAATATACGCGAAAAAAAAAAAAAAAAAAGAGGGTCTCGTGCAAACCGCGCGCGTTGGCTTGGTGCCGACCTCGGCCTTACGGACTAGGATATTGTCGTATGTGAAGATGGCACTATAACGCGCATGATTTTATTGCTCATGTCCAAGCTTTTACTTGGACAGAGAGATCTTTGACGGGCTTACGTCTGATTACAGGCGTGGAACGAGCGTGCGAGAATTTGGGCTTCTTATCACGTTGTTTGGAACAAATAGAATTAAACCTCTACATTTTCTATAGACTTTGTTATTATCTCGACACTACTTACTCTCTCCCATTGTCACCAGTGTACCCGAAGACAGTAATATTGAATGCCCGAGGTCGTACGGCGAACCCAGAAAGTATATCCTCATGGAAAGGAGTTCCACATAGGCTTGCTTGATTCACACCCATGCAGCGGCGCACTTGTTGGAATATTCACAACAGTTTTTGCCTCCAGTCACACTACCCGACGAGGAACCTTGTTGCGAAGGGCCTTGAAAGTTCGGTCGGCACCGATCGTCGCATCATACTGGTGCCTGGGATCGGGCGGAAGTGTTGCTGCGGGTTAGCAGGCCGCGTCCAGTGCGGGCGACAGAAGTTGTTGCAGACGTGCTGAGCGAAAAACGAGCTGATACCGTCAGGGCCAAGATCTGTCACGCCGTATTGACGATCCCGAGACAGGATAACAGGATCAGAGAGGACTATCTCATGCTGGTAGATGCCGCCTTGGAGGTCGCACAGAACGAAATAACCACCCGACAGATGGTAGCTCAAGTGACTCAGGGCCTGCATGACTTCTCCCCATACCCTGGTCTCATCGCGCCATCCGCTATTGCTGTTGAACTTTTGGTAGTTTTGGATAAATGGCTCGCATAGAACTTTCTGGCCTGACCGCTCGCTGTAAATATCATCGTTGAATTGCCACACTTCAGGTATATTGATTTTGACGATTTTGTTGATGATGCCTAGCTGATTGAACGCGTTGACAAACTCCAAGGCCTTGTCGACAGCCTTGACGTCGAGATCGAAATAATCCTTCGAGAAGACGGCACCACTCTTGAACCACTTGACAACACATGCCTGTCCCTTGCGAGGCCCTGCACTGTACGTCCCTTTGGCCACCCAGCGAAAAGCGCCCTGCGCAAACGGCTCCTCTAGTGCCGTGACTGGGATGAAAGCCGAGGTGGAGTTGTTGAATCTGCCGGCGTCAGACTGCCTTGCAGACGGGGTGTCGGAGTAGTGGCCGTGGACGCATTGCGTGCATCGCGATACACCAGGACCCTTGGCGTACTGGTTGGCTGTGTAGGATGATTGGGGGAGGTTGCGGCCACAAGTTGCACATTCCCGACCCATGGTTGGAGATGTGAGGCGGTGCGAAGCAAAGGAAAACTGAGGACTGAGGACCCTGGATGGACTAAGGACGGGTTGCATCGTGGCGTCGATTGACGAGACATCAGACCATGAGTCGTCAGGGGCACAAGCTGGGGGGTGGGCCTTGGGAAAATTTGATTGGCTGGTGCTTGTCATTTGCCAGGCACCAACATTGAAGATGCATACCCCGCGCATTGCATGTGTGAACATTAACGCCGTCGGAGTGAATTTGACTTCCTGTCTGGGTGATGTACGTGCGTGACCCAGCCGGTGCCAGACGGATTCCGTATGGGCGTGAAGAAACCTTGGGAAACCTGATGCTGCTGTTCACATGGACTTCTTGTCTCTCATGTCATCTCTCACAAATTCAGAGCGAAGTGGTGGTTTCCTCTTTCCTCGTCCAGCCGACATGGCAGTCTGAACCAGTTCCACAACAAACATATCCAAAGCAGAGCATTCCATTCGTCAATGAGACATAGCGTCGATGTAAAGCACGGCCTATTTGCCTGTCTGCCCAAGATGAGAAGGCCAAATTCCAAAGCGTCAAGGGTTTAAAAACGGCAGAAAGCCCACCAAGCAGCGCGTGTTCCGCACGATTCTTCTGCTCATCCTTTGACAATTCCCTTTGACTTTCTGAATATCCACCAGACAACCATGGAGAAATCACACCATGAACTCTACTGTGCCGCGGCTATTGCCAATATGGAGGGCTGTAGAAAGCTCCCGTTTCCCCTGACAGAAGCGAAAGAGACCACGAGACTGCCTTTCCTTGAGGACCGAGTCAGGACCCTCGAAGCCGCCATACAAATCACGCAGCCGCCTCCTGATACAGAGCAGTCCTGGACAGGGCTTGCCTTTCGTATCTGGAGACTGCGCGGCAGAATGCAAAGCCGCGGCATGGCTATGATGTTGGTTGATCACCCTTGGCCCGCACAAGACGACAAATCAATGCTGCCGAATCTCTCGGGTATCTCTGTGCAAGATATCCAAAAAGCCATCGACAGCATCCGAACATTTGCACCACGCACTCTATGGCCCAAGGAAGGAAGCGTTGACGAGATGCTGAGTTTCGTTTTACAGAAGCTCTGCCATATCGCTGGCTGGAGGAACAACTCGCTCAGGACCATACCAGTGACTCCTGTTGATATGTACATTTGCGCCCTCAAGCAATCCCTTCTTGCTGAAGTCTCTGGACCAGTGGGACCAATGCCCTTTGTGCCTCCCCCTCGCCCCCAGCCCAAGAAGTTGTCCTGTGGTTGTTGTGGTTGCACTTGTCACAAGGCCCCTGTTCATTTCGGAATACTGCGACATGGGCACGGGGAACGTTCGTTGAGTCAAGGCTCAAAACAGAAGTTTTCTTGGTTGAAGAAGCTCCTTTTCTGGAGAAAAAAAGAGGTAGATGACATCGCTTCTACCTGCTCGTCTGGGTCTAGTACGGCCATAGTTGATTAGGCTGTCAGAGTGTGTTGTGTGTACTTGCAAGAGTCTGAAAGGATTGCAAGACCTTTACTGTTGTTTTCATCACTCCGCTCGTTTCATCTCGGATGGTCTCGCCATTGCGGCAGGATGCTGATTTGGCAGATTGTAATCTTTATCCTGTCTCGCTGTAGTTCTGGTAATTTTCTTTGGAATAGTTATTAAGATATTTGAAAAAGAAAAATTGCCCTATTGTATTATTTAATTTATACCATTATAATATGTAGTCATGAATAATCCAGACACATTTACGACAAGTCTCGTTATAAACTAATGATACAAGTGTTGAAAGGAATGACACTAAGTAGGCTGCCTTACGTAGAAAGAGACTTACAGAGTCCTGAGTCCTGATCAAATACGCCACATGATTTCCGCCATAAACCGGTCTTGTTATCAAGTTTAAAGTAAATAAATAATTAAGCCAAAAATAATTGGAAGTCTCTATTCTCATAGGGACCTGAGCTGCGCAGTGGTGTTGTGACTTACACGGTGATAATCGTGTGCTGTCACTTGTGTGGTTATGTTTTTTTTTTTGGACCAGCAAAATATAACGCCGCTTGGAGGACATGTGAATACTTCAGATCTGTTTTATAAGAAAGCATCCGGCATTTCCATTATGCTGTAGCCAGCCAAACGGACTTGTTATACTGGTCAGAAAAATAGTCGCAATGTAGATTGATAAATAGCAGTAATGAACTATTCCACTCTGGTATGCTGTGGTTCCAACTCAAAGGTCGAATGGCGACGCTATCCGTTTCTCGTAAATTATAGCCTGCTATAATAGTTCTTTATCTGATACTATTTTAACACATCTAGGCTTATCCACTAGTAAACCACATTGGAACAAGCAAGCAACTTCACTCTTATCCCTTTTCAAACTTTTACAATCAGGTGTAGAGAAATAGAGCCGTGATGACAGCTTTAGAAATGCGTCAACTTCGTTTGCCCAGGATCAGCTCCACCCGTACTCCAACCAGATTGGCTAATAAACCTTGGATTGCTGCAAGATCCTAAGTCTATCGATACAAAGGGCATTTTCCAGAAAGTCATCTCCATGTATTCGGGGAGGCATTAGCCGAAAATTCTCTAATATAGACTGTAAACGAAGTAGAGAACGGTGAGACAACTAGTTTAACTTATATTGTGTATCATGCCGTTTAAGCAAGTACCTGGGAGTACATGGGCTAGGACAGGCACGTATGGCCTGTAAAATAAGTTGATACATGCATATTGTCAGAGTGTTTATAGGGCGCGATAAGGGCTTAGTAAGGGCTTGGAGTAATGAATCAATTCGTATAACAGTCTTCTATTTTTAAATCCTTAGTCTTCTTTAAGGCCTAGATTACCAAAGAGATCTATTTATACAAGAAGTCGGCGGTCTTCGTGCCCTAGGATCTCGTGATAGTAGCCGTTGTGTAGCATCCTTGTAATTCCGTGTGACATCGGGTTTGACTACTCAACCATGGAGCAAAAAGAATCCAGTAATAGCGGCCCGTGGCAAAATAGCCCGATATCCATCTTATAAGTGCGCAAAACCTGGCTCTCTCTCACTATAGCTTCTGACACATGTCTCTTTTTATGTTAATTAAGTCCCAATTTAATGTCACGCCGGCACAGTGAGAAGAAGGATTAGAGAAATAGAGCTGAAGAGTATGAAGCTCGGGAGTGCTTCTGACAAACAGTACCGACAGGGTCTCCAACCGTGCTACCCTCGTACTCTTAACAACGACCTGTCTTCAACGTCCGACATGGCTTTGGAAAATCAGGGGGACTACTTACAAGATAGAGAGGCTTATGATTGGCGTTTCTGGTGTGTGGACCGCTCCGAACGACTGTAACATGTTTCTTTATTGACAGTCTCTATAACACGAGACATAGAATTTGCCTAGTTCGTCCCCATTTCCTGAAACCTAACGCTTCACATATCGCATATTCAAAACAGAGAACCTAAAAGGCCGATAAACTAAATGAGTCATGATCTGTGCCAAAAAAGTATAACTCTGACAAAAACGAAGACTATGTAGCATCGATGGTGTCAGGCATAGTTTCAAAAGAAATATTCGTCAATTCAATTATTCAAGCAGGCAGGGAGAGTTCTTCGACTCCTCAAGGCTGGGTGTGAGTGATGGTTTCATAGTTGAAGGCGTCGGTGGTGTCTTCGACAAGAAGGATGGTGTTAAGTATCACGATTGAAAACTATGGATCGAACTGAACAGTGGACTGCATATTGATTGAAGCTATCTATCCAGGGGACTTGAGGACTCTTTCATAGTTGATAGTTGATGACCTCGAATAGTCTGTATCTTCAGAGGCCTCCAAGGGGCCTTCGAAGGCCTCAAACCTCAAACCCCCGTTGAAACGGGTTGTGTAGCAGCTATCGTCACGGATACAGCGTTTTCCACCTTATTTCCGTTGTCATTAAGACAAGTCACTTCTCAACTTTGATGGCTTCAACCGAACATGGTTAAAATGTATGTGACATTACGTACAGTACATCTCAAGGCTCAGTAAATACGAGTATGATGCCAAGGCGTGTTGTAATATTCCTTAGATCCCACACTGTTATTCCTACTACACTACACGCTGTTGCTGTGCTTTTGTTGCCGCGTCAGCTTATCAATACGGAATTCTAGCATCAGTTAAAGCCAGAAAGCAGAACATGTTGCAGTAGCTTCTTGTACAGTACGGAGAAGAGCTTCGATAAATTGACAAACGTTGGAGTCGACTTCATAGAAAATCCGTCATTCTGTTCCAACTCTCCTTCCCAGACACTCATGAGCACGTATAACGTTCCATAATGATGCTCGTTTTCAACGCATCTTCCGGTAGAAACCAACCTTTCTCTTGCAATTCCTTTAGAAGAGTTTTCCTTCCTTCTTCTGCCTCAGCGCGACGAGCTGCTTTGAAAGATGCTTCAACAAAGTACTGCCATGCCGATCCATCAGCGCTTCGGATGGGCCAAACCTCAATATACAGCTTGTGATCCTGCCACTTGCCAATTGCTCGGGTGGCGTGAACTGGTCCAAAAATGACTGCCTTCTCTAACGCTTCGGTACCCCATTTTTTCCCCTTCCAATTGTCGAACTTGCTCGGAGCCTTGTCTATGAGCATGTCCCGCGAGACAGCGGTCCCAGGAAGGTTCATCTCGCCGTCTCCGGAATATTTGACCTTCTTTTCACGACTGACGGAGAGTGTCTGCTTCTTAAAGCCCCACTCGACTTGGGCTTCGTACTTGTCAGATGTTGAGTTGAAGCCATCCTGATTAGCTTCTGTGAGCGCAGCTTCAACATTGCCACCCGCGATGTCGTATCGCTTCTTGTAAGTCAATTCAAACTCGGGTTTCTTTTGGACTATTCGCAATCGAACGTTCCAGCCAGCTTTGAATATTTCGTTGGAGCACTTGTCGAGAAAGTGGACATTCATTTTGACTGTGTCTTGGACTGAAAAATTGTCCCGAACCGAATTCTTCAACTGATGGTCAGAGTTGAGGACCCGGCTTGCGTCGAGCTGAAATCTGACCTCAAAGTCGGGCGTCATATTTGGAGCCTGCGCCGCAGAAGCAACACTTGGCGACATTGTGAAAAATATATATGTATAATAAATTTAGATTGTGTGGTAAGTCCGACTTGGCAGTACCTTTAGCAGAGCTTTATGCTGCACACTCCTCTGATGATATGCGTTTGCTTAGTCCTAGGGATTATCTCGGTACCAAGAGTGCAACAAAACAAAAGAAAAAAAGGGGCAGTAAAGGAGAATTGGAGGAGTATATGCCCAATCACATTTTATTACGTGTACGCTTGGCATTCGTTGCATGACGGTGGGCCAGACGACTGATGCTGACCACGAATGACCGTGAGGCGTTGTGCTTTCAGATGGAAATACTGTGCTGTAATTCAAAAAGCAATGAAAGTATTAGCATTAGATACGTTTGGGTTGTTCAGCGCCGCCAAGGTGGCGTTCAATGTTTCAGCGCTGGCAGGTTAAGCTTCAGCCGAGTTTGTCATACCCATGCATGGCACTTCCAATTTTATAGAGTTTTGTCCCAAAGTATCTTTCTACATCCTTCCAATAGTGGCCTTTGAGTTCTCTATTGATACCATGGCTAACCATTCGAGGCGGCTTACCACTCTTTTGGCCTATAAAACCCAACACAAGCCGTCACACCTGTCTAGAACAAGATGCTGCATCGCAACTGGTTTGCCATACATCCTCACCATGAAGCTTTCTCTTCACTATTTGTTCCTGCAACTCCTATGTCTGCCTGGAATCTTGGCCTGGGGAGGTAAGTCGAGCTCCCAAAAACGCACCTCGCTACCAAAGTTGTGTCTAAGCTCAAGGTCACCTAGATCTGGGTCACGATACCACGGCATATCTCGCCAGCCACTTTGTTTCCTCGCCAACCAGGGACTATCTCAAAAATCTTTTACGTAACCACCACGACGACTATCTCGCCGGAGTAGCCACGTGGGCGGATCAGATCAGGCGCCTGCGTCAATGGAAATTCACGACGAACTTCCATTTCATCGATGCCCATGATGACCCCACTCACGATTCGTGTCAAGTTGACTATGCGCGAGACTGCAAGAAAGGAGGATGTATTATCAGCGCTTTGGCCAACTACACGGAGCGGGCCCGCGATAGAGCTTTGCCTCGATTAGAGCGCGAGAATGCATTTAAATTCCTGATCCACTTCATCGGTGACTTACATCAGCCGTTGCACAACGAAGACGTTGCGAAAGGCGCAACTGAAATCCAAGTTCGGTGGCAAAATCGCCAATATAGCTTGCATGCGGTTTGGGATACCCATATCCCCGAGGAAATGACACAACATCTGGGCACCGGGCCAACAGGAACTGCAATGCAGTGGGCAGATGAATTAGCCAGCGAGATCACCAGTGGCAAATATGCAACCGACAAGGAAAGGTGGTTGGATCAATTCAACCCAACAAGTCCTAATGTGACTGCCATGGCCTGGTCAAATGAAGCCAACCATTATGTATGCACACATGGTGAGAAGAGCCCTCTTTGAGACTTTTGCTTTGAAAGATATTGCCTCCTAATATGTTTTGTCATGCAGTCTTCCCGTCTGGATTAAAACCCAAACAAATTGCGCACAAGAACCTCTACACTAATGGATACTACGACCAAGCCGCTCCGGTTGTCGAGGAGCAAATTGCTCGTGCGGGTTTCCGAATGGCCGCGTGGCTGGATGATATTGTCAGTTCACTTCAGGCTGAGGAGGGAAGCAATGAAGCCGTTGACGACGAGTTGTGAAGTCTCTGTTGGTTGTGGAGGGTAGGCTTTTGTTCGTTGGCTGTTTGGCTGCGTAGTTTATCAGGCTTGCCCTTGGATTGAAGGCAACGCAATCTTGGAAGGCTTTAATTCTAAGTCGACGACTACCTTAAATCTGGTCTATACTTTCGTTATAACAGAGCAGCACAGTATTTTGCACAACCCACTGACAGAGGGGCCATGGTTGTGGATAGCCGCAATCAAAGGGCTCCTGCAAATTTAGATTCAAAAACGCGGCACATAATAGCGTTTGTTTACTTATAGAGAAAGCTTGACATTTTGTGAAGTATTCGCCCACTGACACTTTCCCTGTCAGCTCAAGTGACGTGGTGGGTACTAGATTCTCCCACCGAATAGGTCGATTTGTAGGAAGGGCATCGCCACAGGGGGCACGAAGCTCATCCTGCCACCTGGAACAGAAAGAACAAGTGACCGCATGAAGCCGGATTTTGCTTTAATTTGGACAAGCTAGGCAGTGGGCGGTTACCCTCACATGCACGGATTCAGATAGCTAGGGCGTCTTCTCCGCAGTGGCTGGATCACGCAACATGCAGCAGGACTGTCCACGAAACCATGCTGCCACTGAACCCTATTCTAACCGACGGCTTCGAATATGGAAAAAAGCTTTGACAGTGCCACAAACATAGTAGTATCGTAGCGGCAAGACCGTCCTCGTGTGTACTTTCTCTCCCATCTCTAAGCCTCTCGTGGCTGTCAAGTTCGGGGCATAAACCTTGCACTAGATTCCGCAATGCTTATCTTTACGAGACAACGGTAAGCATGTCCTACTTCAAGCTTCCTCAGCTGCGGCTGAGACTCAAAATTCTAGTGCGAAACGCAGCAAGCCTCGGTAGAAAGAGTACATGCCTGTCCCTCTGTCAATGGCAACCAATGCATAGACTTATGAGCATTCCATCCGCAGCCGAACTCAGACATCCGATAGAACGACGAGCTTGAGTAGATAGTGGGCGTAGCGCTAGGAGCAAGCCACAATTCGGCAAGCAAATATGTCTCGGCAAGGGACGGGGCAACTAGAGATGGTATCTAGCTCAACGCCTCATATCCGGCCTTACTTCAGTGTGTAGTAATAGGGCATTTCTACACATTGTGCATAGACAGAAGTGAATTGGAGTACTTCGCAGACTAAATGCAACGCAATTTACGTGATAGACTCAACTACACGGAGAAAAGTAAACGTCCAAAACTTTACGCATGCTACATTCTAAACTTGCACCGTAATCAACCAAGACTCTACGGCCTAATTTTGAATCCAGTGTCTCACGCCTCCGCAACGCACCGTGTGATATTAGATGCCTGCCCTTAGCGGTTGCGACCAACGCCACCTAGACTATACCGGGCCATACACGAAAAGCTGCCTCCGTTTATCACTGGACTCAGCCTTGATATAATATTCACAATAATCTGAAAATACAGTCCGTTACGCTTGAACCAAAATGACGATAAACCCGATAATATTGCTCTCCCAAAGACAAAGACCAAATGGGTTGGGAGTCTTCCGCCACATACAGGCTCAATATAAATTATACTAATATTTCCCGGTGTTTGAAGGGGAGAGCTGTAAATTCAATTACTGGTGGACAGGCGCACTTGTTAGAAACAAGATGAGCTAGTTCTCTCTATGCGTGCATATCAATTCTGTCTAGGATCCGTCAAGGGAATGTTTTTTTTTTCTATAATTGGCGGCGAAGGAAACGAATGGGGAGCTATTAAAAACGCACACTTCTGGAAATATCTTCTTCTACTTCCTTCCTGAAATTTACTACTGTGACAAGGCTTGGAGAAGAAACTCAATTCAATGATAATCTTGTAGGATATCAAAGGTCCTGGGTTTCTCAAGCCCTAAAGCAAGGGGGAGACCATCTTATATACATGAAAAGGAACGACCGTGCCTAAGGCTCCTGCCGGGGCACGTGTTTAACTTGTGTAACAGATACGTCCTTTATCGGTGAGGCCCCTTTGTTGGGCTTCACGATTTGTTGGGCCTTTTCCGTGCAACAATTACAAACGATTTGAGTTCACTCGTCGGTCTTCATTAAAATCGTTCTAAAATTCAGTGTAATCTCGCGAAATCTATCCATGAATTCTTTGAAGCCAGGTTGCGTCACTTGAGTCTCAGAGGCAGAAAGATCCTTGTCGGTGCCCGAGGACCTGCGCTAGAGTAGTTTTCTGACTTGCTTGACCATGACGGCAGTTTATTTTCCCGAACCCTTCAACCGTCCGACTTTCCCGGGATGCAAGACTACAAAGCCCGGCTCAGTCTATTCCGGTTGAGATTCAAATTCATCTCTGTTAGAATATTCTTCCGAAGACACTTCCTTGGGGGGTACGGCTTGGGTGTGTGTCAGTAGAGCAGATTTTTTTTCGCTGGTGTTCGTTACAGCCCTCCAATTTATGAATGGACGCTGCACATTCCTTCGAGTATGGCGTGAGCCTCTTGCGTTAGCTTCAATTAGCCACCTTTTTTCGTATAGGCAGGCATCTTCATGAAACTTTCTATACACAGAACTGTATCGCGGACCAGTTTTTCGGGGGCTCTGAGCTCAATGAGGGAAGGCCAGGATGGCCGAGCTTGCGTAAGAAGTCCTACCGTGGGGGCCACGGTAGGCGTGGCTACGTCGTATATTTAGGGAATGCAGAGGTTTCTGGGAACCTCTATACTGATTCATAATAACAATTGATGGCCGTGAGAGTCACAGGCCTCGGAAATGTGGGCTGAAGCTGGTTACGCAGTCGGTCAATGTTGCCTCTGCTCGTTGAACACGCAAGGTGGCAATAGTAGTCGCACTACTGCTGCCTCAAGGCAGTATTCCGGAAGTGTTAAAGACCTAAGTTTCATCGATGCAAGGAAGAAGAAGGGGAGGGGAAGAACTCCTATGAACGAATATACACAGGAATTGGAACGTATCTCAACGACTATAGCTAATAGACATGTAAAAACGCGACAGCCCTTGCAACCAACATGGCGAAGTGATGTCAAAAGTCAATCTATCATGCATTCTAAAAGAAGCTGTAAAATAGTCTCTTAATACACCAATATATATGTATATACCAGCCCTCAACAAGGTTCTGTCAACAAGAGCACGCAGGTTACCAAACAATCAAGTTAAACGTACGTGGCAAGTATTGCGCTAATGACGAATGGTGTCATTTTATAAATGTCCTTGTAAGGTGTTGCCATGTTGGTAGTGTAATAATTTCGCCGGACGCGGTTACAGCGTAGAACTTGTTTGTAAATTAAATTTATTGTACGACTCTGACTGGCCCTGAGATGATGATGTTGTACAGCTACTCTGCGGGCCGGTCATGTGGTACGCCAAGATGTGACGACAGATGACAGAAAATTAAATGAAAAGGAGGAGAGACGGTTGGTGACGAGATCTATACATCAGGTGACGGGGCACCCTGGCATCCTTCTATGCCATGCATCGTAAAAAGCGGCCGAGGGATCGGGGTTGGGGTTTGAAGTCATTTCCGATGTTCAACCTGGGCCACAGATCTACATATGTAGCCATCCACAACGACCAGTACGAGGCCGATGACATTTGACGCAGCCACCTTTCATGTCGAGCCAATAAACACATTTTGGACAAATTTACAACCTGGTTTGGAGAGATTCATGTACTCCGTAAGGGTTGCAAATTTCGCAGGCTCGAGTCACCTCAATTCCTGCGCATTTAATCCTGGCCACACCCAGAACCTGTTTCCATGCATGTTGGTTCCAAATCAACCAGCCATTTGCTGGTCCTTTTGCGACGGCACTCCACTATATAACCTTTTAGGGGGCAGCACGTCAGAAAAAAAGCCGAGGGAACTAAATAATGGAGCTGACTGCTGGCCACAACAGGCGAAGAATATTGTAGCAACTCGGAGACCGTTTAGGTACAACGGCAGCTTGCAGCCTATTCCGTTCGAATTGAACAAGGTTACACGCAATACGAAGAGTAGGCAAGAGTGGGAAGAGTAACAAAATAAAGCTTCATAACCGTGCTCCTGCCATGTTCAACAGGTGTTGGAGGTGTCGGCGGTGTCGGCGATTCACTTGTTTGATTCAATGTCATCAGCGTCTTGAAAAGTATAAATAGATCCAACTACTCCAGCTTCAACCTGCAAACTCACGCAGAGAATTAGACTGCGTTTTACAATCTCCAAGAAAACACCTACTTTGAATCTTGATTCCCAGCTATACTCTGGCAATTAGTCCCTCTGGTCTGCCTTGGATGAGAGTCCTGATTTAAGTCAAATCGCTAAAAAAGGCAACATTTGCAGACTATTTTGCTAAGTAAGTATTCAAATAAACCCGTTTCTCTCCCAATTGTGTAACCCGAGGGGCGAAGCGCGTTGTCCTTGGCCGATGTCAAGTCTGGTTCACAAAACAAATTGTAGCGATGAACCGAAGAAGAAGAAGTCTTCCATGCTAGTACATTCGGACACACTTTGCTTAATGCGAGTCTAATTGCCACACGGTTACACCAGAATAAAAGCGTTGGACCAGCAACGATTACACAATAACAAAATATCGCGGGGCCCGAGGTCAGACTATAAGCGAGGGCTGCCTCAGGCCTCGAATATATATCAACTTTGTGTATATATAAAAACCTCTGGTCCCGTAAAGCCTCTTTAAAAAATCAAGGACTTTACTCGTGCCGCCCCACTATTTTAGGGGCCTCGTTTCACTCACCACCTAAATAGTGGGGCGTGCACGAGTAGTAACTACCTTGAAGTCCAGATTAAAGATTGAATTGACCCTTTCATGTTCCAAGCCCAGGCATGCTGCCCTTGTCACACTAATACATACAAGGGATTGGTTCCACAGCGGCTCGGAAGTAAGTTGCGCGTGCCCGGCCAGGCGCCAAGCACAGATCCTTGTAGCGAATAGAGGACGGCATCATCTTGGCGATAACCAACAGTCAGGCAACGGTCAAATCAAGCGATGCCGCGCTCCAGTTTTTGACTCGAGAAACCGAGCCGCTGTGGGGCTAGCTTCCTTCCATGTTCAACGTTGCGGCACTGGCACATCTGGTGAAGCTAGTTTGGTGTGGCGCCGTGTCCGTCCCCGGGAAGTTGCGACCGTTGGTCAACTTGACGTCTGGTTGCCTCCCAACGCCCAACACAAGGCTTTCTCCCATTTGAGGAGGAACGCTTGACCCATTCTTTTCCCCATCGCGGTCCCGTGACTGGATTTTTTTCCTTCTTCCCCAGAGGTATGCGTTCCACTTTCACAACTTCCCCATTACACTCGAGTCAGGGCCTGCATTGCGGTCTGACCATGGCACTCGAAAATCTAGCTTGGCAGATACGTGCATGTTCAAGGCTGGCCGTCTTTAAATCCATAAAAAAGCGCCAATTTCGCTTCGTTAGCATTAGCGTTTTCATTTCCCTCTGTCTCATCATATATCTTTTAATTGTCTATCTTCGCTCTGGTCCCCGAACCTGGACCGTCGAAACCGTCGTTCACCAAAAGGACACAAAAATCTCGCACAATCCGCAATATTCCTTGACACCATTCCCTGCCTCGCCGCTTGAAGGGAGTCACGACACATCATCAGACCAAAGAGTACGCCGTCCATGGCTGGCGGCAGTTATATGTGCGGCCCAGGATGTTGAACGACGAATGTTGATCCGCTCAACGTGGATGCGCCTGTTTCGACACATCCCGTTTGATGCTCGTTTTGTCGTGTCCAACCCAGGCCCCCGCTGGAATGAGATTGTTCGGTTTGAAAATCGCACATTTGGCGATTTGATTGTCCTCGACCATATCCCCGAAGATGACATGACCGCCAATACCATCAAGACGCTTGAATTATACAAGTGGCTCATAAACCATGGATCCAAGTACGAATTTGTGACCAAATTAGATACCGATGTCTGGATAAATGCCCCTGCCTTCTGGGAGAGGTACCTGGTCCCTAGGTTATCCAACAAGTCGGGACATACAGCAGCTGCTGTAAACCGGACCGTTATTGGACAGCTCTATTTCTCCGACTCGGGATATAATACCTTTGCACATGGGTCAATGTACACAATCACTTGGGATATGGTGCAATTACTAGTTTCGCTGCAGGAGAGGTTTAACGTCTTGACCGGCGAGGACGCAGCTGTCGGTATTCTAATGCACAAGGGATCTCAGACGGCAAACTTTGTCAACTTTCGTGGCGAGGAGAAGTTTGATTACGACGATTCCGACGCTAGAGAACACGACTTTGCGTGGGCAAGGGCTGGCACTCACCCCAATGCGATATCGCACGCAGTCTATGGAAGCAATGTCATTGCTGTCCACAAGCTCAAAGACAACCGCCTGTGGATGAAGGTGGCCAAATGCTTTAATCAAAGAGGCATTAAGCCAATGCCGCCATTACAAAGGCCTGAACGGAGACTATCGCTTGGCACTCGCTGGAACGACTGGATGCACTCGATAGGACTCTCAAGATCGTACGTATCAATGATGGAAACGATTCCAAAGGAGCTCATTGCCTACGACACCGATCATTGGGTGTGTGATGGTATCTGGAATTTGGGAGGCTCCCGACAAGGTTTCAATACCTACGTGGCACATGCCAACGTTGTTTGAAGTTGTACGTCATGTTCTGGGGTGAAAGTTCTCTTTTTTAAATACTTTATGTTATTACTACACCAGCGTCAATTATTACTTTTATAATTCTACTAAAATTCCCCGCAAAAGCCGATGTGATCCGAGTAGTGGTTGCTGTCAACCGTGCTAGTGCACTCTTTCGGCTCTAGGACTGTGAAGAGCAGCGTTGGGAGGGGCTAAGACACTAGGGGGGGACTATTGACGTTAATCTACGGCACAGATTATCTCAAGTCAGCCGATTCATGGCCGTGATCGGAATGGCCTGGTCTGGCGATTTGTGCTATAAATAGATTAAGCTAAGAGGATTATGGCCGGTGGCTGGTGGCAGAATGCTTTTACGCTAAGGGTTCTCTCTTCCTCGAAAAGCGGCACTTGGGCAATCTAACTGACAACAGTTGCCCGACATGGTATGCAACAACCTGCTCAGATGCTTGGTGTTGATAGAGCTTGTAGCGGTAAATTCTCCTGCTCCCATCACTTACAATATCAACGCCACCATCTCTTGCACCGCTGCCTGCCCCTACGTCACCGCGTGCCGCTACACTCGCCTTCTGCCCTGGTCCAATATCCCGAACGCAGATGAGTTTGTGCAGGACCGCATCACATACGTGAAACGCGTAATAGTCGCAAATAAAGGTGTTGCGTCAAGAACAGCAAAATTATAGATCTACTGAATTCCTTCCAATAGCACTGATAGCAGCTTATACTCTATGCGACAAAAGGATGTCACTGGATGTCACGGGGTTCATGACACATTGGGAAGTACAGTCTCCAATATAGTCGAGCTAGTGACGAGAAAGACGTGTAAGTACTACTTTCACGAATGTGTGGTTGAAAAGTACAAGCAAGATCTGTCTTAGAAAAAACCATGTTTTGCGCCCCCTCCGACGCTCTCACATCTGCAATGTCTTGTACATCATCACGACGCTCCTCTTTTCTCTTTTCTTTTCAAGGGGTTTGCCCCAAGAACAGCCCCGCTGTCCTAGAGCCTAATTTCCACAACACCAGCAAGTTCGGCTGAGACGCCTAAACTGTCCCCCAAAGTGCCCAATCTCGATCAAAATCTCGTGCATATCGCCTAGTGTCTTGGATGTGAGAGTAGCGTGCCCGTGGCCCAACAATAGCCGTTGCCGTGAGATGCCCATGTCGGAAATTAACCAGGAATTTTTCCCGCCAATGTTGGAAAAGTGCGGACCCAGGCTCCCACGGCTTGAAGACAATCTCCTCTGCGCTGACTTTGTTCTTGGTTTCCTGAACCTCCTGTTCCCACTCCTGGGGAGTATCCGCAAGGACCAATGCCGGCATGGGTGACTGGGGAATATCTGCGAGATGAGCACCCAAAAAACGATCTTCGTCGGCTCGATTAGCTGCGGCAATAGAAGAATCAGAGGGCAGTGGCACCAAGTCATCCAAGTCCCCATCCGAACGGCTCGATGCGTCGGGCCGATGGGATATATCCTCTGAGCACCCGTCAACGTGCTCGAGATAATGTACGCTGCTGCCGTCCACGCCTGGTAGATGGGCTTGTGAACACGGCAAAGACAGTAGAGAAAATGAATACAAGTGCTCGGCAATGTGGTCGAGGAGAGGGCCGGAATCGGCAGGTCCGCCAAAGTCGCAAAGAGGGCAGTCGCTGATATCTGTAGGCCCTGGCCTAGCAGCACCTGCGACCAGGACAGGGTATTGATCTTCGCTGACTGCGTGCCCATGAGCTTCCTTGGTGTGATTGAGAAATAGTTGGACGGATGGAAATATGCGTGGCGGGTTGCCGGGGAATCCGCAAGGCTGGCATTCCCAACACTCTGGATAATGCGAGAGAATGTGCTTCATCCACTGGGCCCGGGTGACGAATAACGCATCTTGTTGCTCGCAGCCTTCAATAATACAAGTGTATGGGGATATGTCCTCCCTTACGTGTTGCCTGTCTTCTAGTTAGTCATGACTCGCAAAGATCAAGTGGCCGCAGAGTGTGGCTTAAGCTGGGGAGGGATCTCCTTACTCCCAAAGCGTGTCCTCTCGCAGCATTTCCGGAAGCACCTGACAGCAATAAGGGCAACGAAAGGATTTCTGCCCTTCCTTTAGTTTTGGAGGACGCGGATAGCCAATGTTGACAGTCGTAGCGGCAAGGGCCGTCTTGGCAAAGCTATCTGGAACCGGCCCCGTCAAGTTGGAGCTGGTGTTCTGAGGATCAAACTCGAAATTCCTAGCATCCTTTTGTGCATATAAAAACATATGGCGCCGTCTGAGATTCGCCTTTATTAAACGTTCTTGCAAAGGCGTCAGCGAATTGCGGTCAACATCCCGATACTGTCGGACCTCTTCGGAGCCTTTGGCAAGGACGATAACGGTAAGCTGGTCGCGCAAATCCTCATAATCCTTCGGTTGGAAAGTTCTGTCTGCTCTCTGTAATATAGGATTTGGCTTAGGCTTTCTCATAGCCTCGTCAATCCGTTTGAGCTGGCGAATGAGGGAGTCCACCTCGCTCTTGGCCGAGTCAAGAGAGGTCATACCGACACGAGTTGTCTGGATTGAGTTGTCTTCATCGCCTAACTCCGAAGATGATAGATCCGACGACGGAGAAAATTGTCTTGTTGTCGGGCCTGTCACATTCGGATCATCAGTTGGTGAGCTATCTTGTTGGTTTTCGCTACATGCAATTGCGGCCCCATCATGCTTGATTTCTTGTTCGGATGCTAGAGAGTATGTATCAGAATTGCGTTTTAGAAGAAGATGAGAATTCCAAGGGAGAGCAAAAAAAAAAAGAAAGGGGGGGGGGAGAAGGGAGAGAAAACTTGAAAGCCAAAAATAAACGCCGCACATGTAGACTAACCACTCTTTTGGCAACCTTGAATGCAATTTAGCAGTAAGGAGAGGAGGCGCACAACAGCATTCTTGGTATCCGGCTCAAACTCCAGCCTTGAGTCGAGTGGAGATTCGGTGTCGCCAAAAACGTCCGCGGTAGCAGTCCAAGATAGGAACTCTGCCTTTGTGTTTTCGGCCCATCCGTAACGCTTTAGTGGCGTACTATCGAGACACCTTTGCAAAGCGTCGAGACATTGCCTTGCGAAGGCTTCAATGGACTTGCCCTCATTTGCAGTATCGGCCTCCATTGTCGACGGTTTCTCGATGATGTGAAGGAGCGGCACCAGTGACGTGCGGGCCTAGGAATGGCATGCTATTTATAACAAGACCCCGGAGAGCATAGGTCCATGGCAAGTTGCCTCATGTTCCAATGTTCAGCCCGCGTGCAGCAGATGAGAAGCCGTAGTGTCTGCCAGCTTGGATGAACACCAAGGAGTCAGCAAGTGTACATACCTCGTCTTCTCGGTAAGCGACCGACAACAAAGACGTGAGGCCACTCGCTGCCCAAGGCGTCTCCACTAACGGATTACGTAGGTGTGTATGTTCTGCAAGACCATTTGAACTCCGGGGAGACACCTGGAGGACGCCTCGGGGACTCACAAAGCGACGAGTGTATGCGACTCTGACCAAACTCCTGCTGTGTCATCTGCCCGCGCGGCCGAGGAGAGGACAAAGCGGGTAAAAAGGCCAGAGTCTACAAGGCCAAACAATCCGTCTTCCAGCCCAAGAGAATCCAGCGCAGATCCACGTCTTTACTTTGTGCTTAAGGATCACTCCCAGTGTTTTGGCCTTATCACGCCGTAGGACTGGACGCTGCAGAATATCCATCACGTGACCGCTGCCGGCTTATTGCATTCGCCTCAAACGGTTGGAAAGCCTGAAAATGGAAAGTATCCATGGCCAAGTGGTCTTGTACTTGCGGGGGAGACGCCGTGCCGCCGGAGCCATACGGAGACATATCCGGGTTGGGAGCACGCAGTCACTCGGGTGCAAAAGCCGTGTAGCGCGAATCATCTAACCTGGGGCTTAGGTTCGCCTCGGCTTCACAATTATGGCATGGGTGAGTATAGTGCTTGTGCTGCTCTACTATGTTCTCGCATTTGAACCCCGGGGTGAGCCCCTTCGCAAACAAGCGACAGTCCGACCCGAGCCCGTCGCCATCAACGAACCCAGTCGATGCAATTTTCTTTCAGGTGATTCGAATTCTGCGATCTCGTTTCGACCTCAAGCCTGAGAAACACCTGCAGCTTCACACGGAGGTCACGTTGTATGGAAGGCACGGGCCGACCCTTGAGCCTGATGATAGTTGCACCAGAGCTCGGGACCTAGCTGAGGCCTCGGGGCCAAGGCTCGCTTGCTCACCGCCGCTTTGTATAAATAAGAGTCATCTCCCCCAGAGCCCTTGAGAGACCCAAGGACCTTTAATATTAAGTTGAATTGTTAGCTGAATCGAGTATTGTTCCAAGCCCTTTATATAAAGCCTTTGTCACAGTAATAGCGCCCAGCTCGTGCTGCCTGATGAGCATGCAGATAGGCACGAAGACAAGTCAAGGCGGAAAGATGGGTAAGTCTTGAAAAGCACCCAAGATAGAGGACAGTTTGCCAATTGTAAGCGGCCAATCTACACGTTAGAGGATAATATCCGCTGACCATGATGGACCAGTGATGAGTTGTGTGTCCGCTAACACGAGAAACACTGGCGCGGTAATTAGCACAGGAGCAGCTCTGCTTCGATGACGACGGTTACTACTGTGACAAGGGCTCTATATAAAGGGCTTGGAATAAAATTCGATTTGGCTGATAATTCGCTTTAATATTAAAGGTCCTTGGTTTCCAAACTTCAACTTGGCCGGGATGCTTATCCGAGGCTTTTGGGTTTTGCTAATATTGTCATTCCATCCGCCACTCTACTCTATTTCTTTGCTGGTATTCTCTAGAGCAACGATTTTCATAAGTTGGTTAAAAAAAGGGGCTAGATGCAGGACATCTGGTAACACTGTATTCTGGCTGTACCTAGGCCAGGGAACTGTAACTAACCACACAATACGCGTCGACTTTATAATGGAATTGGTCAATCACATGCGCTACTTCACCATATCTTTACCGGTTTTCTCCCAGGCGTTTATTATTTGCGTCATCTTGTTGAAATTATGCCGTGTAGCAAGGCAAACCGAGGCTGTCGTTAGATGCAGGCTCGGTGTCTGTCTAGCTGCGTCTGCCATTATAGATCTAAGATGGGAGGCTCCCTTGTATATCCGGCAAGGCTTTCAAGTAGGATCCCTCTTCAGGCTCTATACATAGCCTCTCTGTCCTGGACGACCTTTTAGGCTGTGCTCTTTCCGTCAGCATCGCCGCCAGGGACTTTCGGCAAGCTCTTAGATACCAGTGTTTGGCATCTTGCATATTGTTCCGCGGTAGCCTTGTTGAGGTTTGATTATACTGCCCGGTTCATGTCAACCGCACACTTCTCATCACCGGATAACCTATATACAAAAGCATGGTCACTTGTCAACTTGGAGACTGAAATTGGGGCCACGGAGATGATTTGATGTCGTAAAAAACACGTCGGGAAGAAACTTTATTTTCGTGTGAAGGGAGATAACATGGACGACACTCGTTATTTTTCTTTACACATGCTAGGGCTCTTAAGTTGACATGATACTATCCACAAACAGTCTTTGATCACAGAATTTGTCTTTACAAGCCCCTTCAGGCATTATTTGATGCCTCATCTACCCATTAACTCAAGTAATACAGGAGCCCCCAATCAGCCTCATAGTTCCGCTTACTGGGCATTTCCCAGCGATATTAAGATACCAATGCCTCGCCAGATCAGCCCACCCTTGATAACGGCCTGGAGAGTGAAGAAAAAAAAGAATCTTCCAGCCCGGTGTGATGGTGACCATCTTTTGGCCCTCATGAAGCCTCACCATATCAGCGTATAGCACCATTCGCTGCCTGCCCTGCCACAAAATGCATGCCTAGCACAGCCGCAGCCTAATATAACGCTGCATGAATGAAAAGGGACGTGATTCGCTGTTGCTGGCGCATTTGCACCGCCAGGCCACACAACATGTTCAGGAAACGCCAGAAGAAGGCCGCAACAAGTATTTATAGCAACAATCTCAAGGTAGAAGGATACGCTAGCCGTGGCTGAGCAGCACCATTTCCATTTGTCGAGCTGAGTAGCCGAAGCCTTGTTACCAAGTACTTAAGAGTGGCACGTCCGCGGTCGCAGAATGAGCTGAATAGGAGGGAAGGACGGGTCTCTTGCCATCCTTCCTCTCTCGATGTTTTCCATCCTCACGACGAGACGCATCTATCCGAGGGCCACTCACCCGGCGGCCAAACATACCACAGTTCTCATGGCAGAGTCGGCCTCTCGACGCCCTTGCCGCATCTCTTCAGACCGAGAACCGTGAGGGAACAGGGGCAACGGCAGGACAAGAGGAGATGGCGCTATTCCCTCTTGTCTGACACCCCTCATTGAGCCTCGCCATCCCTGATTAGTCAGTCGCCTGTGAGGCAACTAGCTCGATATGCACAATGGGGGGGATGATTGTTGCCTTGCCACGACGGCTATCAGCTTGCCAACCAGACGATACCATCTCCGGGGAGACTTGAACGCGCGGCATCCTTTTGCTGGCAAGGACGGCTATTGGCTCGGATGCTTGTCGAATCCCCCTGCAAACCACCTCACATACGTGTGCCTTGTATGGCCTCCGACGCCCTTTTTACATTTCCCGCCAGGCTACTACTCTAGATTAGGTTCCTCGATCCTGCCGCATGCAGGGAATATGTAGGCCAAAGGGAAAAGTCGAGCTCGGTAGAGAGAGTCCCTCACCGAGATGGGCACATTTGGTCTAGTGACGGATGGGAATGCGAACAAACTGGACGCCTTGGTGCTGGGACGGTTGCCCTTTTAGGGAATCGAGTTGGCGCTGAAGATGAGGCGGCCTCGAGACGAGTATACAGACGCCGGCTGCAGTTCTGTCAAGATGTTTTTTCCCCTTCAATCGTCGTTTGTCTCGAAAAGCTATACTCGGAGCTGCTGTTGGCCATTGCATCGAGTCCCGTTACGAGCATCTCAGCTGATCGATTTACAAAACGAAAATGTTCGGTTCCTCCAGGTCTTCTGTCGCGAGCTTCTCGGGAAGTTTCTCGGGAGAGAGAATGCCCGACAGCCCGCCGATATCTCCGTGCCAGAGCCACCAGTCCAGTGTCAGTGTTGACGCTGTCGAGCACCCGGATCAAGAGTTTTGCCCGTAAGTTTCTTGACGACGCCACCGCAACAGACCAACTCTCAAGTGGCGGCTAACCGCGGTAGAATCCGTATTCTTGCGTCTCAAATCGATAGCTGCGCCAAGGCCCGAGTCATTGCCCTACTAGCCATGGAGTTCCTCGTCTTTGACGGCAAGCTGCACGGGGACCGAAGCAACTGGGCGTGTCCGTTTGGAGACTGCAAGGAGAACTTTCCTCACGCCAAAGCCCTCATGCGGCACGTCGCAGGCTGCTCTCTCTCCTCGGGTGCCAAGGTGTACTGCAACAGCTGCCGCAAGTATGACTGCTTTACGCTCCAGGGCCGTAATGACCAGTTCTGCAGCGCCAGCGACGATGCTGTCCGTGCCGGACCCTGCTCGCCAAAGAAGAGCAAGGGACTGCGCAAGCTCACCAATCTGTTCCTCCGCAGTCGCTCGGCATCAGCGTCCTCTTCTCTGGGAACCCGTCACACTGTTCATCCCAAGTGCTGCGAGTTCTAGGCGAGCTTCCTCTCTTGGGAATCCTCCATCTCCAGGGCCGCAAGAGCTGGGCTCTGGTCCACTACACGAGATGGGGGATTCAACTTCAGGCGGTGTTCCCGACGTCGCTATAGATGTGATTCCTGAGCTTCCTACTACTCCCGAGCCCTTCATTGCTGGCCGGCTAAGCCCAGTCTCTACGACCAACATCTCGCCCATGTTTTCCGAAGGCTTCACAGAGTAACCGGTGGAAGACGTGAATGGCGGGAGTTGGTATATCTCGTCAGAAAATGAACCTGCTTCTCTTCAGACGATATCCCCGAATCAAGTACATTCGCCCTGGTCTACGTCTTCGCCGTCGGCTCATTCCCATCTTGATCGCGGTGCCGGGCAAGCGTCCTGGAGTATGGTCCAGCAATCGTCTCCCCAGTATCCTTACGTTTCTGCGTCGTTTCCAACCAATCCTTATACCAGCACAAACATGTATCGCCAAGCATCTTGGCCCTTGTACGGTAGCACTACGTCGTCTGAAAACGCCGTCTGGGATGGAGCATCGTTTGTACAGCAAAAACAACGAAGCTCTACTTGGCCACAACAGCCGACCTCTATGGCCGGGCAGAGCGGACCCAGCAAACTTCATCAGGTTCCGAATGGATGTGTAGTGTCGTGGCCGGGGAATGCTTCCACATCCAGGATGGAGCCTGACCACTCCGAGGCACCACCACCGTCTTCGCGCCGCGGCGGGGAGTCGAGCCAAATCCCGATGAGTGGCTTGATACCGGAGGCTTCTCCGTCATTAAGCTCTCTGCCGGACAAGGCAGACCCCGATCGGTGCCCGCATTCCGGCTGCTCGTTCCGTTCTAGGGGGAAGCCCGCCAAGCGCGCTGTCTACCTCAAAAAGCATCTTGCCACGCATCTTCCGCAAAAAGTTACGTGTTCAGGCTGTGGCAAAGAGTTTAGTCGGCTGGACAACCTCAAAACACACCAGAAAAAAGTGTGTCCGAGAAGACGTCTCTCAGTACATGATAGGCAGAGCAGGACACCGAGCCATCGCGCGGCCAGGAGACTTCGCCCATAAAATGAACACAGAGATGTGGGAATTTATCACAGGTATTAAGATGGATCATGTAGAGGAATAGCAATGTCATTCACAGGGAGCTTTTTAGCCAAGGTACTGATAGTTTTAATCACCATTGAACACGGTTTTACTTGCAATTTTATCACCCCCTTTCTTTGAAGCATTCTATTGCAGTTTGTTTCTTTGCGGTGCTTGACTTTGGTAATGCAACTATGCCATCAGCCCTCCAAGTAAGAGGAGCTTCGTACGCAGGTCGTAAGCTGAAGGAGAGTCATCAGAGTTGACGTGTATCCGGGGCCGCGCCCAGAGCCACATCAGCAGTCTGACAACTACCTCCGCTTCACCCCAGTCAAGCCGAGCACCAGAGAAGGGTCGAAGCAGCGGAGGCCCTGTGAGTCCCTGCATGAATTCAGGACTCGCTGCCTGGCCTCGAAGGCGGACGGCAATCGCCAGGTGACGCGGTGACTCGCCAATCTGTGACCGAATACCCTCCCCCGCGGGGCCTTCTGATCCCGCCAATTGACATGTTGCGCCGACTCCCAAGTTGGCGCCGGCAAGGGTCGTTTATTCAGGGAAATGGTCCGATTCCAAAGGGCATGTGTGCTGTCACTCACTCATGTACCGGCGGTCGTATAAAATAGGACAAATGCTCGGGTCAAGAGGAGGTTCCTGAGGACACAGCCAAGTCCTCCTCTCACTGTGACAACTCAGTCATGAACTCGGTAAAGTAGGAAATTTCCTCTGTTTATCCCTGTCTTGTCAGAGTTGTGCGGTGGTTCTCATGGTTGAATCTAGGCAGCACGCTTCGTTTTCTCAGCCGGCCCCTCCTCCTTTGGCCGTCACACGAGACAATCTCCAGCGTCTCCCGGAGACTCCCAACCTGCAACACTACCTGAGTCATCAACAAAACCATGAGAAAGTAGCACTTGGGGTACAAACCTCGCCGGCGAATTACGGACAGATGCTGCAGACACTGGAACATGCTTTTCCGTACAAGTAATAGGTGGTTGGGAGTGACGAGTTTGGCTCTCGGCCGCGTGTTGGAAGTGGAACAGCTACAGTACATGGGCGCCACTCTTGGGCTTTTTGTCATTTCCTATATCATTTTATTTTGGGAGCGGTTGAGCCGCTTACTAATTTTCCTATTTTCCTCTTCTTTCAACAAGGGCGTATTAGGATAAAGGAGCCAGCGATGGGTTAATCGACGGCGGGCTTTGAGCCTCGGAGTAATGTGCAGATACGGGGCCAACTGAGGTCTGAGACTTTATAGTTGTCTGGTCGGCTAGCTGCCTGCGGCTGCTGTTTAGATTCAAACTGCTGTGAGCAGCGCGGCTTTCCAATCCTTGGCAGTTTCTACTTTTCATTGAGGTGACTGAATTCAGCGCGTGTGTCGTGGCTGTGCTTCATTCTTCTCGACGGCCGAGTTTCCATTGACTTGCAGAGACATGCAGACACTTTTTTCGATGAAGTACATGCCGAGTTGGTCAAAAACGACCAGCGACACATATGTCCCGTGCAAGCAGCTCTTTCCAGGGACCCTGTAATCTCGTTGGTAAGCAGAAAAGCTGACTGGCAACCCAACCCTACAGCCATCACAGCTGTTGTAGTTCATCGGTGCCCTTGATCATATCAAACTAGCTGTACTTTTCTGTACCAAATTAAGGTCCACGGGTACTACTGCCAGCGAGAAGTTGTGCGATGTATTCAACGTCTTATTTTTGACACATTGGCCCCCCAGGCGGTCGGACGAAGCGCTGAATGACGTGACGCTAGTTATTCCGCCAAAGCATATACCTTATAAGATGCCTTGAACTGCTCGGCTGTTTTTGCGCAGTATTCACCATTCACTTGCCTCTGGTCGGAAGCAAGCCAAGAGCCTGTGGTAGTGTCCTTCTCTGTCACTGCGTACACAATCCCCTTGCTCGCATTGGGTCAAAAATGGACAAGCGAGATAAATGGTCGTAAGATGCTAGATTGTTCAAACGGAGGCATGTAGCCATGCATTTCGGCCGCGCCTGGATCTGCTCCGACTATAAAAAGGCGGTTGACGAGCCTTGTCTGGCACCGCGTAAATGCCATCGCCGATACTATGATTTGAAACACAAAGCCCGCCCTGTAGTATCGCATCGTATTGCGTATACGGCGGCATAAAATCCGTCTTGCAATATAGTTGTTCATGGCGCCGAGATGGCCATTTCTCAATCCCTGATTACAACACGGTCCGATGCAGACCAATAGATTCCGTCAGACCAGCATTGCACACGAGCTGCGGCGTAAATCGATCTAGTCCATGGGTCTGTTTTTATCGTCTATATCTTTTCTTTGCTTGGTTGGTTGACTTTGGGCGCCTGTTGAATCGGGAAAATCCCATCCAAGTGTCCGTTAAGCTGTGTCTCGGCAGGGTGTTACAACCCAACCTCAAGTAGTCAGTGCATGTCTGAATGTCCAATGCCAATACACATACCACCCAGATATGTAAGCTCACAGACATGTACAAACAACCAGTTAAAACGCTGCGAGGCCTTCCCGACATGCCGACTCCTTGGCATCGCCTGCAAGCCAGGCTAAAGAATACCATCCCTCGCACACAAAGACAACAGTCACCAGAGACAAACTCCACGCAAAAGACGACACGGAAACCTACAAAGGCCAAGAACCAGAAGATAAGCGCGCTGCTTCAAAACCGAAAAAGCTGATTGTCCGCAATTGCAGATTTGTCCAAATCACACCCCAGCGTCACAAACCCAGCCGACTCACATTGAGCAAAAAACAGCAACTGCATAGAAACAACCCAAGGTGCCACGTACATCTCCTCCGGGCCATGCTTAAAAGACACCCCCTCCAAAATAGTCCCGGGTGAACAAGCGCACAATATGAACAGTGGTGCGGTGCCACCCACCAGGCCCGTGAACATGCAACCCTTGGTCGCCAGATTCACAACCATCACCGCCCAGCGACAAAAAACACGCTCATCATCAAACCGCCAGGCCGAAACAGGTCCTCGGCTCGTTCTTCGCCGCATATAAAAGAGCGACGCTGGCAGTCGAACCTCCCTCGCATGATTTCCCATCCCACAACCCACAACTATCCTCCCCCCAACCGCCTCCTTCTCCTATAGCCTTCAGAAGATCTGGACAAGAGCCAAGTAATCCAAAACCACTCCGTCGTCTACTCACCCGCAAGGCGTCGAAAATGAACCGCCAAACCACCGCAGCCAACTCGGCCAGCGGCGCCGCCAAAAAAGTCAGCTTCGCCCTCTCGACGTTCGCCTGTTCCAAGGACCCGAAACACGGCACATACACCGGGTCCATCGACACCAGTGACGGGCACCCCGTCGTCCCGGGCTGTCCCGCATGCGCGGAGGAATACATGGCCGAGCGGGCGGCGGCGTACAGGTCGACGAGCGGAGTAGATGAGCAGGGCGCCGGCAAAAATAAATAGTCTTCTTCATCAATGCGAGTCTAAACTTACGCCATAACCATGAGCTTCCTGACCGTGGTCCCCGCCGTGACTGTCTGCCATTGCCGCGGGTGTCGAACCAGTCAATATTGACACGGGACTTGAAAGAGAAATGTCACTGGAAGACGTTGCAGCCATAAAAGATGGACTCAAGCACAGAGGCCAGACCGACGAGAATGGCAAAAATCCCTTGACCGTGCTCCCAGACGGCAGGTATAAAATGACGAATCACGGCCCTTGGTGCGGCACATGTCTCCGCTCCGTGAAATAGTACTCCCCAGAAAAGACCGCTGTCGACCCTGAAACTCCAACCAAGGGCCGGCGTTGAGCTAAGCAACATCGCAACGCAGGCCGCTCACGCCCCCTACAAAAGAAACCCGTCCGCCACGTCACGACGAGCCCTGTCCTTCAACACGGCCGATAGTACAATTTCACGTCGCACAGGGAGGCAACTGGCGTCGGTTCAGGAATTTAGCACGTCTCCGTTGGCCAGATGTATTCGCTCCGACACGTCCAACCCCCAACACACACAGACAACATCTTCGGGGGCGGGGGCCAAGGAGCGTCTACGAATATACAAAATAGGCAGTTTACCGCATAATGTACTTGCCTGGAAAGTATACCAATCTACGGTAGTACTTGACAATCCAACGTCAACATAACATAGCGCGACGAGGTCCCCTGACAAGTCCGCGGCCTCTGCCTCCCGAGTCCCTACCGTACTCATATACGGAGTATCTGGTGGGAAAACACGCAGGAACTCTCCATCTCCTCGTTGGCCCCCAAAGACGCCCGGCTGGTTCCAATGCCTCGTTGCCAGATGTGTAAACCGCCAACTAACCGCCCAGCCGCCACCAGCCCCCCAATACCACCGCGAACTCGCCTCGCCGCCAGCGGCCCAACATGAAGCTCTTCGCTTAAATACGACTCTTCCTACGTGACTTGTATCCGTAAACGCAATCCAGTCGGCCTACGCCCTTGCTGCTACGCCGTGTATCGCCTCTCGACATCCGAGGTGGCTGAGACATCTCACGCGACCCATTACCCCAAAGTCACAACCAACACCCAGTGCAGAACACTTCACGTCATAAATCTGCAAAGCCTTGTCCCACGTTATTTGTCTTTTTCTTGATTCAAGTATCTTTGGTGCATAACTTTGTAACATCCCGTCTATGCCGCTAGCAGCCATCCTAGGGCTGTTTCCATCCTGGCGGTCGACAAACATCAGAAACATTAATCAATGCCTCCGTCAACACCGCCATGCCGTATATGTGAATGATAAAAGTGAAAAGAGGCGAACAACGGTTTCTCGAATGCAAAACGCCTGCCAGCTGGCCCTTGTAATCATACGCCCAACATGCCCTTGGATTGCCCGCCCACGATCCAACCAGACCACTTGATTCCATGTCGATACAACTTCGCATCTCTAATCGCCAAGGGTTGCTGTGATATTCCCAACTTTCAATCCCCTCTGTTTATCTCCCGTAATAGGTCCATGCATTGTACATATGCTTTTACATCGAGTCCCGTCCTAGCAACCCTCGTACATGTCATTGTTGGGGTTAGCCACATCCCAGATCATGTCCAACTCGATGCTGTGTAAACTGCAAATCATCTCAGCCACTACCCTGTTTTTCTCAGACATCTTTTGTGAATCTCTTTGCGGGTCAAAAAAAAAAAAAAGAAAAAGAAAATGCACCAAGATCCTCCACCACTGTTGACTCTATCCAACCAGCATTTGACCATCTTCAGATTCGCCTCAGCCGCGGCAGTTTGCATTATCATTAGCTGAGAACAATCCACCACATCTAACCGCCTTTGCGTTCGAACCCATTCTTCGGTAGGAGCTCGGCTTGCGAGGACTGTGTTGAGACTGCGTTGTAGGCCTTCTTCTTTCCTTTGCCAGCAGCCTTCTGCCAACCGCCGTCGCCCTCACTCTTCGCGCCGCGCACGTGTCCGTTTTCTCGCTGCGGCGCCGACTTGACTGCTGCCACGAATGGTTTCTGACCCTTATGGGCCTTCTCTGCGTCGACAAGTTGAGGGTGCCGGTGGTCCTGGTTGTGCAGTGCCTCCTTGGGAAGATCCACGCGAGTGGGCTTGCTTGTTTCAGCCTTTGCGGCTGGCTTGTTGGGTAGCCATGTTGGGATCGACGCGGCTGGCTGTTGCTTCCGAAGCGTAGTTGGCGAGGGTGTTCGCGTTTCATATACAGGAGAAAGATGGGCAGCATCGACTGCCGCAGGCTTGCCCACCCTATTGTCACCAATTGCCAGATCCAGCGGAGCAATGACACCGTTTTGAGGCTGTCGAGACATCAAGCGTTGCCTGGCGGATGGCGAGAGACGGGCAGCGGCGCCATTGGGGGCTTCTTGTTGGTTCATTTGACTAGTCAAGTAGATGGAATTCATCAGCGCAATGCGATCTTTGAATGAGGCGTCTTCTGCACAGTGTGGCATGGACAACGCCGCGCTGGATCCATTGACTACAATCGGCGGCCGGTCCAAGGTCCAAGGTGAAGGCGCCTGTTGGACTTGGGATGGTGCCGACGGCTGGCATGTCGTGTTGGCAGGAGGCTGAACGGGCCAGACGGGGACTGTACTGATATGCAAAGCATTCTCCATACCGGCCACTGGTGAGTCCTCGGACCCCAGTGATTCTGCCCTACTCGAGGGCGATGGACCAGGTGGGGTTACTGCAGTTTTCAATCCTGAGCCGTTTACCACCAGTGGTCTTGACGAGGCTTTGCTGCCCTGACTACTAGGGAATGGTGTAGATGTCAACGGGGCAGAAGAGGTCCCACCAACGGAAAATGCGCGGGCGTGCCCTAGAGGAGATGGAGACCTGGACGCTCTGCGCATCCTTCGGTCTAGCAGCGTCTGAGGGAGCTGCTCTATTGAGAGTCGTCGTCTTTCAGGACTCGAAGACTTTGCGGCAAGGTCTCCAAAGGCAATACCATTTGGCAGATGCTGCTGCTGCTGCTGCTGCGGTTGAAATTGGGCAGGTCTAGTCGGACTCAGGCTTCTGGCTTGGAAGAAGCCAGACGACTTGGCATCTACAGACTCTGGCGATTCGGACGCGGCTTTGGGCGTCTCATCAAAATCAGTATCATCGGGCATAAAACTTGGTATTGTTATGTTATTCGTTTGTCTCGGTGCAGACAACGTTGCGCTGGCTGGAGTTTGGCTGCCCAGTTGATAGCCCGCACCAGGGTTGGCAGACGGCGACCTCTGTGCTGGCTGCGACTGGGACCTAAGCGAGCTGCTTGACGTCGATGCCCCTCCCTCGGTAGAGATTGTGGATCTTTGGAGGGACCGGCGGAAGTCTTGAGCTGCGTTGTTACTCGTCGTTGCAGGGCTCGAAGGGTAAGATCCGTAGCCATTTTGTTGAAGAAAAGCGTGGCCTATGTTCATCCCATACAGGGCGTATATTTCTGGTCGTAGTGGCGCGGTAACCGGTACATTGTCGAAGGAGTTTGTTCTTGATCGGTCCGATGGCTGCTGACCTGAACCACAGTTGACAGACAGTCTTTGCTGCTGCTGGCCAATTACTTGGTGCGGAAGGAAGGGGCCCTGCGCGTACAAGTTGTGAAAGTGTCGCATTTGCTCTTGATAGGCTATTTGCGTCATGAGGTCCTGCTGAGCGTATTGAAACGGGTACTGGGGTGTCTGGAGCCACGACATGTCCTGCTGCATACTCAATGGCACAAACATACTTTGCTCATAAGCCGGTATACTCGAGGAGGCTCTTCTATTCGACCCCCCTCCGCCCCTGTGGAAATTGTTGTTGTGACGGCCGCCTCTGTGATGTCCTCGCCCGCCTCGACCAGAGTGTGACTGTGACGAGCTTCGAAGAAGAACCGGACGGGGCTGCGGGGCTGGTCGGGTCCAGACGCGCTCTTCTTCCTTCGGAAATACGTATTGCTCGCACGCCTCGTCAAGCTTCGCCTCGGAAACCAGATCAAACGCGCGACGTAGCTCCAAGTGTAGGCCGCGAAACGCATATTCGTCGGCGGTATTTCCGAGATTTCGAGAAACGTTGAAAGGCTCCTCGACGCATAATCGATTGTTCAGAGCATAATTCCACTTCTTTTCTTGTTTTGTCAGAAGCTTTCCCTGCCTGATGGTTAGCACGTGCTTGTCGTAATCAAATTCGTGAGCGTAGAATCGAAAAAACTGGAACAACAGCTCTGCGACAGATGATTTATTTTTGTTGCCGTATCCTTTGATCTTCTTAAGATTATCCGCAAATTCGCTGGGGGTGCCATCTGATCTTGGCATCTTATATGGCAGTTGATGCAATGCGGGGAGAACTGGAGGACTGCGGAGTTGAAGAAATGCGATAATAAGGCATATCCACGTGTAAGAACTCAATGTGCCGCCAAAAGCTGTTGAAAGAAAAGGACGAGGTACGTCAGCAACAATGTTTTTAAAGCCCCCAGAAGTACGGTTCCGACATCTTACCGGCATCATTGATAATTCTCCTCCTGGTCCAGTATTTGATAATCATTGCCAATTGGCGAACACGAGGATCGGCTTCCACGTATATGCGAACCATTCTGGTATTTTCGAGGGCAAGAGTATTGTTCACATTCATGTCGCAGGCCAGACCAAGCTCAGGATCCCAGATCTTGACAATGGGCACCTTGGCCGCAGATATGCAAACAACCTTTTCCATTCCGCCTGAAAAAAGTGTGTTAGCGGACGCTCTCCCATGTGGGTTCGAAGGAGGAAACATACGCCTTGCGAGGAGGTCAGCTATCATGCAAACTCCTTCCAATTCTTGCCATGAAGTGGTGATGCAAATGTCCACTAGAGAAAAACCAGTATTAGTTGTGCATGACAAATTTCCATGCCGAATGTCCAAACATACCATCCGAGTCATCTGAACATAGCAGATTGCCCGACGACCCAAATAAATTCACACGGATATCATGGCCGGGCCACTCATCGTTGAATATTTTTTCCAGCTTCTGAACCAGCTTTTTCCGCTTTTCTTCAACCTCTTCGGTCGGTAATAAGTGATTGTATATCTCGCGCATATCTGCAGCTAATTTTCTCTCCTCATCCTCTGACAGCTTGTTCTTGACAGTTCGCAAGTCCAGTTTTTCGAGTCGGTCACTTCCCACAGAGTACGGTATTCTGCGTCTCGAATTGATCTGAGCAGTCTCGTATTTGCATCCACCAAGCCTAGGAGGCAGGGGCCGTAATGAGGGCAGTGTGCTATTAGTTTCCGAATATGCCGATCGGGGGGAATGGTTGTTGGCGGCAGTTGGAGAAGGCTCCCGTGACTCGAACGAAAACTGTCGAGCATGCTGATGAGGCGTAGACGGCACAGAGTTCGAGTGGGACTGTCCGTGGGCTAAAGAAGCTGCGGCATTGGATCGTTGAGGAACGCTCCTCGATGTCTCGACTGAGTGTTTGGGGGGCATTTTGGAAGGGGTGTCTTTGGACGTAATAACCGGACGGTTGGTTTTGTCGGAGTTGTGATGCGAGCGGTTCCCATTGCCTCCTGACGCGGCTCCCTTGCTGGCCGATGCGTCTTTCAAGGACACTCTGCTAGATGATCTTGATCGGGGTCCAGCCTGCACGTGGGGGGAGGACACGACGGGGGGCAGGGGCGGAGTCTGGAGTCCACCTCCGCGGGAGGGCGAGATGAGCTTGTTGTAGTGCAGAAGCTGGGCGTGGTAGATGTTTTGCTGGGGGAAGAGAAGGGGAAGGAAGTCGAGCTGGGCATATGGCGCCGCGGCCCCGGCAGGGACGGGGTGAGCAGCTGCGTCCGGGGGACTTTCCGACGATTGCGAGTGCGCAGTCCCGTTGCTGGTGGACTCTGCAGAAAGCGTCGTGGAAGCGGAAGTCGCCGTCCAAGGGCTTGGGGGATAAGGATGCTGAGGTTCTGAGGTCGCAGACCTGGCGTCCATGAAGCTAACGAGCCTCGGACGGGGTTAGAGCACAGGTTGAGGAGCGGTCAGAAGAAGCTAGTGGCCCTAGAACTCGTCTGCAGTCAATATGGAAGCAGAAGATGCGCGAAGCCACTAGCTACGGCCGAAGAGGACGCCGCTCTGCACAGCACGGAGTTGCTGGAGTATGTCTGTCTCGGTGTCTGAGGGCCAGACTGCGATCTCGTCTCTGTGCATTCACGAAGATACAGCGTTGAGGTGCAAGATTCGACGGTCGTGGCGTCGCGGCGGTCGTGCTCGGTGCTCAGAGGTTGGGGGGAGCACCGAGGCTCTCTCCAGCGGTATTGTCTCGGACCTGAGATCGTCTTGGAGCGAAGAATTCAGTTGTGAAGAGGACGATTGTCGGAGAGGCGGTGGCGAGAAAATAGCAATGGCCCGGCGTGGAGGTCTCGGGGGAAGAAGAGACGGTAGGATCCAATGCTCTCCTGAAGAATGGGAACCGGGACGACTTTGTGTGCTGAGCGACGGAGGCGAGAGAGAAGCGGAGGGGGTGTAGCTCGCAGCCGGACTCTAGAAGAAAGGGTGCCGCAGAGTGACGAAATGGACGAGGGTGGCTTGAAAAAGGAAATATGCAATCTATGAGAAAGAATGACAGGAAAAAAAAGCCCTCAAGAACTGGTCGTCAACTCGATTGTGCTTGTGGCAAGACGGTCGTAGAGAGTGATGCGAGCAGACTCGGCAGTTAACGGGAAACTAGCAGGCCGGTGGCAGAATTGTCTGGAGCGGATGGAGGAAAGGGGGTCTGGCAGCACAGGCCATAAAAAGCGTGGTGATGAAGATGGGCCCAAGCGTGGGAAAGAAGGAGAACGAGAAGACGAAAAACGGTCAAGTGAAGCAGGACCGCAGCAACAGCGATAAAAGGCGAATGGGAACTGGCAATGCGGCGCAGCGTCGAGGACACACCGGACTTGAGGCAGTGAGGAAACCGATTCGACCAGACGACAAGTCAAGATGCGGGATATGTCGAGGCGACTTGAGCGTTTGGCTGTGGGGATGCCAAAGTGCCGTTGTTTATTCGGTTGAGTAATTACGTGTGGTGCACTAGTACAGCACAGCAGGCCTGACACACACACATACTTACATAGTTACAATGCTGGCCGTCGAAGGTTAATAATAAACCATGTCTGGTCGAGTTGTGCACGCCAGACCCGTTAGCACAAACCCGCAGACAGCACTTGAGCCTTTGTGCCTGCACAGCAGCAGCCTGGCACACAACCTGTGTGGACACTGGGACGCGGGTCCACTGGTCTGCGCAGGTGCTGCTACGCAGGTGCTGCTAGGCAGTTGCCCTGAACTGCAGGTGGCCTGGGACATGGAACCAGACATCTGGACCTTGAACGCCTGAACCATTGACACCAGTTGAGCACCCGCAGCGTTGGAGGGCGTGTGAGGTGATCTAAGTGGCCAGCTCGCGCACGAGTGGAGCCGATGTACGACGGGGCGTGCGTGGCAAAGGGCCAGTCCAGAAGTCGAGCTCACGCTGCCAAAGTGTAGTGGCTCAAGGCAACCACTCAGCGGCCACCTGAGCCAGGCGCCCCAGGGCACCAGACAGCATTGTTTAACGAGGAAGCGTGATTGTGTGTGGCCTGGTGGTTTGCCAGTGATACCGAGCACCAAAGGCGTTCCCCTCGATGCTGCATTGCTTGAGCAGGTACGGTGCACATAGATACATGTATGCACCTGCCTTGCGACATGGACGCATCTGTGCCATCAAGGCTCAACAGACGCCATGCAGATGTACTATTATCCTATTCAAGAATTAAAGTAGTCGGTGGGCAAAAAAAAAAAAAAAAAAAAAAAAAGTGCAATCAATCCATTGATCTGCTGCCATCCTGAACAGATTGGTTTCAGCTCAGTCAGTCTCTGGGTCTACTAGTCCCTGAGGAAAACGCGCGCCCCAGTGCGCCCACCAAGATTAAAATCCGTCAATTCAATGTTCTGTCGCGTCACGCCACAGAGCCACCGGACCGTGCAACCAAACGCAATGGCGATGATGTCGTTAGCGCCTTGGAGCATCCAGCGTCCGATTTATCTGTAGGTCTTGGACTCCGTCGATTGATGCTGCCCAAGAACCCCGTCGACTGCCCGGTTGCCAGTGCAATACTCGCATGGACCTTCCATCATCCATCACTCATCCTCCATCCTTTATCTCCATCTCCATGCCGCTTGGGTCCCCAATTTGTGGGGTTGGAACAACCGAGGCGTCCAACCAGCAACTTGTCACGGCAGGGCCAGGTTTGTTCATGCTCACGCTCCTGCTGGGAGTAGGCAAGTTACTCTGCACCATCATTTTTAGTCGGCCAGGCTACTTTCCATGCTCCTCGTGCAGTGGCATGAACGCTACGCAATAGTCGTCGATGTGCGAGCGTTAGTCATGTCTGCATTCAATGCGCCATGAATCGTGGATTGAACTTGGGCGCGCGCCGGCATTTCGATGATGCGACAAACCGCGAGAGCGTCCAGTTAAAGGCCTTGGCATATCATCAAGTTCAGATCTCAGCACGGATACCATCTCGATCCGCCATTGCCGTTTTCAGGTGACGCAACTCGGCAACCCACGGACGTGTCGGGGAGTGACTGATACTATGTATTTGCGCTCGAGATGACCGAGTACCTAGGTAGATGGAATAGGACAATCGTGTGTGCTTCAAGCACATGGCAAGGTTCATAATAGGGTTGGGACCTTTCCCTACAAATTAGACTCTAACTGCATACATAAGGTAAAGTATATAGTACAACAATAGAAGCAACTTGGCTTCCTGACCAGTGTTGCCGCCGCCGAAACTCTAATCCAACGCGACTGGAAGGATCTGAACCGAGCTGCGCGGAGATGGAAAGATCTCCACGTCGGTTAGCAACGAAACCTAAGCGCCTTACGACCCGGCAGATGGGCCGGGCACATGTGGCCAAAAAAACGCCTGCCTACTTCAGGTCTTGGACCCCATCTACTATTGTAGGTCCATGTCCCTAGGTAGGCAGTTGATAACCAGCATCATTAAAGCATCAGCACGCCGTCCTTTTGGACCAGTTCAAATCGTACGAGAAACGTCAAGGTCGACATCCGGAGCCAAAGCTGCCGACAAGGACCAGTTCAAGGTCTTGGCGGTGTCCACAGCCATTCATGCAAGCTCCCTGAATAGCTGTCGAGCGGGGGGCATATGGGCATATGGGCTCATTTGCCCAGATTGTACCGAGTAATGTGCCAAGTTGGAAGTTGGAACTCCACAGCTCCTCCATGTCTGCATTTCTTACGGAAATAGAACTCTTATTTTGTTTGATCTCATAGTGACATCTTGTCATTCCCTCACCTTACTCCCCAATAAAAGTCTCCTGTCTCCGCAATGGCCTGGGCTTGTGCCATTGTTGCCAGTTGTTCTTTCCGCCGACAGCAACAAGTATCGGTTCCTGACTCCCGAGTCCCGAGTATGCTTCCTTCACATCCATCCATAACGTCAGCAACACGATCCTTCTCGGCTCCTGCCCTTCACGACTAGGCTCTTCCATCAACAAATCCGAGTGTCCCATTCGGACATTCCGAAGGACACCAGTCCAACCCTCCTCTCCTCTGGGTTCTTTGAGGCAGCACGTCCACACACGCCTTCTCCTCAAGAACAGGGCAAGCTCGTGCGTCCAACACTCCTATGTCACATAAGACTCGGAATGCTCAGACAACCCGGCATGTTCGAGCACTCGACCGGCGTGTTGATGCGTATCAAATTCGCTCAGAACGACATTGCACTCTTATCCCGTTTACGCGAGCCCAGACCTGCTGTCAGCTGTTTCACTTTTCTTTCAAACCGAATTGGTCAGGATCCCAATCCGATTATCAATTCCAATCAACATGGGCCAATTCCTTGGACACACGCAATTTGGCAGGACCAGGACCAGGACCAGCGCAGTGTATAATATGCTCCAATTTAAACCGACCGGTCTAAGCCGTCTATCCGGGACTTGATCACCCTAAGGACACATGCTTCATTTTGGTATGGATGCCGAGTACTACCTCTAAATGCCAGTATCTGCCTTCGCCAAGCGGGGACCCAAGCATTGTCTATTGTCCCAAAGTTCTGAGGACAAAGGTAGAACTGCAACCTCCAAGACCATGACGGCATGACCACACTCACCGCGCCATGTTCCATTCTTCAACTCTCCTGACCCTGTCATGCAGCCGCTTCCGCACTTTTGCCTCGTCGAACCCGACCATCCATCACGTATGGGACGGGCTCCGACTGTTGTCTCTCGGGACGCCGGTCGAAGCATGCCGCCTGGCCTCTTCGCACTGGCAGCCATCTTGAAGCTTACTGACAGTATCTCCCTGTGGCTCTCTCGCCTTGTGCTTGGTTTGAACCCAACTATTCCACATTTCTCGCTGTCGCCGTGGTGCCCTGACTTGTCTTGCGTAGGTCCGGTTGGTCGGCGATAATGGGATGACCGCCTTGCTTACTCCGCATGTACGAGGCGTGTCGCCATAATGTCCCGTGAGAAACGTGCAGCACAAGGCATCTTGTATCTGTTGATAGGGCTGCCTTGCAAAGTGGAGTGACGGGCAAAAGGTAAGCGCGCAGATGAAGTTACACCGCGTTTACTCAGCTCGGCTTCATGGCGGCTCAATTATTACTTGTACTCATGTGTTTCGTTGCTCGAGGATCTGAGTTCGTGTCCATGTGCAAAGCTCTTCCGGCGTCAGTGATACACTTCCAGAACCGGTCCCCCCAACACGCTCAGAACACCATCAATGACCTTGATAGCCGCGCATATACGGCGCATATGAACAAACACCAACGACAGGGTAACGAAATGATCCTGCAGCTTCAAAAGCTCATAAACGTATTTCACCCTCCACGCCATTAGTATTCTCCCACTCCCCGCCGTGTGTTGCGCATGCCACTCAACTCCAACCTCACCATAGCACACGCCTTGCATTGCAAAAGAAAACCCAATGGAGTGCATGGCGCAGAGTAGCTCGCATAACTGTCAGCATACTTGAAATGCAAGAATTTCCCACTATCCGACATTTTGTTACCGCCAGAAAACAAGAAGTCATCGAAACAGCACATGCTGTCGTATAAAGTCTGGCGAAGGTTGTATTCAAGTCCCTGCCCTCTGCCAGCATGCATCGATGGTCGTCTCGACCAATTCGAATCCCTTGCGTGGTCAATGCCAGACGCAAGAACAAAAATAGCGTCCAGAGATATCCACCTCCGCTCCAGAAGTTATTGGTTTCCAATCTTTGGAGCGTTGATACACTGCAGTGCATGCCGCGGTGGCCGGTCTGGCACCTTCTAGTACGTCGTCGCTTGAGAGAAGACGCACTCCGCTACGCCGATTGAGTATGGCGACCGAATCAACCGTGCCATGTCCCCGCGGAAAATGGACTAGATGGGATGATGGCAGACGGGGTTTCGCCGAATTGGTCAAATGTGTATTATTTATGGGACAAAGAGTGCGAGAAGATGGTTGTTGATGCTGCGGCTCTTGTCGTAGGTTTGTCTGGCTAATTATCTTTCAAATGTGCCGCTGTACCCAACGGCGTGATTCATTTGTGCAAATGCTGCAATTCAATTCAATATAATGAGGTACTCGAGCACAAATGTGTACATACGTAAGGTGTATATATATATATATATATATATGTATATGTATGTGTGTGTACACATACGTCTTCATCCATGGTGAATTTCAACTTTTTGCATCTGTTAAAACACCCCGCAAATTGACTGAACCATGCGTAATTTACCTTGCAATGAAATGATCAAAAGCCGGGATTCAGACCCAGCGGAGACGGGAACAGGAAAGCAGTGCCCGGGCGCTCAGATATGTGAATCTCTCTAGTAACGGAGACCGATGAACCAGCCCTGGCTAAAAATAGATGCACGAATGAATAATGAGATTTCATCTTTTTTAAAAAAAAAAGAATGAAAAGAAATACTTTTGTATCTGTCATGTCATTAAATATTTGTAATTGGGTCCGGGCATTGTAGGTGCGTAGCTTCCAATACCTCGACTGGCAATATTGTTGCATTTCAACATCAACTTTGCGTTGTAAAGGCCTCACGCAGCGTCCACGATCAGTCGACTACGGCAAAGCGTCAACCGGCCCGGTGCTGATTTCACATGCCCCCAACATACAAAACAATTGGTGCTTCTACTCTAGAAAAGGCTTCTCCGTACCACAAGTCAAGGAGCCCGCCTGTTCCCGTTGTCGGCTTCGTCGATGGCTCAATCCGGCTCCCCACGGCGATAATCCAAGCACGCATATTCCTCCACCACCCTCTTCCGACCCGGCAAATACTTGTCTTTTTGCCCATCAGCAATCCTCACCTGCCATCACGACGTCCAGCTTCCCAGACTTACCCCCACCAAAGGCGGCGCATTGCAGTCGACTGCAGCACCAGGGGGTCCGGCATGCACCCCATACAACAACATACAGGGGGCGGGAAGGACCCAAGCCCAACATGGGGGGGACTACAATGAAACCACCACCGAGTACGGAGTAACAGACCACGTATCAGGTGAGAGCAACCTCACCACTGCGCACAATTCCTTCTTCCTCTCCCTCTCCCTCCTCCCAGCTACAAAGGCTCCTCACGAACCTTGCATCGCGCATCAACAATCCCCTCCCCCGGCAGGACGCCATGTTCTCCAGCCTCGCCACCAAAATCGCCCTCAAAAAGGCCGGCATCCCCTTCGACGCACTCGACTTCTCCTCCCCCCGCGAGCCCAACAAGCTGCGCAAAGACCAGCCCGCCGACGGCCAAGAGTCCAACTGGTCCAGCTGGCTGTCCTACAAGTCCCTCCCTCTCACCGTGCACCCGTGGCTCTCGCCGCCGCCGCCGCCCATCCAAGTCTCCCGCGTCCCGCGCATAGGAGAGGCCGCGCCGCGAGACAGAGACGGCAAGCTCGCCACCGGCGGCGGGAGACGCGTCCTGGTCGTGTTTCTACGCTGCGTAGGATGCGCATGTGAGTCCCAAAAGCCCAGCTGCCCCCCCGGTCCGAGGAAACAAAATAAAAAAGCCTCCAACTGACGTTCCCGGCCGACACCCAGTCGCCCAAAAGACATTCGTCAACCTCCGGACGCTCGCCAACCGCCACGGCCAGACAATGACCTGCGTCGCCGTCAGCCACGCCTCGGAGCCAGCCACGCGCAAATGGATCGACCTGCTGGGCGGCGCATGGAACGTGCAGGTCGTCATTGACGAAGACCGCGCCATCTACGCGGCGTGGGGCCTCGGCGTCGCCAACATGTGGCACCTGTTCAACCCGACGACCCAGGTGCAGGGGTGGAAGGAGAAGGGCTGGCTGGGCGACAAGGTGGCCGAGGCGATGCAGCGCAAGGCAACAGCGCAGCCCGCGAGAGACTACCCCGAGAGACGACGCGCCGCCGGTGCTGGTGGTGGTGTCGTCCAGCCCGGCGAGGAGGACGACGACGGCGGCGGCATTTCTACCGTCATGGGGAACAAGTGGCAGGAGTCGGGCGCTTTTGCCGTTGACGGGAGGGGGACCGTCATTTGGGGAGGCAAGGCCATGAGGGCGGATGACGTGATGGACTTGGAAGAGGGTGCTAAGCTTTTGGCCTTGTGAGGACTGCTCATTTTCCATAATGGCATGTCTACATGGGTCTATGAGGTATGGGGCTGAGGGCGGTGATAAACGGTTGTAAGATTTCAGTAGGGACGTGGCGTTATTCTTGGAGTTTTAGCATTGGTATTAGCATTGGCATAGCAGGTTCAATATTGGAATTACACCGTCATGACCACACGATTTGTTGTTGCACATGCAACATCAGTACACTCATGAGTCACACTAGCCGCATCTCAAGACACTCCCAGACCCAGTCATCACTCCTCATTACTATTCACACTTATCCTCTACTTTAATATACTCGCAAGGAAGAAATATCAAAAACACCCCGTGCCCAAGCCGTAAAACCCAAATGGGAAAGCAGGTATACCTGGCATAACCCTGAAGAAAAATCCCATACCCGTTCCTAAGCCGCCCTAGAACCGAGAGGAGAGGTGAAGAAGATGGACATAAAGAAACCTCCGAATACGAAAATCCAGCTCCCCCATATAACACCGTCCTGCCTTTTGCTTTGCTGTCCTTTTTTTTAATGTGTGTGTGATTGTGCAGTGACCAATGACATTCTGTAGTAATAATGATTGCGTCCCACCTCAAAATTGCTGTCCTTTCCCAACACTTTAATACGCCATGCGACACATAGCAGCCTAGGGCTGATCGATGCTTCTGTTCTTGCTTCCTCAGCTCCCAACTTGTTTTCCCAGCCTCATTGTTCCTTGTACCAAGATGACGCCGTACTGTAGGCAGGCAATCAATCGAAAGTCTGACCGCTCAGCATCCAACCGAATATCCGCATGCAACGTAACACCGCGACCAAGACAATACGCCGTGACGTGACAATGTTGCAAATTCTGCCGTCCCCTGTGAAAACGAGCCCCCCAAAAAAGCATTATAACTGTTGAAGAAATGCTCTCTGTCCGGTCGTAGCGAGCTTCATCTGTGCCCTCCAATCCAATCCTAGGTATATCACAATCCGTTTGTGCACCCACGTTTCGCCCAGTCATGCCGTAAGCTGCTATTTCCGTAGCAGACAAGAACAAATTTGTGCCAGAGAAGACCGAAAAACAAATGAAAAAACACCAGCCGAAAATAACCCCGAGTGACTTCCTATTCCTCTGTGCCACTACATCTCAGCCCTCTTAGCCATTCCAAGCCCGACGACACCAGCAAACCTTGCGCCTGTTTTGATGCAACAATTCACAATTCAGTTTTCGCCCCCGTAAGCATTTCCATGACGCCTGTACGCTTTTCTGAATTTATCCCCAGACGCTGGCTTGAGCTCCCAGGCCAGAGGACTGTCCCCAAACCCCATTTCCACGACCCCAGCCACCAGAGGAGGAGGCAAGAGGGGTGGTAGACCGCTTGCCAGAAGTTGTGGTCGATGGCGTTCCAGAAGGGCGAGTCCCAATGGGAGCAACAGTAGCACCGCTTTGGCCAGGCTTGGAGCCAGGTACAAAGTCGCGAGGCGGAGATCCGCCAGTAGGGCTAGAGGTACTTGTGCGGCTTTGGGAGCCGACGGCGTTGTCGAATGCCTTATTAGTCGGTCCAGAGCTTTGAGGGCTGCTGGTGCTCTGAGGTCTGGGGCCTGGATCGGCAATGGTAGCGTTGTGATCGCCAGCGGAGCCGGGAGTAACAACCTCTGCTCCAGATGGAACTCGGCCAATGGCTTCGAAGGCTAAGGGCGAAGGGCCCCGAATACTAGACGGTCCGCTCTGGCCCGGGACACCAGGACGAATATTACCGGACTCATCAACATAGCTCGTCTTGTCAGCAAAGGGGCCCTCGCCGTACAAAGCACTTCGCTGACGGGCAATGAGCTCGCGAGTTTCTTCCTCCGACATATGTTTGGCGTTGTTATTGGCGGGAGTAGTGGTGTTGTGCTGGGGCGCGTCCGTCAGCGCATCTACGTTGAAGAAAAGCAGTTAGCCAATGCTCCATGTGACCAGCACAGTTGCTGAAGACGGTTTTATGTAGACCAGAAATGCATAACCCGAACATAAAATGATTTGTCAACATGATAAAAGCGGACAACGGAATTGCAATAATCATGATGATCTCGCCCGACTCCTTGCATATATACGTTCTACTTTGGGGGTCCTCTTGCGTGACATAAAGTGCTATACTGTAGAGGGTGGCCTACTTCGTTGATACTGCTGCTCAGTGTGTAAATTGCGCAGCTCGCGCTCCCGCTGAGCCGCCATCCGTCTCTTAGCCTGCATGACCTGCTCTGCCTCATTGGAGCCTCGAGATGGTTGATGGCGCTGCGAAGCATAAAAATTGTGAAGGTTATGGCCCTGGGGCCCTTCGAAGGTGTTGTTCATGGGGTGCGAGCGAGGTCCACTGCTGTGGGAAACTCGGCCATCTGCATATAATCAGGGTGTCAGCGCATGCACTTTGATGCAGAGCATCCCTTTCTCGCCGCCTCACCAGTAAATATGGGGGCACCACTTCGCAGCGAGGCTTTCGGAGTAGGCTTACGTCGGGCTCCCATGGCGTAGCCCTTGCCGGACTTTTGGAGATTCTCGAAGGCACGGTCAACCTCTAGAGACAGCGTCAGCCAAACGTTGATAAATAAATACGCGCTAGGGGAGTGGGAAACAGTTGATTCAACAATAAGGTGCAGGGCAGGGCTAGCAAATCAGGCGGCCCACTTAAGGGGAAGGGGATACAAAACATAGTAGTAACAAAATTTGGCAGGAGAACGTACCATCGAATTGGTAGGAGAAAGCAAAGTCGTCCTGAGGTTGCGGGCCACTAGCACCTGTAAAGACGGTGTTAGAGTACTCAATCAACAAGGTATTGTCATATAAAGCTCGATGGATCGTACCGGCACGAGTAGGAGTTGAGGTCCCCTGCTGATGCTCCCAGTTGTTCTGGCTCGGGGTGGGCCACTGAGCGTTTTCGTAGTAGGACATGTTTTCTGTAGGATGGCGGTTGCAAGAGGATGAGAGGGGCGTTCGAGCCAGAGGCTGATGCAAAAGAGGCCTTTCGTAGTCTGTCAAAAAATCCGAACGTCAGTCTGCAGTCACATCGTTTCGGCAAGGACAGGTGTCGATTGGTTGAGGGCGTGGAAACGGGAAGAGAGATGAGAGCTTCCTCCAATACAAAAATCATGGTCCAGCCGAGTGATAGGAGAGAAGGTAAAAAGGATATCATCGCAGAAGTTGCACACGCACACCAACCGGTGTTCCGCGCAACTATGGTGAGATGCGTAAAGGCAGCTTCACGAGGCCCAGAGGGCTGCGAATATTCAATTGTGTCCGTTGTCGCATCGGCAATCATGACTGGCAGTAACAGTCTAACGTACCTCGTAGTGGTTGTCGAAGGCAAAGTCCCGAGCAGCTGTGTTTGGTACAGGGACAGAGCGCAGCGCAAAGGGATCGGAATCCAAGATGGAAGAAAAATGTAACGCCACTGCTGCGCGGAAATATGCGAGCAAACACACAGGGGTATCGAAAAGAGAGAATGGACAAAAAAGAGAAGATAAGGAACGAGACCAATCTCACAGAAGGCTGAGAGTAATCTCGGTCAATAGCACAGAGGCCTCACGGGGGCGATGGGAAGGGATCTAATAGAGGAGGAGAAGGGAAAGAGGCCCAAGAGACGGACAGAGACAACGTGGGTGGGCGAGACGAGACGAGATCGTGGTGCGGGTGTGTGATGACTGACGGGGGGGAGAAATTTCGGAGTGCGAAATGGAGCCTGTGGATTTTCAGGAAAGGAGAGAAAGCGGGAGTCGACGGGAAGAGGAGCGGGCGGGCCAACCAGGTTTGAGCCAGGTCCAGCCAGGTGGCCCGCCAGAGCCCGCCAGGACAATTAATGTCCGTCAGGTGCCTGTCAGCCAGCTGTTGACGAGAGGGTGGCTGCAGAAGGCAGGAGCAACCCCCAATGTTCAATGTTCATGTCCATGGCCGTGCCAACACCAAAAAGACATCGGTCGATACTTTGGCCCTCACATCGTGCTCACGCACACATCACACAGCCTACGCCATGCGCGAGATTCACTAACCCCCCAATCCGGCCGATGCCACTACCCGGTTGCCTGTTCGCCTGAAGGCGCAATGTTATGCCCTTTCACGCTAGACTCCGGACCGTGAGGATCACGCCGCGGCTGTCGCGACAGCAGAATCTGCTGATAGTTGACTATTACCTGACAGACGACGGTTCGCATGGGCCAGAGTTGGCTGCAACCAAATGCGGGACGTTGACACACTGTATGGCTACTACACATTGGCAATGCCAGTTCGCTCTTGGCGATACGCCATCCACCACTGACACAGACACAGGCCGTCTACATCTAGGTGCCAGCTTCCACAATCCAACTCCATCAAGCTGTCCAACGGATGGAAGATTATCACTTTTCGCTCATTAGTTCCATCCAAGACACCAAGACACCCATCGACACGGCCCGTCATCAGCCGAACTCATCATGCTGTACTCCGTACGATAGCTTGCTATTCGTTCATCTCGCCTACCAAACAGCATAGATATTGCTTCATGCTCACCCCCTTCAATCTGGACAGCGGGTTTATCCTTCTCGGCTAAGTGTGTCCGACACTGCGTTATGGGGTGCATTATGGCGTACCACTCGCGGCCACTCCCCTACAATACACGGTCCTTGCGTGCATTCCACATCCTGGTTCGAGGGACTTGGTTGACGTCAACAGTCATGACAGGGCTAAAATGGTTTCGTGCTGGCATAGTCCAGACTCGCAACGCGTGTCAGGACAGCCTTTTGAACTCACCACAACATGCCATCGTCTTCAACTTGCGCCTTGATGGCGAATACGCCCCTGAATCAAACCAATACCTCCATGGTGTTCCGCCGTTTTTTGAAATTGCCTGGAACGCGGAGTTTTGGCCCCGCCCAATTTTCCAGCACGGCGCCTGGAACAGACTGTTCCGCCAGATTGGTCAGCACACCTACTCCGTAAACAACCTCAAACCCTCAAAAAGGGTCCATTGTTTCCGGTATCCACATGTCGGCCATGATAAACTTCTCAATTGGAACAAGTTGTTCGATGTGACCAGTAAACCGAACCCGTTTTATAGCGCAGCTGGAGTATGCTTGGACGTCTTCATCTGCTGTGTTACCCTCTGTCTTCGGAGCGAGTGCAACATTGCCAGTAGCCTCCTAGCTGCTGGCGGTTCACGTGGTTCACATGGTAAACTTCAGCATCCTTCGTGCGAACGTCAAATCCGGGTCCATGGATGGTGCGAGCGCTCGATAGTATCCTGAACCTTAAGCATGTTACAGGGCAGCATCCGTAGCGAATCCATGCATAATAATGAGCCGACAGCCACTGTATTACTACATGAACAGAGATGCCGCATCTATGGGAGTCGAGAGCGACCTCGGCGCGTATCGTGCGACGAACCGGCTTGGGGTGGTTAAGTCTTGGTGGCAATCGTTGAAGCAGAGCCAAGAGGTTCTGTCGATCCCGTTATTTTTCTAGGCCGTGTCTCGGAATTCAGATGTCTACAAAGGGCGTTCGACTGGATTGATGGGGAGGGGATTATATCTCTCCACATTACGGAGTACAGACTGCTAATCTTCAAACACAAAAGGAGGCGCTCTCCTTTGTTGGATGCCTCATTCGCACACAGTCCTGCGCCAGGACGTCATGTTGTCTTGGCCCTCGTCCCCCATTCATCCATCTGCCTACCCATCCACCGTTTTCTGTGGGGTTCCAAATTTCGGCCGTTGCGAAGTCGAAAGCCTCGCCCCTCGTTCGGGATGCTAACGTTGCTAGCGTATCCTTACGATCCATGGTTTGATTGTGCCTGGGCGTCTCGGTTGATGGCTTGTTGGCCAGAGTTGGAAAGGGTCAAGAACAAGCAAGGTCATAACTTCATAAGCACATATGTCGGTGGTTGTTCTATGTTAGCTTCTCCCGTCCCGCCACTCCGTTCCCGAGGTTCGTGGCCGAAACCCTATCTGGGGTATAGAAATGAGCTTGCAGATGCTGTCGTTCAGATGCATGCTGCGGGTTAATAACGGTTCTAAATGGATTCGCCTGCGAATAACATTGCTTAGGAGGAAGCGTTAGTGCCTACCTGGGATAAAAAGTTACTGGAGGGCATGCACAGCCGCCGGTCCTGCATGTGTATCACACATCCGTCTTAAGGCGCCGGATCTACCTTCCCTTTCCTACTACGGAGTACAACGTTAGTCTCCTCTCTCATCAGTGGTTGTGTGATATATGGCTACTAGGTATAGCTTTGTACAGGATTCAACAGATAGTGGTATATGTCATGAACAAACCCCATCCATCACCAGTCGGTCGTTTCATCGGGCTGCATACAGCTGTCCCGTCGCAGCCTGTTGGTTGTGGCTGCTTCACGCATGCATGCATGCATGCATGGGTGCACGGCTTCGTTGGCCGGGGGGGGGCAAAACTATTTCCAGTCAAATAGGATCCCATGAGTACCGAAATGGTTCCACGGTTGTGACGAACGGCAATAGTATTGCTTGCTCATTTCATGATGTGCAGCAGTTTTCAACATGCATCACATAATGGAGAAACTAATGGAACATGAGAGAGCAATCGACGACAGGCAAACTCCTTTTCCTAATTCCATACGGAGTACCAAGAATATATCTCACCAAAAACAACGGAGGTCCGCCGAATCTTGAGGCTCCTTAAACCCCGTCAAAGAGTTTATCAGCCTGGCGATCCAGTTCGTCCACTTAATGAAGGAGTCAATAATTGCCCGTTGCCACACACCTTCGTGAAAATGTAGCCCAGTGCGACTCTGTGGACCGGAAAGCAGCGTGGTCACTAATTCGAGGTTCAAGCCCCGCACCAAGATTCATCTCACCTGTCCGTCGCTTTATCTGCAACTCCGTCAAATGCGAGGGGAGTGTCATCACTTCCAGCTGTAGAGTCCGCCATTTCCATTGCCCCGTTCTACCCGCTGACAACGATGAAGCACTTTAACCCAGCCTACGAGGTGCAGTAGAACAAGGGTGCCATCTAACATGGAGGGACACGGGATCAGGTTGTTGTGGCCAACTCCACATTCCGATATGTTCGCATTGCAACGTCTCGAGGCGACGCAGTGTCTCTGACGACCAACGGTTCTATCCGAGTGGCAAGCCCCAGGCTGCTCGTGATTTGCCCAACAGAGCCGCCATCGAAGATGCTGTCCACGGCGTCGTTCAGAGTTCAGAGGGTTTTGGCTGGTTCGACGCTACTGTGCTGCAGATTGCAGCCAAAAGACAGCTAGGACTGGAAGACTGGAGAGTATCACCGAGCATTTGGCCGATCAAATGATAAGTTGAACATTCAGCGATCAGTGGTCTCTGATGATCCTATTATAGGGTAGGTCTATGCATGGGGCGCCGCTCTGGTTGTCTCGCAGAAAAAGCCGATGCCAATGATTGAGGACTTGGCCCTAGCATCGAAATGCAATCGTCGATTATAGATAAGTGTAGGATGTGATATGCAGCTAGATGAATGAGGCACTGGATTCTCAAGGCTTTGTCGAGGAGTTTGTAATGTCGAGACCACGCTCAGATGTACAACAAATTCGGAGTTGGGCGGGCTTCTTGCCGGTTAAAAATCACACCAGCCGGATGTCAATCATCTGCTAGTATTGGTCTGTGATGTCTATCTACCAAGGTATTTATTCCGTTGACTTTTTTACGCAAGGGAGGCCCGATTTGTCGAATATATGTGAGTCGTAGGGATCAGATACCCAATCATTCACTTCAAGTTTACCATCAGTCCCATACGCTCGCGTACTGTCTTCAACGACTCAAAGTTTAGCCTTGCAAATCGAAGAGAGAAATGATTCCTTTCCAAATCAGAAACGTTGGAAGAAATCTCCGTCTAAAATAATAAGATACAATTGACCAAATACAAACACCCCATTGAGCCGTTGCTGCCGTGTGCAGAGCTGCCTATGTAGTGCCCAGCCATGGCACATCCTGCATCCTTCAATGACAAATAAATCCCAAGCAGGCTTCATGAGACGCAGGAAGCTAGATTAATGTGAATCAAGCTCCAGGACTGACATTAATCTTCCCCCTATACCATCGTCTCTAGTCTCTTCCCTTTCAATACCGTACATGAACACCCACTCCTCCACCCAACTCCCCTTTTCTTTTTGCAGACTCCCAGAGATGCATAGGTCAAATCAATAAGATCGATAGCATCTTGGAAAGCGTTTGATAAGCTCATCTTCTTCCATTATGCGATCACCCCGCCCCATCCCGGGACATAGGTCACGCATGCGAACGCCTGATCTTCCTGTCAGCCTTCACTGTCAAGCACAATCGCCCTGTATGCTTACTTTATGCCTGAACCCTCAGAAGTCTTTGGTCTGCAATGAGGGCAGTATTCGGACGTAAACCCTGGTCGCGCGAACCAAGTGTGATTGATGTTTTTGTCGCAAGTGACGAAGGAGGATTTGTTTTGGCTGCCGGAGCCGGTGTCGTTTGCATTGCTTGCATCGGGCATCTTGAGAGCAGAATCGGTTATATTTGGTGAGGATAATCTCTGAATAGTTGGAGTGTTGAGACTGTCGAGTGCTGTGCTGCCATGGGTTTCTAGGGGAGGAGGCGTCAGCTTCTGAGGGCAGAGCTTTATAGTCGCGACTGATGGTCGGCCTTGAGTTGGAGCTACTCTAATCATGCTGTACCACTACGCGAGACTTTCTTTGTGGCGTGCTTGGGATGTGACTAAAGAAATCTGTTCATCCGGGGGGGAAGGGCTGACAGGGCGATGCTCTTTGTGCCAACAGCGACGTGCTGAATAGGTTGTGTTCAACCAGAGTGTGTTCAATCAGAGAGTGGGTGCGGTTTTGCAGCTACTCACCGGACCTATTTCACTTCGATTATTCACAGACAGATGTGATTAAATACCAGGGTGACCGAGGATAAGTGCCTCGATTTCGTCACATAAGCTATCGGACCAGGCACGTATCCTGGCTTGTCGTGGCTTCTAGAAACAAGACTGCCGGCTAGGCCGCCAATACTTTCGAACACGGTTAACATGTGGGAATAGCAGGCCCTCTGCCATTGTTCACAAATGTTTTTGCCTACGGCGCACAGTCAGCCACGACAATGCCTAAAAAAGCCAGAGGATGCTTACCTGCCACGCCATTGTTGCTGGCACATTGGCATCAACTCCGACAACAGCCAGAAGGATGCCGAAGTATCTTACAGGAGGGATGTGATGGAATCCCATAATGGGCAAGCCGATTTCATTAAAGAGGGAGTTTATCTGGACGATGAGTGCTCGCTTCCGGTATCGATCGCCGAACCAGGATCCTGCGAACATGTCCAGGCGAATGAATATGATATCGTAGTAGCTAGGCTGCGTTGATACCGTGTCAGCGTTGGAGAAGTTGGTGACGGATGTCATTTGCGTACAAGAAGAGGAATGCAAAACTAAATCTCGAGTTGCTTGGCTGGCCCAACAAACTTGTTCAATTGAAAAGGCTCCGCGTCGACATCTCAGCGGTTAGAGTCAAGGCTGCGTGTGACTGTCTCAAGTTCATCGGGTGTTGGGAACCGAGGACCAGGGCGGACCAGCTCCTCTTTAGGGGGCTCATTATTAAAAAGTACGCGAGTATACTAACGGCGTAGATAATGACTTCCACCAAGGTGAAAGATCCTAGCACATATTTCGTCAGATGATGGCTTACAGAACATTGGGCGGTAGGGCAGCGAACCACCTCCGGCCTGCGAGGCCTTGCCTTCCATTCAACTGCGCAAAACCGCAGACCAGGATGCCGGAGAAGGCGACCAGAACACAGACACTGAGGCGGAAAATGGAGTATCGACGGCCAACATCGTCTGCCAAAAGTTAGCGACAAGCATGCACCGCGCACCAGAGACGAGCACAAACATCCGGTATACCACGTAGACGGCAAGTGAACTGCACCAGGACCAGAGCCAGCCTCAAACACTCCCAGAAATAGGTGCAGCGGAATCTGGACTACGCAGTTCCTCCCGAACCCGAGTCCAATTACGATCGCACCTCAGGCTATGCATACCCCCAACCTTGCGACAAAGCACTGGCACTATGGGCTGAGACGGCACATTTGACACAAAGAAGCGCATTGTAATGATGTTGTACCTTTGTACCTGTTATACGGAATACCGTCACCGGCATATATTATCGCAATACAGTACCCATTGCAAGAGCCCATGTCGAGATCGGCCAGCATGCCTGCGACTGCCGCGTTGGCCGTGTTCTTGCGGTCCATTGATGATATGCCGTATACGAGACACAGAACCGGAAGCGGTTTGCAGTTTATTCGAGTCGTATTACGATTCAGATTTTGGCGGGAAACACCTGACTTTGCGTTTGCACCGGCGATGATGTCGGGTAAGTTGCCATGCTTGACGGTTGGTTTTTCTGTTTGGGAAGTCATGTTTCGCTTTGGGAGAATGAGGGAAAATATTGACATGGTCTATAATTTTTGGTATTAAAAACTCATCATGGACTTCATGTGTATTATAGTGCATCAGGATTCATGCAATACCCCGGGACGGCGGGGTGGTTGGAGTCGGCACCGGGTAATGGCATTGTCACGGGAACAAGCGCCTCTCTGATTGGTGAATCGCATCCGATTTGGGAAATGTAATGGTCCGGACCGGGTGCCCCACCAAGCCGTGAAGCCACGCAGGTTGAGGATTGCGCATGCCGTTGGGGAATAGACAGGGAAAGCCTTTATTCGCATTCTACTGCGGATTGAATCGAAGAGTTTCAGCTGCTTCATAATATTTGGACGCTGAGCACGACCAAGGGCGTCCCAAATTGCGATGTTGCGTGCCTGCCGGAGCTGGATGCCTCACTTGGCCAACCTGGGACACGGAAAAACTGGCGCAGCACCTCCCCGAGCAACAGGATCTCTGCGCCTAGCTGCACGATCAAACTCGGCGCGTGATGAAAATGGGCCTCGAAGACACTGGGATTGCCGTGAGGATCCTCCTTGCGCTCAAACTGAGAGACGCACCGCACGCATAGGGTGTTTTAAGGCTCAGTCAGCCACAACGCCAAGGGCATCTGCCGGCGCTATATGACCTGGTTTGACGGAGACCCGGCCAATTCGTGGAAACTCAATCCTGCAAAAGAGGGTCTACGATACGTAGACTGCTTCGGCGGCGCTGGAGCTGCGATTTACAGATGGTTGGTCTGCGCCTACAAAGCCGATGTCCCCCTCGTTAAACCGTCACGAAAGTGTCGAGCAGTGGCTGGATGGTCTTTCGATAAGGATTGATGGACCGCCGCTACTCGGCTGCTACGGAAGACTTGACGATTTATATACGGGAATCGTAGGGAGGCAGTGGATGGAGAACTCGGGTGAGCAATGGTGCTTTGACGCATCGACGTGTTGAGCGGGAGGATGGAAAAAGTCGAGTGGATGGAAATTTGCTGGCCGTGAGAAAGGAGGAAATTGTCGCGGTGTTGAATGGAGATATTGGCTTGGCGCGATCCCGGACTCCGGGAAACCAGGAAACCGTGGGGCTTTGGAGAAGCTGTTGGTGTTGTACGGCGTGCTGGTTCAGGGACAGGTTGTGGCGAGCAGGATCTAGGCTTCCAATTACTGATATGCCTTATTATGACATGTGCTCTGTTTGACGTGAAATTCTGTCACTGAGTTGATTATAAAAGTCATGTTTGCGTTTATTCCGTATAGGGTTGTGGCGCGGCAGTCAGGATCGCTGTGAAATGTATTGTAGCGTTCCTAGAATTTCAGCGAAGCGTCGTGACGCGGAGGGTGTTTTGAATTATCATAATGTTCTGACACCCCGATTTAACGGGCTATCAGGTAAAGGCTCTATATGCTAACCGTCCTAGTTGGGTCGAGGTTCAGCTTGGAAAAAACACTTCATACCTCGTGTGCTTTTTCCATACAGCTGGACGAGGGTTCATAGTCGGAGCGGAGTTCAATGCTAACAGGAAGTATGCGACTGGTACGTATTATAACAGCTGGGACGGAGAGGTGATTTACCACATTGACCCATGGCGGCGGGTTCATGGAAACTGTGGCAAACGGAGGCGATTATCCCGCCTCGCAGCGAACTCAAAGCCAGGTTAGCTCGGTGACGAGTGGAATATCTATCGATTGACTTTTCGATTAGTTATTTCCATCAGCTGATAGTGACTTCGCGTAGATGTTTGCAGCCAGAAGAAAGAAGGCTAGGCCAACGAGCCATCCTGCCTACCCTGCTTCTTTGCCTCGTCGTCAAGAGCACCACACCCGAGGGACCTCCAGCATTAACATGTAAAGTATATTCAGTCTTCTATCCATGTACTGCCTCCTCAACTAGCGACCACGACGTGCCTCTGTGGTAATGGCATCAGCTATCCAATCAGCAAGGGACATGAGGCTTGACCGGGACTTAGTTGACCGCGTCCATTCGGCGACATTGGAAGTTGAGATGCAGAAGAGGGTGTTGTGATTTGTAGGAGGCGGGTATGGTCCCCGATCGCAGGCTGTTATCTGACGACTTAGAGTTCCATATTTTCTGCTATGGCAGCAGGACACGCCTCTACAATTAGGAAAGAGGACATGAGCGTTAGCGAGCCACTCTATATTGACGACAACTCAGCGTAATCGATAGACTTTCAGTCCGTTGAGATGAGAGAGGACGAGCCGGTCAAACCAGTCAATACGTACTAATTCCAGCGAGACTGCAGACTAAAAATCACACACTTTAGCCTGGTTTTGACGATGAATCTGGTATATCTACGAAGAACTCAACAACATACGGGCGTCCCTACACCAGAATTGTGTCTAGAATTGTACAGCAAAATTGGCTTCAGCGCAGAGGACAATGCAGCTGGCCGCATATTTCGGTTGTAGGCGCTGACGTTGCAAATGCATGTTATGCGAATACATATAACTGCTCGTCTTCCGGCCGGGCATTGCTTGCGATGCTACTGACGACGGCCCCCTCACTACCATGTCTACAGACCATTGGATGACAATGACGGTGCGGATCTCTTGCACGGTCGCGCTGCTTCTAGTCCACCATGCGAATAGCCTGTGCAGAACAACATCAATCCATTCTCCGCATGGCGTCCGCAACACCTCTCGTCACTCAGCTTGGCGTCGCATCATTCACATCGGGAGCCGTCCTTGGGATACTTGCCCTAATGAATCTGACCTGTTGCCAAGCACGGTAATGTAAAATGAGGCTAGCGAGAATCATCAAGCTGCCCAAGACATGTAGCTTCAGCAACGCCCTTTGAGATCAAGCTACGGTGACGCTGAAGGATGGCTGAGAAGCTCTGAAGAGGTTGAGACATTGTTGGTCGGGGACATCCCGCCTCGTCTGATGCAGTGTGTTGGAGAAGAAGATACACCGCCCGATGTCATATCGGTAGGAATGGAGGAGTTGGTTGACGGAACTTTCCTTGGTGTAGATTTGACTGGACTTGAGGATATGGAACTGTTCCTCAAGCAGGAATGTAGATTAACAGGTGACGTCGGTCGACGCAAAGCCATTACTCTTGCAGACAGCTCCTCATGCGAAGAGACTGTAGTACTCCTTTTGCCACGCGACTGCTCAATGTTCTTTCATGACCGGGAGGTGTCCACTGAAGCGGCACCTAAATCATTCTCCCAGGCCAGACGGCCTTCCGGTTGGCGAGTATATTTCGGCATCACATACGAATTGATTGGCTGTGGTTCATGTGCCGTTGTCTGCAGAATGTTAGGCAACCGTCAAAACACGTGCCAACTTGGGTGTAGCGATATGGTTGTGAAAGAAGTATTGACCAGCAGTAAACAATGAAAATGAGGCGACTTGTGAGAGGGAAAGTTGGCAAACTCATCCGACACAAGGTCCCCTTGTCCCACGCCGACGTTGCGTTTCCATCAGTCATCGGCTCAAGCGGCGCGGACATCTCTTTTCCGAGACAAATATAGCACATACGTACGGAGTATTATGTATCGTATTCAATGATTACCCACATCTTTTGGTAATGATACTGGCATTAAAGGCAGGCTAATGTGCGTGCAAACCTCGGGTACCTGGCCTTTGGGCTGAAGAGATCTCTGGTTCGTGGGGCGTCCTTAAAACAGATGGAGGTCAGCGGGCAAGGGCGGCGGGAGGAAATGGGATAGGCAGAGAGTGTTGGGCCAGAGGACAAGGACCAGTGACTTCCAAGAGTTCTACCCAAAGGCTGTAGAATGATTACTGTATCCCGTATCCGTATACAAGGCAGCTACACCAACCAGGCCCGACAGCCTACCAATCACGAGGCATAGCCTGAGCGTGCTGCTATTTCGATTCCAACAGAATAAAGGCCAGGAGAGATGAGTTGCCGAGTCACATGGCCACCGAGATGACAGCTCATAGTGATAGCTTTCTCGGAAGTTATGGAGAGCTAGTTCGTCACAGGTCGGTCCTGGCAGTTTCCTTCATTATTCCGTACTGCTCTCGAGACACAATAACGTGGTTGCGTGAGTGACACCAGGTGGGTCGAATTTTGGCCACAAAACGCTGAGCTTATTAGCAGTTGGACACCAAGCGGCAGTTTCAGAGTGGAGTGAGACCAACTAGCGTAGGACCCTTCAGACCCTTGACTTGGTTGACACGATGCTAACTGAACTTGAGGTCGGCTGGGGCGGCATGAACACAATTGAATCATTAGTCGATGAACTGACCGAGTAGCCCTGCTACCGGTTGCTATCAGGATAATAATCAACACCTAGATGAGCTGATTGGCAGCAAGTCAGGAGTAGTACTGGCGCAAGCGAAACAGAACAATAAAAAGCCTCGTCAAGAGCCCAGGGTCCGCTCAGATGCTTTAAAGTGGTGTCACTTGGTACTCCAGGCCGCAGTCAATTAGGGTTGGGGAGCGTCAGACTCCAGGCAGGCACTTCAGAGAACGCCAGACACACCCCTGGTTGACAACTGAGGAGACATTGTCTGGCTGCGACCTTAATCTGCGATGGTTCCTTCGGACGACGGCTGACAAGCGGCTGTGGGCCCTGTGTGTCAATGGCAAAGCTCTTTGAACAAAGTTCACGAGCAGGTGGGAGGTGGACGGATGGAGTATTTGAAGGCCGCACAGTCCGGTCCGGGACTTGTTAAAATCGTCGAGACAACCACGCGATATCCTGGGTCGCGTACAAGTTGGATTGAGACGGCTTTTTGATTCGTTGCTCCTGGCTGCAGCCTTCATCTCGTAAAGGCGCTGTGTCACCAAGAACAATCTGAACCACGGTTCCTCCGGATGGGGTATTCGCGAGGTCGACTCAGCCCCAGAACTAATCCCAGAAACGGTCTGGTGGACTTTGACAGTTGATCTTGGCCCTGCCTTGTTTCGGCTGTCGCCTGTCGATCCTTCCTTTCCAGACTTTCTCGCACTCGCCCTCCACTCTCTCTCTCCACACTCTCTCTCCCCACTCCACGCGCTCCTTCCTCCAGTCTCTTCTGCTCAACACCCGCCCACCTTTTTACCTTGCCATCGCATGTCGCTGCCCACTTGAGCCCTCAATCCTACATTCATCCACATTTGTGACATTCCCGCGCTCGACGACACTCAGCGTTGCAACTCTGTCTGCTTCTGCGTCTGCAATTATAAGGTCCGGGCATCAGGATTGGCTGTTTTGCCGTCCATATCCATTGCTGCTGTGGATGCACGCGCCGTTGCTAGCGGTGACTCGAACTTGCCGCCAACCACTACCCCGATAGATCCAAGCACGGTGCGACGGGTCTCGCTGCATCTTGGTGAAGCTGTCTTGCGTCGCCCACACAGGGCCGTTTCCTGAACGCTGTTGGCGCAAACTCGAGCTCGTTGAGAGATCCCGTCACCAGCCTGTGCCTGCATCCCTTTTCCGGATTATACTTGGCAACCTTCGCCTGACGCACTGTCGTTAAATGGCTAATCTGTCAATGCGAGGCTAGCCGTTGCAAAGGACGGACCATCGCTCAAAGGGCCACATCACAACAATACCCAACTTCATTTCCCTCAGCAACGAAAACAGGATATCCCTGCCCGCGCGATCGATTTTTATAAGTCACGGGTGTTTCAAAGACTGGCAAATCAGTTACGACAGGCACATAAGACAATGCTAAGGTCTGTCTCGGTGCCGAGACAGCCTTGAATCCCGTGGCTTGACGGCAAGACACGGCAAGCCCATTGAAGAGACAATTTTCATTTTCCTAAGCCTTTCTGTTATCTCAGACGATTCGGCATCATGTATAGGACAACGAGCGAAGGCGCAGCTTCTAGCGCGGGAGGATCATCCAAAAAATGGCGGCTACCAAGGCCTTTGCGAACGAAGAAGAGTAAACTTGGCAAGGATGATAGGGGAAGAACGGTACGTTGGTGCTCTTCAGGCTGCATTGAACCAATGCATTTATTATAAGTCGAGCACTGTTAAGGCGACTACGGAGGCCCAAAATGCCAGAGCAAGCTAACGAATTTGTTTCTGTAGTCCGGGTCTAGTGAATTTGACCCCAGTCACTTATCGTCACATCTTCGATCGGACTCCAGTTCCATGCATGCCATGTACGAGATGCAAGAAAACAACTATAGACAGTTGCAGATCTTGACACAGCGAATGCGTTCGGCGCCTTCCGGCCCAAGCCATGTCGATTCCGCTTATAGAGAGTTTGAGAAAATCCGGGAACCTTGCTCGACGCTTTGTTATAGTATTTTACGGGACGAATTAAGGCCGGTCAAGGCACTGTCGAATACCACTGAGACAATGACTCGAGGAGACTCTTCGTTTGACTCTCCTCGTAGCCCCGGGGCCACTATATTTGACCAAAGAAGCTCGTTTAGCGGCCGCAGTCTTACTGAGGTAATTACGGGGAACACTACAAAGCTTGGTCCAACTAATGAGTTGTGGCTAAATGCCGTCAGAGACTGGAAAACTTGTCTGGAAACTCTGTGCGAAGCCTTCAAAGTCAGCTTAGCCGACACTTACAAAAGCTACGAGCGTGATGCGACCCCGGAAATGGTCGATTTGCTTTTCACAAGTCGAAAGTTTCGCCGAGAAGCAGTGCATCGCATGAGAAATGCTAGCGTCACTAGGCTCCTCTCTGCTGATCCCCAATTTGTATGTGCAGATTTCCTATTAACCGGTAATGTGCCTTTTGCTATCATGCTAACTCAACGCCCTGCCAGTTCCCCAGATACGAGATTCGTTTCAGAAACTATGAAAGGGTTAAGAAAGAAGTGACCGAAGTTCGGCGGCTTCTCCAGTCTGGGGAATCGGGAATTTCACCCTCAAGAGAGGTTCAGGAATTCTTTATCGCAGAACGGGGCGACGCCATGCTTGAATTTGCGAATATTGGAAACCAAGCGTCAAATAATGACCCAGTTTTACGCTTTCGTGTCTCATCTTACATGCTGGCTGAGACATCCCCCATCTTTGCTCGCATGTTCTCCGGCCACGCAAACAGCATGCAATTGCACGAAGCTGAAGACATCACACCTCACGTCCCCCCCCCTCCTGCACCCTACGTATGTAAGGATGGGTCTGAGGTAAAATTATATCGCATGCCACAACACGAGTTAAACCGATATCAGTCCCTGGAGATCTTGATGCATGCGGCACATATGCACAACGAATTAATTCCGAGAGAGGTCACTTTCAATCAGTTTGTCGCCATTGCAGAGTGCTCAATGAGATATAAGAGTACATCACCGCTGGAAATGGTGGTTGAGCACAGATGGCTCCCTCAATGGATGCATAGAGGTGCTGATGACATGCCCGATGGAGTCTTAGTCATCAGTTATGCCTTCGGCTGCAGACAACTCTTTACTCGAATGTCAAAGAGTGCTATTTTGAATTTGGTTGATGAAAAAGACTTGCAAAGCAAGCCCTGGCCGCAGAAAATTAAGGACAAGATTTGGGCAGTTAGATGTGCCAAGTTGGCTCAGATCTATTCTTGCTGCACTAACGCTATTCAAGAATATATCCGCCAGCCTAATCAAGATTCACCCACAGAGACGTACGCGCATCCTCAGGTGGAGGTGATGACAAGCCTACAGACTGCGGCTGCACCCCCAGCTTACGCGGCCACCCTGACGAGTTCGCCAAGATGTCCCAAGGGAAGTCATAGCTGCGATGCCTCCAATCTCGGGTGGATGATACTCGTCTTTAATCAAATGAATTTGCTGCCACAAATTCTGCAACCCTCTGTTCTATCTCACATGTCAGAGTCCGAGGAGCCATCGAGAAGCCTAGCCCAGCTGGTTGAAACTCTGAGGATGATGCCCAGCCCTGCGTCGCCCGTTCATCGAAGTGGGGTTTGTGACCCAAGCCCAGCCTTTCGCGCGGCCATTGCCGACATATATAACAGTGTCACAGGCCTTACTCTTCATGATATCAGCGGAAAGAGCCATGGCTGGGCATTGTCAAAGCACCGTATGTTGGATCCACAGACAGTTCCAGCAACCGGCTTGAGTCGCATGGCAGCCAGTGATGATAATTATTCAGTGGTGAATGAATTCCCTGACTCCATTCGGTTCCAGATTCTTCTTGAGATTAGTGACCTCAGTGATCTACATGCCGCGGCTCGGATCAACAAGGGTTTCTACGAGACATATCAAACTCATGAATTGACCTTGATGCGTAATATTCTCCGTGCAGACCGATTGAGAACGGGCTTCGTCCTGGTCCCACAGCGCGCCGGAAACTCTGAAGATAAGATTCCAAAGGAGGTGTCAGATATGATCAAGCGCGAGGGGCCAATTGAGGGAGCAGACGCTGTTACGATTGGAACGGACGACTATGATTATTCAGATGAGGATGAAGACCATGAGGAGGATTTGGAGGGAATTGAAGGGACAGAGGCGTCTCCTAGAAATCCCATACTCTCAAGCCGGCCTCTCACCGTCGACCCTCCTATATACACGGAGGATGAAAGACGTTCCTCTGAAGATGCTGCCTCGCCGACCACGCCGCGACAAATAACTCTCGACGGCCCAGTGCCTTCTCAGCGTTCTCCAAAGAAACCGGATGAGACAGTTACCGTCGTTATCGAGGAACCACTAATGACTGATGAAGAGGCACGCAGAATTTTGTGGCCCGACCCAATAGTGTCCGAATCTCCGACCCCAACCAAGCCCCCATCTCCTGGGGTGGAGGTGATACATGAGAAGTTCCGGGTGGGTGATCCTTCTTTTGTCGTGGCATTAGAGGATAAGACGCTAGTTATTACTGGAGACAAGCAGCTACGAAGCGAGTTAGATCGGAGAATTGGCTTGTCGAAGAAGGGCGACAACAGGCCAAATAGTTCGAGGAATACGTGTGGCGGTTGTGGGTCGAAGGGCTAGATTGCCCAGCTTCCCCTCGTTGGTCTTTTCTGGCGCGTTTTGGATCCTTTGGTCAGAGAGTGCATTCCGCATCGGTTACATTCTGTACAATCTGCACGAATACCGATCTGTTTTCGAATCTTCACCTGTTTGTATAAGTTGGTCTCTGGTAGTTTGCGAGGTGTTTGGCAGTTAGAGCATTTATACCCATGTGGCATGAGGAGTTACGATGATATGGGAATGGGTCATGTATTAGCAGCATGGCATGCATTCACACTGAGCGTACAGTCAGTGGTTCATGTTCTTAATTTTTTAGTACCATCTTATATGAAGGACCATTTAGCACGTGTCTTTTGTGTTCTAGAAAAGTCTGTTTCCATGGCCGCATGTACCAAAAATGCCCAATTAAATTGGTATGGGAGCATAAATCCAAAGGATATTGTGCTTGTCTCTGCCCGGCTCAATGCTTGACGGCTTGCTTTTCTACTACCTAGGTAGGCAGTCAAGTAGGCGTGCCCCAGACACGGTCTCGCTCATCCCGACCCTGTCGTCGCGAGGTCCAATGCGCCGTCGGAATTTTTTCACAATACTCCCCATCAAGTAATATCTATATTGGCAGTTCTATTTATTGCTGCAACGCAGATGTCCAGAAACGGGCACAGGCCGACAAGCGGCATCACCTGGATACACTATCCCCACTCTATCGCAGGTGGCTTGTGAGGAGGTTTCCACGCCGGCGATATATACAGACAGGGGCTTGTGGGTGAATACCAACAATGAATAGGTGGCCTTGACCCTCTCATATTATTTAGAATGCACGGTTTTGAAGGCACGTTAGAAAACGTCAAGCAGCTGATTTGGCGGCTGCAACTACAATTGGCAGAATCTAGGTGTTGAATAGTTGTATTCCGTCTATTTGCAATTGGTGAATGGCAACGTATTCAACATGTCTAAACTCCGGTTCAATGTTATGCGGTATCTAGGTCTAGAAAACGCTGCAACGTTCAACAGCTGAGCGTAGTGTTCTAAGTCTTCTTGCCGAAAACAGCACGAATCCTGGCGCTCATCTGGGTCTTTGGGAGAGCGGCGCCGTACTCGGCCTCGACGGACGCCAAGCGCGCGGCGTTGATGGCCCTGAGCTTGGCGGTGCCGATTCCCGCGACGCCGGCCTCCTGGTTATCCCCCAGCCAGGGCTTCTTGGAGTCACCCAAGACGCTGCCCGAGAGGAAGTAAATGGTCAAGCCTATAACGATGCACACAAAGGCAATGGGGTACATGAAGTGGATGCTCAGTCCGAACACGTGGATCCCGATAATCACGCCCCAGAAGTTGGCAGTCAGGAGCGAGATGTCGAAAAAGGCGGCGCTTCCCATGCGGAGGATGAGCGGTGCCAGCGTGTAGAAGAGCGTGAGGCATAGGGTATACCCGACGAGGTAACCCCCGACTTTTCCGCTCCAGGCTGAGCCGGCAATGGTGTCGCGGTCAAAGATGGCAGCTTGGGTTCCGTTGATGATCACGCCCAAGAGGCCCATGAAGGCCAAGACGTGGTGCATGGGGGCTTTGGAGACCAGCCATTCTTCAAGAACGTTGCTTGTTCCGTAGAGCGTGGCGCCCAACAGACCGAACAAATCACCCTTGAGTTTGGACTCGCCGCCAGAAGTACCGCTGTCTCGCTGAACAATGTAGTCGGACCCAAGCAGGATACCCATGCCGCCACAGCAGACCAAGATGCCAATAATTTGGAACGGCTTGTAGCGGACTTTGAGAAGCACGAATGAGATAATGACCACACACACAATGGACCAAAAGTTCAACAGCTGCGCGGACAAAATGTTGGTGTACTGGTAAGCCAAAACGGTGAAGTAATTTCCCTCTACGTCGAGAAACGCCATGATGAGATACTTCCACCCATCGCGGTATGCAACTCGCGCCCAAGCTCGAGGGCCATCGCGAAAGAGGAAAATAATGTTGTAGATTATTGCGAGAAACACGTAATTGAAGAGGGTCTGGAACGCTGGTGCGCTGAAATTCTCCTGTTGCAGAAAGCTGGTAAATGTGTTGGTGGCCGTTATACACAAGGCGAGAACCTGGCCGATGGCAACGACAATCCAAAAATCGGCCGTGGCCAGGTAGCTCCACCAGTGAACCGATTTCGACTCGAGGATGTACAGGCCCTGGGTGGCCTCAGCAGTCTCGGAGGAGGCTTCGCCAGCTCGGGCCGTTCCAGAGCCACGGTCGGAAAGGGGGTCATCGCCGTGGCCAGACCAGGCTCTGGCAGAGTGGGTGGTAAGGCCGCTCTTGTTGGGAGCCATGTCTTCCGGGTGGTCGTTTGTGGTGGTCATGATTCTTGCTTCTGGTGTTGTTTCTTGTCCGTCAGGATCCTGGGTACCGACTGGCTCGTAGCCGTGGTTGAACTTTGCCGAGAACAGGCGCAAGATGTATTGAAGAATGGGAGAGTGGCTGTCTGCCTGTCCCATTCACAATGTCGAGGGCACGTCAATGATGCTAGATCTAAGTCTTTCTTCGTCTCCGGTTTGCAGCAAGCGCAAAGACTTCAAGTCGCCTGCTGGGTGTCCTATTGCAATGGACGGCACATGCGATGATGCGCCGTGGTACAGGGGAATTGGTGGATGTCGCACACGAGCGCCGACATAGGCTGCGAAGTGGACGTGGTATGGAGAGGGAGTTCGACTGTGTGGTTACTAGTTGTCAGAACTTGGACCAAGTTCCTTCAACAGGCGCAGGGGCGCAAACGCAAACGCTCGGGCGTAGTAAATGGAATAGGAAAATGCGTCTCACGAAGGGAGTTGCGCGATGAAAAAAAATACTCGCTTGCGGCGCCGCGGGGGAGGAAAAACCTGCACATGATGATCCCACGCCCGCTCTGCGGCCCCCCAGTGGCAAGCCAGCGAAAATCTTGGCAAAACGGCTGGAGTTGAGCGGGGCAAGGACAACCAGTGGTTCCTGTCAAAACTGTCATCCGCAGGCACCACGTTCTAGAGTCTGGACCATGGCAGACGACAAGGTACGCTGCATGAAAAAAACGGCACGGGCTTCAAAACCAACCGTCTGTTCAAATGCTCGCTTTCTGTACCTAAGCCACGCACCTCCGACAATGCTACTACGTGCTTAGCACCTCCATCACAGACGCCACTATGTACTTCGTCTCAGCATACAAATTGACATTCAGTGCCTTCCAGACCCCTATTCCTTCGGAAACCTCGAAACGCCTACGCAGTTTGGCGATCCAGTCACAAGAATTCCTCAACGCGAAATTATCTCCAGCCCGGAAAGGCGCCAAGAAAATGCTTATTTAACAGGTAGCCTAACGGGAATCCGAGGCTGTTCTTACCATGATTCGTGCGCATAGTGTCTTGGGACACCACTTGTCATGGCTACTGTACAGCCCCGTCCAGTGTGACCCCTCTGGAACGTGTCCATCAAAAGTTGTATGGATTGCCTTCACAAACCTCATTAGACGATGATGCTCTATCGACATGAAACAGACATTCCGACATGGTTGCCAGACGTGGTGAAATGGCCTGGCTGGAGTTGGGTTGGCAACTGAACGATAACATCCACAGCCATCAGTGCCTCTCCAAGATTGTCCACACAGGGACTTCTCGGATACCATCAACTCTTAGTTTCGGGCCTTTTCTCAGGAACCAGGTCGAATCCCAGCCATGGCTGCTCTGATGGTCTTCGCAATCATCACGTTGGTTGACGTGCCTGGGGCTGTTCCCCGGGTTAGTTCTAATGCTTTGTCAGTGATGCGCTAGGATCAGCAAAATGTCATGTTGTCTGCAGTATACTTACGAGGCATAGGGCCAACTTGGTTTTGTTCGGTGCCACTCTCCCCGTTTTGAGCGACTGAAACCTCTCGATCCGGAATGGATGATATCTCCTTGACGAACAAGTCGTAGCACTCTTCCTCCGACCTTGCCGTTACGGCAGTCTTACCGGGGTTCACTGTGGAAGATCAGCTCAGGTGCTCCTCCAAGCCAGAAAAGGCATCTGCTCAGGAAGACCCGTGGACTCCATTGCTTCTCATTGAATTGAGGCCCAAAATAAACCCGGATTGCTTATGACGTAGGGATTCACTCACCTTGGCTCGTCGGCATATTGTACGGGCACTGATAATGTCCAAGTCGAATCACTTGGCTTGGATAAGTTGTCGGAGGAGTCGGACTGTACATGTCTATTTATGTGCTTTTCCCAAACCTGCCCGTCCGTCAAACTGCTACCGTTGAGGCAGAAGGGGCAGCGGAAACGCGAGGCTTGTGTAGCAACGCTACTAAGTATGGCCGTTGTCAGTATTCAGCAGCAGGAGGCGACATTGGCAACCAGCGGTCTGGCCCAAGAAAAGCAGACAAAGTGTCTCGCAATTTCTTTCACGATTGTGGAAAGCGTCATGGAAGCCCTCCATGTCACTTATAAGCTCCTGGTAAGCCACAGGGCGTGTTGGGGTACAGACAGTGGATCTGCAAGTCCCCAAGACACCACCAAAATTTGTTCTCTCTGGTCAAATACGTACTCCGACAGGTGTTATTACCACGGACCCTGACCCGTGGCGTCGCACTTGACCGTATTTCGCACCGCGAGAGCGCAAGACAAGACTTGATCAAGGTGGGGTGGCTGTCAAAATGCAGGGATGCTGGCACCGCACAGAGTCTCTTATCATGACTTCGCGGCATTTTACCGTAAAGTTGTTAGTGAGCCTTGCTAGCCCGACCCTCTCAGCCTGGGTCCGGTTCGCAGTGGCACAGATTGAAATCGGGACGGTTTCGCGAGGCCCCCTCAAATCGTGTATTGGGCTTCCCATGAATCCGATGCATACGAACTTGTCATACCAAGCTCAAAGGCGACATCATCGGACATTGAACCGATCGGTTCCCAGCCACAGAACTGCAACTTTTCACCCTTGTTTGTCTATTATTATTACAACCATGGTTCGTCTTCATAACGCACATGATACCTCATTGGAAGCCTCATTCTGAGAAGTGTGGACCCAGCTTTCAGCTTCAGCGTCGGAGGGGTGCTGCGTTGCCTGCCGCTGCCTGCCGCTGCATCGCTCTGAAATTTGGGCCCCTCCTCAAGGTCAAGGTCAAAAGGATGCACAGTTTTATCCCGAATGGGAACCGCTAACCCCTCCTCCAGAATACCAAGTACCGCCACATCTCAAGAAGGTAAACGACGACCCTTTTGTCAGCGGGTGTTTAAGATTATTATTAGGATGCTCCAATCATCTGGAAGCTAGGTTGTAAGCTGTGACCCATGCCAGAGTTCCAACTCTCGTTTGTATCTGATCTTCACCTAGGCTCGATCTGCCACAAGTCTTCCGCACTGGGAGAGAGGGCCGGGACAATTTGAGCTTTGTGGCTGGACTTGCCGAAATAATTTTAGCGCCACTCGAGTTACAGACTATGTTAGCTCGAATAGAGGCCTACAGTCAGAGTAAACTGAAGACGGTTATTCCTTCAAAATTATCCGTCCATATGTGGCTGTCTTTGGCTGGTCATTTCTTGTCTTTCAGGTAAAAATTCTCATGCCAGCCAATTCCGCAATTGCTGTGATTGAGAGATCGGCCTCAACACCCAATGGGCGAGTGTTCCCGTCTCTGTCATCCACGTCATATCTACCTTGCGTAATGAGATCACTCAAACCGTCCCATCCATGTCGCGGAATATAAGAGGACTTCGCATAGGTTGCATAGGACGCGCCCCGCGCAGCAAGAACATGGGCGATGTGTGTTCAGCCAGCATGAATTGCTCTTGTATATATTCATACTGGCTGTCATGGGACACAGGCAGGCAGGTCTGAGCTCGCGTGACCATTAGCCAGAGTACTACTCCCTCAGAGTACCCCCATCCATTCAGGGGTCAATTCTATAGGGCTGATTGCAACCCAGAAGGAACATGGGATCACGCTTGTTGAATTCGGCCCCCACTTACTGTATACTGGAACCAGCCCGACCTCACGACATGATTTGATGGAACGAATAGTGTTCAAACACTGATATCCTAGGGTATAGTTCTATTCTTATCTTTGCCCCATGATACATATTAGTCGCCACCCAGAACATGGTTGATGCTATTGGCAGTCACATAGACCGCTCATGGTGACAACACGACATAGCGGAAATTAATGATTGAAGCTCTAGGATCCCCTTTCAATATCAACACTCGCCTTTATTCGGCCTGATGTTACCTCCCTCTGGGAGACGCTGTGCGGCTCGCCGTGTTCGACAGGATCGTGGTCTCTTACAGCCAGCCATGTCGGGTAAACCGATAATCCTTCGCAGCAACATGTCAGCCAATCGACGCCAAATCTAAACGTGGCATAAACGAGCATAACTTTACTTACCCAAAAGGATAGTGTTGACAGCCAATGGCACTCTACCACCTTTCCACTCCCTCGTATTGAGCCCATAGCTGATGGCTTGGGCAAAACTCTCCTGGCCTCTCAGAATGCCGGAGAATCGACTCAGTTCGGAGATGTTATCGGTCTTGGTTGCCAGGAAGTAATACAGCCAGTTCTGTAGCGCCTGCCTGGCAAAGTCCCACAGCAGCAGGACGAAGAAGCCTTCTACGAACCCGGCGTCTGTCCAGTCCCAGACTGGCGGGTTGGCGGTGTACTTTTCCTGAATGACCCAACCGTAGACCCAGGCAATGACGTGCCATACAACGACGTAATAAAAGCCGAGCTCGATTCGTCGCTTCACCCGAATGCCATCGTAATCGAGAAACCAGCTCATAAGCTGTGAGCTTAACAAGGTGCCGAAGTTGCTCACGAAGCCGATAAGAGCACGAGCCCTCACACCAAAATAGTAGGTTTGGAAGTTGCCACTGTACTGGTTGAAGTAGGCGGCCCAGAAGACGGGAAGTAAAAGGAGCAGATCCTTTCGCAGGGTTAGCTTCCATAGGCTCTTGAATTCCGCCCTGAGGCTCTTCTCAGCTTTGACAATGACTTTGCTCCCATCTGCTCGTTGGACGGTCTCTGGCGATGACAGCAAAAGTGCAACGGGTGCGGCAACACATTGCAATGCAACGAAAACAAGGTACGTCCGCGCATCAATCTTGCCCTTCTTCTTGGCAGAAGCATCGTGGTTTAACGCCAGGACAATGGCGCCTCCGAGCAACGGCCCTCCTGTACGAAACCATAGCCAAATATTCATGTATTTGCCTCGTTTGGCAGGCTCAGGATAGCCCAATGCGACGGCGCCTTCCGACGCCCAGAAGAGACCAGCCGAGATGCCGCAGGTGACAGCTCCAAAAAGAACAAGCCATTCGTTTCCGTAGCGGTTGTTAGTGTACAGACCAGCCGAATAGATGGGATAGCCCACTGCGCCGAGGAACAATGTCCAATCGAGACCGATGCGATTAGCAATAGGCCCGCCTATAAGACACAGGATGCCCATCAGTCCAAACACCAGTGCATTTGCGGCGTTGACAAGAAACGGTTCCTGAGCACCGCCTGCGCCAAGGGCGGACATGGCGTTCCAAAGACCGGGGGCCAAAAAGCCCACCATTCCAATAACGAAGGCATTGAATAGTGTTGTCCGATACCAGGTTCGCTTTATGGGTACATCTTGCGCAGGTGTGGTCGTGGGAAGTGGTGTTTTTACCTGCGCGGAAGCAGACGTCGACGACATTGTAGATTTCTGGCACCGCGCTTTTTCCTACTGATGAAATTGGATTATAGCTGTCACAGAGTGAAGAGTATTCACTGTATCCGACTCTACTATATATCTGATCCGCTGCTCATGATTAAAGCGCCACCTAATGTCTTCATCACTTCGAAAATGGCGACATCTTCAAAGGCTCCATAAATCCCCACCTACAAGAACGGCTCGGTCCCTGAGACGAGGGCATTTTTGCCTATCGTAGACATAAAGACCGGGTAAAAGCGCGTTTATCCCCTCGAGACCCGCCTGCAGAACGGTTTATGGGTATTAGTATAAAGGCCATTGACGAAGGCTATTGGAAACGGCAGTGGAAGATAAAGTTGGCCGGTGGGATTATTCTGCATTAAGGTTCGGTGTTGTGTCCGTTGGTAGCCGCAGGAACTTTTGAAGCGGTTTACCGTCGGATGATTTCTTTTTTCCTTGTAAACTTATTAGTTCAGATTTTGTGTCATTTTTGGAGCAAATGGTATAATCAATGGCGCAGCTTTTGCGTTGACGTAGTGTTTGTATCTCAGAAAAGCTTTGGGGGCTTCGAGTTTACCTGTTACGTTCCGTAAAAGTGAGGTTGGATGGACGCAGCATCTAAGGCGCTGAAAATAACGTTTCACGGGTTTAATTTGTGAGAGTGAGAAATATTAAGTTGTATCTAATTGATTGAGACCGCTTTTTTTTTTTTTTTTTTTTTTTTTTTTTTTTTTTTTTTTTTTTTTTTTTTTTTTTTTTTTTTTTTTTTTTTTTTTTTTTTTTTTTTTTTTTTTTTTTTTTTTTTTTTTTTTTTGCCTAGATTTTAACCTTTATAAAATGGTCTTGTAACGTGGTTTGCTTAGCTGGGCCGGGCCACAAGATTAGCACTGCTGGAGTGGAAGGTGTATGAAACTATGGAGTGAAGTCTGCTTCAATCTATTGGAAGAAATGTCCATAGCAAGCCGCAGAACAAAATTATTTGTCACTTATTAGTTGTAGCGCGCGCATAATTTTGACATATTTGCGCTATAGATGCATAATGCCCAAGCAAGATGAAAGGTGACCTTGGGCATTCTTGTATAGGGTAGGATACTTTGGCATTACGCCTCAACCGAGGGACAAGACGTGGCGGACCCAGTGACTGCTCTCAGTGGCTCACGTGCCAAGTCAAATGGCTGGTTGGTGCCTGGCGACGGCACGGCGTGCACACGAGTGACATCAATGGCCCAAATGGTGACATGGGACACCCTGATGGCTGCACTCTCTAGCTTGTCACTCCAATCATCACTTGTCAGCTGAGCGCTTCGTCAGCTTCGGCCGCATCCTTCGTCACCCAGCTTCATCACCTCGGACTTCGTACTCGCGAGGTTCATGAGGCCCAACTGATTGACGCATATCAATTACGCCGCCATGGCGCCAAGCTGGATTTCGGGCGCCACCATCGCCCTCGTCTGGTGCCGTGTTGCTCAGAGTGCGCAGCCCGGAGCTGTGCAGCCCGTCGCCGCGCCGATGCGTGACCTGACCTGGGGACAGCTCAACTTTTTGCATACCACCGATACACACGGCTGGCTGAGTGGCCATTTACTAGAGTGAGCTCACCTTCTTCTCTTGGGACGAACCACTGGACCATGGTAAACACAGTGCTGACGGGGGAAGACCCCAATACTCGGCCGACTGGGGTGACTACATTTCCTTCTCCCAACACATGAAGAAGCGCGCCGATGATACCGGCAGCGATCTGCTCCTTGTCGACTCAGGTGACCGCGTTGAAGGGAATGGCCTCTACGATGCATCGACCCCGAAGGGTCTATTCTACTATGACGCTTGGGCGGAACAGCACGTCGACCTCATCTGCGTCGGCAACCATGAGCTGTACCAGGCTAGCACGGCCGATTACGAGGCCAACACAACCGTCCCCAAATTCGGAGACAAATATGTAGCTTCAAATGTCGATTACATTGATGGCGAAACGGGCGAACGCAAACCCTTGGCACAGCGCTACCGCAAGTTCAAAACCAAGAACAAAGGACTCGAGATTTTGGCCTTTGGCTTCCTGTTCGACTTTACTGGAAACGCAAACAATACGATTGTGCAGCCTGTGGCGGAAGCGATCAAGGAGAAGTGGTTCCAAGATGCCATTCGCGAGAAGCCCGATCTTTTTGTTGTGGTTGGCCATGTCGGCTTGCGCATGACGGAATTCCGCACCATCTTCACGGCTCTGCGAAAACAGAACTGGCACATTCCAATTGTATTCTTCGGTGGCCATGCTCATGTGCGCGATGCATTGAGCTACGACTCGCAAGCATTTGCCATGGCCTCGGGACGATATTTCGAAACTGTTGGTTTCATGTCCATTGATGGCATACAAAAGCAGTCGGCCGACGATGTCTCTGCCGCAGCATCACTCAAGTTCAACCGCAAGTACATTGACACGAACCTCCTTGGCATGTACTACCATACTGGGCTCAACGCCACAACCTTCCCCACCGACGACGGCAAGCGTGTATCCAAAAAGATTGCACGCGCACGCAAGGCGTTGGATCTCGACCACCGCTACGGTTGCGCACCGAAAGATCTGTGGGCAAGCCGTGTCCAATATCCCAACAACGCAAGCATTTACTCTTGGATCCAAGACGAAGTGTTCCCCGACGTCGTGGTGAACAAGAAGCGCAAGGACAAGTCTCGCCTCGCGATTCTAAACACCGGAGGCATCCGGTTTGACATTTTCAAAGGCCCATTTACCCGCGACTCAACGTACATTGTCTCTCCATTCACGAGCGGCTTCAATTACGTGCCTGATGTGCCGTATAATATCGCCAGCAAGGTTCTGACTATTTTAAATGGCGCAGACAAGATCTTGAGCACACACGGCGCCGAGACTAGGTTTATGGCGATTCCCGAAGTCATGTTCCCATCCAGACACGGCCAATCGCCGGCTGCTGCGGAACAGGAGGAGGACGAGAGGCTTGAACTACGCGATACGAAACCAGATCTGATTCGCGGCTACACCACCAAAGACGACATTGGTACAGATGGCGACGATACCGTTCACGAAGCCATTCCGTTCTATAACATCCCTAATTGTATCCAATCACAGATCAATTTCCCCGAGAAGGGGGACCCCGAGACGGTTGACCTGGTCTATATCGATTTTATTCAGCCCTGGATCATCCCGGCATTGAAGTTTGCCGGCGGAGACTATAGCACTGATGATGCCAAGGTGTACATGGACGGCACACTGACGTATAAGCTAAGCGAATGGATTGGTAAGAATTGGCAGGGTGATTGCTGATGTAGTACGGCTGCAAGCGCTTCGGGGATGTCATAGATGTAATAATGCTTCGTGTTCTACCAAGAGTTGCCCGCAAGACTGTCGTTGTGACGAGCTCCGTCATGCGCCCCCCCCCGGCCGGTCGAGCTTGTAATTTCCCCGTTAACGAGAATCTCCTGCCCCTCACATGTTCAGCCTCGTCAGACGCCAGGAGTCAGCATCCGCCGTTGTCTCCACGGGAACTTGCCGCTACCGTATGCCCCTACCTCCCCTCAACACCGAGTCTATCCGTCAGGCTCTTCGTACAGCGTATGCACGAGCCCTCGCACAATGGCGGCGATGCGCACCCCACGCGGGCCGTACGACACCGCCGTAGCGCGAAGCTGCCTTGGCCGTATTGTAGGCGATCTGGTCCCTTGCCAATGTCCGCAGGAGCGATGCTCGACACACATACCATGCTGGCCCCGGCGGTATGGACCTCCGTCGCCGGAAGAACATGATGGCAAGCAAAGACGCTCTTGAGATTAATGTCCACTTGGGAGCCCCGTCTCTTCGCTCATGTCGGGCTGCGACTGCCCGACGTTGCTAAGCAGGATGTCGATGCGGCGGTGCCTGGCGAGACAGGTGTAACGAGGGACTTTACAGGCTCCGGGGCGCGGCATCCGCCTCGACAACGTGATGTCGCGTGCTTGTCCGGCCTCACGGATGATTTGGGAAGTGCGGTACGGCAAGGAGTAGACTGAGTAGTATTACCAGGACAAATGAGGGGTAGATGGACGTGACGCACTCTGGTGGAGAAGTTTGAATAATAAAGCATCAGTGCAAGCGATTCCCCTTATTGATTACAGGTTGCGTCCGAAGATGGTTGGGCCGCGGCGCACGCGGCGCCGATGCCCCAGCTTTTGAGGGCGATTTTCCCGTCCAGATGGAGAGCTTTTTATTTTTATTTTTATTATTATCGTTATTTTTTTTTCTGCGGGTTTTCCTTTCGTGGTACTTTGGCTTTTGAACGTTTTCGAGTTTGGCATGAAGAGCAGACAAGACGGTGACTTGTAGCCCTTGGTGGACGGACATCTAGCCGGCCCCACTGGGTTCTTGCCCGGCTCCGTTGGCCCCCACGCCGAGTTGATCCCGATGCGGAGGTCCGTCGCCACGGGTAAAGCATACAACTAATTTGGCTGTTTGCGACGTTTCCAAAATACCACCTATACGGCACAACTTGGAGATGTCTGACGGCTCATCATGCACAATGACTGATGGCTAATCGCCAGATCCCACGATGGCCGTCAAATGACCCCTCTTTGGCAACCGGCCTGTGGCATGGCGTCACGCACGGCGACGCCCACCAGTCTGTTCCTGGGAAAAGTCTTGATCAAGAGCCTGGGATACGGCCAAGACTCTATTGCTGGTGGACTTGAAGCCCAGCAGTGACAGGTACATGGTTGAATTTTACACTCGAGGCACGGAAAGCTGTCGGTGTTGGGCTGTGTTATATATATTGACGAAAGATTGGGAAAAAGGTGGTTTTTGGCCGCTTTCTAGCACCCGATTTCATGCCCCGGCATCTCGGCTGCATCCGGCCCCGGGCTTCGACGTCATCAAGGCAAGCGATTCCAAGGACAAACGGATGCTGCGTTCGTCTCCGCCAGGTCAAGAGACGTGGCTCGGCGTGTCGACGACCCGCATCCGAAAGTTACGCCGGCCAGCGTGCTGGCGCTGCCGGGCATTAATCCCACGGAGAACGCCCCGGTATGCCTGATGCCCATCCTCCGGAAGTTTCCAGAGGAGGGCGTCATCGAAATGCCGAGTGTTTTGCCCGAGAGCGCGAGCCCCGAGTCTGTCTTGAGGTATGTGCGCCGAAATAGCGCGCAGAGCGCAGGCGCGAAAGGCAAGTCCTCAAGGACGCGGCGGGCTGGCTGGAAACAGTATGAGGGTACCGCGGCTTTACATGCGGTCTGCACCAGACGCAGCAGACTGCACCGGGTGTGCTATCGTCTTGTAGAAGTCGTAGAGAGTTTGGCCCCGTGGCTCGCAGACGGCCTGATTCCGTTTCGTTGTACTTGTCCTCAACAAGCTCTTTGTGCCTCAAACAGTTGCCGCCCGCGCCGTAGGGCCCGTGAGCAGCTAATAGTAGACGCAACACTGCGACGGACGTCTCGTTTCCCATCTTTGGACGCAAAATGGCTACTTTCTAGGCAAAGATTGACGCAAATGAAGCATCACTGGCGACGGACCACTCAGACAGCTCGCCGGTGATGCTAGATTCTATATTGGGTCGCCATCGGCCTCACGAATCCCGCTGGCTCCAGGTAGTATGGCAACCAGCACGCGAGGAACAAGTGTTTTTTCTGCACGATGCAAAGTCTTACCAATCCTGGGCGTGGCCACCGCCGCCCAGGCGTCGTTCCGTGCCGACGGGCGAAATATCCGTCGTATTCCCACGTAATGGAACCTATGCCGTCGTCTCCCCCCTGCGCCATCGCCTTTGGATATTGCAACACACCGGTCCTGCTCTCCTTTGGCTCCCAGCTCGGGTGGAGCGTGGAATGCGTCGACGGCGCCCTCTACGGCTCGCCCACCGTCAAGGGTTACGACAACGCTGCCCTCCCTGCCGCTGCTGAGCTATACTTTGTGTTCAACTCCACGGGTCCCCTGAACGAGGCTGCTCCGGACTACTTGAATAGCTTGGCCATCTTTTCATCACAGCCTTTATAGTTGAATGCTCTCACGCTCTTCGGGTAGTAATAGCCCGTCAAATGAACAATGATTCAAATAACTGGGTGAGAAGCAAATACCCGGTACACCGGTGGAGCGATCAAGCAGCCAACTCTGCCGATTCCACCGAGAAACCAGGAAAGAAATTGCCTGAAAATCGAGACACTATAAGATGATACTTGTGCTGATCACTTCCACGAAGCGCACAAAGACAGCTGCACCAAACGTAGAGCCCCGTGTCGGTTCTTCGCAATTCACAAAAACCATGAAACCGAAAAATGTTTGGTTCAACAAAACATCAATTCATAAAGTATATGCCAAGAGAAATAATGAAAACAACTCCATCTAGCTAGAGATAGAATAAAAAACATTCCAAAATAAAGGAAACACATTCTTCAGTCCCCCATTTTTTTTATTTTTTTGGTTCCAACCTGCTTCCTCCAACTGTCCAGCACCCAACCAATAACTACAGCCTCCCCACGTGAAGCAGGAGTTCAGACCACGTAGGATGCTCAAAAACGTCTTCAATTCTGAGCTTATAGCCTTGTCGTTGCATATGAGCGGCTAATTGGCCGGCATTGTTAGCGTCGCCACCTAGTTCGAAAAAGGTTTCCGTAGATTCGTCGCTGGGCACAGTTTGCAGACCGAGGACATCTTTCCAGGCCCTGCTGAGAGCATTCTTTAACTTGGCGGGACAGCCATTGAGCGCCGTCATCTGTTCGTCAGTTGGAGGAGCCAAGGTGACGTTGGCGTCGGCTGGTAGGGGCAGCAAGGCCGGCAGGCTCCGAATGTCGCGCGGCGCGATGAGTTTTGTGTCCATGGCCTTGTGGAACTGAATGATGGTGTCGGCCAGATCCGACGCGAGCTGCTGCGCTAGGGCATGAGAGATGACGTTGTCCGTAAAGGTTAAGTCAATTTCGGTGCTGTCTGCGCCCGGTGTAGAGGTGATGTAGACCTCCACACTGTCAATATCACCCGTCGACAGGTCAGCGCTATCAAAATCGACCAAGGACTCTTCCGTCTGGCGGTCTTCATAGTTCTGGTGTGTGATGACTGAACTGAAAAAGGCCCATTTAGGCCAGCTTGTGCAATTGTGAATGATGTCTCGGGAACCCATTGTCTCAAATGGTATGCTTGCCGCTTGCTGAGAATTGACTGTGGAAATCAGGTCCCTGGCAGACCAGTCTTCTTGGAAAACGATGCGGGCTGGGACAATGTTTACGCAGGGACCGAAGACGTCTTGTGTGCCTGGCTGGTTGCGACCGTGTATAAGGCTGCCGAATACAACATCTTCAGTGGCTGAATATCTTGCGAGGACGTACGACCATGCGGCCTTCAGGACGGTAGCAAAGGTGAACTCCTCGGATTGTAGACTGGATGCTGGTATAGTCTTGACAATGTTCGGACCAAGCCCATACCCGAGACGATGTGTTGTCTGGTCCTTGATGGCTGTTCGAGTGCTTCCCTGGAGCATGTTCCGCCAGTATTCAGTCGCCTTTTGCTTATCGAGGAGTGATAGAGTGTGCATGTAATGCGAAAAGCTTGTTTTTGCGTCGCCTGGAGGAGCCGACTTGTATGCGTCTTCAAAGGCAGCCCACATCTTGGCGAGCGCCGTGCCGTCATACTGTGCATGGGATAGGCGTATTACAATACGATACTTCTGCTCTTGTGTCTGGCGAATGACGGAAATCTTCGTGAGTGGTTGTCCGAACTGCAGATCGCAGAGCAAATCTTGCTTTTTCAACCCCAAAGTGTATTCATCCAAGCCACTCGTCGCGGTTTCAAACACACCAATATCTAGATCCAGATTGGCGAGCACGGCTTGCAAGAAGCTATCTTTATATGCGATGAAGACGGTTCTCATCATGTCAAGACGCCTAATGAGACTAGCGCAAGCGTGCTGCATTTGGCCAAGGTCGAAATCGCCGTCATGATCTAGTGTGTGGTAGTACACAGCGCTACGAGCCGTTGTGTAAGTTGTAAGTAGATATCGGGCCTGCTGGTCGGTAACAGGAATGATGTCCTGCACATTATCTGTTGAGATGCCGTGTTCAATCAAAATCTGCTCGATTTCTGGGCGGCTTTCTGGCGGCAGTAGCGAAAATCGGCGATATTCGAGTGCATGCGCAACTGACTCCCCATTCAGATCTTTGAGGCAGGAGGCCATCTGCGACAGCTTAGGGCTCATGAGAATGTCGGCAACAGCAAGGTGGAAACCTTGGCTTCGGGCTCGCTGGGCGAGTTTCATGGCCTGAATCGAGTCACCGCCAAGATGAAGGAAGCTATCATCTGCACTAATTTCTTCGGCATTGAGGCCAAGGACGTAAGCCCAAAGCTTCTGCAGACATAGCTCCATGGGAGCAGATGGCGGCCGGCGTTCTGGCTGTGGCCCAGTCGAAGACATGAGCTCCAACAGAGTCAGTTTCCCCCCCATAGCGCGGAGCTGCTTGCGGTCCAACTTCCCGGTGGCGGAAAGTGGTAGCTTGTCTACCATGATGTAGGCCGAAGGGATCATATATCCAGGAACCTTGGAGGCAAGGCGATCGTTGAGACCCGCTGTCAGTGTGCGCATCGCTGACTCGAAGTCACCAATTTGTCCGGATGACTGTATAAAAGCAGCTAGCATCGCGTTGTCACTATCCCGAGGCGTTATAACCTCCGCCGCAAGCTGGACTTTCGACATGGCGCTTAGGCTCGACGCAAGATTGTGTTCCACATCGCCAAGTTCCAAGCGTTGGCCGTTGATCTTAACCTGGCCATCTTTTCGCCCAATGAATGTCAAACTACCGTCGACATTATACTGAACAAGATCACCAGTTTTGTATACGCGCCCTCTGCGGCCTTGGTGGCCAGGTCCGCCACGGAGTAGCCAAGCTGGACTTTCAATAAAGGAGCCTGCAGTCTTTGCGGCATCACCAAGATAGCCCGATCCAACGATTGGCCCTTCCAATACCAATTCTCCAATTGTCCCAACTGGTGAGAGTTTGTTGTGATTTGAAGGATCCACGACCCAAGTACACAGACCGACGCCGCGGCCAATGCTGGCTGCTGAAGACGAGGCAGTTCCGTCGAGCTCGGCCAATGTGGCCTTAACTGTGCATTCCGCCGGGCCGTACATATTGAGCACACGCGCATGCTTCGACCACTGTGAGGCTTGATGGTTCGTGAGTGCCTCACCAGCAAAAACAACGGTTTTGAGGCACCTCAAGTCTGATGGCCGTAGTGTACTGGCAACAGATGGCGTGATATCTATGAAGTTTGCATTGTAAGCTAGAATTGAGCCGGTAATATCGTCAAGAGCCTCTTGCTGTGACGGTATACAAAGGCAGCCCCCAGCAGCCATCGTATGGATAAAATTGGACCAGCTAATATCAAAAGCATATTTAGCAAGGTCATATACCCGGGAAGACCTGCTGAAGCCTGTAATAGCTTGTTGATGATGGATAGCGCTACTAAAGTTAGAATGAGTGACGATTGCTCCCTTTGGAACACCAGTGCTACCTGATGTAAAGACAAGGTAAAGCTTGTTCCAGGGCTCAACCTTTGGAAGCGTTTGTAGGGCAATTTCGTCAAATTCTCCTTGGGATCCTTCGCCCAAGACCAATATTGGTTGATCAGTCAAGCCCTTCGCGAGCGATTGGCCCAGCGAAGACGCCAGAACCAAGGACGGGCTGACTTGTTGCAAAATACTGCGTAGTCGCTCTGGAGGCAATGTGGTATCTAGAGCGACCGATGCGCCTCCGGCTTTCATAACAGCTAGCATCGCTATAGGCATCCAGCGAGACTTCTCAAAGCAAATAGGCACGATAACATCGGGACCAATACCTAGACTATTCAGGCGATGGGCGATGCGTGTGGAAATAGAGTCAAGTTGATGATATGTCCAGTTGCCGTCCCACGCGCAGACGGCCGGGGAATCAGGATACTTAGAGGCATTCTCGGCAATCAAGTCATGCACGGCGTGATTAATAGTCTCGGGGACGAGGGAATTCCAGTCCCAAATCTCCTTCAGCTCCCCGGAGCTGACCGTGTCAATATCGGTAATCTTGACCTGAGCCATATCAGGGTCACATAGTTGGCGCAGAATCAGGTCAAATCGGGCCGCGAGCTTCTCTACTTCAGGCTTCTTGATGACTTGAGAGTCGAACCTGAAGCGAAGCAGCGCGCCATTGCTCTCAAGATCGCATTCAATCGTGATAGCATGGGTGTCAAATCCGGCAAAGGAGTCATCGACAATTTCGTCTCCGTCCCCGTCCCCTTCGTCTTCTGCGTCGTTGTAGAGAAAGCTTGTGGATTTTCCCGCTTCCTCAATCGGGTGAATAAGCAATAGTGTTTGAAAGTTGCAAGCTTGCTTGGCAGATGCGTTGACCCTTCGAATTCTCTGCAGACCCGTTTGTTCGAATGCCGTCATGTCAATAACTTGGGCTTGCACCTGATGCAAAAGTTGACTGACGGTACTTTCTCTGTCAACGGCCACCCTAATTGGTACAGTAGCGATTGTTGGGCCCGTCATATTCTCAATTCCAGGTACTGGAGCCTGCCGACCAGTGACTGTCGCTCCGAACAGTGAATCGGAAGAGTCAGAAGGCACTGCAATAAGGATTGATAGTGCGGCGCGAATAGCAGTCGATGCGGTTGTATCCGTCTTTGGCCACACCAAATCTTTGATTCGGTGCGAAATACCAGCGTCTGACCGTGGCTGGTATACTGGCGAAGGTAGTGATGGAAATGCTTGAGCCTGGATTTGGTCAAACTGCGACGCCCAAAACCCTTCGGCACCGCCGTCATCGACACCACCAATAAACTTGACAAAGTCCTGGAACGGCGGTGGTGGTTGTAGAACTGTTCCATTGTATGCCATCTCTAGTCTCTCAAGAACTAGTGGCATTGACCACCCGTCATACAAGGCATGGTGTACAGTCCAGATAAAGCAATGTCGGTCATGAGAGTCTTTGGTGATCGCGTACCGCATGAGAGGTGTACCCAGGCCCATACCCAGCTTCTTGTCTGCTTCTTGGTAGAGAATGGTGCTGGTAGGCTCTGGCCACATTGTCGGTTCTTCTGCAACAACCACTTGAACTAATCCTTGAGTGTGAAGATCGACAATACGTGTTCGAAGAATTGGCGTTGTTGCAATCACGTGCTCCCAAGCACGCTGAAAGCGAGAAATACTGATGTCCCGCTTGAGCTCGAAGATATTTTGAGCCACATAGTCACCGGAGCGTCTCAAGGTGAGAGCCAAAAGGCCTTCCTGTAAAGGTGTGCACGGGAATGCGTCTTCAACAAGCGATGCGCTGACGTCGCAGAGCTGGGCAATCTGGGCTCGCCACTCTAGTGCGTCTAGCTTGCTTGAAAGCAGAGAAAACGGCAGCACGGCTTCATTTTCATTGCCGAATGAGTTGCGAATAGTTTTAGCGAGGTCACTGAGGCATGGGTGGCGAAAGATGTCGGTGACGGTGATAGAAAGGCCAGCATCCCGCGCCAAGCCAGCAAGCTTCATGGCGCCAATAGAATCTCCTCCAATACGCAAGAAGCTATCTTCGGAGCTAATCATCTCACGTGGAATCCCAAGTACAGTGGACCAAAGTCCTTGAAGCTGAATCTCCTTTGGCGTCGTTGGTGCTCGTCTTGTCGCCTGGGTCGGGCCATGAGCCATGAGCTCAACTCTTGTAAGTTTCTCAGCCATGGTGCGGAGTTTTCGTCTATCTGTCTTGCCCGAAGGCGTCATCGGGATGCTCTCAAGCAGCATGTAGGCAGAGGGTATCATGTAAGCAGGCACTTGCGCGGCGAGTCTGTCAGCCAGACCGGCGATAATCTTGTCCAGGTCTGCAGAAGACTCCTCTACGCCCAAGAAAGCAACTAGAGCACGTCTTTCGCTGTCTTGAGGCTTGACCACGTCCACAACCACTCGAACGTCGCCTTCATAGGTAATATTAGACCTGATATAGTATTCGATATCACCCAGCTCTAGACGTTGGCCGTTAATTTTGACTTGGCTATCTTTACGGCCAATGAATGTTAGGCTGCCGTTAGGCTGGTAACGCACAAGATCGCCAGTCCTGTACAGGCGTCCCTGCCGTCCGGGATGGGTTGCTGAGCCACGCAGCAGCCAAGAAGGGTTTTCAATGAAGGATGCAGCTGTACGCTCGGCATCATCGAGATAACCAGGACCAACTAGCGGGCCTTCAAGGAACAGTTCACCAGTGCTTCCCACAGGGGCAAGAGAATCACCCGTTGTGCTCACGACCCATGTATTGACACCATAACCACGACCAATGCTAGGCACTTCAACATTGTCTGGGTCAATTGTTGCCACCGTCGTTGTTGGCGTGCACTCGCATGGCCCGTATGAGTTCTTGACGTTTGTCATACTGGCCCAATACTTGGCCAGTTCGGGCGAAAGCACTTCACCACCAAGAATCAGCGTGTCTAATCGTTTTATCGCGCTGGCCGGAAGAAGCTGAGCAGCTGAGGGAGTCATTTCCGCATGGGAGACCTGGAATCTCTCCAACGAGCCGGCTAAATCGTTCTGACGTTCTGAATTTGATGGAATACAGAGGCATGCACCGCATTCAAGAGTACTAAGCACATTTTGCCAGGACGTATCAAATGTATATGATGCGAAGTCATAGACTCGGGCACCAGCCTTGAAGTTATGTGCGCCGTGTTGATGGCGAAGGGAACTGGCAAAATTTGCGTGATTAATAGTAACGCCCTTTGGGGTTCCAGTACTGCCCGAGGTGAACACAACATATAGCGTGTTAGAAGGCGTCACATCAGAAAGAATCATAGCGGAATTGGGAGGCGGTTCCAGAGGAAACACATTAGCCTCATCAACTGTAAAGACGAGGCCCGTAGTCAGGCGACTCACGAGGTCCTGGCTGGTTGATGAAGTTAGGATAATCGTTGGCTTGACCTGCTGCATAATGATGCGCAGACGCTCCTCAGGAAGGGCAGTGTCTAACGCCAAGCTCGAACCACCAGCTTTCATAACTGCAAGCATTGCTATAGGTGTCCAGCGAGTCTTTTCAAAGCAGAGCGGAACCATGTGCTCAGGACCGACGCCGAGTTTCACTAATTTATAAGCGAGATTTGTGGAAAGGGTATCCAACTGCTGATAAGTCCAATCGCCATCCCAGGCACAGATGGCCGGGTCGTTGGGGAATTTACGCGCCGTTTCGGATATTAAATCGTGTACTAATGCTTCCACCTTCTCGGGAACAACAGAGTTCCACTTCCAGATCTGCTCAAGATCTCCTTGGCTGACCATGTCAATCGCAGCGAGTGTGGCTGAAGCTCTCTTTTCACTAACGATTGATATGGTGATGGCGCTCAACAGCGAAATAACACGCTCGGCCTGTTCGTTTGTCAGGCAAGACAAGCGGTAGTCGAGTGAAAATGCCACCTGGCACTTGCCATAGCTGATGTCGAAGGAAATGTCATACTGTGCAACGAGATGAGTATTATGTATTGGACATTTCATTGCCATGAGTGCAAACTTACCTCGGTAGGATCCTCATGATCCATGTCAATAAAAATTAAATCTCCGACAGCGACATCGTCTGCCGCGTCTGCATCGTCCTTTTGAAATGAAACAATAGTATTGAACAGTGGGTATCCAGGAGAAAGCCGGAGGTCATGCTGTATATCAGCAAGAGAGCAGTGCTGAAAGTCAAGGTCCTCTAGGACTTGATCGTGAAGACGCTTGACAAACTGCCGCGGAGTCCAATGGCGCGAAACATCAGCGCGGCAAATCATCATATTAGCATAAGCGTTGACAGACTCTGCGATGCCATCAATAGGTAGGTCACGGCCAGAGGCAATGTATCCAAAACACACAGAATCATTGCTAGTGTAAGCTGATAGCAATAGCGCCCAGGCACTTTGGAATATGCTCGCAGGGGTAACAGATTCAGATTCACAGAAGCGCTGTATGCGTGCAAAGTCGTCGCCTCCGAGATTAGTACTAACCACAGCGATGGAGTTTCCAGGTGAAGACGCGTCGGAAAGAGTAGGAAAGTGACATGGCTCAAGACCGGCTAGCTTTTTCTTCCAATATGCCATCTTGTTGGCCAGAGGACTCGACTTGAGAGCCCGGACGAAGTTGCGGTTCGTCTCCCCTAAATTTTCTGTGCCCAAGATTCCGCTATATGCCCTTGACCAGTCATTTAGCATTATGGCGGTAGATGCGCCATCAACGATTGTGTGGCTCATTTCAATCTGGCAGATGATTGTGTTGACATCCCTAGCCGTACAGAGAGCTAGGCGATGAGCTGGTTTGAGCCGCTGATAGTCAACTGGAGCTAATTTCCGAATCGTAGTCACAGCCGCTGTCCTGTTTTCAGCCTCACATATTATTACCTCTCCTTGGTATGTCTCGAGTACGGCCTGGACAAAGGCTGTCTTGTTGTCGACACCTTCGATAAAAACGCTGCGGAGGGCCGGGTGGCGCGCAACAACGGCTTGCCACGCGTTGGCCAGAACATCAATGTTAAGTTGCTGCAGGCTATTATGGTGTTTCATCTCATACGTGAGCAACGTCTTGTAAGCTTCCGGATCCTTTATTTGACTAAGTAGCATGCCATCAACCATAGGCGAGCAAGGGTAGATGTCGGTGATGGCAGTGCCAGTTTCGGACTGTAGGGCGGGAAGAATACGATTCTGCAGCTCATCGAGGCCTTTGTAGTCCAGGTTCAAGAATTCATAGTCCGCAATAGTGAGTGAGGGCTCGCAGGCCAACAGGGAGCTGCAAAGAGCCTGCATCGAGGGAGCAACCTGCGCGATCCAGTCTCGGATGAGATCCTGGTGGCTGATATGTCGGTTCCAAGAAAAAGTGAATTTGGTTAAGCCACCTTCAATGGACGCATTAATGCTGAAGAGTGCGGAGGTGGGCAGGTCAGAGCCGACGTCGAAAATATCGAATGCGACATTCTCGAATAAGGAGTCGTCGGATTCCAACTGCTGAAACTGGCCATGGTAGTTAAAAAGCACTTCCATGACACAATCATGAGACTCAAAGGCCTTGATGCCCTCATCATTGAGATAGCGCGAGGTAAAGTAGGCCCAGCCATTCGAGGGCAGCTGTCTTCTCATATCCTTGACAACTCTCGCACTGTTGTACCTCGTGTGATCACGCGATACGTGCATCGGGGTCATTGTAGTGAACCAACCAACAGTTCGGGATAGATCGATTTCAGCCCCCCATGGCTCTCGGCCGTGGCCTTCATTGAAAATTGTAAGACCATTACGCATCTTAAAGGTGTTAAAGAATGCATCCCAAACTGACGCTAGAATGATATCAACTGGCTCAGTATTAAATGCCCTGTTAGCTGCTTTAAGTAAAATCGCAGTTGTCGCACAGTCGACCTCGAAGGATTCCTCGATATGGTCATCGAAGGTATTGGGGGTGGTTGGAGTGTAGTTCCAGAAGTCGAGCTCATTGTGAACCTCGCTGGACAAGACCCTCTCTGGTGCAAAGTTTGGCGACTGGGCTTCTTGTTTCTGAAGACTATGCCAGACTTGGAAGGGTAGCTCTTCGAGGACCGTACCGCCGTTGAGAAGGGACTCTAAATCCTCTAATATGATACGCCAGGACACCAAGTCGACAACTAAATGATGAGCAATGAGTGCAAGGTATTGCTCGCCGGATGGGAGGGTGAACATGTCGACGGCAAAGACCAACCCACGCTCAATATCCAACTCTTGGTGGCGCTGAGATATCACTGACTGGACAGCGGGAAGGGTGTCAGCCTGCAGAGGTGCAAAGTGGTAGAGGGCATCTCTTGGCTTTGGAATCAGTTGCGTCCAGGAGCCTTTCGTTTTATCCAGATGAAATCGTGCTCTCAACATGGAGTGCTCCTGAACTATCTTGCGAATAGCAAGAGAGACGTGATCTGGGGACATCGGGCGCTTAATCTGAACATAGAAGGCCTGGTTGCAGTAATAGCGTGTGGTATTTACCTTGTCTGGCGGGGACTGGGCAAAGAACCACTGCTGTATTGGTGAAAGACTGAAAGGCTTGTCGAAGTCCTCCTCCCGGGATAGAGAAGGGCCCTTCGCAACAGTTGCAGACTCGGCGACATCAACGAGCTTTTTACTCCTGAGTAGTGACGCAACAGATACTAGTATACCAGAGGCGCGGCAATACGGACTAACACGCATTGCAGATATAGAGTCACCGCCATTGGCGATAAAAGATCGCTGCATATTGATATGGTTGGCAGGAATATTTAGAATGTGGCTGCATGCGTCCTGGATCACTCTCTCTGTCGTGGTGATTGGGCTGCTGGCTGACGATACGGCATTGGAAATTCTGGCAGACATCTCTGCATCGAGGCTAGAAAGCCAGTTCTCAACCAACTTGCGGTCCAGTTTGCCGGAATGATCGACAGGAATGTTCTTCAGTGCTACCCAGACATCTGGAACCATGTACACAGGGACTGAGTTGTCCAGCAACGCCTGTAGAGACGAAATATTGTCTTGTACTTCCTCAGCCCTGTCTCTTGTTACGAGATGAAGTACAGTATTATCGGCATCGCTATCGTCTTCGTACACCCCATCAAGACTAAAAACGCCAGCAAGTTTGCCGGCAAAGGGTCCAGATTTAGGGACCAAGCAAGCAGCTCGACGTATGGATGGCAGGCGCACCATGTGATTCTCTATGTCTTCTAGCTCCACGTGTTGACCGTGAATCTTGACCTGAGCCTCCTTGCGCGCAATAAATGTCAAGGAGCCATCCTTATCATAACGGACTAGATCACCGGTTCTGAATAGTCGGCCTGTGCGGCCTGGATATTTTGGATCGCCACTACCACGATTGAGCCATGGTGGGTTGTGAATGAGGGCTGCCGTCGTTGTTTCGGCATCGCCTAGGTAGCCAGCGCCAACCAATGGTCCTTCCAGCACGAGCTCACCGATGCTGCCAATGGGTACCAGGCTTGTGCCATCTCGTGCATCAGTAATCCATGTGTTAACACCGACACCTCTGCCAATTCTGGGCTCATCAGCATCCTCCGGGCGAACAATACCCACGGTAGCTATTGGGGTGCATTCGCAACAGCCGTACGTAAACCTTAGGTCTACCAGTGGAGCCCAACGCCTGGCCATATCTGTTGAAAGACGTTCACCGCATAATATTAAAGTCTCTAATGACTGGACAGTGCTGTCCGAAAGCATAGCAGCGGCTGCCGGGGTAATGTTTATGATTGTGGGTTGCCAGCGGGATATCGAATCCGCGAGGACGCCTTTATGTTCAGACTCTGAAGGAACACAAAGGCAACCGCCGATAGTAAATACGTGGGCGAAAATCTCCCAGGTTATATGAAAGCTATATGGCATGAAATCATAGACCCTCGTGTCAGGCTTGTATCCCAGGGCATCTTGTTGGTACTTCACAGCGCTACACAAGTTGGCATGTGTCAAGATCGCGACCTTTGACGGGCCGGTACTTGCCGAGGAAAGTATGAGGCACGCCATACTTGATGACTGGACAACGGGTAGAGAAACAGCAGTTGCTGTTGCCAATGTTTCGAGAAGATCGTCATTGACAACGAGAATAGGCCGCTCTGTAAGCTTGGCTGCGAGCGGTGCGATTGAGCTTGACGAAAGTAGCAGCATTGGCTTCGATTGCTCCATGATAGCGCGAAGAATGTTTTCCGACTGAGACGAATCCATCATAATTGAAGCTCCGCCAAGTTTCATGACTGCTAACATGGCCACAGGCGCCCAGCGCGACTTTTCAACATAGATAGCGACGATAACATCAGGTCCGACACCAAGGCCTGCAAGATGATAGGCTAGTTGCGTGGCATTGTGCTCCAGCTGGCCATATGTCCAGTCACCATCCCATGCATTAACAGCATACGCTTCAGGTTGTCTTTGCGCCCTTGTTCTGATAAGATCATGAAGACATGAATCGGCAGCCTCAGGTACGATTGAGTTCCATTGCCAGATATCTTTCAGGTCATCCTTGCTGATCAAGTCGATGCTGCGTAGTGTGCTCTCATAGCTCTGAGGAATGTCGTCTCTAATCAGCCTGGTGACGGCAGTCTTGAACAGAGACACGATGCGGTGGGCCTGCTCATTGCTGAATCGCGACGGCAGGCAGTTGATGAACAGCTTCGCCAGCTTAGCACCGACGGTGATGCTGATTGCAACATCGTATTCTGTAGGGTCATCTCCGTCTTCATCGATAAAGTCCAGTTCTTGACTAATATGCCCGTCTTGGAGATCATCAACATCTTTCTGGAAAGACATAATTGTATTAAACAGCTGCTGTCCAGAAATAATGCCCAAATCATGCTGTATATCAGCCAGAGAACAGTGTTGATATCCCATATCTTCTAGGACCTGGTGGTGGAGGTATTGTACGAAACGTTTTTTGTTCCACTCTGGTGAGATGTCTGCGCGGCAGACCATCATGTTGGCGTACGCGCCGATGGCTTCCCCTATATCCGGAACGGGTAGGTCTCTGCCTGAAGCAATATAACCAAAGCAAACACTATGTGTCCCGGTATATGACGCCAATGTGAGTGCCCAGGCTGCATGGAATAAACTGGCAGGAGTGATTGAGTGAGTCTCGCAGAATTTTTGGATAGCAGCAAAGTCTGCGCCGTTTATCTCTACTACTGACCAGGATACCACTTCTGAGGGTTCGGAAATCTTATCTAGATGGGGGAATAGACAGGGCTGAAGGTCAGCTAGCTTCTTCTTCCAATAAGACCTTTTGCTTTCTGAAATACTAGAAGTTAAGGCTCGCGCGAATCCTCGGCTCGTCTCGATTAGATTATCTTTGCCCAAGACGCCCTTGTAGGCCTTGGCCCAATCTTCGATGAGGATCCCGGTGGATGCGCCGTCAGTAATAGTGTGGCTCATTTCGATTTGACAAAGTATGCTATTCGTATCTTGGACTTGGCAGAGAGAAACGCGGTGAGGGGGCTTGAGCTTGTGGTACTTGACCTTGGGAAGCTTTTGCATCAGCGCTCGCGCTGAATCGAGGTTACCACTCTCCAGCAGCACAACATCACCGTGGATCTCTTTGAGGACGACTTGGTTAAAAGCCATACTGGAATCTAGGCTCTCGATAAAAACGCTTCGCAGAGATGGATGACGGGCAATCACGTCTTTCCAGGCTGTAGACAGCTGCCGCATATTAATGACGTGAGAGCCACGCGTTCTGATCTCATACAGCTGAGATGTTTCGTAGAATCCGACATCCTTTAATTGGCTCAGTAAAATACCTTCCACCATTGGAGAGCAAGGATAAATATCCTCTACTACCGTGCCGTTGAGGCTCTCGATTTCGGGAATGATTCGGCTCTGGAGGCCATCCAGGGTGGTATAGTCCAAACTAAGAAACTCGTAATCAACGAGTGTTCGTTCACTGGACCTATTTCTAAGGCTCTTACAGATGGCCTCCAAAGAAGGCCCTATCTGATCAATCCATTCGCGGATGAGGCCCTGGTTAGAGATGTGACGATTCCAAGCAAATGAAACATGGGTTTGTCCGCCCTCAATAGACATGTTGATGTTGAATAGAGAGGAAGCGGGCAGATTTGGTCCCACGTCAGAGACGTTATCAAGAGCTATGCTGTCGAACAAGGAGTGATCCCGTTCGAGCTGTTGGAACTGACCATGGTAGTTGAAAACTACCTCCATGACAGAATCGTGGGAACCAAAAGCTTTGACACCCTTGCTGTTGAGGTACCTAGAAACAAAGTAGGCCCATCCGTTGGCGGGCAATTTCCTTCTTGCATCCTTGATGAGCCTCACAATGTTGACGGAATTATTACCGATGCTTCGTGACACATGTATTGGGCTCATCGTGGTAAACCAACCAACTGTCCGAGATAGGTCAATTTCAGCATTCCAGGGCTCACGGCCGTGGCCTTCATTGAACACTGTGAGGCCATCCCGTAATGGGAAGATGCGAAAGAACGCGTCCCACACTGCTGATAGGAGCAAGTCGACAGGCTCAGTATTAAAGGCGTTATTCGCTTCCTTTAAGGTGAGTGAAGTGGTGTCCCGATCGATTATAAATGTCTTGTCGATGTGATCTTGTGTCGCATTCGGAGTGTCTGGTGTAAAATCCCAGAAGGCCAAATCATTCCTGACGCCCTCCGTGGATAAAACGTGGTCTGGGTCGAATCTAGAACTTTTGGCCTCTTGATATTGTAGGTCGTTCCAGATTTGGAATGGGAGGCTTTCTAACATGGTTCTGCCAGTGAGAAGAGCCTCAAGGTCGTCCAAGATTATTCTCCAAGAGACAAGATCAATAACCAAGTGATGTGCAACGAGAATAAGGTACTGCTCTCCTGCAGAAAGTTCGCAAAGATCAGCAGAAAAGACGAGGCCGCGTTCAAAGTTTAAACTCTGTTGACGCTGAGCTGCAAGAGATTGCATCTCGCTCATGGATTTTAGCTTGACAGCCTCAAAGTGGTAGACGGCCTCGGTGGCTTGTGGAATGCTTTGGGTCCAGACATCGTCTTGCTTCTGGAAGCGGGCACGAAGCATCGAGTGTAACTCCACAACTTTTGAAATAGCGACGCGAACCTCCTTTACATTGACTACTTGGTTGATCCGGACGTAGAATGATTGGTTGCAATAATGGCCTGCTTTGTCAACAAGATAATTAGGCGACTGGTTGAAGAACCATTGCTGAATTGGCGATAAATGGAACGGTTTGTCAAAGTCTTCAGTCCGAGGGAGTATTAGACCTGTCACTTCTGAGGAGAGCTTAGCAACCTCAGCCAAAGACCTAGCCTTTAGCAAAGTAGCGACAGAGAAGACGACATTATGAGAACGGCAGTGTGGGCTCAGCCGCATCGCCGATATGGAGTCGCCGCCATTAGCTACGAAGGAGCGTTGAAGATTAATCTCAGAGGCTGGTATGTTTAAAATCAGGCTACACGCATTTCGAAGAACGCGTTCCGCCTCGGTTTCTGGTTCCCGGCAAATCAAGTTGTTATCAATGCTAGAAAGCTTGACATACGTCTCCTGATCCATATCAGTGAGCCAATTTTCAACCTGCTTACGATTGAGCTTTCCGGAAGGGTTGAGTGGAATTTCCTTGAGCGCGATCCACCGGGTAGGGACCATGTAGGAAGGAAGCGAGCTTTCGAGGATGCTTTGCATGGTTGTAATGTAATCCTGAATGGTGGTAGTAGGATCTTCAAGAACAATATCCGTGCTGGGCTGTGATGACGGGGTAGCCGAATCTTCTATCGAACTCCAGCTGCTACTAGTTAAGTCGGTATCGGGCGATGTTGAGCTAGAAACACTGGCGAGAGAGGGTGTCTGTTGACCCGAGGTGGCGTCGACTTCGTCAAAGCTTTGCTGGATTTTTTGGATACTAAAGACGCTGACAAGTGTATTTGCCCAAAGCCCGGTCTTGGGAAGCAGACAGGCCGATTGTCTTGTAAGATGATGGCGCATAATATGATTTTCGATATCGCCTAATTCGACGCGCTGACCGTGGATCTTAACCTGAGCATCCTTACGACCGACAAATGTCAGGGTGCCATCCTCATTGTAGCAGACCAAGTCACCAGTTTTATACAAACGGCCCTCGCGGCCAGAATGTTCCGGAGCCCCTCGAGTAAGCCAGGGCGGGTTGTTGATAAAGACAGAGGCAGTCTTTTCCGGATCTCCTAGATATCCGGGCCCGACAAGTGGTCCCTCGAGCATCAACTCGCCAATGCCTCCTACTGGCACTAAAGAGTCGCCAGTTGTCGTGTCCACGACCCATGTGTTTACACCTCTGCCTCTACCGATGCTTGCTCCGTTGAAATTGACAGGGTCGACATCTGCGACGGTAGAGGTCGGAGTGCATTCGCAAGGGCCGTATGAATTCTTGACGGTTACCAGCGATGCCCATCTTTTAGCATACTCTTCTTGAAGCCTCTCGCCACCAAGCACTAGGGTATCCAGATTCTTAAGCGTTGATAGAGGTAGCACCATGGCAGCAGAAGGCGTGAGCTCACTATGAGTAACTCCAAAGCGTTCGATAGAACCAGCTAGGTCATCGCGCCGCTCGGCTTCTGACGGAATGCATAAACATCCACCACAGTCAAAAGTGGCAAGCATATTCTGCCAAGATGTATCGAAGGCATATGATGCAAAGTCATAGACCCGCGGGTTGGCTATGCTGTCGAAATTATGAGCACTATGCTGGTGCAGCATAGCACTGCTAAAGTTGGAATGCGTAATGCGCACACCTTTAGGTGTGCCAGTACTGCCGGAGGTAAAAACAATGTATAGCGTGTTGGAAGGCTGCACCTTTGGCAGGGGCTCCAATGCCGACGGTTCCAGAGCAAGTAATAACTCCTCATTGATTACGAGCACAGGCTTACCGGCTGACAACTGCGTAGCCAGGTCCTTATTCGCCGAGGATGAAAGGATTAGTGTTGGCTTGACTTGCTGCACGATGCTAACAAGGCGATCCTCCGGCAAGTTCGAATCAACCGTCACACAAACCCCGCCAGCTTTCATAACACCAAGAATCGCAACAGGACTCCATCTTGATTTTTCGAAGCACAGAGGAATAATTACTTCGGGACCTACCCCAAGACGTACGAGGTAATGAGCTAAGCGCGAGGATAGATCGTGTAGTTGTCCATAATTCCAGTCACCATCCCAAGCGCAAATAGCAGGAGCTTCAGGTTGTTTCTGGGATATGGCGATGACTATTTCGTGTACCGGAGTCTGAACGGTCTCCGGCACAGTAGCATTCCATCCCCATATGTCTTTGAGGTCCTCCCTGCTAACCGTCTCAATATCTGTGAGCCGCTTCTTTCCTTGTTCTGGATCGCACAACTGTCGCAGGACGTGCTCGATCTGGCCGGCCAGTTTTTCGATTCGACGCTGACTCATAATGCTGTTATCAAACTCAAACCTCAAAGTCATGCCATGCTGTGCCAAGTCACATTCAATGGTAAGGGCATGCGTGTCAAATTGGGCAAGTTGATCCTCCTCCTCCTCCTCCTCCTCCCCATCATCATCATTGTCTTCTCTTTTGCGAGCAAAAAGCTGGGTTTCGAGCTGCGTAGCCTCTTCCGGGGGGTGTATCAGCAACAGTGTCTGAAAGTTACAGGCCTGTTTGGCCTTGACGCCCATTTGGCGGATTCTCTGCAGGCCTGTCTGTTCAAAAGCAGCCATTTCTACCAATTGCTCCTGAACCTGCAAGAGGCATGATTCAACCGTCTGCTCCCAATCAAAGGCCACTCGGACAGGCACGGTTGCAAGAGTAGGGCCTGTCATTTCGTCTACTTCATGCACAGCGGCATGCCGACCGTTCACTGTGACACCAAAGACCACATCATTAGAGTTTGTGTATTTAGCAGCTAGGATAGACCACGCTGTGCGGATGGCAGTTGATGCGGTGATATCGGTCCTGGGCCAGTCCAGGCAATCGATATAGTGGGTGGTAGATGAATTTGCAGTTGGCTGATACGTGGGCGATGGTAACACAGGAAACACCTGTGCCTCCGATCCTTCAAACTGCGCTTGCCAGAATTGCTTGGCAAGCTCCTCGTCGATATTAATAATGTGTTTAACGAAGCGCTGGAAGGGAGGAGACTGCCGGAGAACCACCTCCCCCTTGTACGCCTGCTCTAATCTCTCCATGATACGTGGCATGGACCATCCATCGTAGAGCGCGTGATGCACGGTCCATACGAAGACGAAACGCTGCTTGTAATCAGGTACATCGGTGATAGCGTATCGGACAAGACACTTGCCCATACCCATGACTAGCCTCTGGTCTGCTTGTTTATACTCGCTCACGCTTGAGCACTGAGACCAATACACATTTTCCTTAAGCACAACCTGTACTAGGCCTTGGTCCGGGAGGTCAACAATGCGGGTGCGCAGAATAGGAGTCATCTGCAGCACATGTTCCCAAGCTCTTTTAAAACGAGTGGCATCGGTCGTCTTTTGCAGAGGCAGCACATACTGAGCAACGTAATCGCCAGCTCTCTTCGCTGTCAGTGCAAGAAGGCCTTCCTGTAGTGGGGTACAGGGGAAGATGTCCTCGATTTGGCTGGTATCAATCTGGCACAGGTTGGCAACTTGATCCTGAGCCGCCTCAGAATCAATACCAGACTTTAGCAGCGAGAACGGCTGGATGATCTCGCAGTCAGCAGGTGAGACCTGCCTGACAACCTTTGCCAGATCGCATAGCTTAGGCTGCTTGAAGATCATGGTGACAGTAAGTGCAAGTCCCTCCTCCCGAGCGATACCTACCAACTTCATGGCTCCGATGGAATCACCTCCGATCCGAAGGAAACTATCATCCGCGCTGATAGAGTCCTCCTTAACACCAAGAACGGATGCCCATAGGCTTTGCAGACGTTTCTCCATGGTACTGCTGGGACGTTTATATTCTCCGCTGTTATAGTTCAGCGCCATGATCTCTTCGAACGTTAGCTGCTGGCCAATTTCGCGCAGACGTCGACGGTCAGTCTTGCCGGTTGCCGTCAGGGGAGCCTCATCCAGTAATAGGTAAGCGGATGGGATCATATAACTAGGAATTTGTGTGGAAAGTCTCTCGTTCAAGCCAGCTGTAATCTTGCCAGTCTGCTTGGCGCGTTGCGACGTATTCATTGCTACCCCATCCTCGACATGAATAAATGCTATGAGCACGGATTTGTCGCTTTTCTGGGGCTTGATAACCTCAGCAAAAACCCGGACCGGCGCATGGTAGGCGATATTATTGCAGACGTGGTGCTCAACATCCCCAAGCTCTAATCGCTGACCATTAATTTTAACTTGAGCATCCTTGCGACCTATAAAGGTCATGCTTCCGTCAATATTATATCGGACCAAGTCTCCTGTCTTATATAGCCGCCCTCCGCGCCCCGGCGCTCTATGAACGAGCCAAGCCGGGTTTTCGATAAAGGCCTCTAGGGTTTTCGCAGGATCATCCAGGTACCCTGCCCCGACAAGAGGCCCTTCAAGTAGAAGTTCGCCAACGACGCCAATTGGCACAAGCTTGTCATGGTTGGTGGGATGCACAACCCAGGTGCACATGCCAAATCCTGTGCCTATGCTAGCAGCAGACGCATCGGCTTTGCCCACCACAGCGAAGGTTGCCTTAACACTGCACTCTGCAGGACCATAGGTGTTTAAAACAGTCGCCTGTTCAGCCCATTGTGCAGCAAGATGGGTTGTCAATGCCTCACCACTAAATAGCAAGTGATCCAGAGTGGTGAGGTCAGCTGGGCGCAGAGTGCTTGCGACGGATGGTGTTAAATCGGCAAAATTTGCTTTATACGATAACAAGGAGCCGGTTATGTTATTAGAAGTCTCGTCTTCAGAAGGAATGCACAAGCAGGCGCCGGACGTCATGGTGTGCAAGAAGTTAGACCAAGTGACATCGAAGGCATACTTGACGAAATCGTACACGCGCGATGTGCTTTTGAAACCTAAAGCTTGTTGTTGGTAGCGAACAGCGCTACAAAAATTAGAATGTGTGATTACCACGCCCTTGGGAACTCCAGTGCTGCCAGATGTGAAGACAATATACAACCTGTTGATCGGCTTGACATCCGGCAGGGAACCGGAGGGCATGCTTAACTTCGCAAGATGAGCATCGCTGACAGGAACCGTGACACAGTCTGCAAGACGCTTTGCCATTTCCTCATTTGCTGCTGATGTCAGGATGACTACAGGATTAACCTGTTGAATAATGCTGCGTAGACGTTCCTCTGGAAGAGTTCTATCTAGAGCTACGGACGCACCGCCTGCTTTCATAACAGCAAGCATAGCCACAGGCATCCATTTTGATTTCTCAAAATATAAAGGTACAATAACCTCTGGTCCAATGCCCAGAGTAACCAAATAATGGGCGAGTTTAGTAGCAATACTATTCAACTCGGTATAGCTGAAATCGCCATCCCAGGCACAAATAGCGGAGGCATGAGGGTTTTTATGGGTCACATCCGCAATAATATCGTGTACGAGTCCATGAACAACCTCATGTACTGTTTTGTTCCACCTCCAAATGTCTTGCAAATCTTTCTCGCTGATGTTCTCCATTGCAGACAGTTGATTTTGTGGTTTGTTGACAGCTGCAGAGGTAGCTTTGTCATCGCTAACGAGAAATTTGACCACCTTTTCTAGAAGCGAAACGACACTCCGCGCCTGGTCATTGGATACGCAGGCTAGTCGGTGATCAACTGTGAAGCAGACCAAAGTGTCAGTGTGTCTGATGCTGATTGTGAGGTCATATTCGGTCGGATCTTCCCATTCAAGGTCAGCAAACACTAGATCTTCTGTCACCATGCCTTCAGATAGGCTATCACTATCCCTTTGGAAGGATATAATAGAATTAAAGAGATTCTGGCCATATGGTAGGCCTAGTTCGTGCTGGATATCAGCAATCGAGCAATGCTGGAAGCCAAGGTCTTCCAAGACTTGATTGTGGACGTGATTGATCAAGTCCTGCCCACTCCATTCTCGAGATATGTCGGTACGACATATCATGACGTTAGCAAACGCACCGATAGATTCCATAATACCCTTAACAGGGAAATCTCGGCCAGATGACAGATATCCGAAGCAGACTGAGTCAGAACCTGTGTAGGCAGACAGGGTAAGAGCCCAGGCGCTCTGAAACAAGCTGGCAGGTGTGATCGACTGAGCCTCGCAGAATCGCTGAATGTGGTGGAAAGTTTCATCACCAAGTTCCAAGGTAGCCACTCCGGTAGCACGCTCATCAGCCGCCGATCCGGCTTCGGCCAGTCTTGGGAAGTGGCAAGGCTCCATGGCAGATAGTTTCTTCTTCCAGTACGCCATCTTATCAGCTTTAGACAAGGACGTAAGGGCCAGAGAAAATCCTTGGCTAATGTTCCGAAACTCCCCAATATCAAGTTCGCCTGAGTAGGCTTTGGCCCAGTCCCGCATTGTGATAGCTGTTGAAGCGCCGTCGGAAATGGCGTGGCTCATTTCAATCTTGCAAATAACGCGATTATCACCTAATATAGTGCAGAGCACCAATCTATGGGCCGGTTTATCCTGCGTGTAGTCGATGCTGGGGAGTTCCTTGAACCTGTCAAGTGCTGATTCGAAGCTGTTGCTTTCGAGGAGAACAACATCCCCGAGACAGGACTTGAGCACAACAGAGTTAAATGCAGCCGAGGCATCCATACTATGAATGAAGACGGTACGTAAAGAGGGGTGTCGAGCGACAACGGCTTGCCATGCATCAACTAAAGCGCCGGCATTAATTACGTGAGATCCACGAGGTCGTATCTCCCAAGTTTGGGAAGTTTCGTATGAGCCTGTCCCTTTCATTTGACTGAGAAGAATTCCATCCACCATGGGAGAAGATGGGTAGACATTCTCGACTTGCGTGTCATTTAAAGCCTCAATATGGCTTAAGACGTTAGTATGTAGCTCGTCAAGTCCTCTATAATCAAGGTTGAGAAACTCGTAATCACAGAGAGTGCGCTCAGGACGTCTCTTGGAGAGCTCAAAGCAGATTGACTGCAGCGAGGTGTTAACTCGTTCTACCCATGCCTGGATCATGTCCTGGTGAGCAAGGTGTCGGTTCCAGGAAAAAGAGAACTTGGCTATCCCAGCTTCAATGACAACGTTGATATCGAATAAAACCGATGTTGGTAGAGACGGCCCAACCGGCGATACGCTGTCATCAAAGTTGACGACTTCGAAAAGAGATTCAGAACGCTCTAGCTGCTGAAACTGGCCATGGTAGTTAAATTGCACTTCCATTGTTGAAGCATGAGATTCAAAGGCCGCTATGCCTTGTTCGTTTAGGTGTCTTGATACCCAGTAGGCCCAACCGTTAGAGGATAGCCGCCTCCGTGCATCCTTGACTAGCCTTGTAATATTAGCAGGGCTGTTTCCATCGCTGCGAGAAATGTGAATAGGACTGATTGTCGTAAACCAGCCAACAGTGCGGGACAAGTCAACGTCTGTTGTCCACGGTTCGCGGCCATGACCTTCGTTGAAAATAGTAAGGCCCTCTCGCTGAGGGAATACATGGAAAAAAGCGTCCCAAATAGAGGAAAGAATCAGATCAATAGGCTCTGTATTGAATGCAGTATTAGCGTCTTTGAGTAGCAGGGCTGTCGTAGCCTTATCTACTTCAGTCTTCTTTTCAATGTGGTCCATGGCAGTATTGGAGGTATGCTCGGTGAAGTTCCAGAATGCGTGGTTATTGTGCACATTTTTAGTAGAGAGGACTCTATCCGGCGCGAACTTAGAGGACTGGGCCTCGTTAGTTTGTAACTCGCTCCAGACCTGGAAAGGAAAACTGTCTAGGAGTTTCTTCCCAGTAAGCAAGGCCTCAAGGTCATCTAGTATGATACGCCACGAAACAAGATCAACGACCAAATGGTGTGCGATAAGGGTTAGATATTGATCTCCAGATGGTAAATTGTATAGGTCTGCTGCGAAAACTAGACCACGTTCAATGTCTAGGCTTTGGTGGCTCTTGATCGTGCTTGCCTTGATTTCATGTATAGACTGAGCATCTGAAGAGCCAAAATGATAAACAGCATCGGCTGGTTTAGGAACACGCTGCATCCAACCGCTTTGGGAACGTTCGAACCGAGCGCGAAGCATAGAGTGCTGTTTGACAATTATACTAATGGCCATAGAGACGTCTCTGGTCAAGACAGGGCGGAAAATCTTCACGTAGAACCCTTGATTGCAGTAGTAGTCCTCCTTAGTGACATTTTCAGAAGGTGTTTGGGCGAAAAACCATTTCTGAATAGGCGACAGCGTAAAGGCCTTGCCAAATTCCTCTCGATATTCCTTGGTGCGATTGACTGTAGTATCTGTGGCAATTGTAGAAAACTGTGCCACATCGGCAAGCGATTTGCTTCTTAGCAGCACGCTTACTGAGAAAATAAGGCGGGCGACGCGACAGTAGGACGAGAGACGCATGGCCGAGATGGAGTCGCCGCCATTAGCAACAAAGGAGCGTTGGAGGTTTATCTCGGAAAGAGGGACGTTCAAAATAACGCTGCAAGCGTCGCAAAGGATACGCTCAGAGTCTGTCCTGGGCTCACGGGCTGCAGGCGCGAAGCCCGTATTGTTGATTCTGGCAAACGTTTCCGAGTCCATTCGGAGCAACCAGTCCTCGACAGCGCGTCGATTGAGCTTGCCTGAAGGATTCAAGGGGATGTCTTTGAGAGCAACCCAAACAGACGGGACCATGTATGAGGGCAGAGCCTCACCCAACAGACCCTGTAACGCGTGAATGTGGTCCTGGACCGCAGTACCATCATCTGCCCCAACAAGTTCGATAGGGGGGGTATTATCAGCCCTATGAATGTTCTCCAAACTGAAGACTCCAACCAGCTTCTTTGCGCAAGGACCTGAGTTGGGATACAAAGACGCAGACTGGCGCGTAAGTGGATGGCGAGCCATGTGATTCTCAACTTCGCCGAGCTCGACTCGCTGACCATTTATCTTGACCTGAGCATCCTTTCGGCCGACAAATAAAAGAGCACCATCAGAGTTATACCTCACGAGGTCACCAGTCTTGTAAAGGCGACCACCACGTCCAGACTTTCCAGCCCCGCCGCGCAGTAGCCACGGAGGGTTATGAATAAAGACTGCATTAGTCTTTGCTTCGTCGCCTAGATAGCCGTGGCCAACGAGAGGGCCTTCTAAGACAAGCTCACCGATTGCGCCAATTGGAACAAGTGTATTATGATTCTTGGAATCGGCAATCCAGCACAGCATGCCAATCCCACGTCCAATCGTCGGTTCGCCATGAATACTGCGATCAACAGTGGCAACAGTTGCCGTGGGTGTGCACTCACACGGTCCGTAGCATAGCTTCAAGTCGACAAGTGCTCTCCATCTCTCGGCATACTCTGGAGATAGTCTCTCGCCACCTAGAATCAACGTGCGCAGAGACTGAATAGTGCTGTACTGCAAGGCCGTCGCGGCAGATGGGGTGATGTCGAGGATTGTAGGCTTGAATCGCCTGATGGATCCAGCAAGGTCGTCTCTACGTTCGCTTTCGGAGGGGATGCACAAGCAGGCACCAATAGTAAAAGTATGCATGAAGTTATTCCATGCTGTATCAAAAGCATACGAGGTAAAGTCGTACACTCGAGCATCCGGGGTGTATCCCTGAGCAAGCTGCTGATAGCGTACGGCGCTGCACACATTTGCATGGGTTAGTATAGCACCCTTGGGTATACCGGTACTGCCCGACGTGAAAATCAAGTACGCTTTATTCCACGGCTGGACTTGGGGAAGTTGATCAACACGTTTTTCACCCCAAACTCGCTCAAAATGTTTGCTGCTAAGAATAATAATCGGTGTGTTCGTTAGTTTGCTTGCCAGCTCCTCATTGCTCGAGGAGGATACCACCGCAACAGGCTTAATCTGGTCTATGATGGCTCGAAGACGATCCTCCGGCTGGCGTGAGTCCATCAAAACTGATGCGCCGCCCGCTTTCATAACAGCCAGCATTGCAATTGGGGTCCACTTAGACTTTTCAAAGTAAAGGGGAATAATAGTCTCGGGACCGACACCAATACTAGCGAGATGATGGGCAAGACAAGTAGATAAATCGTTAAGCTGGCGATAAGAGAAATCACCATCCCAGGCGTTTACTGCCAAAGCATCCGGGAGCATCTGAGCTGTCTTCGAAATCATATCGTGAAGGCAAGTGTTCAGAGCCTCAGGGCAGGCGTCGTTCCACTCCCAAATATCCCGCTTGTCTTGGGCACTTACCATGTCGATGCTGGACAGACTCTTGCTAGCATTTTCCGGGATGCACAATTGTCGAATAACGTGCTCAAGTTGGGTGGCCAGTCTCTTGACTTGCTGAAAGTCCAGGATATTGGCATCGTACGCGATACGCAGTCTCACTCCCTGCCGTTCCAGACTACACTCGATTGTCAGAGCGTGCGTGTCGTACTCAGTCACATTAGTGTCGTCCTCTCCATTTTCATCCCGTCTGCTTATAAACCAGCGGCTACTCGTATTCTTCTCCTTATCATCCTCAACGGGATGCACAACGAGCAAAGTCTGGAATCCACACGCTCTTTCAGCTTCCGCACTTACGCGCCGGATGCGTTGCAGTCCCATCTGTTCGAACGCCGTCATCTCCACTGCTTGGGCCTGAACTCGACGTAAGAGTTTCTCTACAGTCATCTTTGCCCATTCAAAAGCGACTCTCACAGGAACTGTAGCAATTGTAGGTCCAATAATTCGCTCAACGTCCAGCACTCTAGCCTGTCGTCCGGAAACAGTAACACCGAAGACAGTATCAGAGCTATCGGTATACTTTGTAGCCAAAAGTGACCATGCTGCCCGTATCACCATGGAGGGCGTTACATCAGACTTTGGCCAGTTTAAACCCTGGAAACGATGCTTGATGAAGGCATTTGACATTGGCTGGTACGTGACAGACGGAAGTGACGGGAAAATCTGAGCTTCAGAACCCTGAAATTGCTCCTCCCAGTACGTGGCGACAATACTCTGATCAATGTCCATGATATGCTTGACAAAGGTTTGAAAGGGAGGCGGGAAAGGAAGGACGCTGCCTCCATTCAAAGAATATGTGGCTTCAAGCTGATTCAGCATTAGAGGAATGGACCAGCCGTCGTAGAGAGCATGATGAATGGTCCAGACAAAGAACCGACTGCCATCAACTGGGTCTTGAAGCACAGCAAATCGTGCCATAGGTGTGCCCAGGCCTGTGGTGAGCTGCCTGTCAACCATTTCATAATCTTTGAGGCTGATTAATTCGTCCTTCCGAGACCAACTGATGGGTCCGTCGACAATGACTTGAACTAAGCCACGCTCATCGAGATCAATAATTCGAGTTCGTAGGATGGGCGTTGCGGAAACGACAGCCTCCCAGGCTTTAAAAAACTGTTTAGGGCTTATACTGGGCAGCAGTGGGTAGATAAATCGGGCAACATAATCGCCAGGTCGCTTGGCAGTCAAAGCAAGCAGGCCCTCCTGAAGTGGTGTACAGGGGAACGCATCGGCAACTTGCCCAGCCTCGACATTGCACTTAGCTGCGATTTGCTCCTTTAGAGATTCGAGGTCTTCTGCTGGATTCAGAAGCGTAAACGGCTCATTTTGATGGGCGTTTTTGCCACCAGCACCGACAGCTTCTTCGCCAACTACGGTAGCCAAGTCGCTCAGCAGCGGGTGCTTGAATATATCGGCCACGGAGAGGGTGAGGTTCTGCTCACGAGCTGCCGCCACAAGCCTCATGGCCGCAATAGAATCACCTCCTATGCGCAAGAAACTATCGTCTGCGGCAATACTTTCAGCTTTCAAGCCTAGAACAGCCGCCCAGAGACTTTGCAGACGCTTCTCGGTAATGGTACACGGCTGTGGTCGCTCGGAAGAAAAGGGTAAGTGGGTTCTCACGAGGTCCTCGAGAGTCCACTGTTGGCCCATGGCGCGAAGCTTGCGGCGATCGATCTTACCAGTTGGCGTGACGGGGATTTCGTTGAGAGGAACGTAAGCCGATGGAACCATGTACGCCGGTACCCGTACCAGAAGTCTGTCGGCAAGGCCAGCTGTAATTTTTGCGAGTTCATTCTGTATAGATTCTTCATCTCTGGGCTCAGAGGCGATGTCAATTTGGAGAAAGGCTACAAGGATCGCATTGCTGCTGCCTCTGGGCTTCATAACCTCTGCTACAACATTTACGTCCTGTCCATGTGAAATGCTGGACTGGATGTGGTGCTCAACGTCGCCCAGTTCCACACGCTGACCATTTATCTTGACCTGCGAGTCCTTCCTCCCGAGGAAAATCAAGGTTCCATCTGCATCATATCGTGCAAGATCGCCAGTCTTGTACAGGCGTCCGCGGCGACCAGAGTGATTAGGAGTTCCTTCCAAGAGCCAGGCTGGATCGTTTATAAAGGCGGCCGCGGTCTTTTCCTCCTCCCCAAGGTAGCCGGCCGCCACGAGGGGGCCTTCCAGCAGAAGCTCGCCGACACATCCCAGAGGGACAAGCTTGGAGTGATCAAACGGCTGTACCAGCCATGTGCGCAGACCCAGGCCTACACCGATACCTATACGTTGACGTCTGTCCGGGTTTAAAGCTTTGTGGCGGGTGACTTGTTGGGCAGTGCTAAACGTCGTACACTCGGTTGGGCCGTACAGGTTAGTCACGGTACTATCCGGATGCAAGCCGCCAATATCGTCAGCCGAGAGGGCCTCGCCGATGAAGTGTACATGGCATAGGCCCTTGAGAGACTGCAAGTCAAGTCCGCGAATGGTAGACGGCGTGAAGATGGCTGTGTTGGCGCCAAGACGAGTGATGGCGCCAAGAGGGTCGTTGCGGCGATCATCGTTGCTTGGAATACAGATGCAGCCTCCGGCAGAGAGGCCCTGAAGAAGATTGCACCAAACCACATCGAACATGTACGATGCAAAGTCGTAGACTCGTGAGTGCCTAGTGAATCCTAGGGTTTCACGCTGATGTCGAATGGCGCTAGTGATGTTTGCGTGAGTGACGACGACGCCCTTGGGGGCGCCAGTACTGCCAGATGTAAAGACGACGTAGAGCGAATTAGATCGATTGACAACGGGCAGCGGTGTTTCTGCCGCGGCGGTTGATGTCGGTAATGGTATTGTTTGTGTTGTCGTCGTCGGTATTGGTGTTGGCGTTGGCGTGTTGGTCCGTGTCGCCGGTGGGATTGCTCCCGCCACCAGTTGCTCGCCCACCACCACAGACTGGTGGGGGACCAGGCGGCGAGCGAGATCCTGATTGGCTACTGACGTTAGTATCACAACTGGACTTACCTGCTTCACGATGCTTCTGAGTCGATCTTCCGGCTGCGTATAGTCGACGGCGACCGACGCTCCCCCAGCCTTCATCACGGCCATCATGGCCACGGGCATCCACTTTGACTTCTCAATACACAGCGGGACGATGACCTCTGGGCCGACTCCTAGAGTGACGAGGTGATGAGCCAGGCGGGTCGATAACTCATCGAGCTCGCGATACGTCCAGTCCCCATCCCACGCGCACACGGCCTGTGCCTCTGGCTGCTGCTTCGCCGTCATGGCAATCAGATCGTGCACAACACCATCGGCAGTATCAGGCACTACCGAGTTCCAGTGCCACATTTGCTGGAGGTCCTCACGACCGACCAAGACGACGTCTTCAAGCTTTGTCTGAGCGGATTCAGCGTTACATAGCTGGCGGACAACATGCTCGAGCTGCCTCGTCAGGATGGCTACTTGCTCGTCATTCAGCACGGTAGAGTCGAATCTGGTCAGCAAGACGACGCCTTGATCTTCAAGGTAGCATTCCAGAGATAGCGGATACGTGCGGAATTCTGCCATTTCGTCGTCAAGAGACCAGTAATCATTATCACTGTTAGGCGCAAAAAGACTGTCATGAGTGGCCTTTTCTTTCTGGTCCGCAGCTGGCTGAATGACAAGCAGTGTTTGGAAGTTACAGGCTCGCTCAGCCTCGGGGCAGATTCGCCGAATCCGCTGCAGACCAGTCTGCTCAAACGCCGTCATGTCGACGACCTGTGTCTGGATTTGACGAAGCAGCTCTTGAATAGTCTTTCGCTTGTCTAGAACAATCCGCACAGGCACCGTCGCGATTGTAGGGCCAGTCATCTTCTCTACGCCTGGCAAGGCCGCCTGTCTGCCGCTCACCGTGACACCAAACACGGTCTCGTCAGCATTTGTATAACACGAGGTGATGATAGCCCAGGCAGCTCGCAACATTGTCGACGCGGTCACGCCCATCATCTTTGGCCATTTGAGTTCCCCGATGGCGTGCGTCAGCATCTTATCGGATCTCGGCTGGTAGCGCGGCGACGGCAGGATCGGGAAAGTCTGCGCCTCAGAATCCTTAAATTGGGCAGACCAGAACTTGGTCGCCTCGTCTTGCTGCATGTCCAGAATGTGTCTTACGAAGCCCTGGAATTGAGGCGAAGTCTCTAGCGTTACCTCGCCAGCATAAGCCTGAGCAAGCCGCTCCAAAAGAAGCGGCTTAGACCACCCGTCGTAAAGTGCGTGGTGTATCGTCCATACAAAAAACCGTCTAACGTCGTCACCATCCGAATCTTCTAATAGTGCAAATCGAGCCAGGGGCGTGCCCAGGCCTGTGGTGAGCTCTCCATCCTCTTTCTGATACTTTGCAAGGTCCATTTCGCCATCCTTGGACGCCCATGTCGTGGGGTGGTTTAGGACCACCTGCACCAGCCCTTGTTGGTCAAGGTTGACAATGCGTGTCCGAAGAATGGGTGTCGTCGCTACAACCTCCTCCCACGCTCTCTTGAGACGTCTCATTTCCACTGTAGGTTGCAGCTGGAATACATGCCGAGAGACGTAGTCACCTGGATGCTTCGCTGTCAGGGCGATTAAACCCTCTTGGAGAGGCGTACAGGGAAAGACGTCCTCAATCTCAGCTGCGTTGACTCCGCAGGCGCCAGCAACTTGGCTTCTCATCACTCCCATCTCAGTATGGTCTTTCAGTAATTCGAAGGGCTGGATGAAGCTGCCAGTTTCGGAAAGCTCACCAATGACACCTGCCATGTCGTGCAGTACCGAGTGGTTGAAGATGTCGGCGACACTGAGCGACAGACCATGCTCTCGTGCGGCTCCAGCTAATCTCATGGCTGCAATGGAATCCCCGCCTAGTCCCAAAAAGCTGTCGTTGACACCGATATTACCGATATCAAGGCCAAGAACAGAAGACCAGAGGCCTTGTAGAAGGAACTCCATGCGCGTGGTTGGCTCTTTCTTCTCGGGAAGAGGCGAGCCCCAGGCCATGAGCTCCTGAATTGAAGAGGTCTCACATATTTCCCTCAATTTGCGTCTATCCATCTTGCCATTGGCATTCTTCGGAAAGACTTCTAGTGGGACGTAAACAGAAGGGATCATATATGCCGGTATATGGGCGGCCAATCGATTGTTGAGTCCATTGATGACTCTCCTCAACTCCCCTTCTAGCCCGTCTCTACCTTGTCTAGCAGCTGGTGTCGATATTTGCAGGAAGGCAGTGAGCAGAGGTCTATCGCTGTCGCGCGGAGTTACAAGCTCGGCGGCCACCCCCACATCCGTGCAATCAGCGACATGCTTTCGCACATGATGTTCAATATCTCCTAGTTCCACACGCTGACCGTTGATCTTAACTTGCAGGTCTTTTCGGCCTATGTAAGCAAGTTGTCCATTCGCCTCATATCGTACAAGATCACCAGTCTTGTATAATCGGCCTGGGCGTCCCGGGCCACCTGGTGGTCCAGCCACCAGCCATTTTGGGCTCTCGATGAACACTGCAGCTGTTTTCTCAGCATTGCCAAGATATCCAGCTCCCACAACTGGACCTTCCGATAGCAATTCACCAACGGCTCCAACAGGCAACAGGTTATCATGACAGGACGGGTCGACAATCCAGCTGCACGAACCAATGCTGTGGCCGATAGTGGCGGAAAAAGAGTCTACATTGGCAATGTCGCCCATCACGGCCAAAGTAACCCCGACTGTACATTCGGCCGGGCCGTACAAATTAATGACGCGGGTATGTTGTGCCCACTCCGAAGCTTGATGGCTTGGCAGAGCCTCACCCGCGAAAACTACTTGCTTTAATGTGCCGTTTAGATCCGATGGCCGTATCATGCTACCAACTGATGGTGTAATATTTATGAAGTTTGCGTTATATGCTAATATTGAGCCAGCAAGGTTGCTCATAGCTTCTTGTTGCAACGGGATACAGAGGCAGCCACCAGCAGTCATGGTGAAGATGAAATCAGACCAAGTTACATCAAAGGAGTGTTTGGTGAAATTGTACACTCGCGAGGAACTGGAGTAGCCTAATATGGCCCGCTGGTGGTGAATAGCGCTGCAAAAGTTGGAGTGGGTAATTATAGTGCCCTTGGGGGTACCGGTACTGCCAGAAGTGAAGACAATGTAGAGAATGTTCGATGGCTGCACCTCTGGTAATATGCTAGTGACATCGAAGGTGGTACTGGCCTCGTCGACAACTACGACTGGCCGTGTGGTGAGCTGGCCGGCAAGCTCAGTGGTCAAAGAGGAGGAAAGTATTAAAATCGGTTCGACTTGTTGAACAATGCTATATAGCCGGTCGCTGGGTAGACTTGTCTCGAGAACGACTGATGCACCACCAGCCTTCATGACAGCAAGCATGGCAATCGGGGTCCATTTTGACTTTGGGAAGCATAGGGGAACAATGATGTCAGGACCGACGCCCATGCGGACGAGTCGGTGTGCCAGGTTAGTTGAGAGCTCATCAAGCTCGCGATAGCTCCAGTTTCCGTCCCAAGCACAGACAGCCTGCTCCTCGGGCTGCAATTGCGCCTTCTGTGTGATGAGATCGTGGATACGGCCGTCCACCGTCTCTGGAACAGACTCGTTCCATTTCCAAATGATCTGAAGATCTTGAGGAGTAGCGGCAGTAGTTGCGGCATGTTGAGGCACGTCGTGGTGCGGCGATGAGGAATCTTGCACCTCATTTCGTGCAATTGCGGACATTTTTTCGATGACCGTGATTGCACTTTCGTTGTTTGTACGGTAGGTGGCGGGATTGTTGTCAGAGCCACCGCGAATAACTTAACAAGCAATGAAATGTTTTCCGTACGTTTCGTTTTTGTTTCTCAAGAAGCTTCTGCGTCTAGAAACAAAACCACCGGCCGCAGAAATCATTACAATAGAGGTAGTGGTGGGGGGCGTGAAGTTTTCCATCCGCCCACGGCTTATAATCCGATGATTCAAAGATTCAAGGTTACACTTCCAACTAGAGCGCCCCCCCCCCCCCAAAAAAAAAGAGCTCATCCCCAGCCATTTCAGGCTGGTAACAGTAGTGCCCAAATGAAGACTGTAGCAACACTTACATGACATTTGTCACACACAGACAGGGTCCTCCGGTCGTTCCAGTTTAGTGGGCGTGTAACTATCGCTTGTTGAAGTCAGCATTACGTACTCTGTATTCCGTCATGAAACACAACTTTAGTAACAGGATATAGCAATGACGATCATATACAGGGCCCCCCCCCCCCCCCAAACAAAAAGAGCTCATCCCCAGCCATTTCAGGCTGGTAACAGTAGTGCCCAAATGAAGACTGTAGCAACACTTACATGACATTTGTCACACACAGACAGGGTCCTCCGGTCGTTCCAGTTTAGTGGGCGTGTAACTATCGCTTGTTGAAGTCAGCATTACGTACTCTGTATTCCGTCATGAAACACAACTTTAGTAACAGGATATAGCAATGACGATCATATACAGAAGAGCTGTCGCAATATTTCGCCATGCATGGCGTTGTCAGCCGCCAATAGACACCCCCCGGATCTATCGCCGAGACCGAGCGGCTGAGGCGGCCCGACGCACTGGGCTGCTTTTGACGCGCGTGGGGGTCCTCACATCAATTCATTGGACCCCTGAGTCCTTCGGCCCCTGGCTCGGACCCTGGAGGAGGGTCTATGTCAATTATTGCATAAATATTGGATCTGGGACACACCCCTTATATCACGTGCGACAGCAAGGGCGTACGGCCGGGTTCCACACATGTCAATTGAGCTTTTCCCCTTCAGGCTTCGCACTAACTACTTAAAGTACCCTGAGCAGTTTCTCGGTTCCGTTTGCCTGCTCGAGTTAACTAAGCTTGAAAAACGAGCTAACGCAGGCATGCTTTTCAGCTAGTAACTATTCGCTTGCGGAGCACTATATGCTTTTTTTAAACAAGGATTTAGTGACAAGCCGTGCCCGAGAACTAAGTCAGAGCTGAAGGAAGATGAGAGCTTTGGACAAAATCAGAATAGTCGTTATTGAGTCTTGCTGCCACATCCTTAAAAAGGAAACAGGATCACCTTTTCCGTACTCCCGCGTATATCTTGCATGCACACTCCCCCCCCTTCAGAACCGCCACATGTTGTTGCAAGCCACGGGCTTCAAGAGATACGGAGTACTCATGCCGCATATAACGTTACTATGGCATGAGGAAGGCCCTTTCCGGAATGCAGAGGACGGCGACAAAGCTATTCACAATGCACGCACGCCTGTATCAAAAAGAGTATGAAAAGCAAGACAAAAAAAAAGACCCCCTCCTTGAGCCGGAACAAAGTGGCGTCCTACAACATTTGCTGTTTAAGAAAAGCGGAATACCGCCGCCGTTGCCTCTTGACCAGTCGTTGATCAACCGTGTCTTTCTCACGGCGTCGTAGAGACCAGTACTCCGTGGCCTTGGATGGTTCCTGGTCTGAATTATGTACTGTATCATCGGAGGACTTTCAGTCGGAAGCGTAGTGACAAGCACGACGAGGCATGATGCAATTCCGCTCACCCCCCAGTCATCACGTTTATTTAAACAATGTGAGCAAATTTCTTGGCATTTCTACCTGGTTTCCCGTCGTCATCCTTCATAGAGCCCAGCTTTGCGCCCAGGTATACCAGACGCCTTGTTGCCTCTTGCCGTGGAGCTTCAACTCGCTCCGGTCTACCATACTACTAGCTAATATCATTGAAACGTCACGACAGTGAAGTCATATCCAACATGGCCCTCTACACTCCCTTAATCTTCTCACTTGTCCTCGTTGCAAGCCTCACAGCCGGCAAAGTCATCTACGCCCTGTTCTTGTCGCCGTACAGAAACGTACCAGGGCCCAGGCTGTGCAAAATCACACGCTACTGGGCCGTCTACCATGACATGTGGCTGCGGCGCATTGAAAAGATTTACGAGTGGCACCGCGAATATGGCGACGTTGTTATGGTTGCGCCAGGAGAAGTCTCATTTTCCGATGCGGCGCTGACGAGGGAGATATACGGGTCTACCGGGCGCCATCCCAAGAGTAAATACTTTGACAACTTCCTCATGTACGGCGAACGACCAATATTCTGCACGCTGGATGTGAGGGAGCACCGCCAGATGCTCAAGCGAACGTTTGCCTTTTACCAGCCGACGTCCATATATAAGCCGGCCAGCCTGCAGCCCCTGTGGACCAATGTCAGGAGGTTTCTCGACCAGCTGAAGAGAGACATTGCGGTACACCCGACGGTGGACGTTCTGCTGTACTGCAATTTCTACTCCTTCGACAACATCACGAACCTGGTGTACGGCCCCGAGCTCTGCGCCCGCACAATCGGGGATGCAGAGTGCGAGGAGCGCGCGATACTGGAGGGCTGGAAGGAAGTCGAGGTCTGGAACAACCTCTCCTACAACTTTCCGCTGGTTCACAAGATGGTTAGGGCGGTCGTGTCGTATGCCAGGAAGGACCCGACCTTTCTGTCGGCCGAGGAGAGGTTGACCGACTGGAACTTGGACAAGATTGAGTCGGCAAGGCGGAATCCGGACAAGATGGTTGCCGGCTCCCTGCTGCACCAGCTGAGCAACATGAAGACGCCCGACGGCGAGGCTCTTCCCACGTCATGGATTGCCGCCGAAATGCTAGACAATATCCATGCCGCGCAAACCACGGTTGCTCTCTCGCTCACCTATACGCTTTGGAACCTGGCCTGCCACCCTGGATGGCAAGACCGCATTCGAGCAGAACTTTTCGCGCTGCCTGTCAAAGAAGATGGCTTGCCCAACTTTGACGACATCATGGCCGCACCGATACTGGATGCTTGTTTTAAAGAATCCAGCCGACTCAGTCCTCTGTCAAGCGGGAGGGCTGAGAGAGTAGTGCCTGCTACCAAGGCATATAACGGGGTTGTGCTCCCAGCTGGAGTAAGTGATTTCTTTTGGCGCATTTTCTATTTTTTTTTTTTATTCTTTATCCTTTTTTAGAGTTCATTTTTCTTTCTTTTCATTGAAAGTTGTTTCTTTGTGCTAACAATTGATGTTGAAATGCAGACCATTGTGTCAACATCAACCCTGTCGATACACCACAGGCCAGACGTGTTCCCAGATGCCCACATGTACAGGCCTGACCGCTGGCTGGAGGCAGACGAAGCCACCATGCGGGCCATGGAGTCGTGCTACATGCCGTTTGGCTATGGCGCACGCCTATGCCTGGGCAAGGCGTTCGCCGTAGCCGAGATCAAGCTCTTGATTGCGGGCATCGTGATGGAGTTTGGGCTTTGGGACGATCCCCAGTCGCCCACGACGGACAGGAGTATGGAGCAGCTTGGGACGCAGAACGCCATGCCCCGGGGCCAGCGATGTGACCTCAGTTTTAGGCAACTGACGGAGCGGCAGCGGGAGCGTGGCAACAGTGCGCAAGGTGCGCCATGTTAGCTAGTCGGGCAGCCCGGGGAGCAAGGCAGGCCACTTGCAGTAATTCAAGGAGAGAACGATCTGTCGGATAAAAGTATTGATCTTGGTAGCAATCATACTATGGGCTGGTTCTATACAACCATTAGGGCTCTCAACGGGCAGCAAAAGTGACTGGTGATGGACAACTTCAGAGCAAAGTAGCGTGCCGTATGCCGTAATTTGCGAAAGCCTTGGCAAATTGTAAAATGGACCAGACTCTTCCCGATTGGTCCGTCATCGTGGCCGTTGCTCCAAATCCGTCTTTTTCTGCCGCTCGGGTGGCGCATGAGGCGTCTAGTTACGAGCTGACATAGGCGATGATCAATATGCTGTAATCCAAGACAGTCTCAGGCCAGAAGCCGCGGAGTACGGAGTGCTTACTGGCACCCTGGCAACCTGGCCACCAGACCTGCAGGTCTTGCTTGTCCAATGCCGAGTCCCACGTCGCATACCAGTCGTCATCGCTCTTCAACCGCTGCCGTGGTCGTCGACATTTCGTCACCATGCCAATATTTGAATTGTATCGCAGTGGCTCTCACTGACAGATGACTTGGCTTCTGCCAATTGCACTACCAAAAGTGGAGAGACCTCCAGTTTGTATTAGTTGACAATGACAATAAATAAGACGGTGGAGCCGACGGCCCCTAAAAGGGGGAAGTTGGGCAAGATCGGATTGAGGACACGGGAAGACGGTGGGGTCCATGCTTTACACTTCACCCCGCGGGGTAAGTTTATCAACGGCGGATGATCCCCCAAATTTTTTACGTCCGAGATGATGATTAACGCGCGACGATTTCCATCATCAATTTCTGGGCGCAATTCATCATGCTGACGCGGTATCGCTGAACTGGACACTCGCCACCCTCATGGCCTTTCCCCCATGAGTGCCGCGTACCAAAATCGCAATTGGCCTCGCCACCACCCCAGAGCCAAATCATGGGCTCCTTAATTCACCAAATACTATCACCAAGGGAAAACGCTGTGCTCACCGCCAGCATGGCCCGTAGCTCGTGCTCGATTGATATTCACGACGTGTTTGGCCCCACAGTGGCATACGCTTGTCTCAATGGCTTCGACTTCACGCTTCTATTCGAAGAGAGCATCCTCACTCTTATGCCTCTTCTCCTTACGGGTACGAGAGATGACAGCAGCCTGTTTTCTTGGTGTTTACGTTACGCCTTGCTAAGCCAAGCTTCCAGTCCTGATCCTCGTCCCTCGCGCCAGACTTCTTTGGAATACTGCTCCCAAAGTCAATAGATCGTGGCTTTTCACACTAAAACTTGTAATTTATGCTTCGACTCCTTCTTTCATACCGCTCAGACCTACTAGGTAGTTAACAAAGAGTATTTCATAGGTGACATTCTCTGTCTACATCGCCCTCCAGATTGTTCTGCTTGCTCTCTGGGCACAGCCGAATACGCCTACCACCAGGCTCACTATACCACTAAGAGCCATCATCATAGCCAGTTTTATCTGGCTGCTCTACGTGTCATGCCTGGAGCACGTCCGATCTGTTCGGCCATCGACTATACTATGTCTCTACCTCGGCATATCTTGCTTGTTGGATATGGCTTGTGCGCGTACCGTCTTCTTCATCCCGGGCTACCGTGTCGTGGCCCCCATCCACCTCGCCAGCTACTTTGTCAAGCTGGTGCTTTTGGCCTTGGAAACAACTGAAAAGCGAAGGCTGCTTATGCTGCAATGGAGAAACACGTCGCCCGAAGCCGCGGCCTCGTTCTACAGCAGAGTGCTATTCGTCTGGCTAAACAGGTTATTTTTCAAGGGATACAAAACGCTACTGACTGTGGACACTTTGACGCCACTTGACCAAGATATTCTCGATGCCTCTCGACCTACTAAGTTGCAGGAAAGATGGGCAAAAGGTTAGTTCCTCTGGACGCTCCCCTCGCACCGTCAAGTCTGTCCTTCACTGACATGTACCTACCTCACAGCTGACAAATCTGGCAAAACCGCTTTGCTTTGGGTCTTTATTTGGCACTACAAGTGGGATCTGTTGGCTGGTGTCTTGCCGCGGCTGGCATATATAGGTTTCACTTTTGCTGAACCCTTTTTAGTAAAGAGAGTACTAGATTTCACTGTGGAACCGGACGGTCCCAATACAAGAAACTTTGGCTACGGTCTCATTGGGGCGTATGCTCTTGTTCACATTGGTAAAGCAGTACGATGTAGTTCCTACCCATTTTTATCGCCGCTCATAGTCTGATCGCATCTTCTGTAGCTGTCGCTGGCCTGGTACGAACACATGACATATCGTGTCTTGACAATGTTCCGCGGCAGTTTAATCACTATTATTTTCGGCAAAACTCTTCGCCTTGACGCCAGTGCCGTTCACGATGCCGAGGCCATTACATTGATGAGCGCTGATATTGACCGTATTGGTCTCTGTATGCCAATTCTGCATGATTCATATGCCAGTCTCGTGGAGCTCGCCTTGTCCCTTGGGCTGCTCTACAGGCTCCTCGGCATCGCCGTACTCCCCCCTACCGGCTTCATTATTGGCAAGTATAGCCCGATCCAGGATACAGATTTTCGTAGTTGCAAAATGCTAACGTACCACAAGTATGTCTTTCTATTGGTATTCCTATTGCCTCTGCAGCCGGAAACGCCCAAGTACCATGGCTTGAGGCTATTGAAAAACGCTTGGCTGTAACATCCAAGATGTTGGGAACAATGAAGGCCATCAGAATGGCTGGTTTGACAAGCACCATTCACACAATTGTGTCGAGTCTCAGAATCAAAGAAATCCGGTCCTCACGTGCTTTTCGTCTCCTGTCCGTGTTACAGACCGGCGCTGGTGAGTCTCGTCGCTCCGACACTCCTTTCAGAGCGCCTCCTTTTTCTAGCACTATCTAATCCGGGTGTTGACAGCGAACTGTACATTTACTTTTGCCCCCGTCTTGGGTCTTGGGTCTTATATCATCTTGGCAAAAGTCAATAATACAGAGACCTTGACGGAGGGTGTTGCTTTTGCAATTTTGAGTCTGTTCCAGCTGCAAGATAGGCCCGTCATGTCCTTGCTGCATGGCTTCGAGGACTTTCAAACCATCTTCAATGCGTTTTATCGTGTGCAAACCTATATCTTGTCCGCTGAGAGGGAAGACTTTAGAGTCATTCCAGCTCTTCAACAGTCTGGCACGCCATCTGATGAAAATCTACCGCAAAAATCTTACTCAACAGTGCCTCGGAATGGTATCCCAAGGGGACCTGGGAGCCTCGATACTTCTACTTTCAGTGCCGGCGGCAGCGCTGTTAGCTTGAAGGACGCCGCGGCGGGGTATTCTGAAAAAACGATTGTCAAGGACATAAATCTCGAAATTACTCGCGGCAAGACAACCATGATTGTTGGGCCTGTTGGCTCTGGTAAATCAACATTGCTGCGGCTTATCTTGGGTGAATTGCCCGAGATTTCTGGTTCCGTTATCTCTGCTTATTCTAAATGCGCATTCGCTCCCCAGTCGCCGTGGATCACCTGGGGCACGGTGCAAAGCAACATTTTAGGAATGTCTGCTTGGGACACGGAGTGGTATAATACCGTTATTCGCGCGTGTTCGCTAGAAACTGACTTTGAAGACTTGCCAGATGGGGACCAAACAAGAACTGGTACGCGAGGCTCGCGTCTAAGTGGCGGCCAGCAAATGCGTGTGGTGAGCAGATGTCGTGATCTCTTGCTTCAGAATGGGTAGAACTCAGGCACTGACGAGAGGTAGTCGTTGGCTCGGGCTTTATACTCCAGGAACCCACTTATCATCTTGGACGATGTCCTCACAGGACTTGATCGGAAGACTGAAGCCAGCATTCTGGAGGCTGTCTTTGATGCCGGTGGTATTCTCAAGAAGACCAAATCAACTGTCGTTCTTGCCACAAACTCAGGTACCGTAACTCTTTTGAGGTTGTGATGCCACGCGTACTTACTAAATACTTATTCAGTTGGCCATCTTCGTTTTGCCGACCACATCGTGGTCCTCAACAAGGAAGGTAGCATCGCTGAGCAAGGTACTCTTGAGCAAGTTTCCGCGTCTGGCGGCTATGTGCAGCGACTTGCAAGTCTGCCCGCCGTTGAGACGTCGCGACAGGAGTTGTTGGAGTTGCCGGAAGAAATCTACCAGGAACTTGGTCTCTCCAATGAGGAAGACGAGCTGGGGTCTGCGCGCAAAACAAGCGATTTGCAGGTTTATGCGTATTACATCAAAGTTGCTGGTGTATGGACCTTTTCGATTTATACATTCATCTGCGCAGCTTACACCTTTGGGCTCAGCTTCCCTTGTAGGTGTTCCCGAGTCCGTCCTTTTGCCAGCCTCTTAACTCTGTTTTTTCTTTAGCAATATGGTTGCAATGGTGGACCGACTACAACGCCAAGCACCCAAATGAAAACATTGGCTACTGGCTGGGTGTGTACTTTGGTCTCGCGGCTCTGGCGGTTGTAGGTTGCATGGGATCTGACTGGTAGGTCAATGTAACACACGGGACATGGCCAAATAGGCTGACTGCATTTTAGGGCTTTCCGTATGATGTTGGTTCCGAAAACGTCACGCAAATTCCACCAGCTTTTGCTTGATACAACCATGCAGTGAGTACTGGTGCCTTTTTTTCCCAGTTGCGGAGGGCTGTCCTCGCCGTTCGATTGCCGATACTGATGATCTTCTAGCGCAACAACGTCTTTTCTCACATCGACCAACGCTGGATTAACTACAAACAGGTTCAGTCAAGACTTACAGCTGATTGACAGCGATCTTCCGCAATCTCTTGACGAGACCGTTATGAATTTTCTTGGCGTCATCACCTCGGCCGTGCTGGTGTTCACCGGCTCGGGATACGTTTCTGCTTCCATCCCCGTTTGTGCAGCCCTCATCTTCCTTATTCAGATGTTTTATCTACGAACTTCGCGCCAGCTGCGACTGCTTGATATTGAAACCAAAGCGCCGCTATTTTCTCACTTTATTGAGACTTTGGGGGGCATCACTTGCATCCGTGCATATGGATGGTCTGCAGAGTACATGGATCAGAGCTACGAGGCTCTTGACACCTCGCAGAAGCCATACTACCTGCTATGGTGCATTCAGAGATGGCTTACCCTGGTTCTGGATCTGCTGGCAGCTGGCATTGCCGTAATGCTGGTTGCATTCGCAACAATGGTCCACAACGGATCAACTGGGTTGCTGGGTGTGGCTCTTTTCAACGTCATCAGTTTCAGCGGCGTTCTCCAGAGCTTTGTCACACAATGGACCCAATTGGAGACGGGCCTCGGTGCGATTGGCCGCATAAAAGCCTTTGTTCAGGATACCAAGCCGGAGAATTTGGATGGAGAGGCGGATGACTTGCCAGACAATTGGCCGTCAGCCGGCTCCATTATTTTTGACAATGTTTCAGCCTCGTACGAGGCATCTGCTAAGCCTGCCATAGATGGATTCAATCTAGCAATCAAACCGGGAGAAAAGATTGCCCTGTGCGGACGAACAGGAAGGTGAGTTTTCCTTTGTGCAGTTCATGTCACTACTTGACTATTAACTGAAAGGCGTCCTTAGTGGCAAATCATCGCTTCTGTTGACGATTCTCCGCATGCTTGAGCTGGATGCAGGTAGCATCACGATTGACGGATACGATACTAGAAAGATATCGCGCGAAGAACTGCGACGGCGCCTCAACACACTGCCCCAGGAACCGTTCTTCCTGCACGGAAGTGTTCGTGAGAACGTTGACCCGCTGCACATCTCTACTGATGAGCGCATCATTGAAACACTGCGTGCTGTTCAACTTTGGGACATGCTGGACAGTCGCGGCGGACTCGACGCGCCAGTGAGCGAGGACTCTCTGTCTCACGGTCAGCGGCAGCTATTCTGTCTCGCCCGCGCGATTGCGCGCCCAGGCAACATTGTCATATTCGACGAGGCAACAAGCAGGTATGAATCCAAGGATGCAGCCAATGTCTGGCTATCCACAGAATTGGGAATTGCTAACAGTCTGGGCAGTGTTGATTCGGAAACAGACGAACTCATGCAGCGGGTGCTGCGACAGGAGCTTCAAGGACGCACCCTGATAGCCGTTGCCCACAAGCTACACACCGTGATGGACTTTGATCGAATCGTATTGATGAGCAAGGGGAAAGTGGTTGAATCTGGAAACCCACAGGAACTTCTGGCGAACTCAATGTCGGCATTCTACAAGCTATACACGAGTGGAGGCAGCGCTGCCGAGTAAACAAAGGGCCTGGTGTTTCTTTGTTTCCCTTTTTTTTAGGTTTAGAGTCGACGCAAGAACACATGATAGACCACGCTCTAGCCAGTCTCGTCACGACGACACATGAAAGGATTGAATATACACAATCCTAGCATCAAGGGGGTGTCTTCTCTCCAGGAACCCCCCAACCCGCTCCGCCTTTGCGACTTGAGGGGCCTATTCCTCCCTGACCGTGATGCTTATTATCCCTGTAGCCAGATCCCTTCCCCTCAATGCAACGATGGTGCCAAGCTCTAACCCGCGATGAATGTCCAAACTTGTGCAGCGGCACCCGGTAAACCGTCCGGAATCCATGTATGCTACGCTGACGAAGCAGAAACATGCACGGCTCTGATCCTCCATCCACCTGCCGTGCACGCGGCAAGCTCATGGCATGTATGCCCGAGGTTTAAAAAGGAAGAAACGATCCACATGGCAAACCCTTGGACCATCCATACGCGGAGCAAGACTGTGTAAATCCAACCTCGGAAATTTGAAGACTACAGAGGTAATAGCAAACATAACATCAAATTTAAGTGAGAGTGGTAAAAGGATTCAATTCCCTACTACGTTGACACACTTGGCAGGGTGAATAGCGGCATGTGGCTCCGACGCGCTTGATCACCGAGAGAGGATTTGTCCAGTTCCACAGAGCAAGACATGGCCATCTCGCGGGAACATTGCCAGCCACTGTCTCAGTCACACTCTTGCCCACCACAACTTTTTGTTTTCCCGCTTCAGACGGTGTTGCCCTCACATGTGACTCGAGGCGGCTGCGGGAACTCAATGCAGCGGAAAGACACGTTTCAGTCCGTCAAACGACACGAAGATGAATCCGAGCTAGGTGCAGGCCGGAGGCATGTGATGCCACAGCCGCATACATGCCACGCAGCCCCTGGCTCTACCAAAGAGCCAGGCCCTCGCGCCAAAAGGAACCAGGCCCCCCTACTGCCCGCGTCTGCACCCGGAACTTGATGGTGTCTGGTCGGCGGGGAAGAACAAGAGGTTGTAGGAGACGCCGGCCGAGGCGCCAGCAACAGCCTGCTGCCACAGCGGCAGCGGCCTGCGCAGAATATTATCCCCCCTCTGCGACGGCGAGGCAGCATACTGTGCCCGGGAGTACAACATGGCAGTCACGGCCTCTTTGGCGCCGAACCAAGCCGCGCCGCCGCCCGTCTCTCTGATCAGAGTGCCCATTTGGTCGTGCCAGAAGCCGAGCAGGCCCTTGTTGCGAAAGACGTCCCGGATGACGCATAGGGGGCCGTGTGGACTCGATCTGCCGAGGTGGGCGCTTGAATCCGGCACTTGACCAGCTCGACAGGGGTTAAGGACAAAGGAGGCGAGGGCGCCCGCGAAGGCGCCGGTGGCCAGGAGCGCGGGCAGTCTGTCGTCTCGAGACGCCAGTCCAGACGCGTACAGCATCTCGCGGCCTGCGCTTTCAAAGGCAAACAGGCTGCTGGTTTCGACGGCGGCGCCAACCAGCGGCACGCTGATGCCTACAGGCCCAGGGCGCCGTGGGACTGAGAAACCGGCGGAAACAGTCCAACGGGCCTGCGTATCGCAGGGGCAGCTGGTCCGGCTGGCTCTGTTCGATGTATTTGCCCAGCATGCCGCCGAACTGGGTCGTGTGAGTTGCTGGGCCAGTTGCTGCGACGGATGGCAAGACTTACCGTTCCGTAGAGGACATCTTCTACGGGTTCCATCGGCGGGTTGTCTTGGACAAGGGGTGGTGACTCGGGCGGTGGGTGTAGCCTTTTGCTATGAAGCGGATTGGAACGTCACTAGGAATGTCCCTTTTCTCCATCTTTAATTGATAATCGGCGACCCTTGATGAGAAGAGAGAAGAGAGAAAGAAAGATGCATGCCGGTGCCGCTGAGCAAGCGCGGCGGTCAAGTTTGTTGACGACGGTGTCGGAGGAGGATGGGAGACGCAGAGTGTCTCTCGCCTTGCTGACCATGGTGTCGAGGCGATCAATGGCTTGGGTCAGTAATATGCGGGGGAAAACTGAATTGTATCGTCTGCCTGCGGGAGTAGTGATGCAGCCGAAAAGAGCTTTTCTGGCGCTACCGCACAACTCTGACAATCGTCATCTGCTCGCGGCATCGCGACATGGCGGTGTCGCGGCACCAAATGTCACGACCGATATCGCAATGGGGCTGGTTCCTACTCAGGACAAGATGATGGTGGCGCAAAAAAAGGAAAAAAGGGCACCTAAGCTCGTATGCGTTGCAGCAACACCCTGAGGTGTCTGTGTCTCCCGCAAACCGCACGCGGTTTGGCTTCGGAACATGGCGATTGATTGATGTGTCGATCTTGCTGGCGTCTGCAATACAACGATGTGCCGTCGACGGTCCATGTGCAGCTGTTGAGCGGGGCTCGAGCCGCCGACCTGCGCACCCCAGCGCGACTAATTGCATATGTATGCGGCTCCCTGAGGCGTGTCTTCTGTATGTGCATATAACCGCCCAGGTACATGCCTGGGGTGACACAGCAAGCCGTTGTGGAGAAACATTAACTCAAAGGCACCAGTACCCGAACGAGACGAGTTGACAGATGCCGAGCCGTCAAGTCAGATTGCAGTCATACATCGGTAGCCAAGTAGCTAGCCGGCGCCACTTGACCCGTTTGTGCATCATTTCCTCAGCTGATGGGATCCCACTGACCGTGCTGGAAACAGGAAGCATGCTTAATTTTATTTTTTTTTTTTGTTTTTTTCTCTGTGTTTTTTTTGTTCCCTCTCATCTCTATCGGGCATTGGATATTCAGGCTTACATATAAAGAGAGCCCTCAATTGGCGCCAATTAGTTGCGGGCGAGAAAAAAAAAAGCGGGTTCTGCTCCGCCAGTAAATAAGCAATAGTGGGTCTGTCATAAGCTTGCCTTTTTTTCCGCGTGTTCCTCTTACATGGCAGGGATCGACCACGCAACGACATATCACAACATACGGGGTACGCAACTGAGACTTGCACGTCTGTCTAGTCTTGTTTGCTGCGGCCGGAAACCAACCAGGCAAAATAATGGGACCAATAACTCGCCACGGGGATTTTGGTTTTCTCTCGCAAAACGGACCCGCGGCTCATTTCCGTTGGCGACGCATTCCTCTCTGCCGTTGCGAATGCAACAGATTGGGCACGAGACATTACTCCGTATTTCACCGTGTTTTTATTTCTTGAGACCCTTTGATGGATCTCGCCAAGAAAACAGAAAAGCCCCCAACTTTGCGGGGGCGCATGCCCCTTGACCCGCATTCGACTGTGAATATCAAACAAACTCAAACTCAATGCCATTTTGGGGGCGAAAAAAAAAAAAGCGGGTTCTGCTCCGCCAGTAAATAAGCAATAGTGGGTCTGTCATAAGCTTGCCTTTTTTTCCGCGTGTTCCTCTTACATGGCAGGGATCGACCACGCAACGACATATCACAACATACGGGGTACGCAACTGAGACTTGCACGTCTGTCTAGTCTTGTTTGCTGCGGCCGGAAACCAACCAGGCAAAATAATGGGACCAATAACTCGCCACGGGGATTTTGGTTTTCTCTCGCAAAACGGACCCGCGGCTCATTTCCGTTGGCGACGCATTCCTCTCTGCCGTTGCGAATGCAACAGATTGGGCACGAGACATTACTCCGTATTTCACCGTGTTTTTATTTCTTGAGACCCTTTGATGGATCTCGCCAAGAAAACAGAAAAGCCCCCAACTTTGCGGGGGCGCATGCCCCTTGACCCGCATTCGACTGTGAATATCAAACAAACTCAAACTCAATGCCATTTCGGGAGATATCTACATGAGCCGATTGTTACGCTGCATCAATAGCCGATCCAGTCACTCCCGCTGACGGCCAGTACAATCACAAAGACCAGACGTTGCGTCGGGCTCACCGCATGGTCCTCTTCACATTGTGTAACGAGATTCTGCGCATCACTACAATTCTTTCACTAGCAACACGAGCGCCCGCTCAACTAAAATGGTTGCATAACAGGCCATGACTACTCGTTCCCCGGTGTTTCGTCTACTCGCGCACCAAGTCCACGGTTGCGCAGTGAAACGAGCCCCCGAGACAGTTCACATGCTGAAACGGCAGCGTGATGGGCTCCATGTCAAACTCGTCCCGGAGCCAGTTGGCAAACTCGACATCCTGCTCCTCAACAAAGATCTGCTTCTCATTCAGGCTCAGCGCGTTGAGCACCAGCCATGGCGAGCACATGTACATGGGCGGGCTCGGCGGCTCGCGCGGCTTCGGCTTGATCGGGTACGGCCGGAGGTCCCAGCCGGCGAAGACGGCGTGCCGGCGCAGCTCGGCCTCGCTCACGCGCTCCGGGTTGTACACGGCCAGGCCGTGGCGCAGCGGCAGGATCGTCGTGTCAATGTGCATGGCGTGGTCGTCGGTCGTGCGCAGCACCTCGACCGAGTAGCCGTCGGGCACCTGCGCGCGGAGGTACTCGATGCCCTTCATGTTGGTGACATGGCTCAGCTGCCCGACGAGCGTCTTGCCCAGCCTCACAAAGTCGGCCACGTCCATGGCCGGCCGCGAGTTGTTGATGGACCAGCTCGGGCTGCCGTTGGGCTCGCGCGTGCCGTCAATCACGGCCTGGTCGTAGATGGTGTCCTTGCCGAGGATCGTCGGCGCGCGGCAGATGCGTGCCGGCCCGCCGCCCGACGACAGCTCGCGCAGGATGCTCGAGTAGCCGAGCTCGACCTCGCGCCGGCGGCAGGCCCACGCAAAGGGGGACTCGATGAGCGTGTTGCCCACCGTCATGAGCGTGTCCCGCGGCATCGACCCCGTGTAGCCCCCGACCTTGAGCCAGTCCACCTCGTCCGGCCGGTAGACCTTGACGCCGTGCTGCTGCAGCACCGACGCCAGGTTGTCGAGCTCCTCCTGCGCCTTGGCCACAATGTCGGCGGGGAACGGGTTCCCCGGCCGGAACTCGTCGACGTGCTCGGCCGGCATGCTCGCCTCGAACACGGCCCGTGGCTCCGACGGGAAGGCCGAGTGCTCTGCCCGGCCGACAATGACGGCCTTGAGCGGAGACCACTCGTTGTCTGCTGAGATCAGGGTGGTAGACATGGTTGGGCTGCAGTGAGAGCTAGTAATGGGCAAGAGGGAAACAAGGTAGGTCGTCTTTGGCTACGAGAGTGAATACGACGTCCATGTTGACAAGAAGTGACCCAACTATTAAGTGTTGGGCGAATCTGCACGACTCCCTCCATTACCACTAAACCGTGCAGCATCTTCTTGGTCATATTCGGGAATTCGTATGCGGTGCTGCTCAAGACATGCATATTATATGTTGATCTCTGCTGGAGAAGCGCCAAAACAAAACAAAACACAGGGGTGTGTGCCACAGGTTGGCGTGTAATAACAGGAGGCGTGTTACATGTACGGGTGGCGTCTGCGGTTGTCATGGCTTCGGAATATTTCCGAGTCCTTTTTAAACATACATTTCAGCCTCTCCTCCTAATCGCCGTTCGTCTCAATTTGGCGGCCATGTCTCGGCGTGCGCTTACCACCCTGGCAGTAGACGGCACGAGACAGGGCACGCAATCCTCACAACTACTATATCCTCGGTTGTCAAAGACGGCAAATCACATCATCCATGCACATTACTCGGTACAGTTGAGGGCTTTGTTGCCTGCGCATGTACGGAGTGCATGCTATCCTTCTTTTTTTTTTTTTTTTTTTTTTTTTTTTTTTTTTTTTTTTTTTTTTTTTTTTTTTTTTTTTTTTTTTTTTTTTTTGCTTTTGCATTCATGTGCGCGGAGTAGGCTGCATCACTTTCCAAACTAGCAACACTCCCAACCCCACAAGATGCGCGTCCAAGAGGTTACAAACCTGTCTGGTCTGGTCAGACTGTCATCTGATCTTCAGTTAATTGGGTTAGCTAGGCAGACATTAGAGGGCTAATACCGGGGTGTTTCTAGTTTGCATCCCCTAAACAGACAGCACGCCGAAATGCAATCTGGCCATAGGGTAGGTGACGTTGACATTTGTTTCCAACAGCGCCGTGGTGAAGCGCTGTGTGAGTTGGCCAGCTAGCTTAACTTTATGGCTTGCCTTGGAGCTCTTGGTTTTTTTCGGCGCCTATTTATGCCTCTAGAGTTTTCCATAACTCGGTGGTTCTCAAGTACTATAATTGTTGTTGGCCGTGACTGTATTGGTCAATGGCAGTCCGTAGGTCTCTGAATGCGACAAGACACAAAGGGTCATCTTGCACACATCGTACGCAAAAAGCCATTGGTCTTGATCAAGGGGTTTCCTCGACCACTGTAGTTTCGCTTAACGTATATGATTCACAAAGATTGTCACAAAAATCGGCGATGGTGATCGGAAGCAAGCAAGCTGACGGTGAGACCGTGAGGTCCGAGTGCTCTGCTTGTAAGAAATATTCGCTTGCACTTTTGAGATGGCCTGATACGTGTTTATCAACAGTTAAATGTGGACGCGGTAGCATTTTCAATCAACTGGAAAGATACGAGGTGTCATATAACGTGCAAAATTGTTTCTTTGGGACTAGCTAGAAGCCGAAGCTGTTGTGATTTGGAGTATCTAAACACAGGGTGGCCGAACAGAACCTCCAGGCTTGGAACACCCAACTACTGAGGGGAATATTTGCAACGCATGAATAAATCGTACGCTATGGAGAAGACGTATATGAGGAGCTGGATAGTACTATATTGACAAATAGTGGCTTGCTACGTCAGTCGGTGAAAACACAAAGTTCGGTCTGTCAAAGGCACATCTGGAAACTGGAACAGTTGTTAGCAACCACTCTGAACATAATACATATCTCGCGTGATGGAAAAGTGGAAGGAACACAAAATCAGGAAATAGTTGAGTAATATTCGTAATCAGGCCACTCTGACGAGTGTCATAAGCCGCGGTAATTTCACAAGGGAAAATTCATCATAATGGTCAAAGAAAACAGCAAGAACAGGAGAATGGCAACAACTTACTCAGTCTGGGTAGAGGAGGACCTTTTTGGCCTGCGCTGAATTGACATCGGCGATGCAACGCAGCGCCGTGGGGGCGTTGGCTGACAAGAAGAAGAATTGTTGAATGATGGATGGATCGGCAAGATTTTGTGGTACAATTTTATTTTCGATGGCGAGATCACGTGAGATCCGTCGCACAATCCACGCAATGATGACTAAGAATGAGACCCCACCGACCCAAAGTGGAGAGAATATATGGGGTCCCGAGCCACGCCCCTGGCAAGTTGGGTGGCTGTGGCTGTGCTATTCCGTTGCAAACGACTTCGGAGGTGGTGATGATATTGGAACTTGATTGAGTACAGTCTACTCTGTATTGAGCTACCGATGAAGATGAAAATGGAGTGAGCGGTTGCTCTTACTCGGCTGCGTGTGGGCCGGGCCCATCTGTCGTAGGCCTTAGCTTGACATCTTTGCTGTGGGCATCTCCGATGTCAATAAGCATTGCAACAGCTCTTCGAGTCACTCGTGTAACATGAAAGAATCACAGCCTTGAGTTCTCAGGAGATGAGCGAGTGGGAGATTGAAACGCTGCTAAACTAAAATAGTTCGATGTGCCTGAAGGGGCCACAGAACAAGCACTGACTGACCGTTTGAGATGGTGCCAATCTCCCCAGCCAGTCCATTGTTTCTGCGACTTCCGCTGGGGGAAGAAGAGGCTCGCATAGAATGTGTCATGGTTGTTTGGGCTACGGTACGGGCTGTCTTTGTATACAGAGCGCATGTAGCCCATGCAGCAGTGCTGATACGCGACGTTACATGACAATAGCATTTTCAGGCAGATGTGTGGTGGTTCGAAAAACCCGTCCATCCGATGATTTTTTAGGTCTGAGGGACGTGGTAGTATGGCATAAAGCAAGTCTCAGTCTTGATAGATACACAGAAGGAATAGTTGGGGCAGTGGCACTTGAAATTAGTAATTTGCGAAAATAGCTCCTTGCGCGGACAGGCCATCCTGTCGTGCAACATGTCGAGACACAAATATATTGGCACAGGGCCGGTCATGACGCAACATATGCATTCTTCATATAATTAGGTTGCACCGAGCTCGTGTATTTCGACCCGGTACCCGTAAACCCTGCAGAGTTAGCGTTTCGTATTAAAGAAATTTGTGAATTAGAAGCAAGATATTATAGTAGAGCGTCTTTGAATTTGCGAGACCTCTAGTGAAGTGAGGCTTTACTTTTCCCGACCAATAATGCTGTCCCTAGAGACTGAGTGAGTTATGTTTCATTACAATTGATTAGTTACCAATTATGGTGTTTGTTTTCGGAGTGCTTGCAGCTAAACGTGGACGGGACTCGAGCTATTGATTGCGAATTTGGGCGACAATTCCCACTATCAAGCCTCTATGACCTGGCTTGTCATGCCAATGAGGGAAGTTTCCTTGTCGAGAACAACATAAAAGTGTTTCAAGGTGTTGTACCCGAGGATAAAACTGATATTGTCCCCATCATCCTGGTTTCCTGCAAGCGAAGATTTCCGGAACTGGATATCTGGTCGTTGAGATCGATTTTCGAATGAAGTACCAATGTCGCTCATGGCAAGGTAGCATTTATCCTTGTCGCGTCCAATAGCAGTTTTGTTTTCGGCGGGCTGCCTGATATTCCGCCGGGGATGGTGGTGTTGACGACTGCAAATGTCAAAATTATAGGATCCAGTCTAGAGCAGGACAGAAGAAACGGGAGGCTTGTATTCTTGTCTACTGCTGCTCCTGTTAAATTTAGCAGGCGGTTGTAGCTACTAGTGGACACCAACGTTGCAGTAGAGCGCTGATCAATGATGCCGGCTTTGGCTGACAACAAGCCGCTGGCACCATAGGCAACGCTGGCATCAAATACCCAAAATGTCTTGGCCACCGCGAAGTTTGTAATAGGGACGTACGTGACGTTTGTAGCCGAAGGTGATGGCTTGTTTGCCTATAGTGACTTGTGCACTCTCGCCATGTCCTTGTGAGAAAAGTTTATCTGGACTTATCCGGAGTCAGAGTCCCCAGAGTGAAATTGGTAGGACCCAAACCAAAAAGCCCGTCAACTTCAGTGATTCTAGTAGTTGCATTTGTCACTCCGATACTCTGATTAAAGGCGACCCCGCTTATAGTCAAGGTGTCTTGTACTCAAGTCCAGAAAAGCTCCCGCAAACATACGTTATAGTCACAAAATCAGAAGTCTGCTGGCTAGATGGGGTGATAACATATGCCTTCCGACCGCCAATCCATGTATTGGATGAGCCCGGGTCAAACAGCAGCGCGTACTGAGTACCGGGCAGTCCGATGCCAATGTTGACCGCGCCAAATGTAAAATTATCCGTGATAGGCAGATTGAGTGATGCAAAGGTACTTGAAAAAGTTCAGCTTCCCAATCAACTACGGGGTATTACTCAATGAGCCTGGAATTGTGGCCAAGACAGCCATGCCCACGGCGGTCAAAATATTTTTTCTGTCGTTCTTCATTGTGGAAATCCACGACTCAAGAAGATTTGTGCACCTAGTCCCTGAATCAAGGAAATTTTATTGAATGGGCTGGAGTCAATATCGTACGATAAATAAGGTGAAACTATTCACATCCGGATATCGGCCACAGAGGGTAATAGTGTAAGTTTAGAACCTTCAGAACCGGGGAACTATTGTGATCGACATAGCCGCTTTACAGGAGGCAAGGATGTCTTTGGGCTGAATTTGTATGAGACCCTTGGACTCAGATTTCACACACTGTCTTGAAGCAACCGGGGACCACCTTTGCGATGACACAAGTTTAAGCCCAGCCGTGCTTCACTAGTTTCAGGGGTAGATACAAATAACCGTCCTTGGGGAGACGAAATTGAAATTCTTGGCCGTGTTTCCATTTCTTTTGACTGGAATTGACCTTGATGGACACGCAATGCTGTCGTTCTGGCAGGTACCTGGTAGTCACTCCACAAGCTCGCGAGCATCTCATGAGGTTCGGAGACGGCGGCAGGCTGAAATGCGCCGGATGAAGAAACGCAGCCAGCCACATGCAAGGTGCAAGGCGCCTCCTGAGCTGCAAAGCTTCCGACCATTTATTCGACCTGCTTTCAAAGCAAGACCCAGAAGCACTTTTGCCGTCGATTCGGCCCCTTACTATCCCACACTTGTCGCTATATAATGGCTCTAAATTTTTGTGCTTATCCTCTCATAATAATAATTACAACAATACAGGTCGATGCACCAAGTATTCATCCTACATAGAAACCTTTTTCCCCAATGAAAGCTTCGTCAGTATATTTAAGTTAAAGCACTTCAGGCCTTCTATAGTGCGTACACGCATTTTCGTAAATCAATAGTTACCGAAACTGGGAGCACTTGGAAGTCGATGTGGCAGCATAAAGATGACGACGCATTTCGAAATTTACGATCCATGGCAAGATAAATACACCTCCTTGGAGAAAGTATACAACATATATATAAATATACCCTAGGTACGGCCAAAATATAGTGTTACTGAATATCTTGCGTGATTGTCTGACCCCCCCTTTTTAATTTTTTTTCTATTTTTATCAACTTAATATGTAAATATACGCAGATATAGCACAGCATAATAAGACGTAGTTGGTCGTAGCCAGGTACCTGGACCAGCCAGAGTCTCCTACTACACCCAGTACGGAATCCGCATAGTGCTCCCAGATCAGTCTGAAAATATTAGCGATGGGACGTTAGCATTCTGTTATTTCTCATACTCTCATACTAATATAATGTTATGTTTGGTTGGAAAGGAGTGTCATGTTCATTGCGAAGAACCCTAAGCTTATCAGCGTCATTCCGCCATTCTCATCGGTCAAGACTTGCCGGAAAGAAAACAGGAGTAGACATCTCTGATTGTTCAATCTTGATAACCCACTTTGCACGATAAACCCATCACAATCACTTCCTCAGAACAAGCACTCTGGCATTGGACCTGACACGAGCAGTGTTGGAGCCGGAAGCATCAAGGGGGAATTTATCGAGGGGAATACGATTGTCCGCGTATGCGCTGAGCCTGCCAGTCACCCAACTCCCTGCATTTCCAACAGTCGAAATAATTCCAGTCGTCGAGCCTCCTCCAAGCAGGACCGCGAATATACCACGCACAGGAAAGTCAGGTATGCCGGCTGTGACAAATCGAACGGCTCACCGCGCTGCCAAACCTCTCTGGCAGTTTTGGCTTGGATGAGCGAGGCGTTAAGCTCCAAGTCGAGCACAGTCGTGTTAATGTTATTGATATCGGAACCGACGTCGGCATCACTTAACAAGTAGCTGCCTCCCGTGCCCCAGTGCTGCGGATCGAAATCGCTCGCAACGGCATCCGCGACGAGCGGCGCGTGGCTCGACGGAATCTGCCAGGGCGTCACGGGCACTTGCAGCTCCAGGCCGAGATACTTGACAAAGTCGTAATAGCGACGCCATTCGTAGGGGCCATAGAAGTACCCGGGGACGTAGGAGCGCTGAGTCCAGTCGTCGGCTTCAAATCGGTCCACGGCGAGGAAGTCGGGCGCGTAGTCGCCGTCGTATATGCCGAGCTGCTTTATGTACTGGGCCGTCTGCTTGGCTTGCTTGAGCGGTTGCTGATTATCAGCCGATGTATCGTAGATCCAAGTAGAAGTACCTCCGCCCCAAACATTGACTTGCCAACCAAAGGTGACGCTGGGGGCAACAGTGCGGATGAGCCAGTTGACAGCGAGAGTATAGCCGGCAAAAGTGTCACTGATTGAGTCAGGTATGGATTCCTGGACACTCCAATGGTCAAGTGCACCCTGTAGGGGCTCCCTGACAGGCATGGCATAGTCGACAAGATTCTCCTTCTGGCCCTCTCCGAGGAAGTCGGCATTGACAATGAACCCCGCGGGTACGGGATGGTCCTGATCGATGAAGCTATTAGATATATTGAGTGACAGAATCAGATTTGCGAAGCTGTGCGTAAGGCCAGTCGTGTCTTGCAGCTTTTTGTAAATATCGCCCAGAGAAAGGTTGACCGTGTAAGAAATCATTATTGGCAGTACGGAGCTCCCATCTCCAAGTTTCGCCTCAATGTCGCGCGCGAGTTCAATGGTTCGCTTAGTAGCAGGATCGTCTTTCAAGAACTCACCGCTGTCGCCAGCACCGTCGTTACCGGCATATTTGAAGACGGACGAAGCGCGCGCTGCGACAAAGTCATCTGCGTTGTTTGGAGTCAAGTCTGCGAGACCGCCAAAGCTCAAGAAGCTAGGGAAGCCTTTAACGCGGAGATTTGCTCCTTGAATCAGCTCTAGATCGAGCTTTGTACTACCGTCGCTCGCAACCGTCAATGTGTTTGGGCTATTAACAGCATATACGGTTCCGTCTATGACGAAGCTGGAGTTTTGAACTTTGTACTGTCCCGGAGCCACAACAACCGAGAACGGCGTGGTACCTGCCTTGCCTGGAACCTTTTGAGTGTATATGAGCTCATCTGATTCGATACGGACGGAAATATCCTGGCCCAATGTGATATCTGATTTCACCACAATGGGCAGTTTAACAAAGCCCGTGGTATCCACGGGCGAGGTTGTAACATCACTTTCGCCAAACGTGACGTTGAAAAGTTGGGCAGCGAGGTTCAGGCTCTTTGTGGAAAATTCATACCGAACATTATTTAGCGAAATGACATCAATGGAAACTTTGACTGTCCCCGAAGCCGGAAGTCGCCGTAGAGAAATTGTCTCATTGTCGCCGCTGTAAAAGTCCGTGAGTGGACTGCCGTCAAGAGTCAGGTATACATGGAACAGTTCAGACTCGAGAGACGAAAAGTCTCCAATCGATACATCTATGGCGCTGTATTTTTGAACGGAGCCGAAAGTGACGTCGACGGCAGCTTCTTCGCCGGTGTAGACGGATAGAGAGGTGGGCGAAACTTCAGACGTGGCGACCACAGTTTGGTCCGCAGTCGTGAGCTCCGAGCTCGCCACGACGTATTCGCCATATGGAATTTGGATCGACGTGGTCTTCCCAGGTAGTGCGCTAGCAGGGAAGTTTCGTGAGCCTTGTGCAAATGACAAGGTCACGTTCTGGGACGCAAGCGCTGGATCCGGGGCAGCTGCGGTTGTAATCACAACAGTCCCGTTGATGTCGGGGACCGCATCGGCGGCGAGCCTGACAGATTCCGTGTACTGCTCAGGATTATCTCTCAAGTCGCCGTTGATGCCAATTGTTATGGTGTCGGACGTGTTGAACTTGTAGCTACTTTCAAAGTTGAGTTTCGCCGTGACAAGAGAGGTCGATGCATCAATTGGGTCATTGATGACTTCTGCCGTAACAGACTGCCAAGGATTAACGGCTACGGTGAAGGCATTTTGGTCAACAGGAACGGGCGACTTGAACGAGATGCCGAGAAACTCCTTGATGGCTACTTGACTATCATCACTGTACTTGATACCTGACACGACAAGTGTGCCGTACCATTCAGTTGGGTTTGGTCCAACTTCCACGGTGCGTATGATGCTGGACATGGCTGCGAGGATCAAGGCGTTTGGGGAATACTAGGGTAGTGTCACTGTGAGTAGGAAAGAAATGGGAAAGAAGTCATGCTGGTTTTCGAACGAAGGCAGACACCAGGAGATCTCGTCGTCTTTAAATATCCAACCGAGCTCAGCGCACGTGATAGGCACTGTTTTTCAAACGTCACTCTTCAAGGGGCATTCCGCAAGAATAATTCAGTGCTGCATATCGCAAGGAAAACATTCGGCAACATAGGTATGAAGTTGCATCTTTACTACCATCACGCAGACCATTGTGCCATTGTGTGGTCACACGAAAACATCTGTCATCTATCAAATGGACCTTTGTGTCTCATGTAGGCTTTTGAGATATGAATCACGTCGACGACCTACTCTTCTATTGGGCATTCATCGACTGGCGCTATATATTGCGCATATACGAACCTCTCGTTTGTGAGAGTGTAGATGAGTCCATCATTGCTTACCTACCTGAGCTGGCTCGACTGGCACTGGTTTATGATAAGTCTTGCATACAGTCCTTGTAGGATGGGTTACACATGTTACTATACGTATGCATATTGGAGCCAAACCTCGGCAGCTTCCCCAAAACGGCTGATGTTGCCTGTCTGTCCGTCTCTCGCTCTCGCACGGATATAAATTCATCACGTAAGACAAATGGTTCTATAATTTGTGATCGATAGGAATTGACGTCAACAAGCATATTGACACCACAGTACAGCAAAGAGAAAATCACCTCGAGGAAGCATCCAAAAACATGTGCTACAAGGTGACGTAATGCACCCTCGACTCCCCACAGCTTGTAATTGTGACATTATAAGGCCCAATTGCACCATACACTGAGAGTCGTCCTATTACTATCTATGCGGCAGTGTAACGAAAAAAGAAAATGGGAAGCTGGAACGTAGACCAACATGTTCTGATGATCACCAACTTGTGGATATGTCACAACTAGTAACAGGAGCCAATCAACCAACGAAGAATTTTCGTTACCTTGATTAACATACAATGTATCAGCAATCTGGGCAGTGTAAGCCAGCAAGACTTCCGTCTTCGGCATTGCAACGCAATTGAACTTGACGGCCGATCAACCCGTACGGGTGCGTCACCTTTTTTTCGACAAACATCGTTGAAAAAGAACGTAGTATTTCGTACCGTCAATTTCTTGCTGCCGCTTTTCATCTCGAGCAGGGCCCGAATATTCGAGTCTGACCAAATGTTATCGAACAGGTAGCCGTTACATTGTATGGCTGGCCACAGCATATTGCTCTGCATAGAAGTCGCCTCTGAGTCTCGCCTGCATGCCCTGGTTCTTTTTATCCTGAACCCCCTCATACAAGCGGGGCCTCTTCAGCTATACAGTCTGCGGCAGAATATGCTTGACCACCGAGAAGTATACACTAGTATACTATAATATATTATAATATAGAGCGCGATAGCCAGGTACTCAGATCTGGTCAAATCTTTTTTGCCTCCCACTGTACACACTTACATATTGTACATGAGCCACAGGTCGCGGGGATGTCTTGGGTGGTATGCCGCAATGCTGCTTTTCAGTGGTGGCGGCATCTATACCTGGCATGTTGGCCTGCAGTTCAGCTGTGACACAACATTTGGAGACTCTACTTTCGGCTTAGAAGCTGCAAAAAGAGCATTCAGCTATCGGTGGTCTTGTCACCAATGGGGTAGATGGTATCCTTGCGCCTATTCTGCACTTTGAGCAAACATTGCTTTTGCAGAAGCTGAAAACAGGCCGCAACTGACATCACTGCAGGTAGAGGCCCTCTCAAAGTCTTTAGTCTCATCCTTTTTAAAGACCATATATCTATGTAAATGGTGTATTACGTGGTCTGCTGCGGTTCTCTGGCTTGGGTATGGTCAGGCACATTGTGTTGCTCTCACTGGCCCTACCTGATTTAGTGCTTGCACGATCATTTGGATAGGCCGAAAATCAAGAACAAGAATTGAACTTCAATAATAATACCTATGTACAGTGATTTCTCTTAGTGGCACCATATGTCCACCCTGACACCGCTCAGGTGTTGTAAGAGTTGATAATCCAGGCCTGGCTGTTTAACGCATATGATGATGGTGTCAAACGTTTCCAAGGTGTTCTGGTTCCATTCAGTTTCACTAAGCCGTGTGATGTGAGACAGCTCCTCCTGTCTCACGAGAGGATCGGCAAAGCTCACGTCAACCTGGCCTTGCTCATGCAGCGCATCCACGAGCGCCACGCCTGGGGAATAACTCAACACTGACTGACCGGCTTTGAAGCCCATACCCACAACAAGAACTCGACCTTTCTCTAAGCCAACATCCATAGTAGTTGAAAGCTTCAAATCCTCCACAGTTCTCTTGGCAATCTGTGCCGGGCGGGCGGCCATAGTCTCTGTAGCGGCCTGCAATAGCGGAAAAGAGCTATTGGACAATAGATAGTAAGGGTTCACGGGGATGCAGTGACCACCAACACCCACCGACGGTGAGAAGGGAGCATATCCGAAAGGCTTGGTGGCGGCGGCTCTTGAAACCTCGAATGGATCAATGCCATGCGACAGGGCAGCATCAGCCATCTCATTCGCAAAGGCTATGCACATCATCCGTTGGCAGTTCTCGTAGAGTTTCGTCATCTCAGCTACCTCGGGCGAAGAAACCGGGACCAGCCTGCTGAATACTTGTCCATATGCCTGCTCAATAGATGCGAGGGAGCCAGGCACCGTGTCGTCAAGTCCAGATATAATTTTTGGAATGTTTGCGCACGGCGGATTTGTGCGGCCAGGATCCACGCGCTCCGGAGACATGCCGGCAAACAAGCCATACGAGACTGCAATAGGGCCGAGAAGACTTCTCGTCATGCCCACGGCCACAGAGCTCTCGATAACAACAGTCGAACCTTGCTGAGCAACTGTTGCCACGGTGTTGATGGCGTCCTTGATATGCGTTGTATTAATGGATGCATCTTCATTCACCAGAGTCGGCACAGCTATCAGAAAATGGGTGGCCTGCTTCATGTCCATTGGACACGTCGCGTACTTGATATTGCCGCCGCCGCATAGCTCACGTCTTGCGGCGCGAAGCGTCGCAGACGAGATGTCGTAGGCGATAACCTTGAACTGCGTCGAAAAGGATTGCACAAGCCGCCTGCCGACGTAACCGACTCCGACGACAGCTACGACAATCTCTGCTTCCCGAGCTCCCTTGGCATATTGCTGTAGCCGCACGTCGGCGGACTCGGAGCAGCGAAGCAGGACCTCGGTGGATGGAGGGATTGGGGTCGGCGCGGGCATTGTTTCTGATATAAGCCTCTCAGACTACCCTAAATTCTCCTGTGTCTTTTCCGAAAGTGGCGTTCTTGTGTTTAAAATTCAGTCAGCTTGCAGTGTTCGTTGCCAGAGTAAAAGCCATAACCGCCAACTTCTTACCGAAATTATATTTGGCCGGTAAAATATGAAGAAATTGCTCTTTTCGCGGCAACACACCGTAGAATTTAGAGTTCTCGGCTTGCTCGGTGAATGCTTTGATCGTGATATAGCACAAAAAGGGAGCCTTGACCGCATCTTGGATTTATAGACTCGAGACACACCCGACTTTTGACGAAAAAGAACTATTGAACAATAGCGGGAATACACGGAAGCTCTCCTGAATCCTTCTGATGCGGGTCTTATCCGACGATGTCCTTAAGACGCAATGCTCGAGTCATGGTAAATAGATGTCCGGTAGTCGTATAGCACCGTCGCGAATGGTGCCTGGATGAGGTAAGCGAAACATATAGCCTTGGAATGAGGGAGATCGGATTTGGATATAACATGTGGAATAAGCGTTCTTGGCAATACTCTGTTTTAAGCGTAACCGACCCAAGTCGTACGACCAATATAAATTTACCGGGAGCGGCGTTACGAGTCGGGGCCGGAATGAGATCAGCTATCCGCGTCAAGCCGTCGCGGTAAAGCCCGTCGCAGTAAAGCCCGGTCCCAACGCAAACACCTGTGAAGGGAGGGTTGCCGCAGAAAATCTCCGTGAAGGGATAGAGTATGCAAGGGGTATAGAACCCTGTTGGGTAAACAAGGTGCCCGGCCATTGTCATACCGTATACGATTCATACGACATATGTCGGTGTATATAGCATACAAGTGGTGTTCATTTGCCTTGCCGCCTACCTACTATTCGCTCTTATACGAAGCGAAGCACGGAGTAGTGATGGTTCAAATATCTGGCTCAAATGATGCACTCTATGTCGTTACTAGATTTTTTCTTCCTTGTATCTCGTTGATTGTTTCCACTACGCAGCTTCCGAACAGCAGGGACATAGGGTCTGAAAGGCTTCGCAATGTCTTCAGTAACTTCCAGGTTGCGTAGAGGGAGTTGTCAGCAAGATTCGTCTGATTTGCCCGTGACACAACCAGAAGCTGCCTTCTTGCCGCCTGAAAAGTCGCAAGACTCACCGTTACTTTCGGACAAGGACTCTCAGAGCTCCGATGACGGTGGTATTCTTGCCTCGAGTAAAGTTTTTGCTAAACACCACGATGGTCCGCCTACTTCTTCCGAGGACAGAGTCAGGCAAGTCCAACCATGGCCGCAGAAACCCAACCAGGCAAAATACACCGACTTGAGACCATACCATGCAACGTCGTCGAATTCGCCACGATACATGGTCAAAAATATTATGAACAAGACGAAAGACTTGCCACTTGAGCAACCAACCCTGGATGATGCCGAATTTGAGACATTGACAAGGCTCATGGACAACAAGCAGAAACACACGGTGCCTAGTTTCAAATCAAAGATTGCATTCAGGGCATTATACTTCTTACTTCTTGCCGCGCTCGTGTACTTTACGCTTGTTGGATGGCCGCTCTGGCCCGGCAGCGTGGTCTGGTTCTGGCGATGGTATCAAGGCCAGGTTGGCAGCCATCATATTGCCGGACTCGTCGCTTTTCTAGCCGCAGGCATGGTTCGCAACATCCTGCCTCAGTTTCTCTGCACATTCGACGTCCCTAGACAGGAGCCAAAGGAAGTCGAGGAGCAGGGTGTGTCTCAGTGCTGCGTCATTATACCCTGTTATAAAGCGGCCGAGACACTGCGTTCCACGCTGCCCGCGTGTCTGGCAATATTCAGCCCCGAGCAAATCTTCGTTGTGGCCAACGGAAATTCGAGCGTTCCGCTTGACAACACGGCCGATATATGCTCGGAGTTTGGGGTGCGGCACGTTTGGCTTCCCGTGGGCAGCAAGATCACGGCCGAGTTTGTCGGCGTGACGCTGGGAAAGGAGTTTCAGTACTGCTTGCTGATAGACGATGACGTCCTATTGCCCCCCAGCCTACCCATATCGACGCAGTGGTTCAATGCCCCCGGCCATGAGAACGTGGCGTGTGTTGGGTATACCATCAAAAGCGTGGGGTCGAACTCGTCTCGCGGAACAATCATTCAGCAAGCTCAAGACCTTGAGTACAAGATAGCGGGACTTACAAAGGTGTTTCAGTCCAAATACGGCAGCACCGTCTTCCCGCATGGCGCCATCGCATTATGGCGCCGTGATATTCTAGAGAAGATACTCCACGCTCATCCGGGGTACAGCATTTCCGAAGACTGGTGGCTCGGCCATACAGCAAGATGTGCTGGCTATCGCATCCTGATGAGCTCATCAGTTTTTGTCGAGACCGAAACACCACCGCGTCTCTTCCCAGCCTGGTTCTCTCGCACAAAGGGCTCGCGGTCTGGTTACGGCGAAATGTCAGTCATCCAGCAGCGCTTCTTCCGCTGGAGCTTCTTCTACCTCTTTCGTATCTGGGCAAACACATTGTATCTGATATTCAGCTGGCGCCTGGGCTGGCGAGTGCTTATTACAAAGGTGTACGTCTTGGGAGAAATCTATGATACACTCATCAAGCTATTCACCCCGGTCTTCCTCCCCGTCGCCATGATAGCCCATTGGCGCTTGACGCTGATTTTATGGTTCGGAACCATCTTGGCGAACTTTCTGCTCTCCTGTTGGTTCAACTTGATTCATCTGGGTCTTCTCAGACGAGGGAGCCCTAATGAGCGAGTTTCCTGGCTGGCATTCCCGGCCTTTTTTCTCATCAAGTTTGTCATGGCGTTTGTGACGGTAGCGAGCGTATATTGGACCATCTACCAATACGCAGTCTTCTTTGCTCGGCAGCACCTCCGGGTGACTGAGAGCGTGCCGGCTTGGAAAGTAATCAGGGAGAAATATGAGAACATGTCAGAAAAAGAACCTGAGTTAACCGGTGTCGCACCCAAAATCTCTGAGACAAACAGTAGCAAGAAATAGTACTAGAGAGGTGGGCCTGGAAAATGACAGAGTACGTACCAAAATTTCAAAATCTGATGCACATGGCCTCAACGCCTAGCTTGTTTTCATCATTAATGATATTGTGACTAAAGTTGTCATCCTTGGAGGTGACACACTGTATCGATTTTCCATATTACTTTCTTCCTTCCCGGGATATTGTAGTCTTGACAATCTACAATTTGCTTATGTAACATAATCAATACACATGGTATTTTCCAGGCACTTTTTGAACAAACATCTTGCAAGTGCTCACGGTGCAGATGTGTAGCCGTCCAGTGCCAGCGCCCTGTCGTCTGTGCATGACCAAGCTGTTATTCGTATGTCGATTCGCAATTCACTCGCGTCAAATCTTCACGTTTTACTATTGAATTGGGTAAATGTCTTTATCGCATATAAGCTACTTGCTCTCGGCTGAAATTAGAACTCTACACCCACGAGTCTTTAAGTACTCGCCGCACGTCGTTTAGCTAAAAGAACCTTTAGATCGATATTAAATGCCAGAAAGGAACCTCACCCAGCCCGAGCAGCAGGCCGCCGTAGAGGGCCTTGCTGCCCGAAGCGTCGGTGTAAGCCTGGTAGAACGGCGGTAGATGTGACAAGGGCTTGGAGCGGAATGACTCTATTCAATAATAATCTTGTATGATGTCAAAGGTCCTTGGTTTTCCAAGAGGAAGGAAGGGACCAGTGACGACTATATATACATGAAAGCAACAGCTTGCCCAAGGCTCCCAGCGGGTCATGTATTCAGTCTGTGTAACCTCTAGGTCCTGTATCGGCGATGCCCCTTTATTGGGCGGTGAGGGTGTTGGGCTTTGACCGTGTAACGGGAGAACCCCCAGAACCCAGACTTGAAGTCCCTTCCTCGGACCTGTTCAGGGCTCTCCCTCCATAACAACTTGTAATTTTTAGTCACAAGTGGCCCCATTCGAACTGCCCTGTTCCCATGAGTCATTTACGTTGCATCTCTGTGGAGAATTCGAACAATGTCACATCGAGTAGCTGGGATCGCGTTGAAAAGTGGATAAGTCTTTGGCATTTATTCTATGTAGCTTGGAATTCGAGGGCTTTTATACATTTCTAGACAGCAGGTTGAGTCATTCTAATAAGAGATTCATCTTTACCCAGATGACGGCTCAGTAGGGCCTGTGGCGTTAGACTTTTCGGCGATACTACGCAATAGTTGTCCTTCATGGACACAGACCACAAGCAGAAATGGGCGTCTCCCCGCGCTATAATGCCGTCACTACGACTTCTCAACGTCAAGTTAGAATTCTGCCTCATTCTACAGTATGCCCGTACCTGCTCTACAATAGTAACAGCGACGGTTCAGATGCTAGTTAATACGAAAGCCAGAGCGGGCGATTAAACTTACTGCCTACGCCCCTCTACTCCCTTAAGAAGCGTAGACATGGCAGCATATTGTAAAGCATATCGGATCTTGCGTGCCTTTGTTGAAAGAGGGAAATAGATGCAGAAATTTCGACCTAGGCTCGGGTTAGCAATCACCGCGGGTTTACCTTGTCGTTGAGGAATTTTCCTAAAAAGTGAAGCTCTGCTTACATCCAATGTCATTTGGATCATCTGGATCAATTGTATTTGCAGTATGAAGCTCAATCGGATGGGATATAATCGGAGTGCAGCCATGTTGCTTTCTATTTTCCCGTCATGGAAAACAAATTGACGGACCATGGCATATTATTGTATGGCGCGCGAAAGCTAGGTACCTAATCGTGTTGTATGGGAGTAGCGAAACTCGAAACTGTGGTGTGCATGAGTGAGGGAAGTGCAGAGGCGACATAGTACCACCCAAATACACAAGACCGTTGAGCAGCGACTCTGCATACATTGACATCTAACCTGCTACGTACAGAAAAATACCCTTGCCGTCTCCATTTCACAATTTCAAGGTAAATTTGCATAGCGCTCCTATACGAACTTGGCGGATTGTGTCAGTACTTCTTAGGTGACGGCCAATTCCTCTTCTTAAACCTCTCAACGACGTCCCTCAATCTCCGTCAACTGCACCCACAGTCCCCCCTTTGGCTTCGTCGTAATTTCCGTCGTGAAATCCGGTTCTTCTCCCCTAGCCAGCGGCCCCCCATCCTCGAATCTCGTCTCAAATCTGCTCACCCAAGCCGCAACCAGACACGCAAACTCAGCCTGTGCAAACTTCTGGCCAATACAGCTTCTTGGGCCGTGTAGAAATGTCATGAAAGAGTAGTTGGAGTCTGCGGATCCGCGGTTGTTTGTGTGACCGTTGGCGTCGAGCCAGCGCTCCGGCTTGAATTCCTTGGCGTCTGCGCCCCAGAGCTGCTCGGATAAGTTCACGGCCCATGGACAAAGAATCACAGGAGTGCCCTTTGGGATGAATTGGCCCAGAATGCTCGTGTCCCTTGCGGCGACACGCAGGGTCAGGGGAACGGGGGACCACACTCGAAGGACTTCGTTGCAAAAGGCTTGCAAGTACGAACAGTTGTCGATTTCCGCGGCGGTGATGTCATCATCAAGTGAAGGGAGTTTGGAACGAACTTGGTCGCGTAATTTTCGTTGGGTCTCGGGGCGTTTGCAGAGCTCGTACACGGCCCAGGCCATTGCCGTGGCCGTCGTTTCGTGTCCCGCGAGGAGGAAAGTCATCATTTGGTTGACGAGGTCTTCGTCGCTAAAGCCGCCTGATTTGAGTGCAACGGAAAGAATATCAATGTCTGCCTTGGATCGCTGCTTCTCAACGTCGAGTCTTTCTCGTTTCCCCGCAATGAGATCCCGGCAAACTTGCTTGATGTAAGAGCTGGCTGCACTCATCTCAGCGTTGCGCCTCAACGGCAGGAGACGGAGGAGTCGGATGGGAACAAATAGTGCCAAAAGTCTGATGAACCTTCCAACTCTGCCAGTGTTGAAGATGGTCTTGTAGGTTTGGTTGAGTTTGTTTGCAGGATCGTTGAGGGAGTTGAAGTCGCGGTCCATGCCTGATACGCCAATGATGTCGAGTGTGGCACGAGAGCTCCAGTCGTATACTTCAATGGCCCCAGGAGCGTGCTGAGCTGCATTGGGGTCGGCGCTGATTTTCTCCTCTGCCGCTACGCTGGAGTCGGACTTTGCTTTGATGGTGGCAGACAGAACCTGGGCCATTTCCCGCGACTTGCTCCAAAAGGTTGGGTACAGGTCCTTGATGTGACGGAAAGCAAAGGCAGGCATCAGGTTTTTCCGCTGTCGCTTGTGTTCATCACCCTCGGCAAACAATATGCCCATGCCTAGGATTCTTCCCAGAGATTGGCTAAACTGTTTCGGCTTCCCAAAGTCGTAGTTTTTGGTCACAAGAACCTCGGCGAGACCTTTGGGATTGGTCACCAGTACTCGCGGCTCAAACCACGTAGAGTATGTGATTAACCCAGTGTTTGGCACATTGTCAATCCAATAACGCAAGGGAATGCCTGTAGGCTCTTTAAGAATCCTCATGGTTTGATCCCAGAGCCAGTGTCCATCGTCAGGGTGTGGCAGGTGCCGAAGAGGACTGAAGAAGCGTGGGTAGACAATGATGCGCCATGTCTGGGCGAGGAAGAAGTAAATTGAAAAGACAGCGAATGCAGTTGTCCAAAAGCCGAGTGAATAATGTGGTGCATTGTTTTGAAGGATGTAGCTGGCTCCCCCAGCCACGACCAGACCTTGAAGCAGCATACTTGCCGGAATTGAGTCGTGTGTAAAGGTGCCCAGAGAGAGTTAGCTCGGGGCGGGTGGCATCTCTGCGAAGCATTCAGTAGATGTTTGAAGTCGATATATGCTCTTGTGGAAGAAAAGGAGAACCACGTTGACGTGTCGCTTGGAGTTGGACGTCAGTGCAGGCTGAGACAAGTACGTCATGCTGCCGCGAAAGGGGAGGGAGCCTCAAACGGCGTCGTCGTCATGCAGTCGGACTTGTTTAGCGGCGGACTTGGCTGTTCTCCGCGGCCAAGTTGAGTCTTGACGTTGCGGAGGAATACCATCAGCGGGGCAAAACGGGACGGGATAATCTTGTCCGCGGCCGGAAAGTTTCAGAGCCAGGGGCCGAGAGGCGAAAGGTGGAGAAGACGGTGGGCGAAGTGATTGGCTGAAAAAAGTGATGTCGACAAAGTACGGAGTACTACGTACAGCTACCACACAATACAATCGGAGGTTTGTTGTTTGGTGAGTGTTGCTATTCTAGCAACGGACAAGAAAGTAGAGAGTCGGACGAAAGGCGAATTTCCAGTGACAATGCGTCGGGGCCCTTTGAAGAAGCAAACAAGGCCAACCCATCGACAGCAGATGTGGGTGGTGGGCGCCATCAAGAAAGAAAGCCAGGCGACTGACACCAACGCCAGCACAGGGGAGCGGTGAACAGAGCTAATGACAAGGTAAAGGGAGTGTCACAAGTGTCATTTTCCAGCATCAGGGATTGAAACTCGGATGCTCACAGGCGGCGTAGATATTTCTTTGCTTTCCCGACGTGGCCTTTGCCGATTGACGCTTCTCGAGCTGAGTCGGCTTCGGCTCTGGCTGCTGCTGTCCGCTGCTGTCGCTGCTTCTGCTAGGTGACTGGCTCCAATGGTAGCAGGGGCAAGGCATGTCAATATCGAGGATTCAGACTCCCAATGTCGAACCGGTGGTGTGCGTATTTCATCGTTTTTTTTTTTTTTTATCTTCTTTTTTTGTGTGCGTTTTGCTGCTGATGTGGCTTTGACATGACCATGGAAAACTGCAGGAACTTGACGACAGTTTGATGGATGCCTGGACGATCCGTGAAAAGAGTTGGGACCTGCCAGTATGGGAGAGGAGAGTGTGAGGTGGTGGTGACATCTTTTTATACCAGCTGCCAGTGACTAGCTCGGCAAGCATGGTAAAGGGGCTGCTTTAGCTTCACCAAAGGTTGTGGCTACTAGACCCGGACAAGGTGCGCATGTGTGATGAGGCGCCTGACCTACAGACCCGTGGTACCGGGCCAGCCTGGGACTGTGACCTGCCCCAGACTGGGAGATGTCGAACCCTCCTCGAAGCCGTTGTTCACGCGGGTTGGCATCCGCGGGTGTTATTTGTTTGACGTGATTTGTCTCCCTATTCTCACGTTGCCGTTGTTGTCTCGGGTTGGCGTCCGCGGGTGTTAAGCTTTTAACGTGATTTGTCTGCCTATTCAACACGTTGCCGTTGTTCACGCGGGTTGGCATCCGCGGTGTTGCCACCTAGCAGTACTTGGTTGCTCCCTTCCACCGGAGCTTCTTGGGCTGCTGCTGCTGCTGCGGCGGGCGCATGCGGGACCGGGGCGGCGGTGGCGGCGGTGGTAACGGCGCTGGAGCCGGAGCTGGAGCCGGAGCCGGAGCCGAAGCCGCCTCCTCCTCCTCCTCGTCCTTCTTCTTCTTCTTCTTCTTCTCCTCCCGTTCCTCGTCCTCGTCCGCTGCCATTGTCCAATGTTAAATCGCCAAGTATAATACTAAACATGGATGTGTGCACTGGACTGACCAAGCTTCTTGATCTCCAAGCCTATGTCACGTTAGAACTAATAGAAATAATAATAAACGCGTGCATAAGACTTACGGAGCTTCTTCATCTCTAGGGCTGTGGAACCTAATGTTAACTTCGATAAACTAATAATAGATTCGTGCATAATATGTACCGTGTTTCTCCTTCGCCCGTTCTTCCGCCGCTTTCGCCCGTTCTTCCGCTGCGACAGCTCGCTCTTCGGCCTTAACGGCCCGTTCCTCGGCCTTAACGGCCCGTTCTTCGGCCTTAACGGCCCGTTCTTCGACCTTAACGGCCCTTACTTCGGCCTTAACGGCCCGTTTTTCGACCTCCACGGCCCTTGCTTCGGCCTCTTCGGCCTTCACGGCCCTTGCTTCGGCCGCACACGCCCGGCCGTCCGATCTCTAATCGAGGTAGCCCCGGTAGGCCCCGTAAACGAGCGTCACGGCGCCGAACACCGTGAGGGCGATGTCCCTCATCTCCGGCAACTTCATCATCATCGTCGTCGTCGTCTTCGTCTTCGTCGTTGTCGTCGTCGTTGTCGTCGTCGGTGGTGGTGGTGGTGGTGGTGGTGGTGTTATTATTGGTGGTGGAGGCTGTCGTTGTTGTCGCCGAGCAACAAAACTTTCTGCCTTTGTGTAGGAAGGAGAGGGTCATTTCCCGAAGGCAAGAGTACTTCTGGGTTTTACTTTGTATGAATGAGTCGCTTTTAAATGAATTCCATATCAAGACGGTAGTGTTGTATAAAATTTACAGTAGAGTTCAAAGGTGTCATCATATTCAACATAGCTAGATATAGATATTTTATGCCCCAATCTCAGCGCAGTATTCGTATGGGGAATCACTCACACCTGGATGGTTCGGCCTTTGGAAATATTTACAGTGTTTCTCATCCAAGGAAAGAGCTGTCTGCCGAGTGTCTCTATTGACCGGTATGCAGCATTTGGAAAACCCGTGGCAAGACATGCCACCCAGAAACACGTCGCGGCCTATCCAACCCAGAATTTACTTGAGGAAAGCGAGGCTTTGTCTTGGTTTTGCGTCAAGGAGAAGTAACGCTGGCAAGCAACTTGCAACGTGAGGTTCGTGAGGTCTTCTAGAAGCTTTTGTCGACCAGACCCCACCCAACCAGACAGTTTGAAATTTGATACCTGGTAGTTACACCACGCTTAGCACACATTCTTAGCCCAGCCAAGATAGCTCAGCGCAATGGCCATTTCGTTCGCCTTACAAGCTTTTTTCTGCGAAATGGCGAAACATACTGCTGCCCAGCACGAAGAAGCTGTACCCGAGGAGGGAAGAAGCTCCGCTGCCAAGATAGCAGTAGATTTTATTGTCTAGAACATGTCAAGTGCATGAATTAATTCGGATGGCTTCTGTTCTTTTCCAATAAGGCGGCGACTACACAACTTGACCCCTTTATCACCACCGCCGCCGCCACAACCATCACCACAAATACTGCCACGATTACCCAAACTGCCGCAGAGAGATGAACTATTTTACTATTATTAGGGGGACAGTGGTCGTCTTAATCTTGATAATTGGCGCCTGGTTATCTCCCATTAGCGAACAACAGAAACATGCTGTCCGTGAGGTTCCATAACCAAGCACAGCTTGCAGCTCAAAGCCGTTTGGTGACGGCCGCGACGCTAACCAAGCAAATCTCCACGAAATTTTCTGTTTTCCCTCTACGAGCCTACTTATTCTGGGAGTGGCTTTTTGTGCATCTATACTAGGAAATAGTGGCGTCAGTCGATACTAGACTCTAACAAAGTCTAATACTGGCACCAATCTAACCGGGCAGTCTTGCCTGAATAGTAGTTTTCCATGTTGAAGTACATGGATAGATGCGGGCCATCTGAGGAGTAATCTTCCGTGGGAATGCACTTGGGGCCAAGTATAACCCGTGTTTGCCGAAAGAGGTGAGAAGCTGCTCGGAATGGTTGGCACGTCGTCGTTGCGGTTGTCAACTTGACCTTGTCGTACCTTGCCCACCGGCCGAGCTAATTTTCTCTTCGATATTATTTTATTTTATTTTGACTTTTGCTCTTGTTCTAGTTTGGGGACTTGAGGCTTAGCATAGCACGTCCCATGATTCGGTAGGCACAAGGCCGGCGAATTCACGTCAGACGTTACAGTGTCACGTATAGAATTCAACAAAGTAAGCGTGAGGAACGATGCCATTTTGTGTGAACCAAGTTAAAATAGACCTGGCGCTAAAATATGGTAGGTTCGCACCAGCATCACCTTGGAAGAGCCGTAGTGTCTGCAGATCGGAGGCTTAAACCACGCAGCCTATTACCATGATTATAAAGACGTCTGCTCACCTAGCTGAGGAAAAGATCTTGGCCTACCTAGAAGCAGTGCTCAGAACATTTTGATAGACTCGATTCTCAAGATCCATCACAGAGCAAGCTCTTATTAGGGTTTGAAGCTCGGTTTCGCTGCAGACACGTCGTCGTATTACGAACTTGACACCAGAGGCGGAAATACCGAGTCCTTCTACGCAGCGTCAGCCAACGCGCGCTTCAATCGAAATAATCATTTGCCCCCGGGACCACGCAGCCAAGCTATCGCGATGGAGAGGCCTTATTTACTGAGGCACACTAGATCTTTTCGCAATCTTACGGCACGTGTTGCCGGTCAGGGCGCTTTCTATCGTACGGGGACTAATGCCCCAGCGGTTTCTGTTCTGGGAGTGGACGGCGTGGCTACTGACGTCTCGTACTCGTCACAGAAAGTCGTGGAAAATAAGCCAGCCGGAGAAGAGGACCCAGTTATGGAAGAGACTGGAGCTTTGGCAGAGTCTGCATTTGTGCAAGAGGCCGTTGTTGTTGAACAGACTGTGCTTGGGGAAGAGACTCTAGTCGCGGAAGAGCGACAAGGGGTAAAAAGGAGATCAAGGTTGAAGAACTTCTTACGGAAGACTCTCAACGCGGCCTATATGGCAATGCGACTATACGATTTCAGTGTTTTAAAGCGTACGGCAACCACTTCACGAGTGGAGGAACACGACCATGATTCGGACCATTCAACGCATACATCATCTACTTTCCAAAAGGATACAGAGGACTGTGATTCGGCTCATTCAATGCATACGGCGGCCACTTCTCCAGTGGAGGACGCTCAGGAAATCAGTTCGGCATTCCCTCTCCTCGAATTGCCAACGGAAATTGTGCTGCGAGTAATGCTACATCTACCGGCACCCTCTTTGTATTGTCTTCGCCAGACTTCTCCCAGACTCATGACGCTCTTTGATACACATCATTTCAGATTGTTTCATCGAGAACCTGAATCATCGGGCAATCACAAGCGGTTTGATGTATCTCAGCTCAACCCCGCGCAGGGGAACGACGTCGCCGATTCTTTACATCACGACATGTATTGCGCCGCCTGCCTTTCGGCCGAAGAGTGCGGGACTGTAGGTAAAAGTCTGGAGAGGCTGCGCAGCTTACAATATTGCTACGAGTGCGGTGCACTACACGCAAGGGCACTCTTCCCCGAGGACAATGCAGCATATGGACTCGCCTCCAATGAGCAAATCTGTATTGGATGGCTCGAACGTCTTACGGTGTGCGATCACCGTTTAGCTACGTCACTATCATGGCGAGATATCGTACATTTCCCCGACGTGGCCCCCGGCAAGGCGTGTGAGATTGCATGCACCCACCGGTCACACCAGCCTAAACCGAAGTCCGGTCGATTATGGAAATCTGGATCCGCATTCCCACGGTTCTTTGCGCAGGACCAACCTGATGATTGGGTTACTCATATAGGGTATGGATGGGATCTACCTTTGCTCGACCTTCAGCATCGATCTGATCATACTCTACGCGCCATTCAAGAAAGGCTTTCCAAGTTGGTTGTAGATGCATTGCACCATCACAACCACAGAATATGCCCTCACATTTCTGTCGATAAAGAGATTCTCAATTTTGTTCAGTCTGGCATCTGCAATTGCTTCGCAAAACATGACACTCGCTACGTTCGCCTGAAAGCCCCGTGGCCCAAAGCATGTGAGTGTGGACGACAGGTGACGCTCGAATGTCGAATCTGTGGTGCGGTATACATGTGGCATCTTGCCATGGGACAGGTAATTCTCTCGCTTCGTTACTTGTGGTATATCCAGAAGCCCACTAGCTTTGGATGGCTGGGCCTGCTAGGGTTTCAAATGAAATTTTCCTCTCAGGAAAATCAGCATGTCCTCTGGTGTGATACCCCGAACTGTCGGACAAATAAGAGGCGGCGGTGGGAAGCACTTGTGAAGGAAGATACTGTGAGGGAATATTTTGGGGACAAAAATCTTGAATCTATTAACGATGATGAGCAAGACGATGATAGCTCAAATGATGATAGCTCAGACGATGATAGCTCGGACGAGGATAGCTCGGGCGCTGGTAGCTCGGACGATGAGGGCTCAGACGATGAGGGCTCAGACTATGAGGAGCAAGACAATCATTTTACGGACTTTAATGGCGGTTTCGATTACGAGGAGATGGAAAGAGCATCCGAGAAAGGTTCTTTTCGGAACTGGTAAGAAAGTCGGAGAATGACGGGTGCTCTCAGTAGCCAAGAACTTACTGGCTCATTGTCAGAGGCTAGAGAGACAGAGAGAACCAAGATGTACACACTTATAAGCTGGATCTTGGGGATATTAGGCCATGGGCCGCTATTGCTGGGTCTTTTGCTTCATGGCCTAGTGGTCTAACCCGTTAGCCACTGTGACAAGGGGGCATGTGTAATCTCATCTGCGACAGGATCTTGCCGCGTTCCTTCTAAAGATATACTTCGATTCGACAAATTATCCTCCTTCGTGTCATATTGAGGTGTCCCTTTCGTGAATTTGTAACCCTGTTTGTCGGCTAATGTGGTGAAGAGAAAACTTGCTTCTGTCGTGTTCCTGGTGGCTGTCCAGGGGGTTACAAGGGACAGTGCTCTAATTCTACCGTGGTCTTTAAGAAGCTTCAAGCGCTTGTATTCTGACATGAATCGTAATTGGATATGTGACTTTGATATTACGGCCGGAAATTATAAACCAATCAAAATATTTACGAACAAGCTATTAGTTTTATCCTTGGCATCCCTGAGCCAATGACGACCAATCGACACAGCAGTCTACAACACAACTGGCGATATCGAATCCAGTCTAGTTTAGAGACGTAGCATCAAGTACTACCATGGCAGTCGATGACCTAGACTAAACCGTTGGTATGCTAGGGGCGTCGCCCTATCAGACGGTGTGCGTTTCGACTGAGCCGCGGCCGGCCCGGCGCCGGAGCTTCCGACGACAATATCCAGCCATCGACTGCATGAATAACGTGAAGCAAAGACGGAGATTCAGTCATCAATGAGGCCTAAACTCCGTAGCTATACTATTTCGATTGCGCTCCCGCCTGCTGGGGAATCCACCAACAAGCTCGATTTGCAGCGCCAAGAGTAGCAGGTCAAGAGCCCATTGAGCTCTAATTTTTCTGTCCTGTTTGCTCCTCGTTCTTCAGTTTTGGATACAAGGTTTGCTGTTAAAGCCATGTTTGGGCCGCAGAGAGTATTACCACACAAAATATAGCGTAGCCAGAGCGCACTTTAATTTGCGGTTATTAGCCCCTGTCTTGTGATAGATATAATGAAGCATAAATATAGCGGACACCGTTATATATTGTAGTCCATTTCTGACTGGGTTACTGTCATGTGCCACACACGAAATCAATGCAGGATCTGCCGTGTAGTACCAAATGAGTCAAGGCTGTTTCTATGAAAGTACGAAAGCAATCGTTTGTAAAGTTTTCTGTCGTATAATTGTCATCGTAGGAAACTCTGCTCCTAGCAAGATTGGATTAGAGATACTCTGTAGCATCTCGAACAAGGCATGAGTCTTAGAAGTGCCACAACTAAACACGCCGCCGTTGTTGCATGAATGCTCAGCCCCATGCACGCATCTGTTCAAATTAAGAGAGGAGCTCCACATTTCGTCCCGTATTGCTCATGCAGTGTCGCGGATGCGGAGTGTCGGATTTTGCCGCCCCAGAATCTTTGTCATATGATAATATATCAAGAAGTAAGCGTGGCCACGCCACGTGTCTAATGCCATCCGGTGTGTTTTTACCCTCTATATATGCAGCTTGCGACAACTCATTATTACAAGGCTTCTTTTACCCTGACAAACCCATCTCCTATCAAGCTAGGGGGCAGGGGGACATGGGGTGTGAGTGCCGCGATTGGGCTCCAGTTTTGAACTCAATGTTGAGTGAAATGCCACAATACTGGTGATACGCTTGATTTAAGCATATAAAGTGAGTTTATGCGTGTCTCCATTTCCTTTCATTTATTGTATACTAAAGAAGTAAGAGCAGTGCATGTTTGTATAGGCAGGTTAGTAGCAGTGCTCCGAACAATTTTCCAAGGAAATAGAACTTCAAAAATATAGTAATCACATTAGCGATGATGATTTTAAATCCGCGACAGCTACTACGGTACTTGATATCAATTTCATGCTCAGAACATCATGAATGTCTACCTTGGGTGAAGTCAAATTTCGCGGATAGCTTGTAGGAGAGTCCAAAGTAGCATCCCTGTCTTTAAGTGATTAGCGCCTGTACCAAATCAGTTCAAAAAGAAAAAAGGGAAGGAAGGGAGAGAGAGAGAGAGAGAGATTAAGGAAATGAACCCCCCACTTCCCGGAATCACATCTTTTGTACAATCAACAATCACTGCACATGACAAAATCGACGCCAGAATCTCGGAAGACTGGGAGATACTCATCACACTGAGCCCAATCAAGTTGACTGAATTCATTACAAAGTAGCATGTTATTAACTATTACTCTTACAGCGTGACTAGCATGGGTTGGGAGCATGTTCGGCCGTCAACACGTCGCAGCTCCATTGACCCGTCAGCTGGAATGTCCTTGAACATTTTCAGCAGCCTCCATTACCCTGCAATTTTTAGCAATATTGAATAGCAGTCCCATAGTATAACCTATGAAACTGCACATGAACCTTGAAAAAACTAGACTGCCAGTAGAATGAGGCCTCTTCATTTCACGTGCAATGACAAAAACTCTATCATACACTTTATAGCCTGAAGAGAAGGCAAAATGTCTCGGGGCCAGCATTGCAAACTGAAATAATGTAGTAGCAACTTGAAGAATGTTTTAATCGTTAGCTAGCTAGTAAAAGCATGTTTCCAAAGTCATCACTGGCTGCAGCCTTCGACACTCTCCACAATACAGTATCACCGAACTCATTGAGCTCAGTCACAGCCTAGTTCCAAGCATGATCTGAGTTTGTATCCAGTATTAATAAATAGGGCCGAAGATAAGCGCAAAGCAGTGTACGTTCTCCGGTGGGACTACCGGGACAAGACAGCACTGACCAGCATTCCATGACTGTTTTCGGCCGGCTCCAATCGTTGACCGTCTCACCCTTGAGCTCTTCCGTGGCTTAGTCTACGTCAAGACGGAATTCTCATATGATTTCAGCTACCCTTGATGGCTGGCGCAGCGCGTAAATCCTGTCGAAGCCGCGGGACGGAGAACATTACTCAGTGAACCCCATAGTCGCGGTATATCTCACATAGCGGAGAAGCTACACGGCATAATGGAATCCCGGCAAGAATCCGAGTGATGGATCGGATACTACCGTCATGTTGTAGCAAACTACAAAGGTAGCAGTTGCATTGCTCTATTAGTACTTGGGCTTCAGTCGTAGCTCATTGACTTATCCAGACACTTTTACGCTCTGTCTTCTAGTCACTCAATCTTAGTAAACACAATTTCATCGCACAGTCACTTGTTACATCCACTCCTTACCAACATTAAAAAAAGAAGTTCGCAATCCTCGCCGGCGCAGCCAATCTAGTCGGTGCCTGCCCCAGACCAAGCCTGCCGCTGCTCAAACGGAGCCGTGGATCAGTCGCAAAAACGCTTTCTGGACGCGGAATGCGGGTTGGACCCGTGGAGCCACACTAACTGGTTGTATGGCACCAGTGTTTACTGCAAGGCCTTTGACGACCAGGAATGGATGAAGAGGATATTTAGGGACGATGACAAGTTTAGGGGCGCTAATGAGTGCTTCGAGGCCCATGACCCCAAGCCGGCTCATGAGAAAGTCCAGAAGCTTCCATGGATCGAGGAAGGCTCACCCGAGGGAATGTACTGCAATACTCTCAACTGGGCCCAACTCTGTGGCACCGAGAGAAAATGCCAGGACTTTGACAAGAAAAAAAGGTCGTTGGGAAAGTTTTGGGTACAATTGCCAAACTATGAACTCCTATATTCCGTGATCCCCCATGATCCTCACGTCCCGACCGCCTTATAAGATGAAACTGTTGCTGTCAATTACTTGTGCTAGTCTGTTTTATCGTCTGAAATGACCCCAGACTTCTCCCTTATGTGTTGATTATCGACTCGTGGCTTATCAGCAGCATGAAACGCTTTCCGCAGCTTCCTCTGCATCATTCAGATGGAGCTCATCATGGAACAGTGTTAGAGCCAAGTGGCACGCTTATAAGCTAGATATTGGGGTTATTTAGGCAAAGGCTTCTATTGCTCTATCACTTTGCTGTATGACTCAACAGTCACACAAATTCCTGCCGTGACAAATTCACACGAGGCGTCTATAATCTCAACCTTCTATGTCCTTCAATAAGCTAGCACTAGTCTTTTCTTTAGTTCGGCTTAGTGCCGCACTGGACATGCTGAAAAGAGACGAAGAACAATTGTCTGATATCACTGAGCCTGTTCTGGGCGCTGGTCCTATCCGACCAATGTTCTTCACGTACACGAGTGTAGTTGCCTGTTACTAGCATCCGTGTTTCTCACGTGGCTTGTCAGAGACGATGGATCATTTACAAAAGTGACAGATGGCATCTGTTCTCTGGGCTGTCAACCAACTTTGGCGACTGGTCTGTACAGACTAATTAATGGGGACGAGTTTAAATATTAACGCCCCGGAAATCCTCGTTCGTCAAACTCTCCTTCAGCTCAGTGGAGCAAGGCGGGAAATCGCTGCAGCATCAATTCAATGACTAACGGCTGATCCTCCCATGGGATGGCTCCGAAGAGAGCGGGTGGTCGGCGGCCTCGTCAAGCAGCATCTCAACCGCTTCTGGTGCCAGTATCATGCAGCCATGTACCTCGATTGGCAACAGCCAAGAAAAGTGCGTCATGACTGATGGCCAATCCTACGTCAATGGAACAATGGCGGTGCATTGTGGTCGGGCTGAATAAGACCGGACCGAGTTTCTGCCCAAAAAGGGAATAGCCGGGCTGTCGGTCTCGGCACATACGGAGTAGGACGATGCGGGGGATCCGGGCAGAGGGATGCGGTGAGACAAAAGTGTCAACTTCATTTGCCCAAGCTCAGCCCTTACAGGAGCTTGTTCTAGAATACGAGATCTAGGGCCTGCAATGGGGCCGGCGACCGTACGTTGCCTCGTATACGAGACAAAGGCTTGCTATGACGCATGCACGTAAGATCTGAGTTGTAATGCCAAGCCCGGAGACGGATATATAAGACCACACATTTCTGTTTCTTTGCGCTTTTCGAACAGCATTCAACAGCACGTAAACCAGAAACATCTCTCTTGTCTCAAGAAACCAAGGGTGACCAATATGAAGGCCTTCGTTGTTGCATTCACTGCCCTCTTGGGCCTTGCCTCTGCCCAGAACGCCGTCGTCATCAACACCTGCCCCACAGCCATCTACGTGCAGTCTTTCCCCTACGATGGAAGTGCGGCCGGCCCTCTTACCACTCTTCAGCCTGGCAAGTCCTTCTCTGAGCCATTCAGGGCTTCCGGCTCGGTACGTTTATTCACATAGTTCACGTCAGATGACTCCACAAGCAACTCGGCATAATAGTGGGAAAGAAGTTGTCTCAATAATACTAATTAAGCATATAGACTGTAAAGATTGCCAAGACCAAGACTCTTGACAAGCCTTTGTTCTTTGGATATTCATTCTCCTCAAACCCCGACTATGCATACTGTGAGTTTCCACTGGGACTGGATGCCCGTTTTCAAGAGTCCGTCTAACCTTGTGCTTTAGACGAGTATAGCACTGAATGGGGCAACCCTTTTGCAGCATACCACAACACTTTGACCCCAGGCGATGGCTGCGAGGTCTTTGACTGTCAGGCAAATGATGCAGGCTGCTACAGCACACCTGCTCACAAGAAAGTTTACGGCTGCCCCCAGCCAGTCAATCTTACCGCCCAACTGTGCAAGTAAATAAACGTCGGCGACCATGATCAGCTGCGATTCGGCGGTGAAAGCTCAGGGGTAGCTATCAAAGCGATTGTGGGGGACTACGAAGGGTTTGAGAACACACCGTATCATTGATATGTCCAGATTCCACATAGCAGCAGGACGCAACTTGCATGGATCTATTTAGTACTATTCAAAATTTGTAATATTCATTATCATTCACTACTTCACATCTGCTTTGAACTCAATTTACCCCTGGTTTTTCGATTCATCTCCACTTTCCCTTATCTATATGGTTGGCGGTGCCATTAAAAATTACAGTCTGTGGCAGAATATATTTGCCCACCAAGGAGTATACACTAATATACTATAATGTATTGTAGGATAAGGCGCGATAATTAAGTACCTGATTTGGTTAAATACTTTTTACCTCCCGCTGGAGGCAATGGCAGGTTGAGAGCTATCCGCGATAATCGTGAGTATCCATGCCGTTTCTCCCACAAATATTTACGGCGTCTCTTACCAGAGCGTCGTTCTTGGCATCGGGATGCGAGAGATATCTGTTGTACAAGTCTTGTCTCGCGTTCAGTGAGCTCTGAGAAGAAAAGCTTCTGCCCGGCAGAGTTGAAGTCCTGTAAACCTGGAGTCTCTCCAGAGCACTAATTACCTTGACACTCTTTAATCGGGGTCCTGTGTTGGCTATTATTCATGTTAGAAATAGTTTGTACTGTTCCTCCTGTGGCCTGTCAGCCGTATATTTGGCTTTGAGAAGCCATGGAAGCTATTGTTATCTGGCCTATGCATTCTTAAAATAGCTCAAGAAAAAACTATATGCAGGATAGCCGAGACATAGTATGCTGGTAGCTCATCCGGCTCAGTATAGGACTCGTTTAACTTATCCAACTAAGCTTAATGTTTATCCTGAAGTGTTCTGAGTCGGGCCAGTTCTCCACCGTCGACTCTCAATCCTCTAACCTGTTTGTTAGAAATGCGTAAGTTAGAACGGCATCTGATATATTACCCTTGTCGCACAATCATTATGTAGCTGTCAGTAACTGTTATTCTCCAGATTATACAGTGAATTCTCGCAGTCGATAATCACCTTCTCCATCAACTCGAGAACCATCCAGACCTTCTCGCTTTGGTAGCTGTCGCGAGGACCGTAATGACAGCTCTTCCTCCTTCCTATGCCGATACAGCGCTCCATATTACCTTCGATTATGAGCTTCCCAATGAGATCTTGGAGAAGTGGACACAACTTGAGAGCCCGCCGAATCAAATAGAGTATCGACAACCAGCGTGTCTCATTGTCGCAAACATCCAAGGACCTCGCCCAGGTGTGAGAGATAGTATTAGACTATTGCAAGCAATCTTTTTGAAGAGCGCAAAGCCGACATATTAGTTGATTGAGCTGATAGATTTAGTGAATTAAATTATAGAGTTCTGAATATGATTATTTTTGGCTAGATCTTGTATTGTGCAGTATTATTAGGCTGCTCTTTGTTAAGTACAGCTTGGAAAGCCTTATGCTTGTGCATAAATAAGAGCAATTTTATACTAGGTTAGGTACGCGGTTCAAACTTTATAATAATCTCCTTTCTCTTTTCTTTTTTCCCCCTTTTTTTCTCCTCTTCCTCTTCTTCTTCTTCTTTAAAAAGAAAAAAAAGGAAGAAAAAAACAGCGCTTCTGCAATTTCTTCCGCGGCCGTGTTCATACTGGCAGTGTTGTCCACTGCTGTACACCAAGCTGCTCAAGAATCTTTGTGTTTCGCAAGGATCTACATCATTTAAGCAGCGATTTAGCCTGTAATATTTTGAATTTACGGGAGCAGATATATAGAAGATGTAGGCCCCTTGCTCTCAATGCTACGTCCAAGTGTCACGCAACAACGATTGAACATCAGATTGTTTGCTCGAGAGACTTCCCTGGCAGAAATCACATGTAAAGGGCCTGATTATGCTCGCCTTCCATACAAGGAACCATCTCCCATCAGAAAATGATGCTGGCATCAAGACACAGCAGCCCATCCGCAATGGCTGCATGTGGGTGAAGTTGTCCACCTTGCAGCTTACATGTCAACTGGTAGCTGTCCAGCGTTGCAAAGCGCTGTAAAACGGGACCTTGGGCACCTCCATGTCAATCAATCCATGTCAGAATTCGCTCCATGACCCCATTGGTACTTCCTGAAGCGCCGACGTCGAGGAGACCCACAAATCAAGGTGAGGCTCAGGGGCCGGCGCCTAGGCATCAATCTGCCACTTTCAACCACAACCTGGGTGTCATCAAAGATGGCTCAACCCGTCCTGTATCAACACAATGAGGTCTTTCAAAAACTTATTCATTCCTGGCAAACTCCAAGAGCCACTTGTCCGTCCAAACTCAGCCAAATAAGTCAACTATCCCCGGCAAGGCGCCATTCTCTTCATTCAAGTGCAATACTGGCAGGACAAGGTCCGGCACAGGCATGCCGCGACCAGTATCCCTGCATCGATGGCGCCGAGTCCCTCGAAAAATACACGTGCGGTGGCTACCATCCGGTCATGATTGGGGACGTACTCAACGAGCGCTACCAAATTGTCGATAAGCTAGGTTACGGCGGATATTCAACCGTTTGGCTTGCGCGCGACACCCAGCAAAAGCTTTACGTCGCCCTCAAAGTCGGCATCTCAGATTCGAGGCTCCACGAGACGAGGACCCTGAGAAGGCTCTCAGACCCCAAACCTCGCAACGCGTCAAGTCTTGTCGCTTCATCAGGACACGACGCTATTCCTCCGCTCCTCGATGAATTTACCGTGCGCGGCCCCAACGGAACGCACCCGTGTTACGCAACTACTCCAGCGCAATGTTCTCTCAGCGATGCTTCCTTTCATTACCTGTTTAGACTAGAGGTGGCGAGGGCTCTATCTGTGAAACTTGTGTCGGCGATTGCATACGTGCATAGCCAGGGCTATATCCACGGAGGTTTGTGTCATGCCGCCCACGCCTGATCCGACACCCTTGGCAACTGCTCCTTATGCCTCATCCTTGCTAGATATTCACCTCGGCAACGCAATGCTCAAACTTCCCTCCAGCTTGGACAGCCCCTCCGTTGAGCAGCTGCACGACAAGTATGGACCCCCAGAGACCGTTGCGGGAGGGCCGCTGCCGCATAATGTCCCAAAAAGGCGGTTCTGCCACTCCATCTCGGCAAAAATGCCAATGAAATCTCCCTGGCAGACACGCATCTCATCCTCGCCGACTTTGGCGAGGCATTTGCGCCAGCCTCGAGGATGCGCCCTTGTCAAGACTGTCGATCACCGTTGGCCGCCCGGCCCCCAGAAGCGCGGTTCGAGCCGCCATCGCCACTTTCGTTTTCCGTTGATATCTGGTGCCTCGCCGTCGCCATGTGGAACCTTGTCGCCATGAAACCCCTCTTTAGTGACGAATTCGTCACACCCGACGCAGTGCTCGCACAGCAAGTGGACGTGCTGGGTCCCTTGCCGCCCCGTTGGTGGCAGCGGTGGGAGCAGCGGCACCAATTTTTTGACGAGGCCGGAGATTCCACTCAAGGAGGGGATCCATCGCCTCCCCTCGGCGAAGCATTCGACGTTGGGGTCCAAAAGTACCGAAAAAAGCTCAACGTAGGCGTGTTTTCACAAGGAGAACAGACGGCATTTCTACAATTGTTGCACCAAATGCTGTCGTTTGATCCAAGGAAGCGGCCAACGGCCGTAGAGGTGCTCGAGTCGGACTGGGTGGTGGAGTGGGCGAAGCCGGACTTTGAACGGAGCATGAATCACGCGGTTGGGCCTACAGGCTACCCATCATCAACAAGGCGCAGCCCACTGTTAACCGCCGCTAGGCAAAAGCGCCTGGCCCAATGACTAGCGTCCACCATGCCACACATCAAGCACGCCACGTCCCGAATGAGCATCCTAATCGAATCATTGATACGACGACGACACAGGTTTGGACTCGGACTGGGCACTGCCAAGGCATCTAAACAAGAACATGAGAAAGACCTAGGCTCAACTCGATCCCGAAGATGACGCTACACCAAATGATATATTTCTCTCAACTCACATCAGCCTTATGAACTAGCATTCCAGGCCTGTCCAACCTGTACACAATCTACTTCCCGTTTCGAAGGGGTTGTTAAGATGTGCGGTCCATGGAGAAAGAGACCTAATCAAGAGCATAACTTTTCATTTGACATTTGCTTCATCATGAGCCAGTACAGTTGCCGTATATCCGACACTTCCTCCGCTTGTTACATCTAATGTCGAACATTATTCACAAAGAACATGCAACGCCACATTATACGTATGGAACTCATGATTCAACACAACTTCTTTCTCATAACGGAATTCATAGAGCCAATTTAACAATATTACATCACAAAAAGCAGGTTCGTATCTAAGCGTTTGTTAGTATTGGCGTGTGAGCGAAGACAGGCGCGAGACCAACGTACCCAGTGGGTGGCTGCAGGATAGCTGAGGCTTCTGAGTATACTTTGATGCAAGGATATCTCGAATGCTGTTCAGGAGCTCGACATAGCTCTGCCTGGGGTTCTGTTTGAGGGCAGTAATGAAAGCCCAAGACATGGCACCAGTTGCCTGGTTGGCAATTGTGGCATCGGCACTGAAATCGCACGGGTTAGCACGTATAACTGCGGCAGGTCGCATTCCATGTGAAACTTACGATGTCTGGTCGTCCTTGCTTCCGGACCACATAATCACATCGGCAGGCGATGTTCGGGTCTCCATGGTCTTTTTATATGCATCATCTCCCTTGAATGCAGTCTTTGCGAAACCAAAGACGGTGCTTGCAACCCCCGCCATGTCGCCACGCGCATAGGATCCCAGTGCGCTCAGAAGGCCCTGGCCAGCTTCCTTGGCAAGGTTGGGCTCCTTCAATACACCCTTGGTCGAGTAGACGTATGGCAGATCCATCGCGGTGGCCGAGTGGCAAGAGTCAAAAATAGCTGTCAAGCGCACGCCTGCCTGGAGGGGTTTGACCAGGCGATAGTGGATTTCATCATCAACAATATGTCCCACTTGCTGATGGTCGACAGGATAAATGACCTCGTCAAAGCCATCGTCTTCGTCGCCGTCAAGATCCTCGGTCTGACCACCGTGGCCTGATATAGACTATGGTGAGCACTGCATCACAAGTATGAGATACGGAATTACACTTACCAGAGTAGTGGAAGAAAAGGGCGTCGTTGGGGCGAGCATCCTTGACGAGCCATCCCATGGCGCGAAGCATGTTGTCCTTGGTAGGTCGCATAACAGGATTTTGTTGATCATCAGTCAAGATGACCATGTCCTCCCGCTTGTAGCCATATCTTTCGATCAAGAAATTCGACACGTTGTGGACATCGTTGATACACCCGCGAAGCTCTCCCTTTTGTCCAAAGTAGTTGATTCCGATCAGCAAGGCCTTTCGACGACCAGTACAGTTGGAGTACTGGAATGTGTAGCCTGGGGGAGCACCGTGGCCAAACTGCTGGGGAGTAGTGGGGGGAGGGGGGCCGGCCTGCGCGCGGTAGGCATAGGTGCCTCCTTGCATTGGATACCCGTAAGCGTCGTAGCCGGGCGGCGGTGGATTGGCCGGCGGAGGACGGGCATACTGAGGCTGGGGACTGTGACCGTAACCTTGGGGCGGTCCGGATGGCGGACGCGGGCCTGGAGGAGGAGGACCATAGTTCCCCTGCGGAGGACCGTAATTACCAGGAGGTGGTGAATTGTACTGGCCTGGGGGAGGGCCGTAATTTCCCTGCGGAGGACCATAGTTACCCTGAGGAGGGCCTTGAGGGGGGCCGCCGTAGTTTCCATAGCCGTAGCCGAAGCCAGGGCCTTGACCCTGAGGAAAACCTCCTCCGCCACCGTGATGCTGCGCAGCACCGTAGTGTCCTCGGCCGGGATAGCCAGACATGGTGGTTGCGATGTATGTACGCGTTTGTCCTGGAGGAAAAGGCTGAATACGAACTTGCGGCGAGGCAAAGTACTGGCAGCGTGATGCGCTGAAATGTGTAAAGTCGATCTAGGCGATATGTAGAACGAATATCAGGGTCGGCAGCGACGCGGAGATGGAATCCCAAGGCGCTTGCGGTCTGAGGTCGAGTGTTCGCTGCGTGAACGAGTTATCGATGGTGACTTGGCTGCAAGCTTCTCAACCCTGGCCGCGGGCCGACGAGGATGGGCAAGTTCAACGTTCGCGATGGCGGCTAGATGGGCCGATGAGCGGTGATGCGCGCGAGACTAACGAAGATGCAAATCTCTCGGGCAAAGGAAGCAAAAAGAAGATGGTGGATGAGGCACTTGGCATGACGATGGCGATGCCGACGCGGATAGTGGTTGCCCCGCCCCCACCTCTTTGGGAAAGCGCTGCTCAGCCCCATGATGTGACCAAAACATTTTTGAATATGCCGAGACACCTCACATGTTGTCAAACAGCCAAACATCTGCGAGTAATCATGGACGGGGCGGGATCAAGCGTGGATCAGCCGCGCACTTTGGAGTTCCCGAGGTCTTGGCAGTACATATGTGACCACGACGCAAGTGCGTTGGTGCTACGGAGTAGTTACCTCCTCGCTGGATACCTCCATCTCGGCTCGACTTCTGACCTTGCTCTGCCTTGCCATGGCCAAACCGTGGCGTGAGTTCTCTTTGTCAACCTCATCACCGCCTTGCGACACCCCACCGACTTCATGACCAACTGCTGCTCCAATGCTCGGCTTTGTTCCAAGGGGCTATTCGGGGCATTCGGGGCATTCGGGGCATTCGGGGCATTCGGGGCATTCGGGGCATTCGGGGCATTCGGGGCATTCGGGGCATTCGGGGCATTCGGGGCTGTACTCACCCAGTGGATCTGCGACCCGGACAGGTGCCCATCTGCGTCTGCATTGCAAGAAGTGTCCAGCCGATACGTGTCGCGACAATAATAAGTGTTCGGCGTGATTCATGACCAGCCGACACTGTGCAGCCATGGAAGCCGTGGGGGCCGTCGTGATGACACCAACTGACTTGATGGAGCGGCCCGTTTGGACGTATGCAGCAGGGCCAGAATCTGACCTTTCAGATCCTTTCAACCCTTTGGACCCTGAACCTATCCAGTCCTTGCCCTGCCTATCGGCTTTCTAGCGGTTCCGAGGCGCCATCATCATTGCTTGTCGTCTCGAATGTCCCGCATTCACCGAGCTCGACTGTGATTTACCCCTCGTCCTCGTCCACCTAGTGTTCCAACCAAGACCACCCACGCTTCGGTGCAGCGCGGGAGGGATCCAACAGGGGGGCTTGGGGATAAAATACTCTTCACCTCTTTCCCGAATCCTCCGTCCTTCCTGCAGCTTTACGTTTTTCCTGGTGCTCTAATTCTCGGCTTCGAGCGTTGTATTTAGTCGACATTATCTGCACCAACGCGCTGCCACAATGTCGGTCCAGGGCATGACCAACCAGTTTGGAAATGTGGGATTTGGCGCCCCCCCTCAGCCCGGTTTGTCTTTTCTTCGACGCAACGCAGCTTTCACTACCTCTTACTTACCATAGTCTACCTCGCAGATAATAACTATGGAGGCTATGGCCAGTACAGCGCAAACCAAGGCGGTCCTCCGCCCCCCCAACCTGCCTACCAACCACCGTCCGACAAGCCACCACTGCCTCAGGGATGGACTCCCTACTTTGACCAGCAGCACCAACGTTGGTACTATGTAGAGGAGTCGACGGGTAGGACGCAGTGGGAAGCGCCGGGCTACAATCCACCGCCGATGCAAAGCCCTCCCGTGCAGAGCCCTCCGGCTCAGGGAGGCTACGGACCTCCTGCTGGTCCCCCTCCACTGGGAGGAGCTTACAATGGAGATGGCCAAGGACAGACCAAAGGCGACAAGAAAGAAAAGAAGGGCAGCGGCGCAGGAGGCCTACTTCTTGGTGCTGCCGGTGGTCTTGCAGCTGGCGCCATTGGTGGAGCTGTTCTTCACCATGCTCTCCACGGTAGCGACAGCGACAGCAGCGACGACGAAAAACCCAATCACTCATCGTATGTTGCCCCTGCCGCAGCCGCAGCTGCAGCTCCGTCTGTGACCAATATCTATCATACCGAATACGTCACATACAACGAGACCCCTCCAGCAATGTATGCCGCCAGCCGGTACGACAGTGACCGAGAGTCTCTTGACGAGGCTCGAGCAGACGTCTACGAAGCTCGTGAAAACTACCAACAGGCACTGGAAGACGCTGCTAGCTCCAGTGCTAGCAGCAGTGAGAGGGAAGCGCTGGAGGAAGCTCGAGAGGAGCTGTATGAAGCCGAGGAAGAATACGCAGAGGAGTATGATGACTATTATGAGGACTGAGGGCTTTGTGCTCTGGTTGTGTAGCATATGTGATACCAAGCATTGAGCGTTCAAGGCCAAATCATGAAGCAAGTTATGTTAGTTCAGAATGCAAGATGAATAAAAGCACTCCAGTTTGCGAGACGAGTACGGCCACTGTGCTTACGTTGCTCACTAGTCTGACGTCTGCGCCAATTCTGTGACACTCTGGATAGTATAAAATGTGTAAATGGCCCATATTCAAAAGCTGTGGTGCATAGTTGGTAGAAGATGCTTGCTCGGTACACAATCGGTAGTATCTTAGCCGCAGCCGTCTCATCCTTTTCCTCCATGGTGAATTCCATGGCTGCGTTCATCAGCACCCCTATTCCCGCAGTCCCAGATGGATGCAAAGCAATCCATCGCGACTGAACAATAGTAGGACTAGTGTATCCACTTTTATATACTTCGGTCCATGGGAAGGTCTGCATCCTGTTCGGCCCTTCATTGGGTAGCAGGGAGGGAGATTCTTTCAGCATGAAGTGTACTCGTAGCGGACGGTCGCGTAAGTAGTGGCGGTCGGTGTTTCACAAACAACGCAAACAACGGTTTCACAGAAATAAGGTGGCAGGCTTCCAAGTATTCTGACGGGATACAGCATGGGTCCCCTTGTTTCGGGGCTGGGCTGGCGAGACTTCTAGATCTTTCAGAATGTAGTGTAACGCTTCACCTTGGGAAACACGAGACGCCGCCTCGCGGCGCCTGTGCTCTCGCAAGTGGTGAGATTTAGGTTTCTATGCAAAACAAGGCGTTTGCAGCCTACACATGTAGTCTACATCTCCAGTGACTTACGCAAGGAGGTCTTGGCCGGTTGCTTTGACACACCCCTCTGTTTGGGGATGCAGACCGTGTTGTCGACATTACTGGCGACGTTATCTGGGCGGGTCGCTGGGCCGCATTCATACCTAATTCTTTTCGAATTCTCCGCCTGGTATCAGAACAAACATCCGATTCGGGTTGCAATGTTCGTTTGATGCAGGGACACTGGGACGCAAAGGACTTGCTAGAACACTGCGTATTCTGAGAGGCAACCACGACAGATTATGTTGTCGTGTCCGGCTATCGCTCACTCCAGATGAATATTCATATTTAATCGCAGTCTGATATAGGGGAGAGGCGAGATGTCGTAGGCCGGAGGCCTAGAGTACATACCCGTGGAATGCGTTATCGCCAGGCGGTGCGGAAGTGCACGCCTGTTCCTTATAGAGACATAGAGAAATGTCTTTTATAGTAGTTGGACAAGTATAAGACAAGCCCAGGTAGCTTGGTATCGGTAACCACCCTCCATTCCAGAGTGCCTCAAACTGGTCCACCGGGAATTCTAGATTGGGCTGCAGAAACGCCAGTAGCAACGAGTGGATTTGAATGCTGCTACGGTCCGGCGTTCTTTAGGGACGGCATTGTTGCTACCAGTTACCAGACAAGTATCACGAGGCACCATTTGACCCGCCTGGAAAGGGATGACGCTGCTTGGAAAGAACAAGCCTATTGATCAGGTTCTAGATCTACCTGGTCGATACCGTTGAAGTTCCATTTCCCGCCGCAGTGTCAAATCGCCACGCTTGCAGCGGTTGTGCGTCAAGTGAGGCTTCAGGAGAACCATGATGGCATCTCAACTACGCTTCTGTCAAAGTTGCCGTCATCTGGCTGGTGCCCGACTTCGTATCGTCGGCATCAGTATTTTCTCCGCGGGTAGCGATCCCAAGCTGGCTCTCTGACCTTTGGAATCATTCCCTTTGTCTCATCCCATTCTCTGTCTAAGACGAGAGGGAACTAGCAGAGACATTGGCAGCGTGCGGATAGACCATGTCTGGAGTGACGTTGCCATGTATTCGACATCATTGGCTCACGCATCTGCTCCCAACATGGCGTGAGCTGCTCCAATCCGACTGAAGCTACTCATCCAACGGATGAACAGCATTCTCGTTCATGGGACCGAGCACAATGCAGGCCGACTGTTGAGCAAGGCTTGGAGAAGAGTCAAGTTCATTGACAGCCATATCGCATTTACAATTAACAAAAGCGGCAGAAGTCAGGCCTCGTTATCCCCTCAACGCACCAACACGGGCCTCCTACTCCATAATATCTGTCTGTCAATGTCACACATCAAAACCACCGTGCCTACAGCCCACGTGTGATGAACCAGCCCTGCAAACCCCAGGTCCCACTCATGTCGAGCTCCCCAACTACACGGTCCAGTCGAGTAGAACGCATACGCATCCGGTATCTTTTCCAAGTTAGTTTCTTTTTTAAAAAGAAGGAAGGAAACAAAGAATCGTCATGCCCAAGCTTCTTTGTATGCCAAGCCAAGTGCCTTTATCCCTCAGCCGCAAAACAACCCTCGCTGCAACAAACCAACGTAAACATCTACAGAACCAACACGCATCTCAAAATCAGCCAGCATCTTACCAACCAATCCCCACATCCCACCCAAGCGCGGTCTCATCGTACTCGGAACGCGCCCGATTGCCCGTCGACACGAATACGACACGCCGCTTTCAACGAGCGGGATCCACACAACGGCCATCTGCGGCGTGAGCGTATGGTTTCATAACATCACGGCCAGCCAGGCGAGAAGCCCAGGTTGCCATGTCTTGGACGCCGTCAAAGGTCACCGCCCGCGCATATATCACATGCGAGTCCGCTCACAACCAAGCACACCTCCCGGCATGAGTCGCCCATCATCACCATAAGAAAGGAGCAAAATGGCCCTCCACGGCAAGACAGTCCTCGTCACAGGCGCAGGCGGCGGTCTCGGCCGCCAAATCGCAAGCACATACCTCGAGCGCGGCGCCAACATCGTCATCAGCGACGTCAACGAGTCGCGGCTCGCCGGCATCCGGCAGGAGTTCGCCCTCTCCCACCCAGGCGCTCGTCCTCCGGGCCGACGTGACGGAGGAGCGGTCCATCCGGCAGCTCGTCGCCTCGACGGTCCACAAGTTCGGCCGCCTGGACGTGGTGGTCAACAACGCCGCCATCATGGACAAGTTTGAGCCGGCGGACGTCTGCGCCAAGACGACGTGGGACGCCGTGCTGGCCGTCAACCTGACGGGCCCGTTTCTCGTGACCAAGCACGCCGTGGCGCAGATGGAGAGGCAAGAGCCGCCGGGCGGGCTCGTCATCAACATTGGCTCCAACGCGTCCTTCAGGGGACTGTCCGGTGGCGTCGCCTACGTCGCGTCCAAGCACGGCGTCGTGGGGGTGACCAAGAACACGGCGAGCTATTACGGCAAGAGGGGGGTTTACGCCGTCGCCCTGCTGCTGGGGTGCATGGCCGAGACCAACATCCACGATGCGTTTGCCGACGGTCTGCACAAGGAAGGGCTGGACCAGATGCATCAGACGCAACCGGCGTGTGCGGCCATCCCGACAGAACATGTGGCTCGGTATGCGGCATTTCTGAGTGAGGACGACGCCGCGCGGAGCGCAAACGGGAGCTGTGTCGTGATTAATGGCAACTGGCCAGAGGCATGACGAGGCAAAAGGAAGAGGTTGACATTGGGATAATATTACGTGTATTTAGCTCTCTCGCATCATGCTAGCACAAGTCTATGTGTCTTCTTATATCACTTGTTTTACAAGAACGCCTCCCATCTTCTGTCGATTTGTTTTCTCCGAACCTAGGCACACGTTAGCTTGCTGCAGGGTTGTAACGGGAGGGTGAGCATGACTTACCACTGGTGCCAGGAACAAAACGCCAGCAAACAGGGCCGCAACGGTGCCCACCAACGTCACCTTGTTGAAGCCCTTGCCCAAAATGTCAAATTCGCCGCTAGGAGCAGCTCGGGTGCCGAAAATGTCCACACCATAGGCGAAAAGCAAGCTGGTGCTCTCAACGGCGGCTGGCGTGGCAAGAATCTCCTGCACGCCAAGCACGTCTAATTCGTGTGAAACAATGCCCCGTCCGTCAATCTCAAATTGAGGCGTGTACTTGATCAGAGCCTCTGCTTCGACCTCAGCAGGAGTGGGATCACGGTCGATGGGACGACGGGGGTCAATGATGTGTCGAGACACCGCAAGGATGCTGTGGCTATCTGGCAGGTATGCAAGGAGCTGGCGGCTAGTGATGCCCTGCAAGGTCTGGGTGACAGACAGACTCTTCAGCTGCTGGGAGAAGACGTATGCTTGCGAGACCACATGGGGCAGAGGAACACCAGTGGGAGTGTCGACTGGGTTCAGTGAGGAGAACTCTGCAGCGTCTCCGAGGGGCCCACGGTCGTTGGACTCGGGAGATTCATACAGATCCGAAACGGCAACTTGGAACCCCTTGATTGTTCGGTCGGTACCGTCGTTGACGGTGTAGTCGCCAAAGAATGTGCAGGCATACCAGTTTTCGGCCATGGCACAGGACACGCCCTTGGTGCTGTCCACACCGTGATAGACCTGAGATGCAAGCACTTGGCCAGAAATAATGTCCAGCAAGTGAACCGAAAGGGTGCTCGTGGCCTCCTCAATGGCGGCAACCACAATGGTATTAGGGTTGAAATACTTGTACGCCACCTTGCGGTCTCCGAGAACACAACCAATCGAGGAAATGGGATCGTGGCTGGGTGGACTGGCAATGTCGACAATCTTTTGACCCTTGCCGACCTGGAACTGCCAGATATCATCCTTGATGACTTCTCCATCTTTTGCAGTAAACTTGACGCCCTTTACGCCAAGGTTGCCATCACGGAGGACAACGGTATCATTGGGGATGGCCCCAATAGGCATGTTGGGTACTGGAAGTCCATTTGCACCAAGCGAAAGCAGCCATTGGCTAGGTCCGTCGCCAATGACGGCAGTGGAAGCAACCTTGGTGAAGGATCCAGCTTGATGGGCTTCCAGGATCTTACCAGTGGTGGACTCGATGGTGGCACGCTCACCGTTGGATCCCACAACCGTCACAACACTCTGAGCATCCTTGGCCACGATGCCCCTGATTACAAGAGATTCGCCAGGGGCCACGTGGAATACGGCCTGTGACCACAAGATTTTGCCGTGGCGACCAGTATCGAGGCCATAAAAGCGACCTCGGCGCGTAGCCACAACGACAATCTTGCTGAATCCAAATGTATCGCGATGAAGCCCATCCTTGTGACCGGTCAGATCCGCGCCGAAGATGCCATCGACGATGCGCTGGGGGAGGCGAGCGAGATAAGCAGGAAGATGCTCCAAGTCTGCAATGTGTCGATTGACGCGGTGAATATAGGCGGCAACAGGGTTGGCGTGAGCCTCCTCAGCCAGCACTTCGGCAAGTCTCTCTGCCTCGGGAATTTCAGCCCAGACAGCTGCGACAGCGCCAGAGAGGCCTTCGTGGCGAGTCCAGTCAACTAGGCCGTTCTTGATGAGAACCCAGTCGTCTCCATCAGTAACAGCTGCCGAACGAATGGCAAACTCCTTGCCGCCGGCCTTCTTGATTACTTCAGAAACTGCATGGACAGCAGCGTGACCATCTTTGTACGGCCAACTGGCAAGGATGCCATGGGACTCGGAGGATACAATTGAAATTTCATTCGCTGTAATGCGAGTAAAGTAGACATTGGCAGCATCGGAGCTGGTCGAGAAGGCCCCCGGCCCGGAAAGATGTGGCAGCTCATATGCCTTGGAGACCTGCCCGCTCTTGAGATCGGTGTGGTAGACGATGGCCTTGTGGCCAGTCTTGGTGCCAATATGAAGCAAGAAATGAGGTTGAGACTGGGCGAGATGGGGAGCATGAATACGAAGCGTCTCTGTCCCATCGGGGAGAGTAAACTCCTGCTTAGCTTTCGTGCCCAGCACATTAACGCTGAGCTTGGAGAGGTCCCTGCTCGCCCAGGCGGCGATGGGCGCAGCCGAGTTGGCGCCAACGAACATGACATCCTCGACTCCGTGGATGTCGCCCTTGTTGCCAACAGACCAGTGATCAACGCGAGCACCAGTGGCCATGTCTAAAGACGTGACCTTGAGGTTATAAGAGCCGGGCGAGCCATGCAGACTGAGCACGTAGATGTTGGCTATGTTGGTCGAAACCTGGACGGGCAGGTCCTTGCTCGTCTCGCGAAACTCCCAAACCACGGTGCCAAGAGCGCCGTGTAACCGGCGAAGAACCGTCACGCCGTCCTCGTCAAACAGGGCCAAAACATCTTTCCTCGGGGTTTCTGTCAATTCCAAAATTTCGAGGTCCTTGACGATACCCTTGAATTCCATGTCCCAGATATTTCGGCCCGTAAGAGCATTCCACGCTTGTACCTTGGATCCGTAAGCCGACGTGACCCAATTCTCGCCTTCCGGGGCTCTGAGATGGCCGCCTCCATTGGCAATTCCATGGCTAATGTGCTGGCGCCATACCAATTCGCCGTTGCTGGGATTGATAGCGCCAACGACGCCAACGTCGCCGAGTGTGTAGAGCAAGCTGGCCTTGTCCTCGTTGCGCGGTCGGTGGAAGAAGGTAGTCTCGACCTGGGGCAGACCGACGAGGGAGTAGTGGAAATCGATGTCGCCGACTTCGTCTTTGAAGACTGCGCCTGCGAGCGACGACAGGCCCAGCAGCAGGGCTGATTGGAGAGTGCGCCGCATGTCGAGAATGAGTGTGAGCGGCGACGTCGTGCTTGGGCTTCGTCCCCGAGCTGTGGAAGCCTGTGGGGGGGGATGGCGTCTCAAGGTCGAAGCTGTCAATTGCTGAGTCAGCAGACAGTCACCTAGGGTAGCCTCTGATGAGTTGAGTTTTAGAAGCGTCAATGATGTGCGCGGTACTCGGCAGAGCGGAATATATTGCAGTAGTTCAAGTGATTTTATTTTGCTTTTCTTTCTTTGGGTACGAGACCTCTAGTTATTTTCATTCGAAGTTGCGATGCATTTTACGCAGTCCGTCTTAGTATCCTTGAAGACAGTGAATCTGGCCGCGCCTGCGATAGAAGAAGCTGATACTGTCAATTACACCATTACGACTACCAAGTACTTGTATTCTGCACGTCAAACAAGTTCAAAAATCTGAGTAACAAAACTCAGCGCTGCCATTTTGCATCATTTAGCACACAACCTTCTATATCTCCGTCCCGATCGCTCACCCGCCAAACGGAGTCAACGTGACTTTGTGTTACATTGAAAGCCTTGAGCCGTGAAGGCTCCCACCAGATCCAACGGCACGTATTGCACCAACACAAAAAAATTCCAGTCCTCATCACAAGGGTACAGAAGGGGTCATTTATGACGCATGGATGAGCCGCGAGAGGCCCAGACCCGGATGGGCAGATTTGAGGCTGCTTTTGAAGCGGCCGCCTAAGGTATTTCTTGAATGCACTTCGGGTTGTTATGACAGTACGTGGGTACTTACGTATCGATGTATTTGAGAGCGATAGCAGGCTCTTCTGCCATGGTTATTGCTGTTGTCGCCAGCCCAATTAATTGTGCCATATTTAGACAAAAATGGCGACAACCCTTGCGCCGCTACACCTCCTCATGGTCTGCCCTCAACGCACATCAACTCCCACGGGCCCCTTTCCCAATATCTATCCAAGCATCTTCAAGTTTTAGACACTAGACGGGCTCATCTCGCCTGCACTCGACGCCCAAGCCAGCTGTCTCACACGCCACCCGTCATGACGTCGCAGCCGTCCAACTCGGGCCAACTTACACGCATAGCAAAGGGTCACGACACCATCTTCACACAATACAAAACACCACCCTACCCACCATGTGAGCCTCACGCTGGTCCCGCGGCTACACACATCCATCATGGGTCAAGAACTGATTGTCCCGCATGGCGATATGCCCGGAATGCCATCCGCCTGGTTCGCCTGGCTTCATCATCATCCAAATCCCCGGCCATGTCCATCATTTAAAGTGTTGTGTGTCCCCGGCCGTGTTCCGACCAAATCACTACACCCAAGACTCGGTCCAAATATCGAAGATTTTCCACCATGAGAACAAAGCTCAGCTCTAAACGACATTTCACGCCATCCGACCCGGCCCAATTGCCCAGCGTATAGACCACACGCCTCAAATCCCCAACCAGACATGCCAACCAACGCAGCATAGAACATAGAAACCCCATGGAGGAAGAGCATCCATTTTGGCAAACCAAGCCCCTAATACCAGCCTTCTCATCCACGCCGATCCCGAGCCTCTCCCTCTCCGCCGCCGGCCTCCTCGCCCTCGCCGACCTCCACACGGTGGCCCAACGAACCGTCATCACCGGCGGCTCCTCATGGCTCGACGCCCTCGTCCTCGCCCCCGGCCTGCAATACCAACAGGCCGTCGACGCGCTCTCCCGAACCAAGGATCCCCTCCTCTCCGCCGTGCTCCAGTCCCCGCCCGGCCAAAGCGAGACCATCTACTCCGTCAACAACGCCGCCATGGCCCAGTACATCCGGCGGCTGTGGCAAGAAGCGAGCCCCGGCGGCACGCCGACGCTCAACGTCGGCGTCATGAAGGGCCTGACGCCGCGCCAGCAAGTCGAAGCCGTCAAACGCGCGCTGGCCAGTCTCGTGACGAGACGAAAGGGACGCATCGCCCACGTCGAGATCGACTTCCTCAGCCACGTCTTCTACCTGCTGAGCCCGGTGCTGACCGTCGTGGCGAGCACCTTCATGGTCCTCCTCGCCGACTGGTGGGGGCTGTCCTTCATCGTCGCCCTCATGGCGTCGCGCATCCTCAACATATACTCCATCAAGCAGCGCTCGCGGCCGTCCCCCCTGCCCGTCCCGGACAAGGACCACGACGGCGAGTACGCAATCCACCTGGGCGACGGGTCGCGCATCCTGCTCCGCGGCCTGGGCTCCGACATCCGCGCCATGACGACCCAGATCTGGCTGAGGCAGCAGAGCGTCGCCGAGAGCTACTTCGAGGCCGCGGCCAAGCTATTGGTGTACCTGGTTGCGGCGTTTAGCGGGAACCAGACGCAGGCCGGGGCCATGGTGCTCATGGCGCTGCTGGTGTCGAGCGCCGCGCTGTTGGGCCTGAGCAACGCCCACGCGAGGGGGCTCCAGGTGAACGGGAGGATCGCGAGGCTGCAGGGGATGGGGCTGGCCGCGGCCGGAGACAGTGAGCAGGGCGTCGCGGATGGGAGGTTGTGCAAGGACTTACCAGACGAGCTGTTGGAGGGGGATGCCGCTGGTGCGTCCTGACAGAGTACGGGGATATGCGAATGCACATCAGGCGTATGAGGTATACATGCAGACATATACACGAGCCTGTCACGAATCATACAAGAGGCGGAGGAAGCAAAACGGCGCCATTTTGCAGGCTTTATTGTACAATAGCCATACCCAAACAGAAATACATGTTTATATCCCTATTTACAATCCCAAACGTCGTATAACAAAAACACCCGTACGCTCCCAAAACTACAACGCTTTCCCAGGGATCTGGTTTCGATCTTGTTTGAATAGCCTGAACGACAAATCTTAATGTTGCCACGCATACAGGCGTGCATTATTTATATATCATAACAACTGTAAGCCGCTAAACGACTTACGCATTCGCTGGCTGGTCGTCATTCCTTTCTTCATCTGCAGGCTGACGCTCTGGGACTGCGTCTGCTGTGGGCGGCTCAGCTGCAGGGGGAGTAGGCGCGTTGGGGGCTTCTGCTTGAATGTCGACAGGTGCTGGTTCTAAAGCTGGTTCAACTGTTGATTCTTCTGTGGGCTCATCTTTGACTTCGTCTTTGGGCACTTCCCCGACCGGCCCCGTTTGTTCCACAGCTGGCTCCTCGGCCTTTGGTTCTTCCATGGGCACATCTGATTCCCGAGCTGCTGCTTCCTCATGGGACGCCTCCTTTACCTCTTCGGGCGCGGACACGGGCTCCTCGTGAAAGACCTCCGGCACAGGGGCGGGTGGGGTCGGTTCTTTAGCTTCAGGTATCGGTTCTGGCTCAGGGGCAGGAGGCGAGACCTTAGGTTCGGCAGCATCGGTGATGATTGCATTGGGCTTAGGGGAAGTAGCTTCCTTAAGCGCATCGTCTTTCGACACTTCCACCTCTTCTAGTTTCTCGGGCTGCGTTTGATCATTAACCAAAGGTGTGTCCTCTTTAGCCTCTGCAGCAGGAGAGATTTCCTTGGGCGGTGAAGGCGCCTTTGGCTGCCCTTCGACCGGCTCCGCCGGTGCCACCGCTAGATCCTTTGTATCCTCTACAGATGCGGTTCCAACCTCTGATGGAGCCCCAGACTCAGTGAGGGGGAACCTGACGGACGCAGAATCCTCAGGTTTGATGGTGTCTTCAGTCATGATGGAATCGTGAGGATGTAACGGCGGGCGGTCGGAAAAAGAGGCGAAATCGGAATGATGGCTTTCCCTGCTCTTGTCTTCGCTGTCTGAAACTCTGTCTTGGCCGTCGTCAGCCTTTGGGCTGGAGATGTTGCCTACCTGCTCGGGCGGAGGCGGCAGCAGAGCTTCTTCTCTTGATGCGACATCGGGGCTAGCTGTCTTGGGCGGTGACGGGGCCTCGGGCCTTGTTTCCGAGTGTTCCTGCTCAGCAAGCCCTTCAATTTTGGGAGCTTCTCCAGCTGGTGCGTCTCCCGAGAGCACATCTACATGGGCTGGAGCCTTGTCTTCATCTCCAGCAACTGTGGATGCAGGCTCAACAATCATCGACTCCACCTTGGACTCGGCATCAGTTGTGTGGCTCTTTTCCACCATTAGACTGGGCGCGCTGGTCATTCCCGGTATTGCCGTAGGCTCCAGCCCGGATACCGGCGCATCCTCAACAGCTGGAGGGAGGGCCTCTTGCGTCTGCACTTCGGTAGGCGACTGCAGCATCACGTTCTTCAATGGACTACCCTCAGGCCTGGGCGAGCTGGTCGCAAGATTGGCGAGAGGCGGCGCTAGGGTGAGGGGCGGTACCACTTCCGTCTGCGTGATGCCATCCATAGCGTCAACAACTGGCTTGCTTGTGGTCGGAAGCTTGGCTTCTCCCACAACATCTGTCATCTCCTCATCCCGAATCTTCGAGTCGTCGGCATTATCACCCTGCTGATCAACATCTTCTTGGTCTTCGTCTTCTCCGTCCTCACCATCTTCTCCCTCATCATCATCTTCATCCTCGTCGCCATCTGCCATTTCGCTATCGGGATTGGGAGTACTGACGCCCTCTTGAGCGATACCCTACCACGTCCACAGTTAGTATCCAGATATATTACACATCTCGTAAGGGTTCTCACATTCTCCTCTTGGCCTTCAATCTTGACAAAAGACGCTGTACCCCCACCAGCCGAAGCGACACCAGCGGGTTGACCTTCACCAGGGAGTGGATTCTTGATCTTTTTCTTTCCCCGCCCAGGGCCGGCCTTGGACTTTCTCTTGGGTGGCGGCGGTCGTCGTCTCGGGGGCGGCACAGGAGCTACAAATGCCTCCGCAGCAGGGGCAGGAGCGGGCTCAACACGCGTTGAGATGATCTCTCCAACTACGTGCTGACCCTCAGCAAGTGTCACTTCCTCCGTGTACGGATTGCCCGCAGCATCTATTCTTCGTACAGTTGCCCTCGTGACTGTCGGTCCTGTAGCTCTGTCTTCGATAGTCCTGCTCGCAATCGTGACGGTGCCCTTTCTCCGTTTAGCTAGGTGAGATAAACCCGACCCTTCGTTGGTGCGCGGGATCTGCTTCCACAGCTTGATAGAAAACCCCTTGACTGTAGTTTCCTCTTCCTTCTTCTCATTCTTCTCTACGGCCGGAGCAACCTCCGCTTCGGCCTCTTCTTCCTCGGCGGGCACAGGTCGCTTGTACAATTGGCCGGATCGGGCGGCACGAAGAAGCTCCTGGCTGTGCGGCGCTAGCAAAGCCGAGTCTTTTGGCATGCCGTGGAAAAGTTCAATGGCCCAGACGTCGTTTTGTTGCAGAGGCTCTTGGGGAAGTGGTGGCGCTACGTTCACCCACTCCTGCCGCCATTGTCGCACGGGAAGACCTAAAATATCATTAGGAGATGTTCAATTCGATATTCAGATATTCGCAAACCTTCAAAGTCATCGTGTTCGGCGTAACCGCTTCGATTGGCGCGTCTGGTCTGAAAAGGCATGTTAGCTGAAGTGGATCATTCCATCCTCGCATCTGGGAAGTACGAACTCCTGGCGCCATTGCTAAGCAGACATGAACTGTTCTGCAGCAGACCCGTGAAGATGCGCTCTCGCCTGGTTGTGTGCGCAAACTGCAGTCTGTGTATGGCGATGACTTGCAGAGACAGTCCGGGTCGTGAATGCGATGCGCCGAAAGGGTACACGTTCGCCCGTCTGATGGGTGGTCTGTCAAGATTTGGGTGAGGCTAGGCGCGACGAGGCCAATTACGAGGCTGCGACTTGATGACATAAGCGCAGGACAATCCTTGCATCTGCAGCTGGACGGCATTGCCGCAAGGGGGTCGGGGAAGCGCGAGAAAACTTTGCCATGTTGAATTTGATATTATTTACGCTCTTGCTATTACTAAAAGGGTCCAAGTCTATTCATTGCCTTTCATAGAGGTGCAGTCGAACCGTCCCCTGTCGCAATCGAGGGCGACACCTGACCAACGGCCTGGTCACGCCCTGTGCATTCAAAAGATAATGTTGTAAGAATAGGTAATCGTTGACATGTGCTTTTATTACCTCCAAGTGTATGGCCCAAATCTGAAGTGACGCCTGCCCCAGAGCTAGTGAAGATGCTCAAGCTAAGGTATCCGTTGTAATTTCAATGTACAGTCATAATCCGCCGCCCTACTATACAAGCTTCATGAGATATTCACTGAAGCGTCCCTTGCTTTTATCTCAGTCCCAGCTACAGGATCATCAGCATTTGTATTTTGTCAAAAGGCCCGTGGCCTCATGGATGATGGACGCCTACCCTTGGTCCTTCTGCCTAACCACCTCGCCGTCCTTTGCGGTATCCCTGCCCTGCCAAATGTTAGCTTTGATTGTGCCTGGATGGCGGCGTCAAGATGATGGCGTACCGAAATGCCCCCCTCGACAACTAATCGATCCAGCTGGTAGAACTGCCCGATGACCGTTTGTCGCTATCGATTCACATCGATTAGTATCCAGTCAAAATCAGCGCATAACGGCTAGGTGTCGTGTTGCATCGCTAAAAACCTTCATCACCTGGAGTTCCTTTAACCCCTTCTGTACCAGTTCCTGCACTTTGCGCGGGTCTTGAACGGACATGTTCTCTCGAAACGCATCTCTCGTTCGGCGCTTCGCGTACTCTCGGAAGTTGTATGCTGAGAATTGTTCGCCCTGCCGTAATAATTGGCGATACTAAGCAAAACAATGCGTTAGACTTTGGACCTGAGCGACGCTAACCGGGCACAATCTTGCACTCGATGCCGCCTGTGCGAAAATGCCGGATACCCGGGGAACCGAATGTAAGGTGAATGCGAAGGGCGTTCCCGATAATCGGATTCCGGTATGTCGATTTGGAGGATGTGTCATTACTCACGAGAGATCGAACTTGTTGCGGCATGTCACCTTTCAAGCTGCCAACGAGCGACATTGTGGGATGGTGGTTTTTGATGTCGTTGACAATGAAGAAATTCACTGGGCTGGAGGGATTCAAGGCCTGGTTGACGTGAATGACATTTCTGGGGGCAGCGCTTCGTTCGGGTGGAGAATTGTCCGAGCCCGATTATCACCGAAAATTGACATGTTCTTGACTGGTAGACCGTTGGCGTCGCCACTCGCCCGACTCCACAGGAGCTTTCGTCCAGCTATCTTCTCGCGAACATGGAGATGGGGAAAGATTCGGCTCATATCATTGTGCTCGAATGGCATGGTGTTTTGACAGGGAATTGGTGCCGACACTTTGGATGGTACAAGTGCGACTCTAGCAATGCTATACATTTCACTAGAGATGCAAACAACCTGCGGTGTCGTGTCGTGGGTATCATGTTTATTTTGTTGCATGCAATGCCGATATCATACGGAACGTCGGCCTCTAATTTCTTTGTTTCCACTTGCTCTATCCAACACTCTAGTAGGTACTACTTGCAGGTCAGCGCAACACATGGCTGTTTGAGCCTCATGAGGCCTTGCGGCTTCATCCTTTTACACTCGTACGAAATTTTGTATTTCGAATAATCCTCAATTCTCCTCCTAGCACTAACGGCGGTGGGCTTCAAGGCGACTGTGTTACTCTTGAACTGCCTTGGCTGACAGTGCGACAGGTCAATCCGTAGGTTGTAACTCTCATCCCTACCCTCATTACCCTCAAGTTCCGAAATGGCGCTTTGTCGACGCCTCCTTTAGCTTTGGCTGACTACAATTCATGATGTTTTCCCAACATCACGATACTGCATCGTGGCTTTTTGTAGTTCCTTTTGCTCCTCTATAATGGCTTTCAACTCCTCATTTTCTTTAAGCAGCCTGGTATCTTCTTTGGTACCCGGGTGAGAATTAAGGACCGGAACTGTGGCGCTCTCAACCGCATCGATAGGCAATCCTGTCGAGTTGAGCATGTGGCTGAACCGGCTACCCTCTCCGAAGTCTCCTTCCAGCTGAGCAGTGATAAAGTATTGCCGCTGACTCTGATTGGGTTTCACCACGCTTGCAACTATGCACGGCTTCTTCGATGATAACAGCGGCACGGAAACAAGATTTGTAACGGAAGCGTTGAGATTCGCCAGCTCGGTTGGATGGGAATTGTCAATCAGACTCCAGTGGAGAATCTTTCCTTTTGTATGACCCGTCAACACTGACGTTCCATCGTGGCTCAATGCAAGACAAGATGCGGGACCGTCGGCTACATCCGAAACTCCCAGAGGAGCACCTACTTGAACAACAATCGAGGCAAGCTCAGCGCTGCGAGACCCAACCAGCGGCTTGTCTCCAAATAGCTCAACTAGATACAGTCCTCCATCTTCAGCGCAGGCAAACAGAGCTCGAGCGGAGGCATCGAGAGAGACACAGAGTGGCGGAGACGGGAACAATAGAGTTCGAAGCACTTGGCCTGTTTGATAGTTCCACAAGATGCACGTCTTGTCAGTGCTGGCAGATACACAAAGGCTTGTTTCAGCATTGGTGCTTGGTCCGACAACCAAGTCGGTGACGGTGCCGCGATGGTTAGACAGGGTCAAGTCGGGCTCATGTCCTGCGTCAGCACCGAACTCAAGAAGACGAGATAAAGACCAAACATGGATGTTGGAGTCCTCTGATGCCGAAAGCACATGATAGGGGGTGACGGCTAGACAAGTGACAGCTTGCACATGGCAAGGCGGTGTGGTAACTTGTCTGCCGGTGGAAATCTGTCTCGAAAGGTTAGAAGAAAGAAGACACGAAAGAATCAAGGCAACATGGCAGGCCGAAAAGGATTGTCGCGAGGAAAAAAGAAAACTGGCCACTAACCTCCCACAGAATGAGTCGTCCTTCAGATGTACCCAAGATGAGAACGTCGCCGGCAAGGGCTAGACTACGAATTCGCTCGGGAAAAGCTACCAGGGTTTCTTGGTTGCCACGGAGCCGGGAGTAGACATGTACATGGGCCTTTTGATCCTGAGCAGCAAATATGTGCGTATCATTGACGGCGATACCATGAGGCGGCGCTGAACTCTTCTTAAAAGTAGACTTGATTGACCAGGAAGGAGTCAATGAGTGGCCGTATATGCCGACATCTTTTGAAACCGCCGTATTAGCAGCAATTGGCGGTCCGCAGATGGAAGAGAATATCTCCTCAGACAGCATGTCGAGTTGAATTGGTGTCGCGTTTTTCGAATGTGATGGACGCAGGGCCTGCACTAGCCTTGAGTAGCAGCAGGAGGCGTAGCCCCGTGAAGGCAGAGCCAAGAAAACAAGGCAAGACAATCGTCAATCCTGACGGATCGCGGACAAACGGTACGCAACCAGTAAAGCCACATTCAAAGCTTGGCGCGAGGGCAGACGCTGGAGGCAATGCGTCGTTGATTCTTTGTTTCTGGGTGGCTCCAACAAAAAAACGAAGAAAATTGAATCCATACGCAATGCCGTCAAATCACCAGCCTCCAATCCCATGCACGACGGCCGAGCCCCACACAAGCAAGAGCTTATTGCGGGTTGTGGATTGTCAGAGCCACGGAACGAGGAAGAGGTTGAAAGGTGAGGATGGTTGGATTTCAGACGAGAATGCATACCACCCGACCATTGCTCGCCTACCTGACCTGACCCGACCAGACAGTGGCATGCCAACATGGCAAACACTAACGGCCCACCACGCAATGCAACCATAACAAGGGAGGGCGAAGGTATTGATTGATTGAGCCACAAGTCGAGACAAATGTGATGAGCGAGGCATCGCAATGCTTTTTTCATGCGTTTTGTTCTGCTGGCGTACAGGGAAAAAGAGGCGCCAAGGAGATTTTGCCTCTTGCGGCAGACATGATGTATTGAGCCGTCGAGCAGGCACCGAGTATCGCGTTTGCGTGTTTGCCATCCGCGGCTACATTCGCATCGCATGCACACAGAACAGTGACATTGGGAATAGACATACGACCGATTGTTAGAACATTTGTCAATTGCCCTTGCAGGTGAAATGCTTGCTTGCTTGCTTACGCGCGTGCGCGATGTGCTTTGGTCCGGGTCAACTGACGGCAGGTGCGAGACACTGGTCAACTGGTGTAACTACCTAACTCGTGACCTACATCTGCTGTGTTGCATTTGCCATGCCGGACATTCTTTTGATCCCTGAACCACTGGACTCTCAACCCTCACCTGGAGAGGACTACCGAGTACGAAAATTCATCCTTGCTTCTGCCAAGTCGCTGTCACAGTCATCATTGCTTTATCCACCTGTCATCTTATCCGCCGTTAAGTGTTACGTACTTCATCATGAAACTACACCTCTTCCATCAGCCTGCTTGCTTTTTCGGCTCTCTTCCTAGCCAGGGATGGCTCTGATCGATCAGTGCCCCCTTGCTTCTGTCTCAGCCGCTCACATCACCGCCCTGCGTCTTGTTTGTGGGCTGGGACTAACTGACCAGTTAGCTAGTACCCGCGGCTCTGTGCTTTTCGCTTGATCATAGTGCTATCTATGGCTCTCGCTTCCCATCATTCTCGGAAGTATCACTGGCTTAATGCGATGCCCCCCTTTGCCAACTAGTACTACATACAACCTGCAGCCAGAAAAGCCTAATGGATGCAACCTGACAGACGACTCCGCGCCATCCGAGAACTGATGAGAACAAACTTCAAGCTGCACCAAATTTCGACAATACGGCGCGAAGCCAGTTCAAAATATAAGCCGTTGCCAAATTAATTACTCATACCACGGGCTGGACGCAGGAATGATTACATGGTCGAGCTCCATGCCACATGGCAGCCCTGTGGATTGCTCCCGCTTCTATGGCTCGAAGACGCTGCCCAAAGACCCCTGTACCACCAGAGTCTTGGACACCGCCGCTCGTTTGGGGCACTTCGATGTGGCTTGCATTGGCGAGGGCCTTGATTGTGGTTGATTAGCTTTTATAAAATGCAGCCTCACCGTTAAGGGCATCAAGGGCAAGGCCAAGAGGTTTTGCTGCATGTTCCATCAAACACGCCCTGGTTTCCGTATTGCGCACAATAGATCCGTCAATTCGACTCGCGTTCAGAGCTGCCTGGTTACCTGGGACATTGCCCAGCGTCATTGTTACACATAGTGCTAACAATTTCAGTACGAGCATCATCACGAAAAGCTGTAGCATCAATTGCGAAAATCCGCAGCTGCTATGCTTTGAACTCCGCGGCAGGTTAGGGGCTCTTGGTTGTTTCTTTTTCGACAAAGTATTCAACGCCTCCCTTGATGGTGTCATGTTGAAGGGTTTCGTAGCGCCACTGCAACTTTGCTTTTGTATTTTGCGCACTGTTGTAGTTTTGCTTCTTTCAACCCCGGCAGTCATCAGAGTATTTTCAACGTCCGCCCAACCTCGCCGCCGCCCTGCGAAGCGTCATAAAGGGTGCTATAGTTCCTCTATCGCCCCTCAATACCAGTATTCTTCGCGAAGACACAGTGCGACAGCCTTATGATTATGATTCCCACAGTTGTCTCGCCTGTATCCAAAATCAACGGGCATCCTTCGCCGCGACGTCCAAATCCACTGCCGGGCCGTTAACACATGATCTGTTGTTTTCTGTCTCTGCATGTTTATTTCTTGATTGCCAGTGTTTCGCTATCCTTGGTCTGTGCATGGTTGTTTGTTCTGATTGTATGGCCACCCAACTATCGATATAACAATACGCCCCCATCCCCAAAATTCAGCGCTCCTGCCTTGCGTCCTAGGCATTCCCTTTCTCAATGCAAATACTACCCGGCAGTAAAGAATCGGCGTTTGCGTCTCTGTTTGGCTTGAAGCTAATTCCCATTGGAAGTGAATCGCAAGCGCCATCGACTACTGACAGTGAATCGACGTCAACTGCGAGGTCGTCACCATCAAGTGGTAGGAGAAGGTCTGTGTCAACCATGAAGGATCTTATTCCACTTAAACTTTCACCGTCTTCTTCAAGTGTTTGGAGCGACAGTCAGCCTACGCCAGCTGACGAAGGTATGGCGGATCGTGTGGCCGACTGCCTACCCGAGGTCCTTGCTAGAGACTTGGAGTTGTCGGCGGCTATTTTCGCGGAGAAAAAGATGACAGCTGGGGCTCCCGTGATTCCACTTTCTGCCGAGGAGCGAGCAAGGTTACGAGCCAGCAGGCTGGCCTTGTATTCACCATATCTAGCAGCTTCCGCGAGAGTTCATCCGCTCGATCCCATTGAGGAAAGGGATTCCACGGCATCATTCGTCGACCAGGAAGTAGAGCTTCCTGTGGAAAGGCATGACCTTGATTCTGAGTCATCCAGCACGACTAGTCACTGCAGCTCAGACGGCGCCGAACCACCCGAGTTTCGCCATCGCGGTTCCGTCGTCACCACCGCAACGTCCTTGGCGTCCGTGGCCTGCAGACGGAAGAACTCGCTTCTTCCTGACAATCAGGTTGAACACAGTTGGATTGAGGCCGATTCGGACGGCGAGGATCATGTTGACAGCACAACACAAGAGTACAATGTGGGATCACTGTCTCCACGACCACCAACGCCGCCTTGCTCTGAACTCGGCTCTCCTATTACCGAGAGAGGTACAAAATTCGACATACCAAACCCTTGGATCCATACTCAAAGCTCCCTCCATCGGAAATCACACTCTGTTAGTGGTGGCTCTCCGAGTGTGCCAGTTCAGAGGCAGCTCTCCGGTAGAACCCCGAGCTTGCCTGTGCGACCATCGACGATGAACGGGCCAAGAAGACAGTCCACAGAGGATTCATTCAAAAATGATCAACTTCAAACGACGTGTCCGACCCAGTGTCAATCTTTGAAGACAATACGGCGCACACAATCGCTTCGAACCAGTGCTACAGACTCATTCTTTCCAACTCGTCGGCTACAAATGCCGTTACTCCAGCCAGCCATCCGTCCGGAGACGTCACTAGTCACCAACGCATGCTCGGTGTCCGATGACGAAGGCTTATCCCCCGTTGCGAATTATGACTCTGTCAAACCCCATGCATTATTTGTCCGGCCGCCGACACCTCCCGAACCTCTGCGGAGTGTTCAGTCGTGGCTCAACAGCAGCCTCCAGCCATATCCCTGGGTATCCCACAACGACGAGGCTGCAAGAGCTGTGCCCTTGCCACCGGATGCTATCGAGACACTGCGGGTGTCGGTGGCATGCTTCCCGGAAACGATGCTTTTGACGTCTAGTCTGACCGTCGAGACCATTCGCAGCTACGCGAAGAAAATGCGGCATCCTGTCACAGAAGCGCTCAGCATTTCCGGGGATACATCCATCCAGCCACCAAGGAAATCGCTCTGGCGCAAGGTTTTCGATTACAACAAGGGGCCGCAGCTATCGGATTGGGAAACAAGACCGAGGTACTCCAATTCACGCCAGGGAAGTAGCATGGGTTCATCATCGTCAGAGGAACTGGACATGCCCAAGCCGTGGACTCCAATCAGAAATGTGTTCGGGCACTGTTCTGATTACATTTGCGACGCAATATACGCCCATATCGTGTCGTACAATTACGTTTCGGCCTTGGTAGCACGCAACCCCGTGCCAGTTGCCGGCAATGGGCGCACCAGCTCGATAAGCACCAGGGACCAGCAACAGCAAGATGACATTCCAAAGAAGGCCGCGTCCTTGCTCGGCCTCACAGCTTCAGCTTCCGCAGAAAGAGCGGCCAGCAGGGGCCGATTCCCCAGGCGCGTGAGCTCGCCTCTCGGCGAATGGAACAAGGAGGGCATCATGACCAGCCGCAACACCACGCCCAGCAGCCAAGACAATGCGCTGCGGGTGATACAGAGCGGCCTGCTGCAGTGCATCGCCAGACTGGTAGCCACGGCCAAGCTCATGGCCGACAGTGACGCCGGAGAAGAGCGAATGGTGGACATGGAGGCTGAAGACGCAGACATGCTGTTCATGAGAAGCCTGTGTGAAATTGTCCGAATGGCCGAGGAAGCGTCATGAGCAAACAACGTCACTGGCGACTCCTCATTGTTTGTTTCTCTTTCCCTATGTAGTAATTCTTGTCTCGTTTGTAAGCGTCTTGTAAGCGTCTTGTATGGTTAGGCGGTGGTGGCACTCGGATACCCCGGCGGATGGTAGTGGTGACGAAATTATAACATGTCTCACAGACACATGGCAGCAGTATACTAAATCCAAAAGAGCAGAAATCTCTTGGGAAATGAAAATAATCACCATCCCTGTCCATTATTCCCACATTCCGCCTCAAGCAATGTCTGCTCCGTGCTGTCGTCTCCCAAGATACATCTCTCAAAGCAGTTGCCCAACACCACATCTCTTCTCGCCGATCAAACGCCCAGCCTGGCCAGCGCCTCCTCGGCCTTGCGCCTCCAAGCCCGACATAGGTCCATCTTGTCGGCCCGCGGACACACCTCGACAATGGCCCTCTCGTACCTCACCACGTCCCACACGGCGTCGATATCCCCATTCGTCGCCTCCCACCACTTGTCCACGCCGCGCCTCTCGAGCTCGCGCTCAAACAGGGCCCTCATGCGGTACTTTTCGTCATGCCCCTCCTGCGAGTACTGGCAGTTCCAGAGAAAGCCGCGCGCGGGATCCCGCCTCACGGCCGGCACCACGGCGGCAAACTCCCAGTCCAAAATGGCCGTCAGCTCCCCGTCCCCGGAAGCCATGACGTTGCCAAGGTGCAAGTCCTTGTGCGCCAGCACCATCTTGGTGTCCAGCCTCAGGCGCGGCAGCTCGACCGCCAGCGCCCGCAGCCGGGGCAGCAGGCCGCGCGCCCAGGCCAGCCGCTCGTGCATGGAAATGGCGTGCACAAACGCGCCCACGAGCCCCTTTACAAAGTCGGCGTGGGAGGCGTACGGCCCCGCGGGGCTCGGCGCCTCGACCGACTCGTCGCTCCCAAACTCGGCCTCCATGTCCGGCAGGAACCAGAAGGTGTCCTCCAGCAGGGGGCCGGGCACGACGTCGCCCCCGACGAGCTGCAGGCCGCCGACGTGGCGGAAGGCGTGGGCGTGCAGCTCGACCAGCGCGTCGATGAGCCGGTTGACGAGCCGCAGCCTGGCGGCCTCGGGGAGGCGCGCGTAGACCGAGTCGACGCTGCGGCCGGGCATGCGCTCCAGGAGCGTGAACTCGCGGCCGAGCACGTTGCTGCCGGTGCAGTCGTGGCGCACGACGCGCGGCACGGGGATGCGCGTGCGGGCCCGAGACGCGCAGCACCAGGCCGGTGCCGCCCCCGGGCGACGGCCGCAGGTCCAGCAGCTCCGCCGGCGGCGAGGCGTAGTGTATCAGGTAGATCCTGTGGAAGGCCGCGTTGGCCTCGAGCGGCGCGATGGACGTGGGCTGCGGGAGGGAGAGGAACGTGAGGAGGGTGGCGATGAGGGCCGGGTCGACGGGCGGCGGGAGCCTCTTCCCGGGCACCATGGTGCGAGGGTTTTGCTTTACTCGCTGTTCAAGATGAAACAAATAAAGCGAGGATTGGCGGAGGGCTTTGCAAAGGCAACAATCTGAGTCAAGGAGCCTCGCAGCTCTCACAATACAAGGCTGAGCGGAGGTGGTCAATACTCGTGCTGTCTGGTGTAAGTGGTGTCGTTTTTGACGGGGGATCCACAGGGCCGGCCGAGACGCACGGCGGGCCCCCGGCCGCTAGTAACGTCAAATCACAGATACGGCCGATCCCTGTTCAACTGCAACCCTCCCCGGCGTCATCGTCGTGATGCAAATCTAACATCATCATTGTCTATTCACCAATGCTACAGTTGATGCAGCCTCCTCCTTGACGCCCATCCCTGGCAAATCTATCTGTGCTATACATGTAAAAATAGTAACAAGTTGGGTATAATGCGAATCCGCCGCTGTCAAACGCCATAAACCAGTAGAACCTCCAACGCCCTCTTCAATTCCACCATGCCATCCGCGTCCTTTTTTCGGCCTTTTTTTTTAAGCTCCATTACAATTGCCATGGACCTTTTTTATCGCCAAATAGCTCCTCATGCCAGGGCTTTTTCCCACTCTGTTGACATACGCCCTCCCATTCGATGGATGTGATGGAGCCGCCAGATTTGGCGTCAGGGGACGCAGGTTCAAAGACTTTGACCATTCTGTTGCGGAGATCGGACTTGGGCGTCCAGTATTTTGTTACTTGGTCTCCTCCCTCTGCGGGAATTCTTGCGAGAGGGCGAATGGTGTTTTTGGCGTCCATCGGGAGGAGCGCTTGCGCGACCAGATTGCGTAGTTGCGGGTAGAACCACATCTTGCTCCACCACTCATTCAGACGGGTTGACTTGAGGTTGTTCACGTAGGCGTTGTGGTGGATGGCTACGGGGGTGACGCCAAAGAAGAAGTCAGTGTAGAGCGATGCATCGCCCCATTTGACGCCGGATAAATGCTTTGGTCCAACGCCGGCCTGGTCGAGTTCCGCGGGCACACCCTTGACCCGAACCTCGCCGTTGGGAACACCAGCCTTGGCTGATGCTTGTTTCAGTGCCTCCTTGTCGTTGATTTTGGCAAAGTAGCCGTCCTCTTCGGCAGAGCATGTAGGCGGAATTGTGCTGAAACTATAGTCCAAGCCGATGCCGTATTCGAATCCTTCGCCATTCATCGCAGCCTTGGCAATACTGCGTACATCGGCCGGCAGACGGGAGAGGTAGTTTTCTGATGCGGTTCCGTTCCAAGTGGTGCCCAGTTCGCGCATCCATTCTCGCCACATTTCCTGGTCGCCAATCACTTCACCAAAGAGAGCCTGGTCGCTCCAGAGTTGCCTTCCCCGGTGGGCAACGGTTTCGACCTTGGCTTTGGCACGGGTGAGAGCGTCGCGGAGGGAGCCCATTGTACCCATGATCATGCCGCTGTTTACGCATCGCGGTCGGATCTTTTTGAATTTTCGGGCCGAATCGAAGGGCATGGTGAGAACCTTGTCGGTGCCGTCACCGTACATGTCGGAGGGCATGGGCGACTCTGGCCAGTGTGAGTAGTGTGGATCGGATCCAGAATCGCTCTTCGGGTGGCAGTCCTTGGCCGCTGTGACAACGATGGACTGCTTGGGCGGTTGAATAGGGAAATCTGTCGCAAAGCCTTGGGCATCGTCCCACTGCTGCCGCACCCTCTCGTCAGCTTCGCGGTTGAGTTGGTGGTAACGTTGAATGAGCACCGAGGGAGGCAGCTGGAACCAAATGTCGTGAGCGTCGACAAGAACGGCCAGATCGTCTTGATGAACATCGCCATCCTCGCCCTCTGCCAGAGAGAGCATGTTCTCGATAACTGATAGAAAACTCTCGAGTTTGGCAACATGGCTGCCGGCCAAGTGCCATTCAGGGCGGTTGAATTCACCTCCCCAGTTCAACAAAATTGGTGCTGGATAGCCCAAGGCTACTGCTGACATGACGGACTTGCATAGATTGATGTGAGGCGAGTCGGCGGGCATAAAGATGCGAAGACGGCGATCGCCACCAACTGAGATGGAGCGATTGCCGGGCTGCAATGCTTGGAGTTGCTGCGTTGTGAGGACTTTGTCCGGCGGCGGGCCTTGACCCGTCTTATATCCAAGGGAATCTAATGAGGGCTGTGTGTGACCACGTTAGCGGGCTTGTTCAACAAGAATGATGTCGTCGCGGTGTGTCCCAAGTCCGAGTCAACTTACAACCAGGTAATGGGCTGCGAGTCCTGCAGCTGCCAGCAATGCGGTTCCACCGACGATGCATTTGGTCAACCTGCCCGCCTTGGTGCGATGAGTAGAGGGCAAGTCATTTGACGAAGTTTCATACTGAGGAAGCGGGCGGTAACCTCTTGAGGATAGACCAAAGTTGAATCGCATTTTGGCTGCCGTCGTGTAAAGGCAGTGTGGTTCCACCTCACACCACGATGAACGAAAATCGACAGCGAATGGCAGCTAGGGCAAGGAGACGGGAAGATAAAGGGCAGAAGGAGGAAAAAAGAAAAAGAAAATATAAGTTCCAAGACTGAAGCAGGTGGAAGCAAGGACAGAGAGACGAAAAGATGACACGAGACAGGCTTTCCGGCTGAAAGGGAATGAGAGCATTCTCCGGCGGCTCCCCGGCCAAAGTCTATTCGCACGACACCGAATTCAAATACAAGTAGTGTAGACTACCACAGCCAAGACCCATAGTGAAATGCAGACACAGACAGGGTCCGGGGAGACTAATTACACTAGCATTGCGGCGGCAAAAAGTGGGCGGCCACCGACAGGCATGGACGGCAGCACGAGCACGTTCGCCTGGTGGTAATACAGAGTATCAGCTATTGTGAGAGATGACGCTGAGGCCCTCTTGGTCCTGTCGTTGAAAGCACGCGCCGTGGTTCGCATCCATGACTGGAGCTTGGCGACCCCGTGAAGAGTCAGTCGACCTGGTTGAAGTTTGTAGCCACATGCCCCTAACGATGCCCGTACGCTAGACTGTCTCGGCCATGGCTGGCGGCTTTCTGTCCATCCCGGATTGTGGGCTTTGACCGTGCCCTTTTCCATTTTGGCTATCTGACGGTTCATCGTTGACCAGAGAACTGACGCCAGGACGGACTGACAAATGGTTGGAGGAACAATGGCGTTGCGCGTCTGCTTCTGTAGTCCATGGAAGCGTCCGTCTAGACAGTCCCATAGGACAATACTCTCTTTCCAGCGATGCAAGCAGACCACAGGACGGCGAAGCAGCATGAGGCGAGGCACGAAGAAGAGAAGAGCAGAGCAAAGAAGCAGTATTCACGCTTTGCCCGATTGAGCTCTGGGTTGAGCATTTGGGGGCTGCCTAGGGTGGGCCCGAGAAAAGTGCTGATTCAGACTTTGGCCAACCAGCGTGCGGCACACTGGCAATCAACCTCGCTGCACCTGCTCTTCCCACGTGCAGATGCTACTGGCCATCGCCCCGCCTGGGTTGGAGAGACGGCACCTGGGGGAAGATGCGAATCAGGTCCCTGCCTCAGCCAAGGAGAAGGCAGCAAAAGATGCCAGTCAGGGATGCCAATTCTCTCGGCGCGGGCGCAATTTCAAGGCTTCGATGTTTCGTCCATAAAGAATTGGTGTAACCAGACTGGCACTAGTGCTGTGGCGCGATTGACGTGGTATGTGGGCTAGATTAACAATCTTCTTGACGAACCGTCGCTTGATGCACCAATCACGCCTCGCTCTTGGTACGGAATATCCCTAGACCGCGTTGCTTCACATGACATTTGGAGTCCTCATTCTGATAATTCTAATCACCGTGGCCATTGATAGGTACGTTTGTTATCTACACAACTCCCACGGCCAGCCGCAAGCTTCACCGCCGAAAGACCCTGATACATACATATTCTTGTGCTTGAAATACCACGTCATTGCCGGCCGGGTACCTTAGTCTGGCTGCATACTATTGGCCTCCCGCTGTAGATGGACATCGGGAGCCTCCAGTAGCAATCGCAGGCGCCGCCAACGTGCCGCCAACGTCAACCTCCGTAGTCGAATCCGACCAACCTGACACGAAGCCATGCTCACTGTCTTAGACGCCAAGGGTCTAGGATCGGCTACTCAGCGCCGTTACGGCCGAGTGGGAGAGCCGTCGGTGACAACACTTGATCCAGTGCTTCATGTTGGCCCATGTCGGCAGCCGACTGCCCGTCGTGTCGTCTCGGGCATTATTAACCGCAGCCGTATCCAGGCTATTTTGCCCCTGCGTGTCCCTCTCTGAATCAGTCTCCAGCCAGGTCCACGTTGTCATGCTCATACGTGAGCGCTGGAGAGGACGAGATGCCAGCTTTCAGGACTGCGCTTCGTCGACCAAGTGCCGTGTTTGCCGGTCATGATGTTCGAGCTCTCGTGGGCTTTTGCCTCCTAGGTGCGTGAATCCCTGGAACCCATGTCTTGGAGGAGCATCTTCACACCTTGCTCTACAAAGTATGTTCGCATGGACTGGATGCCACCGCTACGTGGACCACGTCTGAGCTCTCCGTCTTGCTCATTCCCAGGATGAATGACAAACCGACTGACTGTTCCCTCATAGGCCTCGCCAATGTCGTCTTGCCGTCCATCATCTTCTCCTCCAGCTACCTCATCATTCCATATTCGCGGCCGACAGTGGTCCTCATCGAAGCATCATCGGCCCTTGCAACAAAAGTACTCCTCCCCCACGTCTTATGCCATGTCGCCTGGTGGCTTCGGCCTTGTTTCCTCACAGCATGCTGGATCCTCGCAGCCGCCGTTACCGCAGCTGCGCCGCCAAACGTCGCGCCCCCAATTCGCATCCTCATGACGATGCTGGCCTCGGCTAGCGCCGCGGCAGGAGAAATCTCGTTTCTATCGCAGATGCGATACTATGGACGCTGGGGACTAGCCGGCTGGGGAGTGGGCACGGGCATCGGCGGAGTGGTGGTCGCCGTGATGCCGCATGTTCTCACCTACGGCATGGGCATGGTATTGCGGGATTCGCTCCATTGCGTGTACTACCTGGTTGGCATTCTGCTGGCCGCCCATTTCGTGGTCCTGCCTCCAGCTCCGCTGCCTCGCATCAGTACCAAGTCGCCTTGGACGACACCGACTTTGAACGACGAGGAAGAGAATATTCCTTTGGCGCCAGAGCGTCGCATCCCCAAGCCGACGGCCACGTTGCGATCTAGAGCTAAGCGAAGTTTGACTCTGGTTCGACCCTTGTTGGTAAAGTTTATACTGCCCATGTTCGTGGCGTCCTCTGTACAGGCCTTTGTCTTTCCGGCGTCGATTCGCTTACAGCCCATGTCAGCATCCCTGGGTGCATTTGCGCATTTCAAAGCCGCGTTCGGAGCTGCTTTCCGAATGGGAGATTTCGTCGCACGATCCTTACTGCTCTTGTTCCAGTGGAAACAATTGTACCCTCTGTTTGTGCTCTTGGGTGTCTCCTCGGGGCTGCAGCTCATAAATCTGTTCTTCTTGATAGCATCCAGCGCGTTTTTGCTCTTGCTACTGGCGTCGTCTGTGGGAGTCGCCGGCGGGGCGATATACATGGCGGTACTCTCGGCGGTCTTGAATTATATAGAGAATGACGCGCGTTTGGCAGACGCTGATTTCTGCATTGGGATGGTATCGAGTGGCGAAACTGGAGGGATGATGCTGGGGTCTCTACTGGGCGGGTTAATGGAGATGAGCTACTGCGCGTCAGATACGGGCGCAAGGGGCCGGTGGTGTACGAGCACCAGATGAGTTGAATTATTTTCATGGCAACCTTGATGACACGATGTGAGTTGCAAATTATACAAATGGGCGATGAATATGCGCCACATAGTATCAGTTGCGGCCGCATTTTGTGAAATTTTATTGCTGTTTGACGTCACATCCCTGACTATCACGATATCCAAGAGTAGACTGACGAAGTACAACTATAAGACATAGATATAAAGTTTATAAACATAGAAATGCAAGTATCACCACCCGTTATGATCCCATCTTCAATAGTCTAAAAAACGAAATCGGGCCAAAATTCAATTTGGGGTTTAGGGTGTGGCTTCGCATGGCTCCCGGGTCACGCGCGAATCAAGGGACCACCTAATAATGCCATAGATGGAGGAAGCAACCGATTTGGATGAACGGTGGGAATTGTGGGAGTTTAACCTTGGCTGATCCGTTTCATGCGGCTTCCCACTCGAGCAAGTTATCTCACACTATCATCATGTCAAGGATCCCAGATTGAAGAAACAGACTTTAGGCTAGTCCGCCGCCGAGGCCTCTCTTCCCCTAGTCTTAATACATGGATGTCGAGATAATCTGCAGAATGGGGTACAAACTTGGCAGTTGTAACTAAACAGTATAAGGTGCCAATATATCATTCATGGGTTGTGTGATAATCGTGGACTATATTCTGTAGCCATATATAAAAATATATATATTTAATTGAAAGTACAGCCGACTAGACGGAAATCCACGAATCCACAGTCAACGTTCTAATTGCCAACTCGGATTCAAGTTCCTTTTCGTAGCGATGACCACCCAGCTGCAAGAACAGAGAGCCCTTTTCAGAGTCCCGTGAAGTCCACCTTAACGGGGTAGTGAACTCCCAGTATTCAGGGTACCAGCCGGCAGATTCCCAGTCGATGAAGCCCGAGACACGACCGTTGTATACCAAGATGTTATGAAGGGCAAAGTCACCATGTGTGAAATCGACGTCATGCTGAAGAGGCATCGCCCGAGCAGTAGCCAAGGTCGTCTCATCCTCGTCCCGTGTCTTGAAAGAGTGAGATGAAGCGGTACTGAGAATTTGCTCCTGGAACTCGTCCTCGGACTCGCAAGGTCTCACAACGTGGTTTGGAACGCGAATACTGCGGATAGGGCCACTGGAAATGCTGCAAATACGTCGACCCCAGGGGTTTTTCCAGGAACGAATCGCCTCCAGGATTGTGCGCAGCTCCATGGTGACGGTGTTGCGTTGTAGGGCGCTTAGATGCTCGTAGGCCACATCAAGCTCCTCACCAGGCAGGCGAGTCATCAGAATTGAAACAGGGGCCCACGGGGTATGCGGGTGCTCGCCGTAGCTGATAACCTTTGGACAGGGAACGCCGGCTGCGCGGATGGCGCGCATAGATTGCATTTCATCGAGGCTTGTCCCGTCGGACCACTTCAGAAGGAGGCCGAACGGTAGGGGTTGCAATGGAGTAGGAGAAAGGGAATCCGAACCACTCGCAGTAGTATCTGGAGAATCCGCAAAGAAATGAATGAATGTGGCCCGTTAGCCTGCGAAGAGCCGGTGCGAGAAGTGGTGGTGAAGGAGGTATTTCCTTGGCTAGCTGCTCTGGTGCCAACATGCGATGGCCCCATGTGAAATCGGGGCGGAAAACGGAGGGCGCCATGAGCTGCAGTAAAGGCAATTCCCGGAAGAATATCCATTCGAAAGTGCAGCGCAGGTTTTGGAGAAGACGCTGCCGTAAGGAACGACGACGCCAGCCGTCGTGAGGTGCTGGAACTGGCGGAAGCGCAGGAATTGCAGGAGGTAGAGGAACTTTTGGTCGTGCCATCGCTGACGAGGAACACCTGGGATGTTGGGCCAAACTCGTACGCAGGTGTTGGAGAGGAAAATGCGGTGGATCAAATTGCACACGTTCAAAAAGATGTAGAGATAGTGGGCCTTGGCTGAATATTCCCGATGTCCTGCTTATATGTTGAATCAGTATTGTTGGGCCTAACGGCTCTATCATTGAGCGAATTGGCACAGCGGAATGAGAAGCTTTCAACAGCGCGAGAGTTGGAGGGCATCGCATACGTGCAGTTGAGGGAGAAAAACTCCGAATTTAACGATACTAGTGATGATTACACTTCTTGATGAAGGCCTTGAATATCCTCCAATGCAAATTTGACCCTTTGATACCTGGTCCGGCACCCCGAACCCCGTATTGAGACCCTCAATCTATGCCATAACTACCTTTTGAGGCTTCAAGCATAGAATATGCATAGCTGTGCATGTCAAGATATGGAGTGCCTAATCCAGCCCGTAGTTGTTACCATTCATCCCATATTCAGTTACTTGCCGGGGCGGGACTCGCAAACTCGCAAACTGAAGGCTTTCTCTACCCTTCGTCTGAGTATCCGGGTGAATGCGGACGAAATCAAGGCAATGGAGTGGCAACAAAGTATAAAAGGCCCATATATAGCTTGTGACTACCGACGTTGGTACGGCATCTGTCCAGTATAGCCTTAGCTAGACAGAGACGATGAACGTTGTAACTTGTTGCATCCATGGCCAGTATAAAGCTGACCACAGGCAGCCAAAGGTGGCATGGCCATCATTTAGTACTGTGAAGGGCGGAAAGCAAAGACGACCAACTGCCAACACAAAGTTGACCATCGTAAATGGACGTAAAGATTACTAGGGTCGATAGCCTAATAATAGTTGCCATTCGCCACCTTGAAAAGAGTAACCAACATCTGGACAAATCCAGAGAGTCATGTGGAAGGGCAGCATTGACCATCATAACTAGTTACACCGCCGACGATCAGGTTCTTCATCCATCATCGCCCACCTCGTGCTGCATACTGCATAATGCCCAAAGTAGTATGTCCTGGGCCTGTACCGGCACCGGGGAGCATCTCCGCGGATATATCAACAAATCAACGGTGACTCTCGCGGAAGCACACTGCCAACTTTGGAATCGTTTCAAATTGTACCCTCATCCGGTCAACTTTCGGCAGCTTTTCCCATATCTAGCTGCGTGGCAAAGGTTTGCCAGGTCACTGGTCATGTATTGCAATGTTACATTCGGGACGTCGCATTCATTTGACTTGACAGGTGTTCAAGCCCGGGGTTGCGATCGAACTGTTTGACTGCCCCGTCTGTAAAAAAGAAAACCTCGTTCTGATCTAGACCCCACGGGGTAAGAACCGTTTCATGGAGCTTGACTGAGTCTGAAGCGCGGGGGAACAGGGAGGACATGGTGTGTAGATGGGTATGACCCTGGTTGCCGGGAACTTGCTTGTGACAATGGCAGAGGACTGGTGGCGGTCCGTGTGCGGGCACTTGGTTGGCAGGATTGATGGATCCTCGTTCATTCCCGACTTGAAGTGGCAATTGCCCAAATTTGACTGCCCTCGGCGTTGTGTCGAAGAAAAGAACAATGATGAGTGCGATGTCTCTTACGTACTTAAGTAGGAGGATTGATCGATCATCCCGACTACCTAGGTAGTTGATGTTGCAACCGCTGTCTGGCAAATGAGAATCTAGCTGTCAGATAAACGCGTCTGTACGAGATGCAGGCCGTACGTGACGAAAGGTGCTGTCATGTTTCGCAGCTGCCATTTTGAGCCTGCAGTCGCGCCAGTGACCCCAATCATTTCAATGGGCGTTGAACATGAGGCACAATCCACCATGCAAGTGGCCCTGATAAAGACACTCAAAAGGATCCAGATGTCCTTTGCCCAAATGGGCAGCCGAGCCGGCTATTCGGAATGGCGTAAAACGCCGCCACTGGCAGAACGCCAATTCCGGCTTGGAACGAATCGGCGCGTCACCCGCACCACCTCTACATTGTCAAGCCCTGATCACGGGGAGCGATGCAGTGGGAACTTTTGCTGACTCTGCGTTTCTGAAAAGTCCGCGCATCCCTTTCGTTGGCCAATTCGCTGACAGCCCATCTGGAGAGAAGATCCGTCAAAGGAGTAAACTAGCCAGCGTCTGCCCGGAGTAGGACAGCCACAGGCGTTGAGCTGGAAGCCCCAAGCTCGATTGTCAGGGAGCGCAATCTGCGCGCCAAGTACCTTGGCGATTCAATGTCATCTTGCCAAGCGATCCAACCCTCATATCCGGTCAGTGCCAAGCTGGAAGCTACCGCCGTCGAGGAGGCGAGACGGGGGTTATTGCTCATGCAGCTTCGCAGATAAGAGGTTAAGTAGGTAGTATTCCCATGATGGCTGCAGGGATCATAGCGTGCTTGACCCACCTGACTTGTACCGAGCGCGATAACCTGGATAACATGAAGGCGTGCGAGATGCTGTAAGTAGCAATGCGGACCATTGCAGCCACAGGCCTTATCTCGAATAAAGCCCAAGTCTCAATCACGGTGGCGCCGGACGGCCAGACTCATCTCGTCCCATTCCAGTGGATCTTCGACTCTCGTATGACCTGTGCCACGGACAATGGTGCCGCGTTGGACCGCTCGCCGGCAATCACGATTCTGGCATCAGAATGGCATAGCAGAGAGCCTCGTGACTTGGAATCTGATGAACAAACCGGGAGGAAACGTCGAAGCGCCTTGGTATGGAGGTGAGGATGGGAGCGGGGGCGAAGGACTGACAGTCATTGGGAAACGCCATTGTTGCGGCAGGTGCACCCAGGACTGACTTTGCAAGACTTGGCGCGTGCGGACAAGCCAACATCCAAATGATGATGCCTCGGTCACGTCTTCTCCATCCATCGTCAACCAAAAGCTTGCCATCGATTGCAAACATGGACCTTTTGTCGAAACGCCGCATCCGGCCAGCCCCTTGGTCAACTGGTGCCCTCCCCACACCCTCTGGCGGCCCTTGTTCCATTTCCATTTAAGACTCCGTACACAAGTTCCCAAAGTTCCATTGCCCGGCCCACCCCGGCGCGGGCGCTCACATCAGAACATGGTTTGCTGTCGATCCAGGGCCACTTGAACGCCTCGTGTGCTCTGTCGTGCTCTCCTGGTCCCCTGCCGAAGTGGGTGCGCCCGTGCGGAGCTGGGGTAGTTTGGGGATCTGAGCAAAAGGTCCTTCATGTGGCAAGTGGTGAGAGGACCAACGGCCAAGCGCGCGATGCTTAATGCTCCATCTCTGGCTCATTCCGCATGATCCCGGATCTTAGCGTGTGATACCCTGAGCTAATTGATACTGATGGACGCTCGTTCTCGACTCGACTGGTCCGCCAGACCGATGGAAGCTGGAAGCCAAAGAATGAACTGGATCGCTACTTGACAGGGGCCTTCGTTTGGCCCGTCCGATATCAACAACTAAGCGTCGCCAGCTATTTGAATTCACATATATAGATAAGCCGCCGACCGCCGGACTCACTCCTGCCATCCGGTCTTGCCTCCCCTTCCGCTACTTCTCGTCATTGGGGGTCTTCTTCCTGTCCATAATCCTCGTTGCAACCTTGCATCCCCAACCATAGAGTAAAGGTTTTGGCACACCCGACTCCCGCAATGGGCTTGAAGGACCGTTTCGGCCTCTCGCAGAGGCAAATGTCTGGCGAGGAAGAACTTCCCGCTGGCGTCATGGGTGATCCCACCCAAGAGCTCAAGGCCTTCCGCCGACAGCATAAATGGGATCCCTTCTTGGACAACGAGAAGCTCGACACAATTGATGATGCTCTCGCATCAGAAAACGTCGAAAAGCAAGCCGTCGTCGACGAAACCCTCATCCAGGAAGACTCTCCCTATCCCGAAGTCCGCGCATCAGTACGTTTCCCCGCTTCGCCTGGCCTCCATTGCCGGCGTCTAGACGTGAATCTGTGACCCAAGGTTGGTTTGGCAGGCACTGACAATGCCATTCATCTAGGTTCCCCCATCTGACGAGCACGATATTCCTGTTGACACTATCCGGGCTTGGTTCCTTGGCGCGTTGCTGTGCACAGTCGTTGCCGCCTGCAACGTTCTCCTCTCCATGCATGTCTCATCCGCCAGCATCTCGTCCACTGTGGTGCAGTTGATCGCCTACCCGTATGTCACAAATCATTGCAAGTTGCAATCCAATCAAACCATGACAGGTTGCTTAAATTCGCTCCACGCAGACTTGGTGTCGGTTTGGCCAACATTCTCCCGAACAAGGAGCGCAGCTTCTTTGGCTGGAAGTACAACCTCAACCCCGGGCCGTTCAACGTCAAGGAGCATACCATCATCACCATGATGACTGCCGCTGGCTCAACCTACAGCTACGCCATCGACATCTTGCTGGCCCAAGAGGTCTTCTACAAGCAAAGATTCGGGTAAGATAACGCTTCATATCCGCTTGCACTGCTATAGTTATTCCTTGGTGCTAATGAGCTTTCCTCTACAGATGGGGCTTCCAGATCCTGCTTATCATCTCCACTCAAGCCATGGGCTTTGGCATTGCTGGTGTTGCTCGTCGTTTTCTGGTCTGGCCTGCATCTATGGTCTGGCCTGCTAATTTAGTCACTTGCACGGTTATGCATTCGCTGCATAAACATGTTCCTTCTGACCCTGCCAGTACGAATGGCTGGCAAATTTCCCGATACAAGTTCTTTATTATCGTTTCGCTAGCTACCTTTGTGTACCAGTGGATCCCTGAAGTCTTTGCCACGTTCCTTCAGTACTTTACGTTTGCTTGCTGGATCGCCCCGAATAACGTCGTCGTCAACCAGCTATTCGGCCACGTCTCTGGTCTCGGTATCTTGCCCATCACCTTCGATTGGCTTGGTGTGTCATCCTGGCTAGGGAGTCCGTTGCAGACGCCTCTCTTCGCCATTCTTAACGTGGGTTTCGGCCTTCTTATCTGCTTGCTTGGAGCTATCGGCCTGGCCTACGGCGGCCCGGTCGAGTACAAGTATTTGCCGCTTAGCGCCAACAAGAACTGGGACCGGTTTGCCAAACCCTACAATACCTCCCGAATCTTAAGCCCTGACTATACCGTCAACGAGACCGCCTATCAGGCATACTCGCCCATCTTGCTTGGTGCAACCTTTTCAATTTCCTACGGCATGTCCTTTGCCACCCTCATGTCCACCATCTTCCATTGTGGGCTTTTTTATGGCCCTGATATTTGGCGTCGCGCTTTTAGCTCTCGCTCGGAAGAACCCGATATCCACTTGAAACTTATGCGCAAGTACAAGGAGGCCCCAGAGTGGTGGTTTGCCCTCATCTTTATTGTTTCCTTTGCATTTGGCATGATCGCCTCCCAAGTCTGGACCACCCACTTGCCATGGTGGGCATACATTGTCTGTATTTTGATTGGGGTTGTTTTGTTCGTTCCCATTGGCATGATCCAGGCCATCACCAATCAGCAACCTGGTCTCAATGTCATCACTGAGATGATTTTCGGTTACATGTGAGTTTTCTACCCGTCGAAAGTGTGTGATGGAAGATTACGGGAGTGTTGTTGAGTTCTGGTAGCTAACTCTTCCTCACCAAGGCTCCCCGGGCGCCCTATTGCTATGATGTTGTTCAAGTCCTGGGGATACATGACTTGCGCCAACGGTCTGACCTATATTTCTGACATGAAGATTGGTCACTACATGAAGGTTCCTCCTCGCAGCATGTTTTACGCCCAGGCGTTCGCTGTGATTTGGTTGTCTGTTGTGCAAATTGCCACTTATAACTTTGTCATTGGCAACATCAAGGGAATTTGCACGGATGAGCAGTCTCAGGGACTGATTTGCCCCAATGCTGCCACTTTCTACAATGCCAGTGTTATTTGGGGTGTTATTGTAAGTTGGCCCATGATTTTTGCCCACATCAAGACTCTTCTAACCCGCCATTGACAGGGTCCGAAGCGCGTGTTCGGTGCCGGTGGCATCTACTCCTGGACCAACTGGTTCTGGTTCATTGGTGCCGCTTGTCCAACCATCCAGTACTTCGTCGCCAGGCGCTACCCCCGCTCTTTTGCTCGATATATCATCTGGCCCGCCATCTTCAGTGCTTGCGGCCTTGTTCCTCCCGCTACCCTTTACTACCTTCTTCCTTGGGTCATTGTTGGCGTCATTTTCAACGGCTTCATCCGACGCTATTTCTTTGGCTGGTGGTGTAAGTTGGCTCTTCCATGTCTGGAAATACGAGTAATCCTTGCTAAACATTTGCCACAGCTCAGTACAACTTTGTTCTCTCCGGCGCACTGGATATCGGCTCGCGTCTCTGCGTCGTTATCGTCGCCCTCGCCCTTGGTCTAAGTGGTAAGAACTTCCCTGACTGGTGGGGAAATCTTGTTTACACCGAGACATTGGATTACACGAGGAAGGCCGTTACGAGGAAATTTATTCCCAATGTTACGGAGCCCATCGGCCCGTCATCATGGTAGTTTATTGTATATAGCATTTGCGGCGGGGTATTAGCGACATTCGTCATGATGTTCATTACTGATTCGAATGACCTATGTAGCTGGCCTACAGTGCAATGAATAATATGAAGCGTTTTGTTCCGTCTTGCTTACTCTAGGCCTGTGTTGTATAATATGCCTTTTGAAATGGAGATTTTTTATACGCCTGGCAGGTGTATTTGCGGAAGCCGACATTTCCAAATTGATGTGTAGTAGTTGACGGCTGTTTTTAGTTGGTGGTAGAGGCAGTAGGCCCGGATGGACATGTACGCACTCAGTCAGGTCTTGCAACCTATTTAGACAGAAGACTTCGATACCGCTTCCCAGTGTCTTGTGGCTCAGACCGTGCCTAAAAGACGGTGCTGGAATCACTTCACACACTCCCACTGTGCTCCGGGTCACGTCTCATTGAATCAGCCCCAGCTACGTCAACTTATACACCCCTTCCTGGCACTCATCAACAGACAACACCCGTCTCATCCACCCGATCTCTTCCACAACATCATTTTCCAACTCCTCCCCTGTCGGCAAAAGCTCTACAAAGCTCCGTATTCGGAGACCAACTTTGAGCACGGCACCCAAATAAGTCGTCAACGTGCGATGCTGCTTCATAACCCCTGGCTAGCCACTCCACAATCCACTCGCCCTCCTTGTAGTAATGATTCGAATTCCAGGACTTGTCCCTCGTGGCAGGGTCAGTCATCACTACCGGCGCATTTGGCGCAGTGTAGGTTGGACCGTATTGTATGCGACAGACCATCTGGAACGAGATTCGGCTAGACCAGAAAGGAATAACGAACACAGATGACCACTATACAATGCCCTGCCTCCTCAGCGGTCTTCTGCAAGTAATTTTATGCTTTATATCCGAAAAGTATGGAATCACGTCGCGCCTAACCAAGAGAAGCGAAGCGTGGATATCGTCAAGAGCAACAACAGACTTCATGATGCTGAATGCAACCCGTTATGCTCGCCCCGCTTGAGCTGAAAACACTTGGTACACTCCTGGCAAGCCTCGCTTCGGGTGGTGGCAATGAGTTCTTGCCGTATAGCCACCGAACATGCAGTGCTCCACGGCCTCAAGTCTAGTGGAAATGGAGAGGTCGTGAAATCATCTTTTCACATACCTAGCCGCCAGCGTCCCCCAGCACAATGATGGCTGTACCATGATTGCTGCAAATGGACGCGACGGGGCAGGAAAAACCGTCTTCGCCAACGACTTGGCCGTGGACCGTATTGTGGACGAGGAGGCCGAACTCGTGGCTGAGCCGTATCATCGACGGCGTATTTCACCAGCCGGAGCTTGCCAGCTCGTGGAACATGTCTATCTTTCTGCATGTTTCTGCCCAAGTTTGCGCGAATAGGATGCTTGTTCACGATGCGCCGGAGCTGGTTCCGACGGAGAGGTATTCTGGAGGGCAGAAGATGTATTTGGAGGGGGGCGGAAAGCAAGGTCGATTTCGTAGTAGACAACTCTGACTTTTCTGTTGCGATGTTGATGAGATCGGTGTCGTAATATTGGAAGCATATTTGTATTCTGATGAAAAGCAACGCTAGTGATGTGAAGAAAGTGTTGCATATGCAGTCGTATTTTCTGGTGTAATTTGCATCAACTTTGTCCTTTGAAGTTTTGGTACAAGTAGGCGACATGGACAAGATTCTTAATTGCAGGGGAAACACTATCTCTTGGGACTATTCTAAACTTCAAAACGGTGAATTTCACGGGTCCTTGAGCCTGCGGCCGGAGTGAAGCCATCGTGACGCAACCAAGCTGGGTGTTACAAGAACTCCGCAACAGAATCGACAATCGTAGCAAGCTGCCTATTTAGCACAATACTATGCACAGAGCAGCACAATTTCTACGCTGACACCTAATGTATTCCCTTTGGCAGTGGTGACTTGTTACGAATCTGCCAAAAGTGGAGGACCTCCTACAGATGGAGATCGTATTGCGGTATATATATCGGTCGGTGCCTCATGACATGACTCTCCTCGCTCATGCCCGACCCGTCTCACCCCTGCCTGGCCCACTTGGATTCGTCGCACAATGACGAGATGATTATGGTGGAATAATCGTGGCGGGATGGAAACGCGGACATGTTTTGCTCCTAGAAGAATGCGGCGCGGGGGGAAAGTCACTGCAGTGGCCTTTTTTCCCGATGATCCAAGTTATAAGGAAGAGCCTTCCGGTACACTAAATCATCAGTCTGAACTCCAATATGCCGACCAAGTAGGCCAGAAAGGCAGAGCGATTCTTATCGGGCTTGGCCCGGTGTCGTGCAACAGCGATGATGGAGGAATGACACCCGGAGCCCACCTTGGTCTCGGTCGTACAGTTCCTCACCGCGCTTCGTCCAGACTCATCTCTCAGTTGTCACATTTAAACATGCGATACAGACTTGGCGTCTTCGTCTGCCTTTACTTAATTTCTTAAAAAACAGGTTTCGCCAGGCTGAATCCCTGAGCTTCTTGTCTCAACACCACGGCAGCATCCTGCCACTGCATGCCCTCATTTGTACCACCATGCATCGGCGGCCGTCTAATCTCGCGCGTACGCTCAAGCCCAGGGGCGTTGTTTTGCAAAACACTCACGACAGAGATAATTGCAACATCCCCATGGACCAATGGAACGGAATTATCGACCACTTGCCCGGCGAGGTCCTTTGTTGACTGAAGCTCAACATGGGTTGAATGGCGCCCCCGCCATACGTCCAGTTCGCTCCCAGAATCCTGACAGCCGGACAGGACGCGTATCCATGGTACAAATGCAGCAGGCCTCGCTTCCACTCGTCTGAGTTCCTTTTCAAACGCACTGGTCATGCGGATTGGAAAACTTGGCGACATGAAGATCCTCATCCTCGGCGGGACCAAGTTTGCCGGCCTTCACGCGGCTCGGGAAGCCGTCTCCAAGGGCCACCACGTCACTCTCTTCAATCGTGGAACGCGCCCGGCCCCAGATGGAGTTGCCAGCAGGGTCGGCGACCGTCTCCTCCCCAACGGGTACGATTCCCTGCAAGGCCTGACATTCGACGTTGTCATTGATACGTGGTCCTCAAGTCCGGCCGGTATCAAGAGCGCCGTGGAAGCACTCCGCGACCGCGTCCGTCACTATGTGTACATTTCGACTATAAGCGTGTACGACTTTGAAAGGGGCAACGCTCCGTACAGCGAGTCCACGCCGTTGTTTGACCCCGGCGAGACCGACAACCAGTACATCAGGGACAAGGTACAAGGGGAGTCCATCGTCTCCGGCTCGGGGCTGCCTCACACCATCATCAGGCCTGGCGTCATTCTCGGGCCGGCAGAATGGCTATGGCGCCTGCCATGGTGGCTGCTGCGAATGAAGCGCGGCGGCGTGACCCTGGCACCAGGTCCCAGGGACTTGGGGCTGCAGTTCATCGACGTTCGGGACTTGGCCAAGTTTGCCATCTTGGCCGCCGAGGAGCAGCTCGACGGACCGTACAATCTCGTCTCGGAAATGGGGCACGTGTCTTTCGGCGATTTTCTCGACGCCGCCAACACCGTCGCCGGGGGGCGTGCGGAGCTTTGCTGGATGGAGGCTCAGAGGGTCGTGGACGCCGGCGTCGCACCGTGGGTGGAATTGCCATTGTGGTTGCCGCCGGCTGACTTGTCCGTGTACTCGTGCGACGTGCGCAAGGCCCTCGGGGCCGGGCTGACGGTGCGGCCGGCAAGGGAGACGATTGTCGATACGTGGAAATGGGTGGCGTCGCTGAAGAAGCTGCCGAGCACCGCAAAAGTCGGGCTGTGTCCGACAAAGGAGAAGCAGGTGTTGGACGGGTGTTGCTAGGGCGAGGGAGCAGAGACACGATACACACGTCGGACGGCAACCATTGGTTACGGATACGAGCAGCTTTTTTGACTATATACGACGTGACTGTTCAAGACTTGCGCGGTGATGTTATGTACAATGGGGAGAGCTGGGGCGCGTCATCTCTGCGCTCTTGTACCTGCTCGTGAGCTGATGACATGTAGAGACTAAGAGTTGTCAACTAACCCCTAAACAGGCCGTGGCGAGTCCCGTCAACGACATGTGAAGAATGGCTAGTCTGAATCTTGTAGAACTGAACCGTGGTAGGAACATCCTTTTGGTTGTAGTTGCCCGCCTTGAAGTAGCTCTTGGGAGCATCCAAGTTGTAGGTGCTCAGCGTCTTGAAGGCCTTGCCGTTGATGCTGACAGACAGCTTGTTGCCCTCGTAGCGAATCTCGTAGCTGAATCGCTGACCCTTGGGCACGTTGTCAATCGGGGTGCGTTTCTGGGTGCATGTCCGGCACGTGTTGACGCCCATGGACAAACCTCCCCTGGCGTTGTAGTATAGCTCCGCGACGGGCTTGGTCGAGATGGAATCGTCAATGTGGATCTGGCCGATGCAAATCTCTCCGTCGTTCTGGGTGACCTTGAGCTCGCCAACCAGGCGGTTCGTCTTGGCTCTGGGGTTCCAGGAGGCGGGCTTGACCTCGCGGAGTTCGGTGCGGCAGTGCTTGCTGTTGGGCGTGGTGACGCACTTGCCAGACGAGGGCCCTCCGGGCACCTTCATGACGAGCGCGTCGTCTTGCATGTAGAAGAATTCGCTCGAGTAGCCGTCGCAGAGCTCCGAGGGCGAGATCTCCGTGGGGTGGCCCGGGGTGCCTGTGGGAAGCTGGAGTTTCCATTTAGACAGATCCAGGTTGCCGCTGCCGCATGTTGCCCGGGTTCCTTGCGTTGCGACAGCGGCGGCGTGCGCGACCAAGAAGATGGTGGCCATGGCGGCGGCGTTGAATGAGAGGTGCATCTTGACGGTGTTGTAAAAGGATGGTGTTTATGGGGGGGTTAGTTGAAGGGGTTGCCGTTGCCGGTGGTATAAATATACATGGAATCACGGAGTACCGGCTTCTTATATAGAATCTAGATGTAAGCCACACAAGCCTGCGACATGCCAAAAAAAGAAATCCACCTGTCAGAGTAGATTATTCCATGAGACTGCAGACAAGTAGGCAAACAAAACGCCTCGCTTGATGCCGGGACTCGGCACTTGCAACTTGTCAGACGGCCGTGCCGTGTGTGGCTCAATCATGCCGAAAGGCTAGCATGTACGTAGACGAGTCTGAAATTTCAGACGCCCACTTGTAAACCAGCCTTGAATCTGGACTCTGGGTGAGACTGGTGTCACAATCATAGTCGGCAGACCCGGTAGCATGCGTCTTGCCCAACATGTACTGGGAGGAGTAGGCTATTTCATGTGCCACTGGGTGTAAAACTTACATAACTGAAGAAACTTTGACTGTGTGGGCCGTGATTCGAGACGCGGCAATAACTTGCTTCAGAACCAACCTTCTTTGATGCCGTTTTCATCAACTTGATTCCGGCAAGCCTCCAGACCGGGTGGGAGATTGTACCCGATGCCAATTTCCTCTTGCCTTTGGAGATTCAACGTCGCTCGTTGGTGGGAAAATGGAGCTGCACGGGTTATGGTACATCGCCACCCCATTTGTGGTAGCGCTGACCTAGAAGCCAGAATTCGACTCTAAATGACCACAGTGGCATGGTGTTGGGTGTCTACGTAAGGGACCAATTCGGGTAGTTTCCAAGAACTTTCGGTCTTGTACTATTGAACTCAAGGGCGCACCAAGCTACACTTATATGTCTGCTGAGGGTACGTACGTTTTGATGCAAGTACCATGCCCAAAAGCGCGAATAGGCGAAATGGGCTAGATCACTGCATAACTGGCCGGGTCCATTACTAATAGTGGCTGTTTCTAGCATGGTCGCTTAAAGCTATTCAACTAACAAGAAATAGTTTAATCTAGTACTGTCTAGCTAGCAAGCTACTATTTATCCTATAGAGCCTCAAGCTAGGGCTTTAGGGTTAGAGCAACGTTGTTCTGCGTATGTTACATCCCAGCATAGACAAACTCATAGTACTCAATAAAAAACACTACAAGAGTTGGTAGGGTTGCAATTCTTGGCGTATTACTATCCTGTGGCTTAACGGTATAGCGGACTGTAATAGCACGTAGCGGCCGAGTGTTCAATCTTGTAGCTACTCGATCCCCTTTCGTTATGAAAGATGATTCGTGTACCACGCCTTGGCGGCATTGCCCCGTTTACTCAAGGATTTTCATGGCAACAACGGGCAGACCTAGACTCACTTTGACTGCAGCATTGCTCAAGCCCGCCATCGCCCAAGACTAGATACTGCATATAGTAGCTCCTCCTTGTTAGTGACGTATTTCCTGCTTTGCATGCGCTTCTACACATGCACTTGGCTGCAGCGGGAAAAGGCTTTGCAAAGGATCGCAAGCATTTCCTGCGCGATGTGACTATGGGTAAACTTACCACCCCGAAACACAACTTACCCCATGTGACGCGTGTGGTGGACATTCTACACTCAAACTTGTCTGCTTTATTTGCGTCTTTGATTGACTGTTGAGGCGCGTACCATTTGCGGCTACGTCATGAATAAAGCCTACAGATTCTGTCTATATCAGACGTTCATTTGTCCCAACTTGGCCCTGATTGAGACAGGCAGTGGGAGATCCACTACCAACTGTAGCGCTTCCAGTTACGATACCTCTGGAACACTCCGAGGAAAGGGAATATTCATCTCGTACAGCCACGAGCCTACAAGTTGCTAGTAGCAAGTGTCTGGTGACGTGGATATGTTCTTCCAGAGAGTCACCTGTCGTGGAACTTGTAGTCCGAGGTAATGGAGCCTGGACTGGTAGCAACATCACCAATCAACCCAATTGATGAACATTTCGGAGCCATGCCTGGGTATGGCTTGCCTCATTCAACCCGTCTTTTGGAAAACAGCAGAAGCATACGCGCCACATGCCGAGCCCGGCCACACTAATGTCACGTAGTGATATTCCACAGTACGTAGCCCTGTGCCATCCATCGAGGACCCCGAGTCAAGTTGATGGGAAACTGCGACGTGCTGCAGGCAGCATGCATGGGATTACAGGATAATCACACAACTACACCCAATATCAGAACATATTTTCTTCTATAGTACATACAAGAGACAAAACACCTAATATTCTGAACAATCTCCCCTATTACGTTACCATCCGGCCAGGGTGCTCTGCCTGATATTATCTCATGTAATCTATTGATCATTACATAGCACTTGCGACAATGTGCTTCGATTAGTATGACTAAAGGGAATAGAGATAGTGACCCTCCTCACATGGCAGTAATTTGTCAGCTTCATCGGTGCGCACTACCCTACGACACGGAATTCTTCCTGCTTATGGTTCTGCTGCAAGTAAAATAAACGCACAATCCGCTATGCGTCGGACATGCAAAAGACTGTTCAAAAGACTGCCCGGCCATTGGAAAGTCGACACAGCCAAGGAATCGTCAAGCAACCGCATCCACCATCTCCCTCGGCGTAGGAAACCCAAAGTCCAAGGTGATGCCGTCCCGCAGACCCTCTACCTTACCACCCATGACCTTGCGGTTTCGGAGCTGAGTTTTGGGATAGGGGATAACTATTATTATCTACCGCCTTCAAAAGACGGGGTATAGTTGGTGTCATTACATTGACTACATGATATCTGCGCCCCCTGCTAATGTTCTCTGGAACTTTGGCGCTTTCAACCTAGCGAGTTCCGTGCTTTGTCCAGGCATGAAATTACATCACTTGCGTAAAGCTAATCGCAATGAATTGATTCGGCCACGCTCTCCATTGCAAATGCTCTCATCGACTCGAATACCGAGAGGGAGTTGAATGCCATTGGTCGATTGTCTAGGTGAATGTTCATCGCTGCTCACGACTAATCGTCTGGACTCTGGGCCCAAGGTCAAGTCCAGGGCCTGAATAATGTCACACAAAAAACGGACGTGGCCACGCCACAGTATTTTGTGTGTTATACCCTCTTATATTCTCTGCGACAAATAACTACACTCGGGCAACGTAGTAATACCATTGACAACATATTTTGCATCACCACATTCGCACTCTGCCTTCTGCCAGCCGTGAGACGCACAGAGTTGCCGTCATTGCCTCTATTGAGGATCCACGACAAGGCCCTCATTGGAGTTCTACTCGGCCGCCCCTGCGACGAATCGAATGCCTGTATTAATTCCACGGAAGGCCATGGAACACCGCAACCATGCCAGGCGCAAGCGCAGAGATCGAGATGCGGCCCCCAACCCGGGCCCCGGCAAATTATTCTTCATAAGTGACCGGCATCTCTGCCTGACAAATACGTCTCAAGCTGGTGGGGTCTGACTAACCGAGCCATCCAAAACTCCAATGGAAAAGCCCAAAACTCCGTTCCCCTCCAACGGGTCGAAAAGTGGGTCCAAGCTGGGCGTCCAAAACCTCTCCGCCCGTGGATCGACGAGGATAGTCAGTCTTATTAACCTGCCACTGCGGTTTTCTTCATCTCCCTGTGGCGGACTTTTCTTCGGATTAGTCCGAGTCGGGGGAATCTACAGAAGCGGAAAGCCAGATTAGAAATCGATGCGGATGTTGCGTCTGTTCATCGAGACGAATGCGGAGGATAAATAGACTTTGATGACGCCATGTTTTTTTCCAACAGAACACTGAAACCCTACTCTTCGTTCTCACATCCCAAGAGCTTGTCTCGCGCACCCTGTTCCTCAGTGAGCACTTGAGCACTATCTCGTCACAATGGTCTCCAACAAGACTCTGGTCTACAAGCAGGTCCCCAAGGGCCTCCCCGTCCCCGGCCAGGACCTCGTCATTGAAACGCGCGAAATCGACCTCGAGAACCCCCCCAAGGGCGGTCTCATTGTCGAGATTCTCTATGCCTCGTTCGACCCCTACCTGCGCCCCAAGATGCGCGACCCCAGCATCAAGTCGTACTCGCCGGCCTTTGAGCCCAACGACCCCATTGTCAACGACACCGTCGCCAAGGTCGTCAAGAGCGACAGCCCCGACTTCAACGCAGGCGACATTGTCAAGGCCTACGCCCCCCTTGCCGAGTACGCCGCCATCGCCGACGTCAAGGGCCAGCGCGTCGGCAAGCTGCACAACCCCTACAACCTGGACCTGGCCCTCTTCACCGGCGCCCTGGGCATGCCCGGCCTCACGGCCTGGTCCAGCCTGCACAAGATTGGAAAGCCCAAAAAGGGAGAAACAATCTTCGTCTCGTCGGCCGCCGGCGCCGTCGGCCAGCTGGTTGGCCAGATCGCCAAGAAGGAGGGGTTGACCGTCATTGGATCCGTCGGCTCGGACGAGAAGCTCGACTTCATCACCAACGAGCTCGGCTTCGACGCCGGCTTCAATTACAAGAAGGAGAAGCCGGGCGATGCCTTGAAGCGCCTCGCCCCCCGCGGCATTGACATTTACTACGAGAATGTCGGCGGCGAGCACCTCGAGGCGGCTCTCGATAGCCTCAATGACTTTGGACGAATCGTCGCGTGCGGAATGGCAAGTTTTCTCGGTCTTGGGTCTTGCGACGAAACATGGTTTTGCTAATGTTTTTTTTTTAAATGCAGATCAGCCAGTACAACAACGCCGGCCAGGCGTACGGCATCCGCAACCTGATGCTCGTCGTGGCCAAGCAGCTCACCATGCAGGGCTTCATTGTCAGCAACCCCGAGTTCGGCCCTGCCTACTACCGGGAGCACCAGGAGAAGCTGCAGCAGTGGCTTGCTGACGGCAGCTTCAAGGCCAAAATGTCGTATACCGAGGGCATCGACCACGCTGCCGAGGGACTGGTGGGCATGTTCGACGGCAAGAACTTTGGCAAGGCTGTCTTGCGCATCAAGGCGTGAAATGGGACTTGATTTGGCATGTCACTGGGACGCATGTATTTTATCTATAATCGAAAATGAGACACGATGGACCTTTTTCCCCTGGGAAACAATTTGTCGCTGGTCTTGAGACGATGTGGCAGTTGAGGGTGTTGGCGGAACAGTCATGGCTTGCCGTTTGCTCGCTGCCGCTTTGTATATTCGTTTCTTTTAACTCTTCTTGGAAACTATAGCTCGACACGTCGCCTTGTGGTCTTTGAAATGCGCCACTTGACACGCTCGCCCGCAGTACATGACGGCTTCGCACCTCCCGCACAGCATCAACTGCCCAGGGCCTTTTCCGCAATTCGCACATTGCGCCGGTGCCGGCAACGGGGTTTCGGGGCTGCTTCCGCTTTCAACCGCCGCCAACAGGTTTTTGGCTCTCTTTTTCGCCAACCTTAGTACGCGCTGTTCGCCCAAGCTAACGTGTGCCGCTGCCCATGCGTTTCCTCCTGAGGGGTAGATGCCCTTGGCGAGTTGTTCTTCGAGTTTCTCTAGTTGAGTTCCGAAACTGTCCAGGAGACTAGTGATGGACTCTACCAGGAACTGCAGGACCTGCACTTCGTTGGAATTGCTAATTTTCTCAAATGCAGTATCAGTATTACTTTGTTGAAGATTTATTACAGCAAGATCCGATTCGTCTAGTCGCTGAATCCGTAAATAACAAAGGACACTTTTCGGCAGCGGATTCGCAAGAGTAAGGGAGATGGTGCATGTCGCATCAAGCCCAGCTAATGCCCAGAGCTTTTGCTTTTGCTCGAAAAACGGCGCCATGGGATGCGTTGCAAGAACGAGATCATAGCTGTCGTTTGGATTGTCGGGTATAACAAAACCATACAGCCGTAAAAGACGACTATTGGGAATAGAACCATAATGGATATAAACCTGGGTAAAAACGCAAGGTAAGTGACATGAACAAGTGCCAAGGAACAAGGCACATACCTGGTCCCCGGCTTCGTAGTCCTTACCCGCAAGGATAGACAGGTTTCCAGTCGACGCATCGTACACGTGGCACTGCTTAGACTCGGACGAGTGGTTCAACATATCCGCAAAGGGCGCCAACAGACGCATCGAACTCCCGTCATACAGCTCGAAATCCATGGCACGACTCCACACGGTGCAGAGAGCCCACTTGTACTGAACTGCGGTTAGTGGCTGCATCGCAACAATCACACGCGGCGCCTACATGGTGAATGGTGAATTTGTTGAGCGGGAAGAGATCGGGACGCGGCCCGAGCACTCGCGCGATCAAGTCCTTGTAGTCATCTTCTATCCGTTGCTTTAGCTGCTTCGTGATGGTGTATAGTGATGTGCCGGCGCAGACTTCCAGCTCATCCTCTGTAAAGAAGATGCTTGAGGAGTAGCTCGTAGGTAACGCGGCCACATGGCTTCGCGGGCCGTTATAGCCCGACTCGCGCGACCGGACAAAGAGGACATATACAGCCAAGGTGTCTTCGACTGTCAAGGGTGGCCGCGCAGAACGAAGAGCTGGCCCGAGAAGCGAATCGGCCTGCGCGTGTTGAACGGTCCAGTGAAGGGCGCTTGGGATGGTGAGAATCCGCTCGCCTTGCTTGAAGCGCCGCCGCGCTTTTACGCCCCGCCCGGTAACGGGGAAGTCGGCAACCTCTAGGCCGTCTAGGCCTACGGCTCCGGATTGTTCTAGCCACGTTTCCATGGGAATTGGATATGGGAGAGTGGATGCGAAGTGTCCATCATGGAACGAACGATTCGAGGCCCGCCTGCCTCCATGTCGTTTTTTTGGTGGGGAGCTGATGCCCGCACTGGGCCCTTTTGGGAACAAACTCCACCTTTTTGAGGATTTCTATTGGACGACCTGTTATCCTGGGCAATACTCAGTGTGAGATGATGTGTTCATGACTTATGACTACATTTGTACATCAGTTATTGTTGTGTCTTATGCCAGCTGCACTGCCAAAAGTGGAGGAGCCTCCGGCAATGCAGGTCTCTTGATCGCTCTTTATGTAGTACAACTATGACTACCAGGGGCTTGCACCATCAACCCTTTGTTGGATGGAAGGAACAGCGCCGTTGCGTATAAACAAGGGCATCTCAAAGGCCCACCCCGGACATGATTCGGGGTTTGTCTCCCTGTTCTTTTCGTGTATTGCATCTGAATGGATGATGTATGCCTGTATTTGCATAGTTGAGCATCCATGTCCAAGTTGTAGCTGTGACAGGACAAACCACGCGCTGAACAAACCATAGAATACATTATGAACTGGTCGTCATCGTGCCCGAGAGCGGGAAATGTGACGTTGGAAGCTTGTTATTATCCCTTCAGGTTCCTTTTGCTTCAAGGTGAGTCCTTTGTATAGCTCTGGTATGTTGTCAATTCAGCGAAACATGGCAGCTAGCGGGCCGACCCTGAACAAAGGCCATGTAGGTTCATTCCATGTTCAGATTCTGGAGAAAAATGGAGGCTGAACAGTCGAACAACAGGCCTTTTTTTGGTTTCCCTCGCGTCTGACTGAAAAGCAATTAGTGTCCCCGCGTCAGAGTACAAATAGTGCCTGCAGACCGTCAAGCTGCATTCGCCACCAAGCAAGCCGTAGCCTCACGATCAAACTCCGGCCAGCACAACACTTTACTGCCATCACTATAACAATCACATGTGCGGGAAAGATATCACGTTGCCTACTGCACAACTTGAAACATAAAGGTCTATGAACTATATGGGTCTAGCCGTCGGTGCAAAGAGGCAGAGAAGAGAGGTAAATCGCCAAAAAGATGCGGTGGACAGCTTGTGCAACAAATGCAATGAACCTGACCGATGTATAGAACATTTACGAATCTAAAGCAGTGATTCATCTATCGCAACTATATATAACATCCGTGGCCCTGCTGAGTGGCAGTCATCTCATCAACTCAGATACATCCTCACGACCAACTCTGCCAACAAAACACTTCACTGCGATTACCATGAACATCAACCTGTGCAAGTATAGGGCTCGTATTAACTGCGATGAGTGCAAGACGCTTATTACCTCAATGCTTTATACATATACATGTGAAGAGGCTCAGAAGAATGCCGGATGGGAACTTGCACCGAGGGGGGCTCCCCAGAGGCAGAGGCGACGACCCGGTGTGACAAATGCAGCAAAAAACGAAAGTTTAATAAGTGCCAGAATTAGGAGGCGTGAATCCTCGTCTGGTGAATATATAAGACCCGTGGCATGCCCTGTTTCAGCCATGCCACCCAGCGTGCTATTTCCTCTCTCATACCTGGGCCAAAAAAATAACAATCAAATACACAAAAAGACGAGCAAACAGACACAGTTTACGACAATCACCACAAACATCAACATGTGCGAGATTCAGACGACTATTGAGCGCTGCCCAAAGTGCAAAACAGATACACGCGAGGTCGAGCAAAAACATTGGTGCCAAGAGGCTAAGCAAAATGGACAATTTAGAAAATGCAAGACAAGCATGAAGGAAAAAACCGAGATCACTTGGAAACCCCACCGATCGTGTCAAGTAATTAACCTTGGACCTGGTCCGAGCATTGGAATTGGCAACTTCTCTTCCTTTGACGCCGATGCGGGCATTCGAATTGGCAGCCTCTCTGACCATGAAGCCGATGCGATCGATGAAGCTTTCAGGAACATGGAGCGCCATGCTGATTCGCTCCGCCACATTGGCAAAGACTTCCCCAGCAGAGCTGACTTCGATGCGTTTCGTCAATTTGGCGAAAATATGGTCCGTGAAGGCGAGGCGCTCAGTCGACTTGGCAGAGACATTGCCCGCGGGCACAACAAGAAAGGGAAGGGCAAGGAGCGGATGCCCTAACTCCTCATCTCGCGACTTCACAACGCAGACGGTCGAACCGAAGGAACACACTGCTGCTGCACAATGTGAGCGGCAAACACACTTCTCTTGTGAAGCGGGCGGATCAACCGGAGCTATGACAAAGGATGGTGATATAAGCCGGGATTTGCGGGGGATTAGATGCCGTGCAGGATTTCTTTGAGTATTTTTTTTTTAAATGTCATTTTTTTTTTTCGTCTTTGTTTTTCTTTATCAAAGACTTTGTTTGATGGACTTGGAATAGAGTATTGCGTTTTGAGAACAGCTGCCGCGATGCGCATCATTAGATAGTATACAATGGGATCGGTGGAATTGCCCCATCCACCCAACCCTGAAATAGTTGAACTTGAACATGATCAGTTTTAAGTCTGTGAAGGAAGTGCCTTGGATACATGTCGTACTTGCTATGCCTCAGGCTGGCCGACGATACAACATAAGTCTAGTCAATTTGAGATTATTCATACTGTTTCTCAGTAATTACCTATTCATCAGATGCCGACCTCTGTCTTTGAAGGGCTCAACTGAGCGCTGCCTCTGAAGCAAGGTTGTAAACCTTCCGACTCTTAGCTGGCATGTGCCATGTACTTTTTGGTCAAGGAGCGACATTGACACCAGGGGCTTTACGGATTCTTTCCTTCCTCGACACTTGCCAAGTTTTCTTCACAGAGACGTTTGGACAAGAATCCCAAGTCAGTCACGCATTTGCGATGCATTCAAGGTCTATGCTAAAGCTGACAAAGTGACACCACCAGTCCGCATAAAAGTCACCAGCGGGAAAATCTGCCTATCCTGTGAACCGTGTGGTCCAGATATTCATGCATCATGCACGGCGAAGTCTTTTTTATCGCCCACTCTATCCCAGGTATCCAAACGATGCAGTTCCACGTACCCCGACCTTCACTGTCAACGAGATCTGGCATTACGTTCGAGCACAGCTTATAGCGGATAAGGTGCGATTGGAAAGGCTGAAAGGGCATGGATCGCTGAGGCTCCTGGCTCAATATAGAAGCTAGAAACGGGCCTTCTGGGAGCAGTGTCACTTGGAAGCCCTTCCATCGTGGCAGTACGATCCCTTCAAAGATGGTGCGCGACGTAGTGACAACCAAGAAACCAAGGGCATATCCCTATCTTGGCTTGCCCAGTCAAGGAACAACAAAGATGATCAACAGTCAACAGACAGCGAAGATGACCGAAGTGTTGAGACTTCTTCAACTGTGTCAGCTGAAGTTGGAAGTGTTTTTTGGTTGGCCGCCAAACGATATCCGGTATACGGTGTTATCATCTATGTAGCCTGAAATCCTGAGCATCTCAATCAAGGCGGGGACCATGCCGAAAGAAGCCTTGGAGATTGTAATCTCGAGGGTCGGACCTTGCCAATTAGCTCGACACCAGCCATCGCCTCCACAGATCTTAATTAGCATTATGAGAAATCATCACCAGTGCACCTTCAGCAATGGACCAGACGATGCGGTTGACGACGACTTCTGGGGTGACGTCGAGAGGTTAATTCCCAGTTCCATGTCAATGCTCGCAAGCTTATCCACCCACAGGGCAATTACTACTGGAGGAGCTTTTCTCAGAAACGAAGTTTACGAATTTTGTGGCCGGCGTCCTTCCAGGGTGGCGGGCTGGCGAAGCAGATGGCAGAGCTGAGGAACTTTACATAACCTCAACACGATGGGGGAAGGAACTTGAAGAAGCCGGCTTTGAAGGGCTGGGTAGTTTCGCATTCCACAGCAGGGGTCAATTACAGGAAAATCACCCATCTTATATGGGACGCGGGTGCAGTTTCAAGGCAAAGTCAAGGGCTACGATGTCAATGTTCAAGTTATTTATGGCAAAGTGCAGCGAGATATGGACGTGTTGGTTGTCGTGGACACGGTTTCGCCTTTTTCTATTCATTGTCTGGTCCTGGGTTCTAGGCCTTATAATCCCTATTAGAAGCTAAATAAAAAGATTCTTAACTTATGTCATAAACCAACTTGAATATTATTTATAGCCCGAGTCTCCACTCTGATTTGGCAACCCTCCAAACAATATCTAGATATTGTGCGTCCATGTTTGAGTTGACGGTGTGAGTCGCCGGCGCAAGCTATATCTCTGATATGTCAATTACTCCACGCAGTTAGTGGCCGAGTCTATCACGAGATAGCCTTTACCGTCGCGCGCTATAATAAATCACTAATTCAGCTAGTGTGTTTGACGTATCGTGATGGCGTGTAATTACAGTATATTGCATGTTGAGATACGGTTCCCTGGCCTAGATACGGCCAAAATACAGTATTACTAGATGCCCTTATCTAGCCCTTTTTTTTTTGTTTTTAAACTATTTTTAATAATGTCTAGTCTAATAGTTCTACCTACGGCTATTAACTTTAATCATAACATCATCCTCTAGATGAAGAGCAATATGATCCTTCCAGCGGAGAGTGGATTGGTCGGTGTTATGCAAGCTCATGTCGAAGCGGCGAAAAAGATTCCCAAGAAAGACATATGCCTCCATGTAAGAGAGATACATCCCCACGCACATCCGAGGTCCCTTGCCAAAAGGAATTAGGTTTGCCTTGTATACCTGTGCATTGTCCCCTAGCCATCTTTCTGGCATGAAGGCGTCGGGTTCGGGAAAGAGGTCAGGGTCGTAGTGGATCATACGTTGCGCGGTCGAGACGGAGGTCTAATTGGAGATTGTATTAGCGATTACTTGTCCCAAGTCCAATCATTTACGACATTAGGACTTACTCCTGCCGGCAGGAAGTACTTGCTGTATGTAGTCCCTCCAGCTGGCACAAGGCGGGTAAGAATACCGGGAGCCGGGGACGATATGCGGAGAGTTTCTTGTATTATAGCAGTCTGGAAAAAACGCCGCAGGTTAGAGACTCGACATGACGGGCTGGCATTCCTGGGTGTTCACTAACCAGATAGGGCAAATTGACCAGGTTTTGGTACTCCATCAACCCATCATTGTTCGTCTCCACCTTGTCAAGTTCATCCAGCAGCTTCTTCTGGACCTCGGGACTCTTCAAGATACACCATATGCCGTAAGTTATAGTCGTCACCGTAGTCTCAGTACCCCCAATAACAAGGGAAAATGCCTCGTCCACATCCTTTGGTTGTGCGCTGAGGCTCGGCCTCAAGTATGGCGTCAAAGACAGTCTGCCGACCAGACTCGTCTCTATATACGCCATTTTGATGTCTCTCGCGGACCTCGGCGACCCACTGGGCACATTGCTGCGGAATGAGGAGTAAGCCGTGCCCCTAATTATAGACCTAGTTCTAGAAAGTTGTATTTAGGTACCAACTCACCTGGCGAAACTCGACGAAACCCGGGAGAATGCGCGCCAAGATTGGGTTGGGAAACGATTGCATAGTAGTCCCGAGTATAGGGAAATGCTTGATAAGACAAAAGCTGCGGGTCAGAGTTATCATGCAGTTAACGAGGGCGGTAGTTTCTTTTGTTCCTTTAGTGCAGTTCATATCCCTGCCAAAGCATAATTTCATTATAATGTCCATCTATAGAGTCTATTAGCACGTCCAGGGCAGACCAAGGATGGGACCTCGTATTCTTGTACCGCAAAATTCGATTCCAGCGTCTTTAGGCTCACGGGAAGTCCGGAGTCATGTGCTTCTTCTACTTTTCCCAGGGCAGCCTTGATAATTTGAAGAGCGGCTGGCGAGAACTCTTGGATAGAGCGAGGGGAGAACATGGGGCCTACAATGGCGCGGCGTATTTTATGCGCCGCGGGCTCCATGATGAACGGTAGTGCGTCAAGCTCGCCGGCAAACTTAAACAGAGCAGGCTCCTTAAGATACTTAGTTCTGGTAGAGTATACCCTGGCCGAGGTGTGTAGTCAGCGTGGAAAATCGTCAGAGCCGAGGTGGTTTTTGTGCACCCACTTATGGTAGAAGGCTGAGTCGTTAATATGGACTCTGTTCGGGCTCACGCGCACAATGGGACCTGCCCTGTGGTTAGTCCTCAGAAAATATTAAATTTCAGAGAGGAAGACTGTACCGTATTGCGCATGTAATCGAGGATATTCCTTGAGGTAATGCCCGTCAAGGATGACGTCTTGATAGAACTCATACCAACTGGTTGCCGCCGCCACCTTGGGTCCCGGCACATTCCTGAGTGGGTGTAGAAAGAGACGATGGAGCACGAGGCAGAACCAATAGGCTGTAAAACCTGCTACAGTCCAGATTAACAGGTGGACCATATTCCACCAGACGGGGGTGGCCGGCAAGCCACGCGCTGAAAGAGAGCCAAGACTCGACATAGCCTCACGCGGGATGGTGAGTTCGAGGAATCGCGTCACTTCGGTGGCCTGTGTTTTTCTTTTCAGGTTGCTGTTGTGGTTGAGTAGTGCCTGAGTCAATTTTATGAAGACGAATGTCAAGGGCAAAAACGCCAAGGCACCCCAAGGACCTTGAGAGAAAACCAAGGATCGTCGATGTCAAAGCAAATTGTTAGCTAAAAAGGACTCTCGTTCTAAGCACTTAAAAACTGAGCCCTTGTCACAAATCTTGCCCCAGGTTACCGAGCTATTCCCAGAAATAGAAATGTTCCGGTTTTTATAAAATGTCAAGCAAAAAAAGAAAGCCATCGGAAAATAACTACTCGTGGCGATTAGGTGGCGGAGGTCGGGCAGTCCCAAACCGGAAAATTTCCGATTTGTTGTACCCCGACACCAAATGCTTCTGCTCCCGGCTTACCATACCATTTTTATTTATAAAATCTTGCCGCGTTCGGCGTTAAACGCTGAGCCTATACACCTATCCTAATCCCACTCATTACTTTCCCAACTAACTTCCAAGCTTACCTACCCAATAACCGTCATCTACAGCCGCGGCTCCAGACAGCATGATCAAAAAGTTGACCACACTTAGTAACGGCTGTCCGACGTTGGTTCGTGTCCCGGACATGTTTGGCTCAATCATGTCTGCGGAGGCGATGGTGAACCCGCATCATTTTAAGGTTAAAAGCGCTGCCGACGCCTGGATTGCCGAGTATGCACAAATCTTCTACCGCTAGACAGCCACGGACACTTACGCAAAGGTCTCTCCCACTAGCTATCTTAATATGGAAAAGCACGAGGCAGACAAGAATCGAAAGAGTGACTTTTGCTTCTGTGCTTCTGCCATGGCACCGCATGCGGATGCAGAAGCACTCAGGACTATGGTTGACTGGTTGAATTGGGTATGTTGCACGCCGAAAGACATCTGTTTCTATAGCCCGTAATAGGTAGTCTAATACTGACTTGAGTCATCCGTATTAGATCTTTTACTTCGATGACGGTGATAGCTAACCCTGATGTCTATGTCCCAGTGGTGTTGTATTAGGGCAAGTTGCTGACCCTGTCACCACGTTGACTAGTGTTTGACGAGGGCCACCTCGACCGACATCCAACAGCCGCAGAGAAAGAGATTAATCAGACAATGGCTGTATTGGATGACGACGTGGAGTTGCCAGACCGGGAAGTTCACCCCTTGCGGTATCTGTTTTATACCGTTTGGGACCGTGTTAAGAAGGTATCACTCAAACACATGTGGAACACGAAAGAATTGCGCTGACAGATGGAACGGTGTAGCGAGCATCTCCTGACTTGCAAATGCAATAAAGATCACGCATCGGCGATATTTGGATGGCCTTAAACACCAGGTCGAAGCGACACGTAATTGTAAAGGTCGTGCCCAGACCGAGGACGAATACATGAAAATGCGCAGGCTAACGGTCGGTGGATATGCCTGCATAAGCCTGATCGCGTATGCATTAAATTTACCGCGCAAATACAAGGCCCTTTGAGCTGACAACCGATGTCTCCAGATACGCCCATGATGTCAAGCTGCCACAATTGGCTTTCGAGCACCCATCTGTTCAGGAATGTATGGCAGTCAGCTGCGACCTCGCCTGGATGTGTGTTATTACTGTTTCCGTAGCTGCCTCGAGAACACCCCTTCCCTTCTTGACAACTAGTGAAAAGACTACGAGCTGCGCTGACGAGAGCTGAGTTGCCCGCAGTCACAACGATATTGTCTCTTACAAAAAGGACGTCAAATCCGGCATTGAACACAACTTCATCACAGTCCTAAATAAGAATGGGTTCTCGGTCCAGAAAGCAATGGACAGAGCCGGAGAGCTCCAAGATGAGTCCTACCGTCGGTGGTACGTCGCGTTGGCAAACATGCCGGTGTGGGGAGAAGCGGTTGATCGTGAAGTATTGAAGTACATCGAGGCGTGCCATACTTTTCCACTTGGGGACTTACTCTGGAGCTTTCAGACGGGTCGGTATTTGGGAGCCACGGAGGGCTACCGTCTACATAAGACGCGGCTTCTGGATTTATCGGATCTGGAGTAGACAGTCATCGGAGAAGACCTGAGCACGGGTGAAAAATGCTGCGTTTTGATAGATACTTTTACTAGAATACTACTACTTAGTGTGACAAGGGCTCAAGCCTCAGTGAGGGCTTGGAGCAATAACTCAATTCATGTAATAACAATCTTCGGTATTGAAGGCCCTTGGTTTTTTAGACTCAAGGTCTCTATATGTTAAGAAGTCAGTGAGCGCCAAAGGCATAAGGCAGCTCTGGTCTGAGGTCCGACTTCAGTTCTCGTGATACCTTCCTTGTTATTAACTATATTTCTTTATGAAATATTTATTCTTCTTATTATCCCCCTAGACTCTAGAGACCTAAGAAATTTAAGACTTGAATAATACTACTATCTTGAAGTAACAGCATAATAACTATTATTACTACTTGCTACTCTGGTAGCAAAGCGCTTGTGTGTTTTAATTATCAGAAGGCGTTTTATCCGACAAGACCTGGCCGCTATGCCTGGCACCTTATACACGCAATATAAAAACACGCTAAAGGCTGCATATTATGCATGTTCGGCGTTACGCAGTCCCATTTAACGGCACATCAGGACGTGGCTAAGAACCGATTTTGGCCTTTCGAAAGTCCAGTAGCAACCTGACAATAGACGCATAGCCCCTAGACATAGCCTGCGATAGCGGTGTTCGGCCATAGTTGTCCCTGGAATCGATTTCGACCTTTCCCGTATCTAGTAGAAGTCGGACAATTGCCTCAGAACCTATCGATACGGCATATGATAGCGGCGTCCGGCTATACGTATCCCTCGAATCGACTTCGACGTTTCCCGTGCTTAGTAGCATCCTAATGATAGACTCGTAACCCCTGGACGCGGCTCGCGATAGCGGTGTTCGGCCATCGCTATCCCTCGAATCAATCTCGACCTTGCCTGAGTCTAGCAGAATCCCAGCAATAGACGCATTGCCCCGGGAGAGAGCCCTTGAAAGCGCGCTTTGGCCGAGCCTAGTCTCTACATCTCCATTCGGGTTGTAGATAGAGAGCAACATTCTTGTGACTCCTTCGTGCCCATTCTCTGCCGATAGCACTAATGCCTCACCTATACACCTCGCACCATACTCTAGCGCTTTCTTAGTCGTTTGTTCTTGGCCACGCATAGCAGCCCATTTGAGTGCTGAGCTGTTAGAGTATTGGATATTGCGCCGATATAGAAAATAATCAAGGCAAACAAAGAGCCGCCAGTTTGCTCGAGCTAGCGCATTAATATCTCTCTCAGACTCTAGCGACGCAGCAATAGCTGGAAGAAGTTCGTTTGGTAGACGCAGCATTATAGGCAGGTGTAAGTAATAGGTTGCGACTTGGTTTAATAAGTGGAGTAATTTAAGTTCAATGTAGCCGTTAGCGACTAAATAGACAAGAGCTAGTAGTTTGGTTTCCTATTAGCTGCTTTAGGTAGAAGGGTATTTCTAGCTTAATGTTTACTCAATCACGCAAGAAGCTACTCGTGGGGGGCAGAAGGTCACGTGGATTCACACAGGTGCCTTGGTTATATGCATAAGCGCTGTAGCCCACATCGGGCTAAACTATAAATTCTACAATACACACACATCTAGTTTACTATACTCTTACGCGTAATTTTATTATAATGGCGTGAAAAACGCGATAAACCTGTATTTGCGCGTCTTTATTACAGCTAATTAAAGGTATCGTAATATAAGCTACGCACTAAAAACCGTATATAATAAGGTAATCGCAGCTAATTTTTCCCTTCTTTAATAATATTATTTAATATTATTATTTTATTAATATAATTGATTAAGCTTTTTAATAATTTTATTAGGGATATTATTATCTTTTAATTATTAAAATAACTGCTTTTATTCTCTTTATATATTATTATAATAACTTTATTTTTTTCCATATAAAGGGTGTTCCCACTCGAATAAATTATAAGGTATAGAAGTACTAGAATAGCTTACTATAGCTCTAGGGTATATAAGAAATAAATAACCTTATTTTCCCAACCGGTTAAACGCTACTTAAGGCCGCAGCGCTGCTTTTATAAGTAAGTTTATAAAACTCTTATAAATTTTAATAGATTTATATAAATTTAAAAACTCAATTAGATTCTATTATAATTAATTTATTATAATAATTAAAGCTATATAAATACTTATAAAAAGCTTTATAATAAATAAAGTTTAAACGGTTTTAAATCTTTTAAAAGAGAGTTAATTAAGTTAGCTTTAGAAATAAGTATATAGTCGTATCCCTATAATAAAACTTTTCCCCAAGATAACGCCCGAGTTCTGAATCTGGCCCTAGGCGGTTTTTTGTTTGAAGATTACACCAGACATTTCCCCTTTTTTGTGCGTGGAACACACCAAGGGGTGTAAGTTATAGGGCACCCGACCAAATCAGGCTAGTCATGTGGGCTATAGGCTATAGTGCTCATGCATAAGGCTCCCAATAGATGTCTGGTGCTCCCCCTTCTTTAATATTTGAAATTTCAACCAAAAGTCAACCAACCTACGGCCTTTAAGCGTTGGGCGTGCTTCCATTTTTTGTTTTACGTCCAACAGAATGTTGCACTGGGTCCCCTTTACTAATTACCTAGCTGTTAGATCTGGTACAGTGAAGTTCTATCAACACTGTGTCTGACGAGAACATAAGTACCACAGCCGCAATACGAAACCCCAGGCCTCATTCATGACCGCAAGTAAATCCCGCCTCGATCAGTCCCGTCATGTTTAACACGTGGAAACAGAGCAGCGACTCATATGTCATTCTGCAAACAGGACCACCATTTCAACGGCCACGAAATGGCAAGCCTCGACGATCAGCCTGTAATGCTTGCCGCACTAGCAAGGTGAGTTCTGCATAAGCCCTAGGACCACACGTCCCAAGCCTTTCTAACCTCTACGCCAATGCTCGCTGCACCTAGATAAGATGTACCAGTGATCTCACTGGCTGCCGGAACTGTCAAAAAAGGGGCTTGGACTGCCAGTACGGGACCGAAGACGACACTGAGCTTAACATCGGAGCTGTCCAAGGGCAACGTCAGCTGAGACACAGGTCCTCTGGACTAGGCATGCCTGCGTCTCCTTGTACGCGTGAAGCCATCCCCGAAGACAATGTTGTCAGTCCGCGGCCTTTGGATGTTGGCGATCTTTTATCAGATGCTCTGGATACGCCCCGGGTTGAGGACTGTGGCAAGGAAACAGATTGGTCAGATTTGGACTTTATGTTTGGTTCAGAAACCGGCATCTCACCTTCTCACAACTCGAGCAGCACTAGTCCTGGGTCCGACACCTTTCTGAAAACCGCTATTGGCATGCCTGACTTGATTGACTGTCCTGAACAGATACCGAGAGGTGAGGCTTTTCTGGCTCAACTCCCCTCGTGCCTCTCTATGCGCACCTCGGGTAGCAATCTTTGCCTACCTGAGTGTTCCCCTTCCTTCCATTTTCTGAGCACCTCAGATACCGTTACGCCCACGGAAATAAGCTTTACCAAAGACGACACATCTCAGAGCATCACGCCTGTCGTCAACAACAACAACAACAACAACAGCCCTTCATCCTGCCCATGTCCCACCACTGCTTTAAGCACATGGGAGATGCTCATCACCGGCATTTCCTCAAAAAAACCCGCCACAGATGAATTCGTGCGATGCCAAAAGGCGGCCATGTCAAGCTGCGAGGCACTGGTTCGGTGCCATGGGTGCTCTGCCCGGTCGCTGGACGTCATGCTGCTCATAGACATCTGCGCAAAACTCCTTGAAAGCCTAAAGACGCAAGATGAGGGACTTTTCACCTGCCACCACCGGCAAAGTAAGCGCCGGCCGGTAACGTGCGGGCATTCGACAGAGCGTAGGATGGCTGACGATGATGATGACGATGACGAAGATGAGAATCACGTCCTAAGAAGCTTATGGATGGCACGAATGCGAAGACTCGGGCGCTTGATAGCTGGAGTCAGGGCTTTACTAGATGGAGAACAGTGGTTGGCGCACAGAGGCATGCTTCAGGGCGTGCAGATGGCGTTTACAAGCGTCATGTTTGGCTGGCAACCTTGGGCGGTTATTTAGAAGACACAGTTTGAAGACCAAATAGACATGCCAGCCGAGATTCATGTCGCTCCATCCTAGACAGGGAAGATGCGTTTTTCCACGGTGGGGTTTCAAGCCCCCATATTCCGTATTGGTCACAACTTGCAGTGTCCATGGCCTGAACCGTCATTTCTAGACATTGACGGGACGGTGAGGACGGAAGTTGTCAGAAATAGGCAATCCCCGAAACTCAGCCGAGTACGGCCCCCTTTCCGTTGGCGCCACTCGCAGACACGGCAACCATGCTCTTTATCGCAACGTTGATATCTGGTGTTTAAATCAACTTGACCTTTGCTAGCGGAAAGACTGCTCCGAAATCTAACCCACAACAACTATACGACGACTCATTTAGCCTTGTTTTATTTGCACCTTGCCAAATCTCCTCACTAAGCCATTCGTTCCGCAGCTTCAATCGTGTCATAATGACCCAAACCTCCGCCGCAGTATCTGGGGCCCCATCTAGCCACAGCAAAGCAGATATTGGGCGTTTCTCCGATGGCGATAAGCCCATTGATGCAGCTGTAGATCCGGACGTAGTGGACTTCGATGGGCCCGACGATTCGGACAATCCTATGAACTGGTCGCCAGGCAAAAAGGCAGCTACAATCGGCATGGTGACGGCAATGACACTATTCTCGTACGTCCACTGCACCAATCTCTACCTGCGGCAAGCTTGGACGCGAATCGTACGTAATATCAATCCGGTTCTCATATACGCAGGCCAATAGGTTCTACAATATCTTCCGCCGCGGCAGAAGACATCATGTTGCACTTCAACTCAACCAACGACACACTCTCGGCTTTTGTGATGACAATTTATCTGTTGGGCTGGGTGTGCGGTCCCATTATCATCGCACCGCTCTCCGAGCTGTACGGGCGCGCCATTTTGTACAAGGTCTGCATCGTCCTATTTCTACTATTCAACGTGGCATGCGCCGTAGCTAATAGTCTCGGACTGCTGATTGCATTCCGACTCTTGGCCGGCATCGCCAGTTCATGCCCCGTCACACTCGGCACGGGCACCATTGCAGACATGGTGCCACATGAGAGGCGCGCAGGAGTCATGGGAGCATATGTTATCGGCGCCGTTCTGGGGCCGTCCATCGGACCTATCGTCGGCGGGTACCTGACTCCCGTATTGGGATGGCGATGGGCGTTCTGGTTGATAGCCATTGCGTCTTCTCCTCTTTCACTTGTCGTGGTCCTGTTTATGCGCGAGTCGTACCCATTCGTCTTGCTCCAACGCAAGACGGCGCGTCTGCGGAGAGAGACGCTGCGGAGAGAGACGGGAAACCTTGAGCTTCACTCTGCTCTCGACACTGGCAAAACGACACGCGAGCTATTTAGTTTCACCATCTTTCGTCCATTGAAAATGCTCCTACTACCTATTGTCTTTCTGGTATCGCTCTATACCGCAACCGTCTACAGCTACTTATACCTTTGCTTCACCACTTTCCCACGAGTCTTCGGTCTTCAATACGGTTTCGGGAGCGGTCCCTCTGGCTTGGCAACGCTTGGGCTGGGTTTGGGCTCCCTATTGGGAGTATTTTTCTGTGGCAGCGTGTCTGATAGGCTATCTGCGTCCCTAGCCAAGAAAAATGGTGGCGAGATCAAGCCAGAATATCGACTTCCCACTACTCTAATAGGTGGCATCTGCGTGCCTATCGGGCTTTTTTGGTACGGCTGGGCAGCTGAGAAAAGGTTGCACTGGATCTTACCTATTATTGGGACAGGTTTCCTTGGTGCGGGCATGATGATAACTTACGTACGTTGCTCCTCTAAGCCGATGCTTGCAAGTGTACCTCTATCGCTAACACTCGCCCAGATGGCCGCCACCCTGTATCTTGTCGATGCATATACCGCCTATGCTGCTTCGGTAACAGCGTCAAATACCTTTTTCCGCTGTCTTTGTGCAGCATTTTTGCCGCTCGCTGGTTCTGCAATGTACGATAAGCTCGGCGTTGGCTGGGGAACTTCGCTTCTTGGCTTCATTGCTGTTATTTTTCTTCCGCTTCCTTTATTCTTTTTCAAGTACGGCCAAAGAATTAGGGAGTCGAAACGTTTTCGGATTGAGTTTTGAGCCAAAGTTTGTAGCTAACTAGAGTTTGCCACTATCACTACGAGCGATCAACAACTGCCGCGTTTATTACAAGAACCTCGATGTGGAAATGCCGCTCCCATAGTTGTGTGGATGGATTGATCCAAAGCTTCCTGCAAGCTATTTTTTTTAGAAGAGTGTGGTTGTGTGGGCAGAGCTCCAGTGCGGATGTATCCTAGAACCGAGCTAAAGCGGTGGCGCAACGTCCCTTCATCTGACATTTACTACTTCTGATCGAGTTCACCGATGAACAAACTTTCTGCGGCGTCTCGGAATGATGCAAAATAACTTTTCCGTTCTGTGGCAATGAATTTAACTTGATCTTAGGTGGTTTTGGTCACAACTAATGTTCAACTAGACCTTGGAAAGTATCTCTTCTATGCCGCTGTGATTTCCGGGAAATGGCCTATATGTGCTTGATCAGGATACTCGCCACAAGACTTGGCAACCCTAAAAACTAGCATACATAGATATTGTTTAGGGATTTAGCCATGGTAACAAAAAAACAGCACTTCCCACGGAGGCAGGAACTCTGGCAAGGTTGTCTGGCCTAGCGAGACAGACCTCGTTGAATACATAGTCCAATCGCCTACTCCCATCTTAATGAGCCATCTTCCGAGACTCAAGACTTTAGCTGTCTCCTTGTACTACAGATGGCGCTGGTAGAAATGTATTGGTTGCAGTCATGGTGTAGGAGATACAATATAATTCAACATCGCTTAGTCTAATGTACAATTCGTCATCTGGCTTCGCTTGTAATCTGCGTGCGCCCAATTCACCATCCAGTCAGATTGTAGAACTTGCTGTACGGTCGGTCGCTCTTCAGGCCTATATCTGAGCATTCGAATAATCATGTCCAAGATCGCCGCTGTCTCCTCCCCGCAAAACTCCCCCATATCGTCATCCCGTCGAAACCGTTGCACGCACTCTTCGAAGGCTTCTTGTATTTTTGGCCATACATGTCGGCCGGGTTTTGGTTTTCCTTTGGCGTCAAGAGGGTCCTCTCGATCTTCCCACTCCTTGAGGCAGTCGGCAGGCAATGGCCCCACGGTATCGACGACCTGACACATAACTTGCGCATCTGAATAGAAGGCGCTACTAAAAAAAGCTTGCATACCTATAATGTCCCAGATGGCAAGTGCGAGACTCCAAACATCTGCAGAGAAGGAAAGAGGGGTATTCGATTCAAAATAAGGTTCGGGGGGCCGAAAATCCACTGGTATATGGCAGTCTTTCCCGAGAAGAGGCTCTTGTGCCGGAGAAAACGACTCTCCGAAATCGCTCAGAAGAATATGTGCGTCATGCAGCGTAAATTCAGGAGCCTTTTTTACTATGCAAAGTGGCACTGCCGCTCTTGAAGGCACGTTAGGGGTGAGAGGTTGTCCATCTCATCGTCTGATGGGGTATGAATCGGGTTCACCGTATTCCTCGCGAAATTGTGCCACGGATGGTTTATTGAACTCCTTTTGCGCACGAACCAGCACATTACGAAGATGAATATCTAATGCATAGCGTTAGTAGGAATACACCGATTTATAGTCATGTCACGCACCTCCGTGAACGTAGCCAACTGAATGCACGTAGGCAACGGCAAGAGTCAGCTCGTAAGCTAGTGCACGAGCAACGTCAAGGCGAAAAAAACGGCTGAATGAGCTCTCCCGACGGCTACAGAGCGCAGGAGCTGTGGTGTAGCAAGGATGGGAGCCGTTAGGACCTTCGATCCGGAACTCATCCAGCACCCGCGGAGTAGCCGCGGAGCCTGAAACCGTTGTCTGCTTGAGCTCATCCAATTGTTTGAATTGAGGACGGTGCATCTCCATGTACAAGATGTATGCCTTACTGTGTATTCTGCCACAGACCTTTTTGCTAGAACTGAGCATCTGACAAGTCTAACCCAAGAGCCCGTCACCATAGGGTCTCGAGTCAGCCGATCGCACACAACGAAACGTCGACCAATTTTACGAGCGCATGAAGGGGCTATACCCACAAAGTTACGATTTTCAGAGAAGGGCCGATTGTTCAACCATGGGTAAGGTGTAATAGGTCCACGGATACCCAGTATGGGTAGCTTATCCGTGGCTCTGGGTAGGTTTGGGTAGGAAAAGAAGACCTAAATTTATCCATGGGGGAAAATGGGTTGTCCATGACTATCTATTGGTAATTTGAGGTGATATCAAGTATCCATTTAAGACTTAACTTCTTATTTAGTATATACACCTTATAGGTATCCACGTATTTTTTAGGTTATTCGTGGGTTACCCATTTTCTCATACAGTAAAAATAGGTAGCCCACGGATAACCCAAGAAAAACATGGATATCCACGGGTGCCCAGGGGTACCCGTTTTTACACCCTAACCATGGGTATCAGATGCAAATACCGTCCGGGCCGAAAAGGAACATTCAACTAAGCATGAATGGATCCAGTGCATGAAGGAATTTCGCAAGCTGCTTTTTGACGCCGAGAGGTATCATAGCCAAAAGATTGAGGATGGCATCGAAGAGCCTGTCAAAGTTGCCCTCATTGATGATGGTGGGGATAAGACCTCGAGTACTCATTCATTGGTGGACTGACCTTCTGCACTCGTGATGAGGAACATAACCTCAACGACCCATATTATATGTCGACTACAGGTCATGGAACTATCATGGGGGACAAATTCATCTTTTACGTATTAAGGTTGGAAGACCACCATTCTGATGAAACTGGCCGTCAAATCACTGCCAGGAGCGCAGCTCAGGCACCTCTCCCACCGCTTTTCTTAGCAATCATGAAGGTCTAACGTGTTAAGTACAGGCTATCTTGGCGGCCGTGAGGAAGAATGCTCACATCATTTCCATTTCCTGGACGACCGACCCTCCGGAGGATGAGGATGAAAGGCGATGTCTCGAGGCTGCTATCATGAAGTCAGCCGATGAGAATGTGCTCATGTTTTTCTCAGCTAGCGATAAGGAGCTAAGCAGAATACAATCTACCCGGCTAAAGCAACGAGTAGGATCTATGCCACAGGTGCAGACACTGCATCCGGAGCTGCAGATGAGTGGGTTGGCAATCTTAGCAACATCAACTTTACCTTTCCAGGCAGCAAGGTCGAGCTGGACGATGGTCCCAACAGCTCTGGCACCACACCCAAGGAGGTCGCTGGCTTCTCCGTGGCAACAGCTCTAGCGGCCGACTTAGCAGCATTGATTCTCTACTGTGTCCAAGTCAGAGTTTTTCTGGCCAAGAATGAGGAGAAGCAGAAAGGCAGGCGGAATTTCCAGGCTCTCAAAAAGCACGAGAACATGATGAGGGCGTTTAAAGACATCGGGACTACCGAGCCAAGCAATCACCAGTTCATTGAAGTGGGGGAGGTGTTTGGGAAGATGGTACAAGACAATGAACGTGTCACACGGATTAGGTGAAGCAAGGATGAGAAGCCCTTTGTTACACAATAGGATCACGAGAACTATGAGGCGCACTAGGCACGTGCCGTTCCTTTCATGTATATAAGATGGTCTCCCCTCGCCTCAAGCCTTGAGGAAACCAAGGACCTTTGATATCCTACGAGATTACCATTGAATTGAGCCCCTTTCGCTTCAAGCCCTCTATCGAGCCCTTGTCACAGAACGGCATGACAAGTAGAAATGAATCGAGTTGATTGTCCAAAACGGGGGTACTCTGCGTAGAAAACTTTGACAGATACGCCATCTCCTCATCCAAGCTGAGTCTTCTATGGGAATTGCTTCCAGTCTCCCCCAGACGTCTGACCGTGTTTCATCGAAAGGACTAGCTGGGCGGAAGAAAAAAATAGTCAACTTTCCACAAACAAATTTCTACCGGTTCTATAATCTATATCACCTCTAGCTAGCCATCCGGCCCAAGTAGGCAACAGCGCCTCCTCCCAGAACTTGAAGTAGGTAATCAAATACTAAGTCGATCTCAGTGCTCAAAGTAGTTACGCAGATGAAAATTGAAGAAGTGGAGAACTCGGGCTGCAAGACCTTGTACTTGGTTACTGCCGGCGTTCGGTTCATCCCTATCGTACTGGCATCCATCCCTTTTAATGTGTTAAGGTGCCGCCTTTGTATCTACTCCAGAATACCCTTATCGAGTATTTTCACCTGTACTAGGCCTAATAAGCCTAATAATACTTCTTAAAGGTATGTGCTAGGGACGATTAAGAGTACTTTAATAATCATGATAAAAACGTGAGCATACTTACCTAACACTTAATTCTCATTGGATATTATCCCGGCAAGGGACCTCGCTGGCACCTTAACACGGTTCAAAAAGATTGGCCGAGCCTATTTCGCTAGTGGCGCCGGGTTGGCCCGCTGACTCCACTCATTAGCGCCCCCAGACGGGATCAGCCGTGCATTGGGGATAGGACCAGTTAATGCGTCAGGCGCGATGCAGGGCTGTGCTGTTAGAGTCTGGTAGTCTATGGAGGTTCTCCTGGTAGTGTATGCCCGCTATCGTGCCTCATATCACAGTCTATTCGGCCATGCAATAGCCGGACTAACAAAGAGCGATTTTGGTACCATTGGTATCTCTAGCGCGGAGGACTAACGGTCATGGCACCACATCCGACCAATTTCAAGGCACCAGAGACCCCGAGACACTCACCAACACAGCTGGTAAACAGGGCAAATTAAAGGGTGGTCAGCTTACTTCGACGGAGATTTTCTGTCCCAAAGTCATGGTACTACATTCACGTTGCGCCGGTATCGCGGGATTAGAAACGGGGCTATCTACGGCCCCAAAGTATGGGGGAAATGCCAAACCCCTAAAACCACAATCTGTAATCTTAGTAGGCGCGCACAGCTAATAGGCCAACAAAAGCTAGGCCATTCAAACTTATTCACGGTAGAGAGTGCGTAATAATTCTTGCCCTTGAGCTGCGATTGAGCTCGAACGCTAAATGATGCTATTCGTGAGCGTGTCATAAACTCAACACTACCAGATTCCAGCACTTGTACACATGTCCCCGTTAGTTCAGATTTTGTTTACCAGTTTAAAGCTCACTTTTTTTGGAGATCTTGGTTTCTCGCGAACAGGAACAGTTGTCTCCCTAGCCACGCTCTTTAGTGGCGTCTTGGTTAAAAGTTGAACAATATCGTAATGTTGCCATTTCGCTGCCAGATCTGCCGGAGTCAGTCCTTCGTTGTCCAAGGCCTCGGGGTCCAAAGCCGGTTGCTCTTCTAGCAGCAGCCTTACAACTGCGATTTTACCATGCCGAGCTGCTAGATGTAGCGGGGTTCGTCCTTGGCTGTCCGTTGTCAAGGTGGCTCCCCATTTGAGCAACAATCTTACCACGTCATTGTGTCCTTTCTGTGCTGCTTGGTGAAGCGGCGTGCGACCAAGCTTACTTGTTACCGTGACCTGACCGCCTTTTCGGAGCAAAAACTCTACAAGTTCCTTTTCTCCCTCTTTGGCCGCCCAGCTAACGGCTGACCCTACAAAGGGATCAATTTGGTTGGGGTCAGCTTGGCCGGTTTCAAGCAGGATTTTGACAACATTTTGATTGCCTAGCTGGCAGGCGTAGTGCAATGCCGTGGCGCACTCATTTGGATCTGTCCCCTCGACGTCTGCGCCATTGTTGATGAGGCGTTGGACTGCTTTTTCGTCCCCTTTCATAGCCGCTAGGCTTAGAGAGGGAATGCCATAATCGTTGTCGCCTCCGTTGGGTCCTTCTTGTAATTGGTTCCCTGCTGTTGACCCATTCGAGGTTTCCTCCATGACTGTGGGCAGCGGCGCCTTCAAAGGCGCCAAGGTCGTGTGAGCTTTCAAGCAGTCGTCGCAAAAGTATTTGCCTTTGTTCTCGCAGTCCTCTATCATTTCGCTAATAAGATTGTGTATCATCGGACGATCGGTGAGATCCTCTTGGGTCATCTGCTTGCACCATTCAATGGGCAAGTCAAGCCCATCCTTTTTTGGACTTTCACGCTTAAGCTTATTCAACCATTCGTGCAGTTTTAGCACGTTCTCGCCGTACCTGATGCCGTTCTTGGTCATCACACACGTTCGAAGATCTTGGACCCCCTTTTCGGCAAGAAATGTTAGAACTTCTGCAAAAATGCAACCCAGCGAGAACAAGTCTGTCTTGATGTCTCTCAAACCCTTCTTCACAAGGGCCTCTGGAGCGGCATACTCCCAAGTCACGGCCCCAGGGTTTGTGTTGGAAGTAGCCGCCATTCCGGTCTTGCCGAAATTGTAGGCGCTACCGAAATCAGTGAAGAGAAACTCGTCTTTGTGGACCAAAATATTCTTTGGTTTAATGTCCTTGTGTCGTATTCCTTTCTTGTTGAGGAATGCGAGCCCCGCGCTGAGGCATCCAAAAATCTTTTTTATCCTTGGTTTCTTCCACACGTTAATATCAGTCTCCCGTAGGTACTGATCGAGGTTCATGTCAGCAACTGGGAGAAGCAGAATGCATATCTCATCGCCCTTACTGAAGGAACCCTCGAAGCTGACAACATGCTTGTGTCGCCCCAAGGATTTAAGATTCCTCAGCTCCTTTGACAACGCCGTGCTTGTTATATCCTTGGGGCTTTTGCATGCATAGACCTTGTTTGTGTGAACATCTTCAACCGCCTTGACGTTGGCGAATGTTCCGTCACCAAGGTGTTTGATGTCCTTGAATGGTAGCTCGCGAGGCTTGAAGCACGTGTGTGTGCCGGGATCAAAACGTCTAAAGAGCCGTTTCTGTATGTCACAAAACTTCGAACGCTGTTCTGGGTTTTGGATAATTTTTTTCAATGCCTCACCATGGGCTTGCAGTGGCAAGTCCTTATCAGTAGGCGTCTCCGTAGGATTCAGACGCAACAAGTGATTGATGGAGTCCTCTGCCTTGAGATGGTGCAAGAGAATGCATATTCGAAGGCGTTTGTCCACTAGTGCTTCAAAGACATAGCTTTCAGCTTCGTTCGGATATGAGTCAACATGTTCTTCAATCACCGCCTGGCATTTCTTGACATGGTCATTGCCAATTTCTTCTGGAAGGTCGGGGAACCCGGCCCAGGGTCTGGATTGAGGTCCCATATCCTTCTGCACGAAAATCTTGGCTGCCGAGTTTGTGGGGAAAGGCGTGTTTTCTGAGTCGGGCGGGACCTGAAAAACTATTGAAAGAAAGGATCCCATGAAGGTCTGCTTTTGGAAGATGTTAGATGTTGACTAGGTCTTTGATAATACTTTCTAACATGCCAGAACACATGGGCTATCGGAAGATAAAAGATGGAGCAATAACCCAGAGCGAAAGAGCAATAACGTCCTCAGCACATCGTTTTAGGAAGCCAGGCTTTGCCCATAGTGTATGGTCGCCATGCCTGGTGTTGGAGAAAAATTGAGAACCACCCATTACTTACCGAAATCGCCAGAGCGGCCATCAGGCTTCCTGGAAGTCTCTTCTTCACACCGACATGTGGAGATGCAGATGACAGATCAATGAGGCTACCTATAGAGCGCTGGATCTGGAGAGGCGCTGACCACCACTTCAGCACCGAATTGGCATCATTGCAGATCTTTAACGAGAATAGCAATGGGACTCCTTCAGCTTGGCAGCAGGACCCGGGAATACTTTGTAGAGATCGCAACCTGCGGGCCTCGTCATCAATAAGCCCCATTGTCGCACCACAGATATCAACTAATCTGGAAAAGAGCAATCTGCTATTTTAAATGGAGACCAAGAGCTCAAGGCAGCCGCGCTCAAGGATCTTGGGAAATTTCCCTGCCAACAAAACAGCCTCCATTTTTCGGGACCGGCCGGTTGCTTCGGCCACTCGGTGACCGACCTTGGAAGGCTGCTTGCGGCTGGTACGCAGCTATTCCTTGTAAAGAGACGACACTGTATAATTACATTAATCGTCTTGACAAACGTCAAGCTTTCCATATGGTTAGCATTCGTTGTGGATGCAGACCTGATTGGCGGCCGTGGCATTTTACCTGTTGTTAGCGCCGAACTAGACTACCCGCGCTTTCGACCACGCTAACTTGTTATAGAACATTGAAACTACACTTATACAGACAGAATCCTGGAGGCGCTATTCTCCCTGCCAAGTTTTGCGGGAACTGCCGCCACTTTAAGCGGCTTCAATAGTGAGGGGTGAAAACACAACGCAGGTACAGTGGGTTCGCAGTAATTCCGAAAAACGCCCACTTTTACACTAAAACTTATACTTTAAAAAGCTTATAGTTTCTTTAAATGATAGATTAAAAATATAATTTTTAAATATATAAATATTCAGCTACTTGATTAAATTATTATTAATGAAATATTAAGATAAAAAATAAAAAAGGGCCAAATAAAGGGTATCTAGTAACACTGTATTTTGGCCGTACCTAGGCCAGGGAATCGTAACTAACCACGCAAGACACCATGATACTCCTTGATTATGCTAGTATATCCGTGGCAAAGCATCATTTCGACTAAGTCAAGAGATGCTAAAACTGGGAAAGTAGTAGGTTACAAGCATCTCTGACTCAACAGAAACCGGTACCGGCCCTCGTGTAGCCATAGCTGGCCTTCCATTCATTCTTCTCATACCAGCCCGCATTTTCAGTCCCACAGGCATCATAGATCTTGTTGAAGAATGGAGAAATTTCCCAGCCATTGCACCACTGTCCGCCCCCGTAGTTGCATCCATAGGCGACGACGCCACCCTTTTGAAACGCAATGGCGTTGTCATAGTGAGTTTGGTGGCAGCCGTCGAGCAAGGCGCTGACTGCACTGAGGACATCCTCAGCCCTGCCGGCCCAATACTGGTTGCAATGGGGGCCGCTGCGTTTGGTGAGACTGTTCGCAAGACCAGCGGAACCAGGCGCGCGTGCCGATATAGTAGGCTGAACGATTGTCTGGTGCTTCCAGGCAAACTTGCCAGCCTCGTCCACACTGCCGACGTAGAGCCCATCCCCTGCTGGGAGGGCGGGCAGGTTTTGGGACCTGGCAGTTGGAGAGGCCATGATGACGCTGAACATGGCAGGAATTGCGGCAATGGAAGGCTTCATTGTAAGTTGAAAGTAATCTGGTCCTCTCGCACGTAAAATATGTTTATTGTGATGACACTGAGATGGAATTTTCGGAAAATTCGAGCGGTACTGACCTGTTTGAGAAATATTCCGGCTGTTGATGTGTGCCAGGACAAGGGGACAAGATGCATGTTGGTCAGAGCCTTGTGCCTATAGAACATACCAGAGCCGTTACGGTCACTCCTGCATTCAAAGCCCGTATTGCCTGGGGTTCAAGCCCAGCTTGATCCCTTCTGGAGCTTGAGGGGAATCATTCGAGGTAGTAATATCTACAGCTTTACAATACAAGTATGTGGTAGGTAGTACAGCAGCTGTCTGCAAAGCCGCCTACAGGAGGTGTTCAATTGTTATTATGTACCATCGCAGCGGCCGAAAACTCCGACCTGTTGGGCCTGAATTGATCCACCTGCCCGCGAATACCAAGTCTAGCTCACCCGAGGGTACACTACTTTCAAAGCCGAAAAAATCGTTCAGGGGGTCTTGGTTAGATTCGTCTCAAGCGCCAAGCAGCCTGGATGCGCATGCGGGGGACTAGCCATTATTCCGCCAAGTTCCCGTCTCTTATCACGCGAACTATTGCATCTCGGCTTGAGAGACACACCAACACCCAACAATTCCCTCAGTAATTTTGCATGCCAAGAACAAAGCAGTTGGGATATCGGTCCGGAAGCGCCGTCGGGGTCAAGCTCAGGATACTGTTTAGATTGAAGCATATACGGAGTAAGGCCGGACGACTTGCCGATTCGCGGGGCATAGTAATCAAAGAGGACGGTCTCTAAACCGCAAACAGCAAACCAGCATTTCTCATTAATAAACACCAAATTTTGCATCCTCGACATCCTCTACTATACTGTCAGCTGCCGCTTCAGCCGGTTGCGGCGAGTAGAATGAAGCTCTGCAGCCCGCACACTAGAGTTTAAATTACACCAGTTGACATTACTAGTTCCCCGCAGTCAAATGGCCCGAGTCCAATGTAGAAACGCTGGGGCGCGTGAATAGTGGCCTGTCAAGGAAAACCAGCCACGAACACGCTGAGCTGTCGACGGTTATATTGCTACATCTCCACGATGGTCGTTCTTCGGTCCCGAGCTCCTGACTGTCAGTTAGGATCATTGCTGCGTGCTGCTGCCCGCCGTTTATGGTAAGCCACGTGTGTGTAGAGAACTTATTCCAACAAACTCGGCTGTGTGAAGGGAGGCAAGGCTGACGAAATAGCAATTGCATTGAACTGTCTTGGCCGAACTAATAACAAGGCTAACAAGCCAGGAATGTGCGATGCTGTGGGCATCGCGCGAGGCTGAACCCTCATCACGTGACCACCCTTAACACCTCCCCTCAGCCGAGCTGTGATATCTAACATACATGAAAATCCGGTATCCGCGTTATTATTTCCTTTAATTCATTTATTTCATTTATAGTTATTACCTGTAGTTTCGCATATAAAATGTATTATTCGTTTAAACATGTTAGAGTCGTAGTTATTAGCGGAATTAACCGTGTTTAACTAGGCTAAGTAGCTTCGTAAGTCCGTTAACGCACATATCTTTTATGCCTACTTGTATAATATTAAAGTATTCTTCTTTAACTCTTTGGATGATTTATTTATACCGTAAATTAATGTGATAAGTTCTCGTTGTATTATTTTTATTAAGCGCTATAATCTTCGTATTTTAACTATTAGTAAATAATACTAAAGGTCGTGGTTGCGAATAACTAAGGTCGGTAATAAGGTTATTAATTTAAAGGGTAGCTTTACCCGCGGGCGTTAAATTAATGAATTCGGCCTCTATAGAGCTTAATGTAACGATAGTTTACTTTTTTAATTTCTATATAATAGTGTAACGGTGGCTTAGGTTCTAAGGCATAGTAGGTTTGTTTCTTAGAAAGTAAGTTAGGTTAAATGCTATAGAGTAGCTTTTTAAGTAGTATTATAATGCCTAAATTCTAAGGTTTCTAAAACTATTTTTATTATAAATTCATTCTATATATTAACTGTATTCTCCCGCTTTACAGTTTAGAACCTTTCTTTTCTACATTAATCTTCTTACCCTTATAACTCTACGAATACTTAACTTTTATTTAAATTGTTTTTATTATTAGATAGCCTTTAATTTAGGCTATCTTATAAGAAGTTCTTATTATTTAAAACCTACCTTTATAATGGATTAAAATCCTCTTGGAATTACACCTCTTATTATTACGACACCGCTTATTATTACAAATAATTCAAGCTTTTCTTAGTAAACTTCAATTAAAAAAGACTATATAAATGATAAGGGCTATTAATTTCGCATAAAATCATACATTATTTAACATAACCTTTTTTCTTATAAGGTTTTAGTAGTTAATTTAAAAAAACCACGAGATATTTTATATATTAAAACTATTATAACTTTATAAAAAAAAGGAGTTTAAAAATAAGAGTAGTATTATTTTAAAGCTTATAATCTTAGCTATTCAAAAATACTAACCCCACTTAATATCACCCATTAATTATAAAGATAAAAGCCGCGGTATTTAGTAGGGCAAGTTAACTAGGGTAAAACGCTATAGCGTTTTACCCCACTTTAAAAAAAAACGCGATAATTTTTATTTCCTAATATCTCTATAAATACTTAACTTAAATTTATAAGCTTAGAACTGATTAATAGCCCTTAAAATGCCCTTTAATTTAATACTAATTGTATAATTATAAGTCTAGTATTCTAGGAGTTATATTCGGTTAAAGTTTTAAGATATAAAGGTTTCTTGTAAGCTATATATATATGTTTTAAGTGATAAAACAGTATATTATCACATAATATAACGCCTTTAATGCATTATAAGTATACTAGCTCTTTTAACTGTTTCACTATAATTGCATTTTCTCGTAAAACTATTCTATTATTTTCCACACGAATATACATGTTTAAGGGGTAAGTTAAGCATCGAAAAAATGCCTAAATTCTAAGGTTTCTAAAACTATTTTTATTATAAATTCATTCTATATATTAACTGTATTCTCCCGCTTTAAAGTTTAGAACCTTTCTTTTCTACATTAATCTTCTTACCCTTATAACTCTACGAATACTTAACTTTTATTTAAACTTTTT